TCACTGCCTCATACATAGTAGTATATAACATATCTGTACTTAGATATTTTTCCTCAGTCTTAATATTACTTTCTTCTCGCAGTTACTTGTGGAGAATTCTCAGTATGGCCTTGCCTCCTCTGGAACAAGTCTCAACTTGTTGTCACCTCTGACCCTGCTCCGACTTAGAGCCGTACTCTAGTCTTTCCCTTATACTCCGCCCCTATCAAATATTCTCCTTGTCCCTCTGCATTATCCTCTGCCTTCCCTGCCCCTACAAACTTCCCCTGCTTCCTATCCACCCTCACATCACTCCCTGCCTTCTCCGCTCTGCTCCTAGTCAGCCTGCCACTAGTAGCTCTTACTCCCCGACCCTCAAGCAGACCAAAGCGGTCCACTCTCCATATCGGATAAACGTCGGACCTGCTCCAAATTTTGGGCACGTACTCGGCTAAGGGCACAGCGCAAGGCTGAAGCCAAGCCCCGACCCCTCTGCTTCCTGATCGGCAGGTACCTAACATATGAATGAGAACGTAGGGGGAAGTGTTCTTGAGTGAGTGGTGTATCAAAGTTTGTTTTTCTCATAGACCCCTACAAATTCTTCGCCCTTGACATAAGCGATAAGAACTTCATCATCATCTAGATCTTCAATGATTTCTTCAGTATCTTCTTCTTCTTCGGGTATGAGTTCTGGTTGTTCCTTGGAGATTTCTTCCGAGGAGGTATATGCTTCTTTGCCAGGGATTTCTTCTATTCTGGGTTGCATAGAGGTGTGTTTTGCTCTATCAACGATAAGGGTTTGAATCATGACTGGATCTTCTTCCAGTGAGATTACGCTCTTAGTCCAGTCTATTTGTGGGTTTTCGTTCTTGAGCCATGGAAGTCCGAGGATGATATCTTCCCCTCCAAGGGATGTAATAAGGAAGGTAGTGAACATGGTTTGACCTCCTGCTAAGAAGAATAGATTGCAGGCTTTGGTAAGTTCCTGCTTTATTCTTTGTTCCACTACATTTTGGACTTCAATTTGTGAAGAGAGATGGTGAGTTGAGAAGTTGTTCTTTCATACGTATTTCCAATCAATGAATGTTCCAGCTGCACCCGAATCTATAAGGGCAGCTACTTTGGCGGTTTTATTGGACTTGCAGGATTTGATTCGAAATAGGAATGTGCATGGAATTCGAATCACCTACAGAAGATACAATGAGTCCAATAGAAGTACTAGGGGTTTCCGACGCCAGTCTGGTCTCCCCATTTAGAAATCATTCTTAGAAGAAGAAGGTGTCTTTGACGCTTTTCAAGCTTTCCAAGTGAGGAATTCCTGGTACTCTGCATCTTGATCATCTGGTTCGATCTTAGTCTCATGGACTGGTCATCCAGCTGGCTTTTGCCAACCAGGAGCAGAGTGTCTGTGGTTTGGGCAATCCTTCATAATCCCTTTCTTTCCACACTTGAAACAGAGTCTCATTTTGCAATGTCTGTCTTGCTTGGATTGTGAAAGCCTGGTGTGTGTACTGGAGTAGACTCTTCTTGTCTACTTTAATTTGTCGATATCCATTGCATATGGATCGTCTTTCTTGGAGTAACTCCTATCTCTGGAGTGAATGAGTTGTCTTCTGGATTTGTATTCTCTTGCTGCATCAATCCAATTGTTGATGTTCTCGGGTATCTTCTCCCATACTAGAATTGCTTCCTGTACTTCCTTCTTCAATCCTTGTCTGAAACAGGTTGTTTCAACGTTGGCATCGACGCAAACAGCTTCTGCTGCAATTTGTTTGAAGTAGGTAATGTATGCGAGATGGTCGATGTCTGCCTTGCTTTCATAAGCATATTGATTGCAGCCAATGTATTATTCTTTGGGAAGAAGCTGTCTTGAATTCTCCCCACTTTCCTAATGTATGCATAGAGGGGTGCTTATTGAGCCAAGCTGTGGCCCATTGTTGTGCGTGTCCTTTGTGCATGAACGAGGTGGCAAATGCAATACATTTTGTGTCTGTGTCATATACTGCATCATTGATAGCAATGTAAGTGGTGACTGATGTCCACCACACCTTGGATTGTTTCTGTGATCTGTCAAAGAGAGCTGGTTTGTTCAAATTAATTTCGCCCATTTTCTTCACAGATGGAGGAGTTGGGTGTGTGGTGGAGGTTGAACGGGTTCAGATGGTCCTGGTTGATCTGGTCCGTATCCTTCAAAGTATTCGTTCTGATCTTGTTGGATAGGTGAGCCTGGTTCAGAGATATGTCTTGTTCTTGGTCTGACTCCAAGGAGTAATGTCTCTGCTCTCGATAAGCCATGATGTTTTGCGATGACTACTAAGGTAGCATCTTCTTGTGATAGAGCTTAACCTTTTGTTACGCCAAGTGTAACGCAGACAAACAATAATCAACAAGACAGTCGGTCTTGTGTTACGTTCTAGACAAGTGTCTAAAGAACGCCCAAAGTTTCAAATAAAGACTAAGAACCGAAGAGGTATCTTAGAGTCAAGTCAGAGATGTCAAAGGAAAATCAGTGTTGGTTAAGCTGAAGAATCAGTGCCACATAGCTAGGGTTTATATAGTAGACAGGGTACAGGGTGTGACATAATAATAGGGTATGTATCAGTAAGCACATGCATAAGCAATGAGGCCTCTGAGTAATACTGAACTAAATATAGCATGATAGAGACATGTGTAGTAAGCGTGGATCAAGGTGAAAAGGAAGAAAAGAAGTTTGATAAGCAACAGCCATAACACTGGTCCTCACCACAGTTGATCATCAGAATGATGGCCAGGGGTCCAATCTCCTTTACTTTACAGTAAGTTGCAGTGTTGACAGGCGGTGAGGAGTTACTAACCTCATTATTTGACCTTGTGCTATCTACACAGCCATATGTTCCATTCCCTGCACTGATAGGCAGGTCGAGATCAAGATCCATAGCAGACCCCATCCACACGTCCTGGAAATGTTTAGCAGGCAGGAATTGTAGGTAATTAACTTACTACTTTGTCGTCTTCACATTGTCAAAGCTCACACTCATAGGACTTTATTGATGCCTTGATACCCCATTCCATTTCCTGCATCTCATATGCATTGACGGTTTCCCATAAGGGAGTGCGGTGTTGTAGGTCTGCCATACAGGTTGAACCGTGTATTGATGGTGCTGTGTTTGCGAGAAGGTATTTTCGATTGTCATGAGTTTCATGGCTTGAGTTACTTACTTCCTGATTTAAAAGTAGGCCGGCAGTCTTATCAAACAATTAACGATCTCATCACCGATCAAGTCAGAATCCCCCCTATTCAAACTCTAAATCTGTAAGCTTCTCCCATTTCCATGGTGGTGAATGGACAATTGGCCAATTGTCGACAATGCTTTTTGTTTATGAAACTTCATGATCACTTTTGGCTGTCAGTGCTAGGCAGATGGTTAAATACCACCAATTTTGTCTCCTGCATGTCTCAATATTTTATCATGGATGTAAGTCCTTCACTTCAGTTAAGTTATATTTTTGTTGATGGCAAAGTAGTTTTCTAGCAAATATACTCTCACTCACCACCACTAAGGCAGTCAATGTATTGGCTGTGAGTATACATGGAGCATTGGCTCCTTACTGAAGGTAATCACTCTATCTCTCTCACTTAACTTGTACTAAGAGCAAGATAGGGCAATGATAGTCACAGAGCTTGGTATCCGAGTGAAATGATTCAAGAAATCTTTACACCAGCAGCAGGTTATATCAGTGCCATTATCTGGATGGACCATTGACAATCACAGTGAAACAATATTTGCTTTCAGGGCTTCAGATGGCAACATTCAAGTATATGAAAGGAGCAATGATGTAAGTGATAGGGGTATTGTTATTGCTCTCGCTGATGATGGTTGATCACCTCAGGCACTGTTCACATTCCAGAGCACCACCATGGGCCACTCAGGTGCAGTGGAGTCGCTGCTTGGGATCCTGTTCATGGTGTCTGGTGAGTGCCACTGGTGGTCACCCGCATCTTTGGAACCTAACACCAGACAGTGGGCTGCCTACCTGTCAGTTATTGCATGGTGTTGATTTTTTTTTGGTCAGAAACCCTCACAACCATCGCCTTGCAGCCTGACAAACAGTTGTGTTGCCCGCACAGTTCACTTCTACTACAATGGTGCTTCCCTCCTAGTGTCATATCTGGAAAGTGGTGAAATGTCGGCTGCCCATTCCATTCTTGATTTCACTGTAACCCTTATATTCAGATCTGCTATTCTATCGAACCTTGGGATCTAAAGTGGCGCAAGAAGGTGCAAGGAAGAATGTAAGTGGGGTTTGTTTCGCATAACACATTATTCATGTGTATGCTGCAGTGGCAATGCTGTTCTTGAGGGCAGTTTCCTGCTTGTGAGCAATCTCAAAGACAGGGTGGATAAATACACTGTTCCTACCACCCAGTGCATACAGTCCTTTAACCATGTGATCCTCTGCAATGTTCCTCTGCAAATCTCTGTTGCTCAGCAGGTGGGACTTCCGATTTGATCTTGCCCCTGTTCTCTCCCTTGTATCTTCAATCGCGATCACAGGTGTAATGCAGTTAGGCTTGATTTTACTTTTCATGCCAAGTGAAATAATTGTTATATATCAGGCACATTTACATGCAAGTTGCTGTTTGGCACCAAACACCAAGCAACCCATGAGTTTTTTTTCATAGACAGTTGTTTGGACTTTGGTAGAATAGGAGTTTGGACTGGTGAGTCGACAACACTGATAATTGAAGAGTCTAGACTGATGCACTGTCACCTTATCCAGGATAAACTATTGTTTGCTAGGATAGATGGGAGTTTAGACTCATGAGTCGACCCCTATGATATCTTGTTTGGACTTATGCACTGTCACCTCGTCCAGGATAAACTATTGTTTGCTAGGATAGATAGGAGTTTTGACTTGTGAGTCAACCACAATAGTATTGTTTGACTATTTGACTTTATATTTTTCAGCGATACCCTCATGACACGACACATTGCATCCATTTGCTCATTTGATTTTTTAGTTCATTTCAGTCAGCGTGGGGGTAGGCCTATTGTCTAGCTTGTGAGCAGGCAACCCACAACTTGCAATAAATATGTTGCATAATTCTGCGTCATTCCCCATCATCCTCTAGCCATGGTTGCCACACAGGCTCTCAGATCTGTTTCACCTGTACATGTTGTTTCATATGCAAAACTGAATCATTGTTAGCCCCTGTAATTTCAAAATGGAAGGCCATTGATGATTCTCTCAAAAAATTCATACTGCCATGTGAGAAGAAGTGCAGATTCCCTGCAGTGCATTCGAAATGTAAAGCAGATGAAGAAATCCCACACGGCTCCCTCCCTCCCAGTCCCAAGAAGCATTCTCTCTCCCATTCATATGCAATTGCTGACCTTACAGTGAGTTTAACCTTTCCCTAGTCTGCACACCTCATGCTCCTCAATTATGGACTGTGGACTCTGCCGTGTAAAATTCCTCAATGTTAAGACCATGCCTCAAGGGGTAAGACAGAGTCTGAGGGGCTTGGCTTCAGCTCATATGCTGCGCCCCTTACCCGAGTACATGCCCCTAATTTTGGATTGTAGTCTAACTCAAGTTCTACGAGCTCTAACAGGATGTCGGAGCAGAGGACCTCCGAAGGAGGACTGATGGACTACTAGGTGAGTGCAGGAATGTTGGGTGGAGATTGGTCCGCCCTACAGGGGAGAGTCAGAGGGTTACTGCAGTCGGAGCTAACAGTAGGAATTGGAGCATAGGACAGAGGGTACGAGAGTATTGGCCACAAGTCCAACATGCAGGAAAGGCGGCGGAGGCATGGGAAGTTGGACAAGCGGAGAAGGCGGCCGACCTAGGGAGTCAATCCCCTAGGCTGGCAAACAGGAGTTATCAAGGGTTTTGCCCAAGAATAGGGACAAGAGAGCAGGGCTTTAGAAAAGGTAATATTCAGACTGAGTATCTACAGACAAATGTACATATGTTTATATACTCTAAGTAATGAGCATAGCATAGCAGAAGGCTATGTGCTGAGTGTACAGTATTACAAGAGGATGACTGAGACATATGAGAATAAGGCTCGGAGAACAGTATGTACACAACAGATCAATAATCACTTGGGTATAGTGGTTACCAGTGATCCGAAAGGAGGAACTATGATACTAAATGGAGATAGGACCAGTTGAGTGGTTCCTAGTCTAGGAGTGGAGCGGTGAGGTGGTCGGGCGGACTAATAGTTGGGTGGGGCAACACAAGCGGAACTGAAGGAACCGAGTGGGTCAGAAAGAGGAGGAGTAGGAGTAGGATTGGTGTGAACCAATAGGGGAGGAGCGGAACTCCAGATAGGGTCGGATGGAGGGGTATAGTGTTGGAAACAATAGGGGTAGTGTCGGAGGAGTGGAGCAGAGTAGGTGGAGGTAGCAGGGCTAGTCCTGCTGAGATGTACTTTGTGCATTGTGGAGAAGGAGGGATGGAGTGGAGGGGGGAAACAGGGGTAGAGATGTTCACAGGTGGTGTTGGGGGTGCTCGGATCCGGTATATGACACTCAAGAGCATTGAAACACAAAGCATATGGAGACATGCCAGATGGTTCCTTCCCTCCCAGTTTCAAGAGGTGTACCTCTCCTGTTCATATGTGATTGCCGATCTCACTGTGAGTTTAATCATTGACCAGTCTTCCACGCCATGCCTCATTCGTTTTCAAGCTCACTCAGCAACTGAAGAGTGCAGCGTAGATCCTGTCCTTTTTTGCATGTAAGTCAATCTTGAAATTGAGGTGTTTTTAAACAAAATACCCTCTTTTGCAGGGGATGCCATCACCTGTAGCTTTGACTGGACACAATCACTTTTTTGTATTGGTCCTTTCCAAACAAGCTTGTATTGATGATCTTCCAACATCTGCCTGCGACACACCTGTGGTCGATCATGCAGGTGTCCTGCCTCTCAAAGGACCTTGCTGCACCCTTATATCTGCATTCCATAGGCTTACATGTCGAGCAAACATGGTTGCGCATCAATGCTCAGACTTGCCTAGCTCTTCCATGTATACTAGAACAACTTCTTTCTGCGCTCCTCGGTTTCTGCATTGTGACCTCCATGGTACTGGTGACCATGATCTGACAGCACTCAAGATCTTTTGCAGTCCTTGAAAGGGGTGTTCAGATCAAACCTATGTCATTGATTATGTGCTTCAACGCCCCCAGGAGTGTTACAGTAACATGAGCATTACGGGTTATTTCATTCTCTTCATTCTGTCAACCACTGACATGTGGATAACTGTGCAGACTCGTCCAGACCGGACCATGGTTACAATTCTATTCTTATCTCTTTTCTTTTTGATCTCGTTGTTCTGAAATATGAGAAGCTCTCACTTCTACCCCTAGATCATAGAAGCGCGGCTTCTACCAAACCCTATGCCTTACCATTGTATTGGTTCTATCTTTGATGGGGATTCCCCATGCCCTTTGCCCTTTGCCCTTACCGTTCAACTGGTACTAACCCTTTTCAGTATGTGACTCATACATACCCTTGACCCTTACCGATGATTCGGTACTGCTCCCCTTACCCTGTACCCTTACCACTCAACTGGTACAGACACTTACATATATTATCACTTGTCTTGTAGATAGATTCTCTAACTGAATCTACTTGGTTCTCATCTGATATTGTCTTTGGGTCTGAACTTCTCTAAGAGAACTCCCTCTGTGCAAAGAACCATCTTTTCTTGAGACAATACTCTTGAGTTGAACTCCACTCTCTTGGATCGTATCCTTGAGAAACTCCAATTGACTCTACACAAGTAAGGGCCTCAACCTTTACTCAAGACTGAGCGCAAGCAAGCTCCTTGCTGGGCTAGTGCTGAAGGCCATGCTTCAAACACCCCTTGCTGGGTTTAGCATTGCCAGATCTCATCTGAGAGGTTTTGCATAACAAGGAGTAGATCTGGCATCTTTATTCCAGCTCATCAAGGATTTAGATTGCTCCAGTTTCAGTTATTCAAGCAGTGATGCGGACCACCCATGTACGGTTGTACATGCCTCCTGTCTCTGGATCAGACCCAAGCGCAGTATCTAGTCTTCAGTGATTGTCGGTGGACTCGCTCATGTTTTTCTCCCCATGTGTCGCCTTGCTCACCCTCACAACCTTGCAGGACTCCCCATTAACCAAACCTCTCACTCACTTACACTGGATTGAGCAGCATTCAGTGGACTGCATTGCTGCAGAACGTCCACCTCCTGCTGCTTCGAACTGTTGACAGTTGACATTGAGTGCCCCCCTGATGTCCTCACTGAATTTTTGATTCCACCATCAGAAATGTTGGCCAATTGTGGATTCATTCGGGGTCGACTCTTTCCCTGAAACTAACAAATCATGCCTTACAGAAGGTATCAAGACAAAAATTGCAGCAGCACATCCCCAATTCCCATCTACACCTAAATGTTCTTGGCGGCCCACCTTGGTATCTTGTTTCCCTGCTAGCCATAATTCATTCAGGCCCTTGTATTCGAAACCTGAGCCTTCAGTTCAGAGAAAATTTGACTTCTAACCACTTGTTGGCCATTCTAGACATTACTCAACATTTCACAAGTATCCAGGCACTGCAGTTGAGCTTTTTCGATGCTTCCCATACTGCCAGCTACTTTAACGTCCCATATGATGATCGCACTGTACCATCAAAACACCTAACAATTTCTGTGCGTGGCCCTTATCCAGATGCTCTCCTCATGAGTTCCCTTTAATGTACATATATTAGCACTCACACTCATGTAGTTCTGCTGCCATCCTTGGCTTGACGCCTTCCATGAGCTGGAAAGCATTGAACTTCAGGCCAAATGCATGAGTTCATTTGAGAAGCTCACAGAGCTCTTTTCTCGTACAGACAATCCTTTTCAGCTGAAAATTAGCAGTGACTGGTAATTCATACATCTACAATATAAAGCACAACTTACTGGCGGCTCAGTGGCTATTCCGTCTATATATGTTATCATATTGCATATACTATATACCCTCTGTCATCATATATTGTGGTCAAAATCCCAAATGTCTACATTGATTCTGCATTTACAGTTATTTCCAAATTGATAGACCAGATTCCATTTTGCACGACTCACTGCCTTTGTTTACTTTCAGAGTGGTTAGTTAGAGCACAGCTTCAGTTATTCTTGAGCTACACAGTTTCTGGGCAGGTGTGGCAAACTGGCGAAGCTGCTGAGGGAGTAAACTTTGAGATGGGGCAGTGAATTCCAGCATGGTCCCTGAAAGTCGAAGGGCGATTACTAGAGGCACATCTATTGCAGCAAGCATCAATGGATTGCTTTGACGGCTATGAAGCTTCCAAATCAATGTGCATGAGACAGCATAAAACAAATGATTATGGTTATTGCATGAGCATCAGGAAAATGTGGTAAGGCTATATAGCCACCTATAGCGCTATAGACTGCTATACAGACTCCATAGCCCTATAGCTCATATAGCCAAGTGCCCAATTGTGCAGGCTTACTACACCAGTGTATAGTGCTATATAGCTCTATTAAAGTTGCTATAGCTGGGTGGAACATACCACAACTATTGTAGCTATTATAGCTCAAAACACAAAGCAAAAATTTCTCTTAATAGCTGTTTGTTGCCATGATAGTGTTCTCAAAATTAAAAAAAAAGCGAAAATTCCAAATTATATTTCAACTACTACAATACATGTAAACTAATAACTACAAAACAGGCAAAAATGCGAAAATTACAGGAGGAAGAGGCAAGAGAACTAGAAGGAAGAATCAGAGAGGAAAGATGAATACAAAAAAAAGAAAGACTTACCAAATAGTGAAAATTGCGAAAATTCTTGAGGGAAGAGGAGGGAAGGGAGCTAGAAGGAGAGGATCAGACAGGAGGAAGTGAGAGTCAGAGAAAGGAGTAGGAGGGAAGAGAGCTAGAAGGAGAGGGTTAGAAAAAAGATTAGTCAAATAGTCAAAAATGCGAAAATTATGGAGGGAGACTTACCAGAGTTCAAAGCACCAGCACCAGTACCAGCACCAACAACATCAACACCAAGAGAAGGATAGAGAAGCAAGAAGAAGAGAAGAGAGGCAAAAACTCGAAAATTGTAAGAAAAATATGGAAGATAATCTAATGAGGGGGCAGTGGGGGGGGAAGGAAAGAATGGGAAAAGACTTGTTGGTTGACCGCATTTTTGCTTACATAAGCAGTGCCAAACAAAGCCACAACACAAGACTTGGTGAATTTTCGAGTTTTTGGTTAATAGGACTAGGATTATGACAGTAAGAAAAAGACAATGAAATTGACTGTTAGCATTAGGATTTTGAATACACATAAGGTGAATTTTCGCATTTTTGCTTACATAAATAAGGTGTACCTTAACACTTTTGAACCCTTCAATTCCAAGTATTTTCCTTATAACTCACTAAGATCTTGACCTATTGAAGTCATTAGACTATGGATAGACTTCCCTTGACAAGGACTACAACTTTGATTTAATCGAAAAAAGTTCCCATGGTCAAGTTGCTTTCTTGAACCCTTCAATTTCGAAGTATTTTCCTTATAACTCACTAGGATCTTAACCTATTGAAGTCATAAGACTATGGATAGACTTCCCTAGACAAGGACTACGACTTTGGTTTTCATCGAAAAAAGTTCCCACGGTCTACTGGGGTCTATAGTTGTTGAAATGTTTTACTTCTAAATACACTTACCAAACTTTATGGTAATATATAGACTTTCATGATGTCTATACTGGTCTATAGTGCTGTGATAGCTTGCCATAGACTGTATAGAGCTGTGGTGTGCTATCAGGGCTATATAGAGGATGGTCCTCTATATAGAGATATAGTTTTTCCTGATGCACCGCCATCAACAAGTGCCCTCTTGTCCTCCTCAGCTCTGCAGGACAGTGCTGAGGCCTACATTACAGTCTTCTCAGCCTCTGGACGCCTTTCTTAGCCTCTTGATACTCTTCTTACCCTCTAGACGCCCTCTCTACCATCTCTTTGGCCATCCCCTACTCCAAGCCGTTTCACTCCTGCCACAGCAATTCTTCTAGGAGCGATGTCGCACGGATCGGACACGCTTCTCAGCCTCTAGATGCCCTGCTACCCTCCCACCCTCCTCAGCCTCTAGCATCTCTCTGGCTGCTGCCCTTCTGCCCTCCTCAATCTCTGTGGCATCTCTCTGGCCATCCCCAGCCTCCGCCTGTCATTCCCAACTCAACCGTTTTCGCTAGTATGTGTATTACTACTTGACATTGATTCTGTCGCTAACATGTCTGGTTCAGCCGCTGGCGTCTCTCTGGCTGCTGCCCTTCTGCCCTCCTCAATCTCTGTGGCATCTCTGTGGCCATCCTCGGCCTCCGCCTGTCATTGTCAACTCAACCGTTTTGCTAGTATGTGTATTATTACTTAACGTTGATTCTGTCGCTAACATGTCTGGTAGAGCTAATTAGTTACTGAGGATGCACCTGGACTTGGTTCATTTCACAGTGGCTACATGCATAGAACATGCTACTAATTTGTCGCTGAGGATGCTCTTGGACTTGGTTCGTTTTCACGGTCACTACCCTTCTCATATGCCAAATTACTACACTCATGACTCACACATTTTGTACAATGTATTTTTATGTTACAAATCTAATTAAATTCCTTGTTCCCTCTATTTGATTGGCCAACAGAAAGGACTATATTTGACAGGCAGTGCAACTAAAGTCTATCGAGTTTAAAAGTCTAGCGCGGGTCTATAATCACGATCTAGATTAGCCAAGATATCATCAAAATCGAATTCAGGTGTCCCCATATTAATGGATGGACCAGCACCAGGGCTACCTGCAGGCAACATATCAGACATGCTAAACATGTCATGGTTGATCAAATTATCAAGACCGTCTGTCAACCAAATGTCGGGTGGTGTGGGCTCGAGCGGAGGCATCGTATTGCCTGGCAGAAGGAACATCGGGGATATGTGGATTTGAGATAGCGGGAGGAGTGGATGGTGTGGGCTCGAGCAGAGGCGTCGTACTGTCAGGGAGGGGTATTAACCGAAGGTGAATGCTCGCGGGTGGCTGTATTGGCAGGGACATCTGATTCGTCATCGCTTACAACAGTTGCAGCACTCTTATATGCCTTCCTGCAGGTGAGCAGAAGCGTCCGAAGGCTGTTCGCGTTTCTTCCCTTTGTCTGAGCGAGTCCGGCGGCGTTTGTTGACAACCTCACCATTGCTGACCTTCTCACAACGTTCCTGATGAAGTTTCTCATATTCACTTTCCTCCAGGTGTCTCCAACAAATTTCACCAGCTTCCCATTTATCCAACAGCATTTGCAAATCAGGTAGGGTGCTGGATACATTGCTAAGGTTGACAAAAGGGATGTTGTCAGGCCAACCTTCGATGACAACAAGGTAGCGCTGAACAACGCTCCGCCAGTAGTTTGCCCAATGCATCCGTGCTGATGGATCCTGTGTGATCACCTCTAGAAAATTTGTTGTAGTCAGTAACATAAAAAATGTTCAAATCAAACGAACTTATGGAGTGTCCTGTTAATCTCACGGCAGATCGCGCCCCGAACATCTGAGACGAGTTTTTTGTGATTTCTTGCAGCACCTGATAGAGGCAGTCAGTGGAGAGCAAGTTTTTGAGAAAAAAATAATCCCTACCTTTCATGCCCTGAACAGCGAACCCCTCCATCTTACTCACAAGATCCTGGTTGTCGATATTCATCACGGAGCCCATGAACTCATCAACACCTTCGGTTGCGAAGGCAATGCCACAGAGTGGGAGATCTGTAGAGCCACGTGCCATGTAGAGGAGAGTCTCAGCGCCTGTCCATGTCCATAAGTTGTTGAGCTAGTAGTAATGTCAATAAGTAGCAGCAGAACAAATATAAAATGACTTGCCTCATTCTCGACAGCCTTGAGTGTTTGTGTTACATCATTGACCTTTGATTTTGTCGAGATACGGATGCCAGTAGTCTTCGTCTCCTTGTGTTCGCGGTACTCCTGCAAAAGCCGTATCTTCTTGTCTTCTCCAAGGTTGCGATATTCAGTGTGGTTCTCATCACTAACGAGACCTTGCAACACGGTCTTGCCCGTGGCCCCTTGGCATGTCGTCAGTTTGTGCATGCTGAGGACAGAAACACTTGTACCATTTTCCTTGTCTTCATGGCGCTTCTTCCAGCAAAACTGCATTCCATGCATTCAACTTTGAATGCTGGTAGCGTAACATCCCATGGCCCATGCATAAATCATTCTGGACGCGCTGGAAACTTTTATGGTGCGAGGATGCAATGGTCTTCACAGTCTCAGTCTAGCTCATTCCAAGCACTTCGAAGGGCTGTCTGAAATTGATGGGATTTATTGTGACTGTTGGGCAGTAAGGGCTGCACAAGCTTCCTTGCTGAGGGTCACCTTTGGACGAGGAGAAGGTTGGGCTTGGACACTGTTTGCGACTATGTGTCGCCACGAAGGTGTGTGAAACCATCGGTACAGCAAAATCCAGTGCTGTTGGTGAACAGCTTTATAAATCAATGGTGAATACAATTTACGATACCAAAATGACAGAATGCAATAAAAAAACGGCGATCTATGAAAAGAACAGATAGAATAAATAAATTGCGCACAAGAAACTAATGCTGCCAACCACCCTGAAAATGAAAGCAAGTAACGAGAGAGGTGGCTGTAAATGACCACATCAGCAAACCAAAATGCATTGAAGGCGAACAAACAAACCTTTTGATGAGTTCCGTGAAGGTCCATGAGGAGCGCTTTAGCTAGATTAGAAGCCTGTTCATATGTTAGATCCCATTTCGGAGATCGAAGCACTGCCTCCCAACGGCTGCTCCCAACGGATCCAATCAGTGTATGAAGCCTAAGTAGAACAGCATCGTCCATTTTGAAGCGATCAAGTACAGCATCTGTGTGCGGGCCAAGGCTAATTAATGGTGGCATAAAGGACACCGGCTCTCGCATCTCAAGTTTGGGTTCTGTCTGACCCTTAGTAAAAAATGTGTTAGCAGGCCGGCATTGTCGGATCTTGTTGAGTGGTGTGTTGGAATCCGAAAGTGCCATGGCTCTACCCTCCCAAACAGCAGAGGAGGATACTGCATTGGACTTCGCATTGACTTGAAGTTCATGCTGGAACTGCGAAGAAGGTCGTGCAGAACAACGAATGTGAGAACCTGTGGTAGCCATAGGTGCTGGCAAGTGTGGGACTGCAGACAGATTGACCTGACTAACTGGGTCTTGTAAAAACATAAGAAAGCGAATTAGTTTCAGGTTGCGGGAGAGAAAAGAAGGTAGTGACTTACAGTGGTGAGGAGGGATGACACCCTCAATGCGGCAGCGCTCTGTGAAGCGCTGTAAATGCGGAATTGCGAACTCTTCAGCAAAAGCCTGCACCAAGACAGATATATCTCCTCCAATGCGCTCGGGAGTTTCATGTAATTCACGCAGTGTGATGTAGAGGTCAAGAGAGAGATGCTCTGGCAAAAGAGCTGGTGTAGCTTCAGAGCCAGGGCAACAAATAAGGAGAGAGATCCCACCATCAAGATGGTCTTGCATTGCGACCTATTGTTCCCCATCCCATTAGCATCCTGTCAGATAGATAGGACATAACATTTCTACTCACCGTGTCAAAGAGGTCCTGCAATGCTGCCTCAACAAAATCCTCATGTGTGGAAGACTTCTCGTCCAATGTTGTGTATGAGTTGAAAGCGATGTAGGAAGGATGAAGGCCAGCGGGTTTCCTAGTATGAAAGTGAGTGCCATCGAGGTGGGCATTATGTTTGAGCAGCGCACACGCAGCTGCCTGGCATTCGTCGTTGCTAAATTCCTGACCAACTTTCATATGTGAGTGTAATGAAACGATGCTGGCCAGTGAAAACCGAGGTTGGGTTGTGCTGGGCACATCATTCATGATGACGGGTGACGGTTGAGACGGTGGTACACTACAGAGTCGTGAAGGTGCAGATTTGATTTTCGAGGGGGAGAATACTAGTTTTGAGTCCATGGTGGAAGTTGGATTGTACCAAGGAGTACTGAAAGCGATTAGTGATATCCAGTCCAGTTAAGTAGCAAGGTGCTTACTGCAAGTGAATGCAGCCCACCACATTTTGAACAACTGCACAAGTATTAGGTTCTTGAATAGACAGTAATGAAAATGGTTCAGTGTGATCACTGTACCAGTAGTGTGCACTGACTGTCGGCGGTCGTGGTGAAGTCAATTGGACTACTACACACTTCAACGACAACCAATCTATTCAATTGATCTACTACCTAATTTCGTCATCTCTTGCAAGTTGCAACTGCCACTCAATTCCGATCGACACACTTCAGCGACATACAGCCAGCCAACCACAACCCAGTCTATCTGATCTACTACCACCTCTGCAACACGGCCGCCAACCACAACCCAATCTATCTGATCTACCACCAACCGCCAACCACAACCCAGTCTATCCGATCTACCACCTAACCGCCAACCGCAACCCAATCTAACCGATCTACCACCTAACCACCAACCACAACCCAATCTATCTGATCTACCACCAACCACCAACCACCAACCACAACCCAGTCTATCTGATCTACCACCTAACTGCCAACCACAATCCAGTCTATCTGATCTACCACCACCTCTGCAACACAGCTCAATATCTATTCTCTGACCTCCATTTTTTCATTCTAACTAGACCGCCTTGTAAATCAATTCAATAAATTCAATAAAACATATGATCATTATTCACAACATGAGTATAAGCACTAACACTGTGAATAAATACTAGTCTGCAACTGAGAGTAGGTAGCTGGCAAAGTCATCTGTGATTTGTGCTTGATCCTCGTCCTCGAGAAGATCTCCATCATGAGATTCAAACTGAGATAATATCATTCAAGTCAAGCCGCTCCTCAGAGTGCTCTCCATCAATACCAGTCACAGAATTGCCTACAAATGATTGATTAGTGAGGTAGAGCAATGAAATCCACACACACCGGAATTTGGAGATGGCAGCCGACTGTTCAGTGACTCTGACAGATCTGCAAGTCAGACACCAATACCACGTCTGCCCGAAAACGCAGGCAGCGACTTGATTCGACATAATTGGTACAGGTGGACAGCATTAATGGCAGCACGTGCCTGCCATCGCCTTCTCAACTCCGCAGCAAGCGGGGGATTTGTTACGAGGAGTTCGTCTATGGTTGCATCGGTCTTGATTTGCTCGTCGTGTATTGCTGTGTGTAGATGCCGGACTTCGATATTCAGATGCTGTATTTCTTCATGAGCGCGTTGGAGCTTGAAGTATTTCACTGTGGCTTCACGATGAGCAGGTGCGGTCCAGTCAGCATCTCGAATGTCAGTACGTGATTGACGCAATAGGTCAAATTCACCAAGGAAGCTGTATTCAACAATATCTTTCCATGCTAGTGTAGGCCTAGGTGGGACCAAAGTGGCGGCCTGAGTGTTGTAACGATTGATAGTGTTCTGAATAGCATCTGAACGTCATTGAAGGGCTTTGGTAATTTGTTGATGTAGCTTGTAACCTAAAGATGCTGCAACCAATCCAAAAACACATCATAGACAACTTACTTACCTGTTCCTGAAAGCGAAAGTTTGGACAGTTCAAATAGACGCATGACTACAAGGCACTCAAGTTCGTTGAGCGCTGAACGATACTTCAGAAGCAAGGCTTCTTCTCAGAACCGATTATAGTCTTCGCTTCCGATCTCCCAACGTTTGTCAATGCCAAGTTGAACCTCCAAATGTCCAGCTATCTCTTCCATGTTCTGGAGTTTCGAGTATGCCGTATCGATGCGGACCTGAGCTTGGTTGATGGCAAGGTGCATATCACTAAGGTTGCCGACATGAACTGCAACGAGTGAGCAATTGGCTGCTTCTCGGGCTTTGTTCCATTCCCGCCTCGGTCAAACAATGAATAAGTAGCCAGTGCATAATGTTATCGAAACTCACTGACGTTCAGCAAGCTTGTCAAGGACATTGACGTATCGGACACTGAGGTGGTCCTTGACTGGTGCCTGTTTCAACCCATCAAGATATTCGTGCTCTTGCACATGAAAACGAACAAAGTCAGCATTTGTGAGATTGAGGGTTTCTTGAATGGCCGAGAGTTCTGCTGTGAGCGTTAGGATAGCTGTCAGGGCCTCTTGATAATGATTCCGTAAAAAAACACCTGTGCAGGGACGTTGTGTTTGGTCATTATCGAGTTGAGATTTACAAAAACTTACTTAAGGCTGCATACTTATCCTCATCCCAAAATGTAAAATGCTGCTCGATTGATTGATGTCGATGAAAGGTTGTAGCGTGCTGAGTACTTCGTGCAAGCTCGTTTGATGAAGAAAAAATGTGTTCGCATCCTTCGCCTTCTGTGTGTCCAGTGCCTTCAATATACATGGGGTGCCAATCTATTTGGCATCGTCGATTATGCGCATGGCCATGAAACGCTCCTACCATCATCCGAAAGTTGAGGGCAGAAGTACATGGCCCCAAAGAGCTGTTCCCGAGCGTCTTCGCAAATGTGCAGCCGATGTCGTACACACAACCTCCATTTCTGCTGTAAACTGTGAGAAGTTTATCGACCATCGCTAATGGATATTTCACACTAATGATAATCAGCAAATACAAATCGGACGGAGAATAAAATAGCTTACAGTTCACCACTCTTAATCATATCACACGCAAGAAGGATAAACCGGTGTTGGCATGCAGCAATAAAAATCCCTGATTCATCAAACACCGCAAACATCCTTTTGCATTGTTCTGGACCGGCATTTCACCACCAGTCAACACATGTGAATGAGGGCGCCATTTCAGTTTGCTCAACATCTTGCCAGTTGTCAGTGGCCACAGTCGGGTTCTAGTCAGAGTGAGTTCAGTGTCGTATGAAGTGGCAATGAGACGACCTACTGTGCGTCCTTGCACTTCGTCCTTAAACTTATCTACTGTCAAGCGGTCAAGCCAGTAGTCAGAGCGAAACCTGCATGAATCATTTCGGGTAGTGGTGCCATCAGCAGTTGAGGACGTCCATCGTTTCAGGCTATTGTTGCCATCCATAGTCACTAACCACTCCAGAGCCAAAGGTTCTTCGTCCTCTAGCTTGTAGAAGCAGCATGGGCAAGAGTTCAGAAGACGCCAGTTGGGTGTGTTGCGGTTAAGGGCTTTGTTGATAAGGATGTCGACACAATGTAAGATTTCAAGATATATATCACAAGCGTCCAAAAACTGCGTGTTGAGGTATGATTGATATGGAATCTAGAAGAGTTCAGAATGAGTAAATGATGATGACATACTTGAGAGCTTACATTATGGAGGTGACATAAAGCCTTGCATTGCGCCTGAATGCTGAATCGGGGACAAGTTCAGTGAGCCTGCCGATATGCAGCGAGTGTGCGGATTGAGATGGCAACAGTGGGAAATAATGGGGAGCAGCCCAAGTAACCGTGGTGAATGAGAGTTTCGTTTGGATACCGGTGAGATGGACAAGGCTGCAATGATGCGTGCTTCTGACCTGGACAACGTTAGCAATAAAACCAGTCAATATGCCCTGAACCTTACTGAAAATGTCAACTAGTTCGATATTTTTGAGAGATACACAGTCGCCATCGAGAGTGGTTTCATCTGAAGGCAGAAGGCTTGGCATGCCATCACCGCTATCTTGGATGCGATAGTCGAGGTACACACTGACCAGCCATTCAATTTGAACACCCCAATGTTCATTTTGAACTTCTATACAATTGGTACGAGTGTGCGAATCCATGTAGCGGCTATCACCACCAGCATGGCTTCAGTATGAATTAGTAGGATAACAAAGATAATTGTGCACCATCCTGAGAGATCCGCCATCTGCTGAGCCAATCCTTCAAAAGCTTCGTGCTCTCCGCCTTCGTGGCTGAAGTCCATTCCTTCCTCACCAGGTGGCGCAGTGTAAGGTATATTATCTATGTCAACATTGACATCAGCCAACATACTCTCGACAAGATCCCGATCTTTGCTGGACATTTCTACAAACAAAGGTCAGCAGAATGTAAGAGTTAAACATGGGCCTCGCACCCTGGATGTGTGCGTGGCGCTTTGCATTGGTTGTCTGCCTTCGCCGCTCTTGTTTCACGGCTGCAAGTACCTCAGTCGTTCAAACTGAGCACCGAAATCCATGTATGATCGTAGCCTTCAAGAGCCCTGTAATTTTCCTGTAAGATCCGTGCGACATAGCTCCTAGAAGAATTGCTGTGGCAGGAGTGAAACAGCTTGGAGTAGGGGATGGCCAAAGAGATGGTAGAGAGGGTGTCTAGAGGGTAAGAAGAGTGTCAAGAGGCTAAGAAAGGCGTCCAGAGGCTGAGAAGACTGTAATGTAGGCCTCAGCACTGTCCTGCAGGGCTGAGGAGGACAAGAGGGCACTGTTGACGGCGGTGAGCAAGAGCAAGAGGCGTGAGAACCCTGCTGTGGGGAAATGTGTACCTTTCCAGAAAGTGCAGAGGGCATGGGAGAGGCGGGATATACTGCCGAACAGGTTGCAGGGCATTGCCGAGCCCCTACTGTAGAATAGCTGAAGATATAAGAGGATTTAGGACATGATTTATCTCTGGTGTTGAGGATTATCATAACTAAGCCTAATAATACTGAGCCACACACGTAATCACTCAGCATAGTAAGGCTTACAAATTGGGAAGGTCAGGTGGGTTCGGGGGATGTCACAGCCACAATTTCTTTTTATATTTTCCATCGTCGATCTCATCTCTACACTGCTGTTGAACGCCCTGAGTCAAATGTCTTCGTCAAAAACTGATGACGCGTCCGCTTTGTTGTTGAAGATATCATCTTTGCAGGTCGAACTTTCACACCTCCAACGCCGGTATGATGCTCTGCTTGCCACCAAAGAGCGTGCCGCTGCAAGGTACAAGGCCGACTACAAAAAGTGGCGAGCCTTCAAGCATTGGCTTTGCGAAAGCTCCGATGGTGGCAAGGAGGTCCATCACTTGCTGAAGGATAGCAACTATGATGCTTACCGGAGATCCTCTGGCATCGACAAACGACGGAAATTTGACGAAATTGTTCCGGACGTACGTGCGTTTGACGACGCTGAGGAGCAGATGAAATCCAGGACGCGTACGTCAATAGGCTTTCACGCGTCTTTTAACTCAACTGATTCCACACAGCACCTGACGCTTTCGACAAGCAGGAGGAAGTATCATCAACTCCACACGCTTTGCGGAAACAAACGACTGTTTCGACGAAAGTTGAGGTCCAGCTCGCCACTCCATCCAAACTCCCGCTTCTGTTGCATGAACATTCTGAGGGGAGCAAATATGCACATATCGAAGGTTTACCACCTGGTATGTTTCCGCCAATTCACATACTTGACCAACCTTCATCAATCTTAATGTAGGCACATCTGTGTTACAGAGCACCAACTCACATCAAGATCTGCGCCAGAGACGTGGGCGATATGCCCAAGCTACGTAAGTCTCCGCAAGACCATGGCATGCCGAGTCCTGATTGACCCCGAAAAATATAGCAGTGCGACCACTATCAATTCGCGCTTCACGATATGCAAAGAACGCAATCACGGCGTAGACTTCCAGTATGACGATGTGGTCAAGACCCGTGAGGAGCGAAAAAGGATGCTTGCTGATGATTGTGATTGTTGTCGTGGTGTGCGTGTCTCATTTTCGAAAAACTCCAGTTACCTCAATCGCCATGTGTGTTAAATAGTATTATGAAGCCGTCGGACCGCTGCCCAAGCCTCTCCAGCAACCCCTTTGGCGTTCGCCCTCTTCAACCCCCAACAAGAAACGCCAGTTTTTTTTTGACAGCCTCTCAGACTGCAAAGAAAACCGCGAAGACATCGAACGCCACAAGAAAGATATATCACGACATCGGCACCATTGGTATCGTGCTAAGACACCACCCGGCTACTGGGACATCGGGTTCCCTGACACACAAGAGACATCTGACATCAACCAGCGTGCCGCACAGATGTATGCACAGAAATTGGGAGAGGTTGAGAGCGAGGCACGGTAAGCTAACATTGCTGTTCTCTTGCAGATTTCTTGGAACTCATGACATCACGTAGGAGTGGCGAGGGAAGATATGTCGAGCGGATAGCATGATTATACGATACCCTTGGCAGAATTATTTGGTACTGCTATGTATATATGCCCTCGGGATGGTATCGAGAACTTGACCCGACATAACGTACCACACAAGACGAAATGGGTGATAATGTTTTGCCAATCGCTTCCACAGCTCGACTGTTTTCCATGGTAAGATGTAATTTGCCGACGGCATTAGGAAGACGCACCATACTGGCTGAAAGTGACAGAAAGAGGCAATGGATGGCTCTGAAACAGAATTAGTTAAGCAACGCGATCGCAAGAAAGTATACGCCACCTCAACACAAATATCCACGCCATTCCCGCCCTGAGTTGGTTTCACCCGCATATAAAGGTCACCTAGGCTTTTCCTTCAGCGCATACGCCGACTGATCCTACCGCACTTACCAGGTGACCGTTGTGAATCTTTGACTCTCAACATCAACGCAAAGAGTGGAAAATAATTCATGAATGCAAGCGCTGTCTCCAAACTAGCATACACCAAAATAGTCGAGACACGCATCTTGTAGTACCCAAGTCAGCTATCATAGGCCACGAATATTAATGCTGAGACTCACTGTGGCGAATAAGATATAGTACACTAAAACGGTGGGAAAGAGATAAGCGACGAGTGTGAAGAGAATGGTTCCCAGCAGGAGCTGGTCGACATCATAGTCCCAAGGATCCGTCCGATTCCTTAGTACATTATGTCGTCGTCCTTGAGTTGGGTTATTTCTAGCTCTCAAAATATCATGCCGCGAAACGATTCACCTCGAAAAAGATTCCAAAGCGACGCCGCCAAGCGTAACAAATGACCATATACAGTCACCGAGATCAAATAGCACAGCTGTACATGTGCCATAAAGATACACACGAGATCACATACCATAGCGAGCGTCATCGTCACCCCAAACGCGCTCCCAAGCTCAAGGGCACTGAATACTATGGGAAGGAGAGGTATGACGGTTTGGAAGCCTCCTGTACATCAATGAGGATCGCGCAGGGTATCGCGCAGGGCCGATGTCAAGACGCACTGTTCCAAAGCGAAATCAGCCCCATAAAGCTGTGCGAATAAAATCGGCTGAGTTCGGTGTTGAGCTTAAGGCCAGCAGGCCAACTATCGAGCCACAGAAGGACCTGTCGTATTTTATGCACGGCCTTGTCCTGGGCTTTTATATCAGAAATAGGATTGTGCAATGCGCAATGATACAAACCTCAAAAATGAGCTTGAAAAGGTGCATAAAAACATGCCGGTCCTGATGCAAAAACTGACGAAGCGCAATGCCAATGATGAGATCATTCAGAATGATCCAGAGGGTGTTGTAAAACCTTTCAAAAAAATGAGTGCGTTGCACAAAAAGCATCAAACAGGAGTCACACTCGATGTACTGAGAAGACTTGAGCTCCGCGTCCCCGTTTGGGACAGGTTGCACGCCACGGAGCAAGCGACACAACTTCCTCGCCCTAGATTCAATCTGCTGAACTGGGTGCATGTTAAGAGTCTCATCTCAGTAGAGAGGACGACGCCTACCTACGATACTGAATTCTCTCGACGACACAAAGACAAAGGATGCGACATGCCAGAAAATATTCTTCGAGCTTTCGATTCCGTCGATTGTACATTGAATTTTCTTCATAATAGCCGCAAACGTTGAAGGCTCTTGAAAGCGAGGGCTGCGCTCTCGAATAGTACCCTGGGCGCGCTGCTCATACTCTAGGGATTGCTCGAGGGATTTTGCAGAATTCCACTATGCCAGGCAAGCTGCAGCATATGACACAGGTAAATATTTGAAAACATACTTGATTGACAAGAATTTGCCCTGTATTCGACGCGCTTCGCGACGACTTGGTATGCGAAAAATCGTGCTTCAAGCTCGAGCGCAAGACCTCATCCTGAAGATCGAAAAGGCGTGTTCCATTCGAACACAAAGCATAAAATCGCAAGGATGTTGCATCATGACGATGATAGTATATATATGCAGTAGAGTATGCCCTAATATCAAAGTCAGTCGTGTATTAGATATGCGAAGAGTATCCGACCGTGAGGAACCGCAGAACATTTCGATATCCGGTTGGGGATATGAAGACCGCACGAGCGAGCTAAATGCACAACGGCCGAGAACGCGTGGATTACCACAATTTTTAGTCAGGGCTTGACCTTCCGCGGAACGAGCGACACGTTGGAGAAGAGCGTCTGCATGTGACTCCTGTACGTGGGCAATCGATTACGACAAATCACATTGTGACCATTCGACGCACCTCCTTGACCTCTAGCACACCCGCTACACATACTGCAGGATGATCCCACCCGTAGCAGAACCCGCTCCTTGCGACATCGCATGGCCAGAAAACAGATGCCATGCATGTCATGGCTCAGTGGTTAATAATTATAACCTGTTTTTGTACGTCGTTATCACGTGACCAGTGCATACAACGCGCTTTCAACGAACAAGCATTTGTTGTAGACTTCCTCAGACTTCCTCTATCTGTTTCAGCTCGCCCTAGGCCAACCCGTCTCCAACGCCCATTTCTTCTCCCATTATTTACCCAACCATAAATCCAACAGCTGCCGATGGACTCTCGAAGACCCGACATGAAGAAGAAGCTGGTAGTGGTTGGAGATGGTGCGCGGACCCTTGCCCTTGTCTCCTCAGTGTCCGTGCCCGCGCTCAATGCACTACACTCAAGGCGGATGCGGAAAGACTTGTCTCCTCATCGTATATGCAGAGAATAGATTCCCTGAGGTACGTATGAGTTGCGCGTGTCACCCATTCATATGAACTCAAACATTCGCCCACCTAATATCCAACATTTCATACTCGAATGGTTACAGTCTTACATACCCACCGTGTTCGAAAACTATGTCACGCAAATCCAATTCGATGGCAAACTGGTAGAGCTAGCACTCTGGGACACGGCAGGACAGGAAGAATACGACCGACTACGACCATTATCATATCCCGAATCTGACGTCATCTTGATCGTTTTCTCTATCGATTTTCCAGTCTCCCTTGGAAACGTGCAAGATAAGGTACGTCTCTGGCCAGCGCGTCAAGCCCACTTATGTTGACGAACATTCCCAGTGGTACCCTGAAGTTGCCCACTTTTGCGAAGGAACACCTCTTATCCTGGTTGGAACCAAGACTGACCTGCGGCGGGATGAACAAACGCGACGCATGCTTGGCGCACAGGGTCAAGTGCCAGTAACACCTGAACAAGGTGGAACAGTGGCACGGGAAATCGGGGCCAAGTACGTTGAGTGCTCAGCCAAGACGGGAAGCGGTGTGCAGGACGTGTTCAACCTTGCACTGCGAGAGAGTATGAAGGGGCGGTGGGGGAAGATGGTGAAGCAACGGCGCTGTGTGATCGTGTAGGGGGTGATCGGTAAACATGTGGACGCGTTTTATTGGTTGGGGTGGGTATGGGAGTGATATCTTGCTTGCGTTTCTCTATACTCTGTACTACAAAGAGCTATTGCATCTTGAAGTGTGGAGAATAGAGGATTTTGGAGAGAGTCCGACAGCGCTGGGCAATGTAGACGAAGGCAAAGAGGGTAACAATCACGGTACATAACTCGATATAGAGGATGTGATTGATGTTGCCGATAGGTATATCAAGTGAAGGAGGTAATGAGGTTGTGTGTTGAAGAATTTCAAACCGAGTAAAAGCGTTGAGCATTTGAAATTTGGGAGACTGGGATGGGAGGGTGCCTTGGAGTGATTTATCTAAAATAAAGTAAGTAAGATGCGCGCGACAAAAGATAACTTGAAACGCACATGAAGCAGGACAGCCCCAGAAACAGGTCGGAGGAGGTAGTTGGATATTATGACGAGGGTTATGACCCTCGCGCGGCACACCGTACCTCACATGGATAGGCACGTTCACCACGACCACGTCCGTGTCCGGCTCAAGAGCGACAAGCAGCCAGCTTGATTCATTCGCTGTACCCGACGTAGGTAGCTCCAGATTCGTATTCCCTACAAACTGAGAGCGGAGTCCATAGTCATTGAGCTCAAAGGAGTCAATGATAATGTCAGGTGGAAGTTCGTGGAGGACGAAGAGGTTGCATGCAGCATATTCATGCCGTGCATCGAGTGAGATATTAGTCGAGAGCGTTGTATGGAAACCTTTTGCTTGCATGGTCGACGACGTTCACTTGAATGAGGCACGTGCTTGATCAACTTGAATGTGAAACTTAACGTTATCATATCGCTAAACACTAGTTAGTCTATAGATCCCCTCCAGCACGATGCATCAAGATCACAACAGAGTTCACTTTCCCCTTCTCTCAACAGAGCTTACAGCAGCTCTCGGTGCCATTGAAGACATGGCAGACGACGCAGAAGCCGTTCCAGACAACCATCCGCCTGCCATATTCCGTGCTGGTGGGCCAATGTCAGTCATCAGAACTCTCTTGCTCATATTTGTTCTCATCTCCTACTAATTTCTTGTCATGAACAGGCTAAAGCAGTTCGACGAGTCTACTGCCTCCAGTCGGAAAGGCTCTCAGGCCCCGACACCCCCACGCTCCGTCGTTGGTATCGGTAACAAAGGTTCGTCTCACCACCTTCTTGTTCTCCGACTCAATCATCATTCCTCTATGCAAGTCGCCAAGCCAGACTACTCCGAAGCAAAGATCGTACTTGCGATGGTGGGATTGCCCGCCCGTGGCAAATCCTACCTCAGCAACAAACTCATGCGCTATCTCAAGGTCCTGCCCTTCTCCCTCACATCAGATCTTACTTACCCTCCCCAGTGGCTAGAGTACGACGTCCAGGTACTACCTCCATCCTCAGGCAGATCCGATACTTACCGTCAATTAGGTCTTCAATGTTGGTCAGCTCCGCCGTTCGCGTGCTCACAGAAAAGCCCAGCAGTACGTAGTATTTCTTCGTGCATTCTATATACTTCTCCTCTTCCAGATGTGGCATCCTCGAAGATCACACTTCCAGCTACTTCAGCCACAACAACGTGGAAGCCACCAGGCTTCGCGAGCAACTTGCAGAAGATAGTTTGGAGATGCTCATTCAGTGGCTCAAAAAGGGCGGCAACGTCGCCATACACGGTACTTTTTTCCCTTTTCACACCAGTCCATCTCATTCATACCCCTCAGATGCAACCAACAGTACCCGTATGAGACGGTGCGCCCGCCATTCAAGTTTCTGATCTAGCGGTGGTAGTTAATGCCAACTAACCTAGTGCCAAAATCTCCGCCCGCGTCGCCAAAGAAAAGGGCATGTCCGTCATCTTCCTCGAGTCCGAATGCAACGATCCCGCAGTCATCGCCGCCAATGTTGCCCTCAAAGTCTCCTCTGGCGATCCCGACTATAAGAACCTTCCTCGCGAAGAGGCTGAACGCGACTTCCTCCGCCGCATCAAGGAGTACGAGGCCGTATACGAGACCATCACTGAACCCCACCTTAGCTATTTGCGGATCACAGATATTGGCAATGAAGTCACGCTCAGCAGAATCAATGGTTACTTGCAAAGTCGCATTGCGTTTTATCTAATGAATCTGCATGTGAAACCACGCAATATATTTCTCTCCAGAGTGCGTCTTTTTTGAAATTCTTGAACCCTGTACTCAAGTCTTGTTGTAGCATGGCGAGAGCCAGTTTAACGTCGAAGGTCGGATTGGCGGGGACTCGCCACTTTCAGAACGCGGCCTTGCATACGCTCACGCGCTCCCTGAGCTCGTACGGAATAACATCGGGAATGCACCACTTATTGTACCTATCTACTTCTGGCCATGGTAAAAAAAACCTCATCTCAAACGTACAGGTCTGGACTTCCACACTTCAACGCACGATTCAAACCGCTGCAGAACTTCCTTATTCCAAGCTTACGTGGAAATCTCTCGACGAACTCGACGCCGGCGTCTGTGACGGTATGACCTACGAGGAGATTGAGGTGCGTACTGCTTCCTGTCAATGCTTCTTACTTCACAGCCTTGATACAATTTCCTTTCTGCGCTTTAGCAAGCCTACCCCGAAGACTTTTCAAACCGTGACGAAGACAAATTCAACTATCGTTACCGAGGCGGCGAGTCCTACAGAGATGTTGTCGTGCGCCTCGAGCCTGTCATCATGGAGCTTGAACGGCAGGAAAACATATTGATCTTTGGACATCAAGTGCGTGTGTACCCCTGTGTTCTGTTATACAGCCTTGTTTTATTCAAATTTTACTCCCTTATTCTGTTATATGCCCAACTCACATTAAAGTTTTGTGCTGACCATCATGGCAGGCTATCATCCGTTGCCTCTATGCGTACTTTCACGATCTCCCACAAGCTGATCTACCTTACATCAATGTACCGTTGCATACCGTAATCAAGCTCACTCCAAAGGCATATGGTTGTGACGAGGAACGGTGAGCTTTCCTTGCTTAATTTCCCTTTCACTTTTCCACCACCCAAGGAACTAACGAGCCATAGATACACTCTCCCTATCGGCGCCGTCGACACGCACCGCCCCAAACCAGGGTCCACCATTGTGCAGCCAGAAGCACCCGTATCGACGACGAAGAGGGAATATTTCACGACCAAAGCATAGTAGCAATCTGTAGGTAGTTGCGCATTCTTCTGGCGTCCGAGTCGATCACTTGTCGTGACCGTTCACTCGTTGCAGCAGGAAGCCAGGGACAACTACCGATAGAAGCTTCAAGAAGAGCATGAGGATGATGTATTTTATGTGACAGTAAATAAATGTCCTTTCATTCCACAATGTGTATATTCTCGATATGATGTGTGATTGTTCTTGGCGTCTTGAAGTTTTTACACATGGAATACGCAAGTCACGTGTTACTTACTTCACGAGATTTACTATCAAGTAATTTAGTAAAGCCTTGAACTCACTGGTACCCCAATTGCTCAGCTGTTCACTATCGCTATCAGCCCACCAATTGTCCATCACGGCTGACATGGAATCCGCACCCAAACGACGACGCATCTCGCGCTCTCCGTCACCAGCATACAAATTCGATGACGATGACGATGATTATGTGCCCTACGTTTCTGTAGCCCAAAGACGAGAAGCCAAGCTAGCGAAACTTTCTTCCTTAAACACTGTTTCTGACAGGACGAAAGCGAAGAAACAGCTGGAAGAACTATTAGAGCGCGAAGATGCAGAGAGGGAAGAAGAACGTCAACGCGAGAAGGTACGGAAGGAGAGGCCATTGCTCATGGAGGCGCAGGAAGTGCACCAGCGCAAAGCTGCAGAGAGTGCGTGACTTACTGAGTTCCGAGCTGGATGTTCACTAATGTTTCCATAGATGCAAAGAAGACTGACGTAGAAAAAGCAGAAGAGGCAGATGCGGAGATACTTGCTGCCATAGCAAGTCGCAGGAAGCTTGCATCTGATCTAGAGCTCGCGAAAGGCATATCCTACACAGACTCTCTTCAAACATCGTGAGCTTCGCGCTATAGAGTCATGTATGATTGTGTTCTGACGTATGCTACAGGTGGCGGCCGCCGAAATATATTCGAGAGCGCACAGAGGAGCAACATCGACGACTACGAGAGAAATATCACATCATTGTGGATGGCGAAGACATACCTCCTCCTATTGAACACTTTTCGGTATGTCTGAAATGGTCGCCCCAGTCAACCCTGAACTGACTGTTCTGTAGGACATGAAGATACCAGAAGCAATGCTGCAATTTCTAAAGTCTAAGAAAATCACCACACCAACGCCCATCCAATTGCAGGGGATACCCACTGCGTACGATCTCCCTTACTGTTTTATTAAATTTCTTTGACGAAACTCGTAGATTTGCGGGCCGAGATATGATTGGCATAGCTTTCACTGGCTCCGGGAAAACGCTCGCCTTCTGTCTTCCGTTGATCATGCTCGCACTGGAAGAAGAGACGAAGCTCCCATTTGTTCGTGGAGAAGGTCCAGTGGGTGTCATTCTCTGTCCCTCACGCGAGCTGGCTACACAGACATATGAAAATGTGCTTGCCTGGACAGGCGCACTTGCGAGGGACGGGAAGTATCCACAGCTCAATACCCTCCTCTGTATTGGAGGTATATCAATGGGAGAACAAAGTCACGTACTCAACAAGGGCCTTCACATCGTGGTGGCGACTCCTGGCCGTCTGATTGATATGTTAGAGAAGCGAAAATTCACATTTAACAACAGCAAGTTTTTGTGCATGGACGAGGCAGATCGGATGATCGATCTGGGCTTTGAGGACGATGTACGGAACATTATGAGCTTTTTTAAGGTAAGCATTGGCATGATTGTTTATCGACGTTCGTTTATTCATTGACTTGAACAGCGACAGCGGCAAACATTACTTTTCTCCGCGACGATGCCCCGGAAGATTCAAGACTTTGCGCAGCAGTCGTTGATTAGACCTGTTCTTGTGAACGTCGGCCGTGCTGGCGCCGCTAATTTGGACGTTCTTCAGGTGGTGGAGTATGTTAAGCAGGAGGCGAAGATGGTTTACTTGCTGGAGTGCCTTCAGAAAACTGCTCCTCCAGTTATCATTTTCAGCGAGAACAAAAATGAGGTCGATGGTAGGCTGTTGGTTCTCTCTTTTAAACATCGGAGGTCTCATCTTGTACCAGACATACAAGAATACCTCCTGCTGAAAGGCGTCGAGGCTGTGGCAATTCACGGTTCAAAGAGTAATCATTCCGTCCTCATTACTATTGTGGAGATGCTCAATTGTCTTTTAGCCCAGGAGGAACGGCAATATGCCATCAAATCGTTCAAGTCTGGCGCCAAGGATGTCATGGTTGCTTCGGGCGTTGCCTCCAAGGGCCTCGACTTCAATGATATTCAACACGTCATTATTTTCAGCATGCCCAAAGAGATTGAGGACTACGTACATCAAATCGGCCGTACGGGGCGTAGCGGAAAAACTGGCATAGCTACGACGTTTGTGAATATGACAACACCAGAGCAGACGCTTCTGGATCTGAAATATTTGTTGATGGAGGCCGGACAGAAGTATGTTGCATATCTTATTCCAGCGTATCTTACTGACATGATACAGGGTTCCGCCCTTCTTGCGGACCATCGATGATCCTCAAGCAGCACAGGGTGGCTCGCTCAAAGGTTGTCCGGTATGTGGAGGTATGCACAATATTTGATTAGCAGGAACTGCTAGCTGATACCAGTTCAGGTCTCGGGCACGGGATATCGAATTGCCCGAAGTTGGAAGATGCTCAGAGACGACAGATGGCGTCGCACAGAGCTGATGATGGAGGGGGTTATTGAACTTGTGTATGGACTCTGGAATTACATTATCATGTTTCATTGTTACCATTCTGCGGTCACACAATTTTGGTCGACCACGGTGTATAAAGGCATCTTACTGAAATGGTACAGGGTCTAAGCGAGGCAAACGAAGCAGTCCTTTATCCCCCAAGTGGAACCAATCCATTTGTAGAACAAGTATCGGACGAGTTGCCTTGAAGGATTGACCTGTAAGCTTGTGCTATTGAAGTATTCAGCTGCAAATATTGTATACAGGTGCTTACCGGTAGCACAAGCTGGCGGATATAGCAGGAGAAACACCTGACCACCACACCACCGAGCGCTCACATGATAATGAAACGAGGGAAACGACATGAATCAACTCCAGAAAAAGATGAAGAGGGGAGCGCAACAGCGACATATTGTAAATGTTAACAAGGAGCTAAGAAAAGATGCAGGTGAGGATAAGTCATGTGTTACAATAAGTCAACAACGCCCCTGATTTCAAGAAGCATGAGTCGTACAGGTCATCAACATCCGAGTCATAAGCCAAATCAAATGGTATCCATACAGAGCAGAAAAAGTCCTGGATCATGAAGCAACTCCAACTGCCTCAGGCTCCTCAGAAGCGACGGGAGTAGCCTCGTTGGTAGAGGAAGAAGCGACAGCAACCTGAGTGCGATTGGCTGGACTGGCAAATCCGACTGCAGATGGACCTCCGCGCCCGCGCCCACGGCCTCTCGATGGTCCTCCCCTTCCACTTCCCCGGCCTCTTCCTCCCCTGTTTTCAGATGGCGAGAAACTGGGAGTAGCCTCGGATCCATCAACTGGAACAGGATTCTTCGCCTGTTTCCAGTCACTTGTGGACTTCCCAGAGTCCCATTCACGATTCTGCATCTTGTCCATTTTTCTCCGAGCGTTCTGCTCGCGGGTGCGGTCAACGCCATTCTGCACTTTGCGCTGTTTGACTTGACGAAGACGGTCAGCTTCCTGCGTCTTCTTGAATGCGTCTTCGTCCGCTTGTACGTCCTGATCATACTATGTTGGTTAATTGATGTGCGAACATGAGTTACTCACAATTCTGCGTTGTTTAATCTTCTCGTTCTGCTCCTTGATACGCTGCATCCGTTCAGCAAGCGCTTCTTCACTGATTTTCTCCTAGGAAACGGTTATTAGGACATAGCGTAAGTACTGTCCCGACATTGCATACCCTCTGCGCTCCGCCCGTGTTGACGCGCTCAGTGTTCACATAAGGCTTCTTCTTCTCCTTCACGTCCCTTGACTCCACATCTACTGACTGATTTTCTGGTGCCTGTGACCCATCTGCATCGGATTGAGGAGGTTCAGCTGTGTCTTTTATGGAAAGATTATTGAAATCAAGGCCAAGGGAGTTTGTTGTGGAGGACTCAGCCATTGTAGTCGACAGCAGACGCGACCAAGGGAAACCATACAGCCGCGGACAAAATGGATCTGGAGGAGTCCATGGACAGTCCATGGATTGACGTGGGAAATGAACGCCTTATCTGTTCTGATAAGATAAACAATCACACTAGTACTAAATCATTAATCGAATAATGATAATCGAATTCGTTTCATCATCGCCCCACTGATCCTTAGTAAACGACGACCATGTCCCTCTCGAACAAGCTCTCTATCACAGATCTCGACCTCAAGGGCAAGCGGGTCCTCATCCGCGTTGACTTTAATGTTCCCATGCAAGATGGTAAAATCACTAACCCCGCTGTGAGCACTCCCCTCGTCACCCGTATGCTGTTGCTGAAAGGACTGTAGCGCATTGTGGCGGCGTTGCCCACCATCAAATATGCTCTCGACAATGGTCAGTGCTATTTATGCATGCGGGGACTGCCGTTCTAATTGTTCGATCCATGTAGGCGCGAACACTATTGTCCTCATGTCCCATCTCGGCCGCCCAGATGGCAAAGTTGTTGAGAAGTATTCCCTTAAACCCGTCGCTGGTGAGCTCGAGAAGCACCTCGGAAATCCCGTGACCTTCCTTCCCGACTGCGTTGGCCCTGACGTCGAAAAGGCCGTCAACGCTGCCGAACCTGGCTCCGTTATCCTTCTCGAGAATCTCCGCTTCCATATCGAGGAGGAGGGTTCAGTCAAGAATAAAGATGGTACAAAAACTAAGGCCGACCCTGCCAAGGTTGCGGAGTTCAGGGAGGGCCTTACAAGACTGGGCGATGTCTACGTCAACGATGCCTTTGGCACAGCTCACCGCGCTCACTCAAGTATGGTCGGCGTTAAGCTGCCCCAACGAGCCGCAGGCTTCCTTGTCAAGAAGGAGCTTGAGTACTTCGCAAAGGCTCTTGAGAACCCTGACCGTCCTTTCCTCGCTATTCTTGGAGGTGCCAAGGTCTCTGACAAGATTCAGCTGATTGAGAATATGTTGGACAAGGTGGGTGGTGTGATTTTCGCTCGGCCGCAGATCGGCCGTTCATCGCTTTGGTTTTCCGCACTTGCTTGAATAGGTTAACTCTCTGATTATCTGCGGTGGTATGGCCTTCACGTTCGCAAAGACATTGGACAATGCGTCCGTGAGTTCCCCGTGAAACTTTTGATAGAGTGTGATAACTTACGGCGTTATCCAAGATTGGAGACTCCCTCTTCGACCAAGCTGGTTCTGAAAAGGTTAGAGCCCTTGTCGAGAAGGCAAAGAAGAACAATGTGAAACTCGTCTTCCCCGTCGACTTCGTCACTGCTGATAAGTTCGCTAAAAATGCCATTGTGTGTATTTCGCACTTGGTCTGCTAGTGGCGCTGACTTTCTCTTGCAGACCGGGACCGCGACTGTCGCTGAAGGCATTCCTAATGGGTGGATGGGCCTTGATGCTGGCCCGAAGAGCCGCGAGCTGTTCCGCCAGACGGTACTCGAGGCCAAGACCATCCTATGGAACGGGTGCGTGTAAGAATTCACAGAGCGATCTTTTACCTCAATATCCGCAGTCCTCCTGGTGTGTTTGAGTTCCCTGCTTTTGCAGAGGGCTCAAAAGCTCTTCTCGACGCAAACGTCGAGGCTGCGCAGAGGGGCGCAACCGTCATCATCGGTGGTGGGGACACTGCGACAGTTGCAGCGCAATACAACGCTGAGGACAAAATAAGTCACGTCAGCACAGGTGGAGGTGCTAGCTTGGAGTTGTTGGAAGGCAAGGTGAGAACTACAAGCGTCTCGTCGCAGACATCCAAGTTAGCTCATTGTCATTCAGATCCTGCCTGGTGTAGCCGAGCTTAGTGAGAAGTGACTTGATTGTGGAAGAAAGATGGCTTCTTTATAGAATGGTTTGTACCTTGCTGCACGTCAATAGAAATCACGATTAAGTTGTACCACGTCAGGCCGATTGGGAGAGCAAATATTTAACCACAGATGCATGAACGCAGGATATGCAATTAAAGCGACAGCTGAGCATCGAAGCACGAAACGGCATAATTATCTTGTCTAATACCGAGAGTCTGCGACGAGCCTCACCTCCGAATTTCGACGTGAAGAGAGTCAATATCGATGTACCTGTAAATAAATACTTACATGTCGAACCACAACTCAAAGCACTCATCCTTAAATAGAAAATATTACATAATCATTTCAACTCCTGAAATTCCTTCGACTCGGCTCGCAACGTCTGCTCAGGTTTTTCGGCGACACTTCTTGATATTTCAAGTAACAGATGGCTCGAAGTCGACGACGCGTTACACGTGCAGCAGCTCAGAAGTCACCAGAGCGCTCGCCAAGCTCGTCACATTCATCGTTGACTCCAATGGAGGACGAACCAGAGCTCACGCTGGCGGAATCCGCACCAACCAAGGCAGATGAAGATGTATGCCCATCATGCAGAGAAGGCGTACATGGAGAAAAGAACAGCTGGATACGTTGTGATGCTTGCAAGATCTGGTTCCACTGGGCATGTGTGGGAGACAGTAGTGACCTTGAGTTAATTAACAAGTGGTGCGCACTAGACGTGAATCAACTGTGTGTAGTTCATTTAACACTGAATCTCATAAAAACAGGTTTTGTGGGCCATGTATGACAGAGAAGCCGTCGCGTGTGATGACGCTTAAGGTACCTGCACGCAAGTCCTCACGGAAGCGTACACAATTAGACTACGCGAGCCTCAACGCAGGAGTCGATTCCGACCCGAGCAGATGGCTACGAGTCATTCAGAGCAAGCAGATCAAGGACGACAATTTCAGAAGAATGAAGGGCGCCGACGTGGGCCTGGAATGGTTGGAGAGCGACGAGACCGCGATGCGTGAGCCAATCGTGGTGGAGAATCCGGAGGGACTTAGAATGAAGATGCCTCCACCCGAATTCACAGTTCAAGACGTGGCAAATGAAGTTGGTCACGAAACGCCTGTGGAGGTCATTGGTGAGTGTGTTGATTACACAGCATATGCGTTGCTGATGTGTGGCTTAGATGTCGCCACACAGTCAAACTCGCCTGGATGGACGTTAGGGCGTTGGGCTGAGTACTATAATACAGAACCTTCAAAACGAGACAAGATCCGTAACGTGATATCGTTGGAGATTTCAGGGACGAAACTTGCAGACCAGGTGTTACCCCCAAGGTTGGTGAGAGAATTGGACTGGGTCGAAAAGTTCTGGCCAAGCACACGCAAAGGGAAGGGACATGCATACCCAAAGGTGCAGTTGTATTGTCTCATGGGCGTTGCTTCGGCGTGGACAGTGAGTGGTTATTGTGTTTTGTGGGTGACTGCTACAAACATCGGCCATAGGATTGGCACGTAGATTTTGCTGGTTCGTCAGTCTATTATCATATACTTAGTGGATGCAAGGTCGGTCTCTAAACTGTGACTCGATTTGGCTGACAGGTTGAACTTGTACCCAGGTATTCTACTTCATACAACCCACACCAGCCAATCTACAAGCGTACGAAAGATGGTCCGGGACTGAGCTGCAAAGCAATGTTTGGCTAGGCGACATGGTGGATGAGGTCGTGAAGGTCACTCTTCACACAGGTAATACGATGATAATACCAACCGGGTGGATACATGCTGTGGTGAGCACTTCCAACGTGGTCGTCTTCGAAAGTTAACTGCTCCTTTAGCACACTCCTGTAGATTCTCTAGTCTTCGGCGGAAATTTCCTACACTCTTATAACATGGCAACGCGTGCGTTGGCTTCTTGTGACGCTTTTTCATACTATTAACTGACGCTGAACATTATAATCTATCATACAGAACTAAAAGTGATAGACATCGAGAAGGCAACGCATGTGCCTAAGAAATTCAGATTTCCATTATTTGTCAAGTCAGATTCTTTCTTCATTTCTGTCGAATATTCTGAGCATCGATTATCTAGGCTCTGCTGGTACGTAGGCGACAAATACTTGCGAGACCTGAAATCGAAAGAAGAGTTTCCTCCCCGCGTTCTGGAATCTCTTGAAGCTCTTGCTCGTTTTCTCGTGTCAGAGTCGCAAGCCATGGAGCGCGGGACGGAGGTAGCAAAACGAGAAGCCAAGGAAAACGTCCCAAGTGATCGCGTCAAGGACGCGCCAGCGATGGCCCGTGAGCTGAGGTGGCGTGTGCGGCTCGCAGCAGGAACGACGAGTGACGACGAGGACCTCGGGCGCCCGATCAAGAAGAACATGGTGAATGGTCACAAACGAAAGCGGTCGCCTGCTGGTGCAACCGTGGGCGTACAGTTCAGGAACTTCCAACCCCAAGGATGGGATGTGGTCAATGAACTACCCCGGGAGTCAGGCGAACGGCTTGTGAATGTTCACCCCCCAAAGACGGCGGACGGGTGGGAACGAGAATGGACGGACTGGAGCAAAGAGTTTGAAGGTGAGAATGAGGAGGAACAGGCGACTGTGGAGAAAACGAGAGATGTGATCATCAAGGTCAGAAAGACCGAAGATGGGGTGGAAAGGCAGCGGATAGAACGGGTGATGGAGAAGTGGGTTTGGAAAAATGTGCCTTCGAAGCCAGAAGGAGACCCTCAAGATGTTGAGATGAAGCCTTTAGAAGACGAAATTGTGGGAAGCGAGGAACTGACGAAGGAAGAGGAAGAGGGGGCTGAAGTTCCAGCCACGGTGCTGCTGGAAACAACTCAGGCGATGGAGGTGACCGCATAGCTAATAGAAGCGCACTGTCTTGCATGATCTGATCCATTATTACGAGTGTTATGTTGTCGTGCACTTCTGATTAGTTTTTTTGCTTCATTTGCCCTGGGAAATCTTAGTACTCGGACAACCTCGGTAAGGTAAGTAGTCTTGCTGGCATCCTCCTGGCTTCAGCCTGCCTTTGCTGGTTGGCGTAGTTTCTGCATCGTTGCGGTTTACGGTCACCTCACAGTTGTCAAGGTTTTTAATTCCGCTCAGTCTTCCTCAGTTACTAAGACATTTGTTTCGTCAGGTTTTTCTCTGCTACTTGTCGACTTCTTCTCCTGCTCTTCTAATCATGTCCGACCCCGACTCATCGTTGGCCTATGACCAGCCCGAACAGGGTTCGCAAGATCACCTACCCGTCGAGAGTGCGCATTGGAATAACAATTACTATGGAAGACCTCTAAACGGTCAACAACACTGGGCGCCGGCACAGTACGCACCACAAGATCCTGCTGATTACTATGGTGCAAACAACCATCTTCCAAACCCTGGTCGGTGAATTTCAAGTGCTCTGTACCTTATCGTTGCTCATTGTCTTGTCATTTGCCCAACAAGCCTTCACGCGACACCCCAATCTCTCCGTTCCTTCCCTGCCCTCCCACAGTCAAAGATCAGAATATGACGACGTGCCGCCACTCCCCAACTTCAATCCCTCATCTATCGTAGACAGCATAAACGCAATGCGCTTGAGTGATCCCGTGCCGCGTGGGACAAGCGCAATGTCCTACAGCTCTGACCCTGCTCCTCGTGCAGGAACTTCCATGTCAATGCAATCCCTCTCCCCCGGTCACCGTGGTCCATACCCGCCGCGATATGCGAGCACGTTACCAGCAGCGCCTAACGTGAATGTTATCCGTCCCCTACGAGTTCGACAACCAGCCGAACGTTCACACACAGTCGATGAAGCCTCACTTTACTCTAGTGATCGCCATAGTGGCGGATACAGAGATGCCGTCGAGACGAGTAGCCTCTCCGCGGATACAGATGTCGTGGATATGTATAATTACGACAATCAAAGCTCTGCGCCGAGTGGATACCCTTCCTCAGAAAGCTCCGCTACACCTTATTCTCAACCCCCACCATATCCACAGAGACAGTTTCAAGTTGGGCGGCAGGGTGCACAGACTGGTCTGCCTCCCGCCTACTATCCTCCTGGCCCAGGTCCTACGCACCCCGGTCCCTCTCATCCGGATGAATATGATCATCTATATGCTGCCGCATCTGACGTCCTTGGTATGGGTCTACCACCACCACAGCACCACATGCCGGTCTATCCCGCCGGTCCTGCGTATGGAAGCCAAGTATCTCTTCCTTTAAGCCAGGTATCACTTCCTTTAAGCCAATCTACACCTTATCTTGCTCCCCCCGGTTCGGGACCTTATGGCGGTAGTCCTGGGATGTTGCCCTACGGCGCCCCTCCTAACTCGTCGGTGGCCCAAGGGCTGGATGACCCCGAGTTCGAGCTTCGGCCTACATCATTACAACGTTCTGCTACCTCCGCATCAGTTGATCCACGCACCAGGAAAACGAAGGCAGTTGATCTCACGGCCCCCCCGTTCACGAAGGAGTACATCGACCAGTACCGACAGCGCATTAAGGCTGATCCAGACCCAGAAGCTCATTTTTTGTATGCAAAATACCTGATAGATGCTGCTAAGAAGATAGGAGCGGATGCCAAGGACCAACGGGCTGTGAAGAAGTATCGTGACTTACTCGTCCAAGAATCTCTCAAGACGGTTCGCCGATTAGCAGGAGCAGAAGGAAGCTTATGACGAGGCACAGTTCTTCTTAGCCAACTGTTTCGGGACGGGTTCTCTGGGTCTCCAAGTGGACCATGAGCGTGCGTATCACCTGTACCTACAAGCCGCAAAACAGAATCACGCAGCAGCTTCATACCGCGTCGCTGTCTGTAACGAAATTGGAGCAGGCACACGACGGGATCCACAACGGGCTTCTGCGTTCTACCGGAAGGCAGCATCACTGGGTGACACTGCCGCAATGTACAAGTTGGGCATGATTCTTCTACTTGGGTCTTTGGGAGAGCAGAAGAACCCAAGAGAAGCTATCAACTGGTTGAAACGGGCTGCGGAGCAAGCCGACGAGGAAAATCCACATGCACTACATGAACTCGCCATGCTTCACGAAATGCCAAACTCGCAACTGGTTATTCACGATCCCGCGTATGCCAAGTCACTATATGAACAAGCTGCGCGCCTGGGTTATACACAGTCCCAGTACAAGCTCGGACAATGTTACGAGTACGGCACGCTGACATGTCCTGTTGATCCTAGGCGATCAATAGCATGGTACACCAAGGCAGCAGAGAAAGGGGACTCCGAGGCTGAGCTGGCTCTCAGCGGATGGTATCTGACAGGGAGTGAGGGTGTTTTGAAGCAGAGTGACTCTGAAGCGTATCTATGGGCACGTAAAGCTGCCAACAAGGGCCTGAGCAAAGCAGAATATGCTGTGGGGTACTATGCCGAGGTGGGGATCGGAATCAAGCAGGATATTGAGTTCGCCAAGAGGTGGTATATGAGAGCAGCAGGTGTGTCCAAGTGCCCTGACTCCGCACTGTTTTTGTCTCAAGTTTTTGTATAGCGCAAGGGAACAAGCGAGCCATGAACCGGCTGACGGAGATGAAGCGTATGGGTAATAAGCGCTCCAACGTTGGACGGCCAACACGACAACAAGCCAAAGATGAATGTGTTATCTGCTAGTAACCCTGGATGATTGCTATCATGTTCGCTGTCCTTTTTCCCGATGGTCGCCCGTCCTTAATTATTATCATTGGCTTCTCGGCTGATCATTGAACACTCTGGATATTGATATTGCATGTATCTGCTGTCGATGTTTTGCAGCCTGGCTATGTTACTAACTAAGTATGAGCTACCTGAACGTTCAGAATCATAGCAAGCAGTATTGTCACTAATACTGTGACACTGTTATACACATCCCCCATTCATCACTATGGCATCTTCAAGAAGCGGCATGCAAGATGTAGAAAATAATCGTTCGCGCCCCAGTCCGTAACTGATTGATTGGCTGGATCTCTAGACTTCCCTTCTGGAGCACATCGCCAAAGCACACAGCTTGAATGAGCAAGACGAACACACTTTGCAGTCCATACTTTCCTCAAAAGCACGAAACACGTCACCTTCATACCTTGACAGTGATGCAGATGCTCAGTTACTATTAAATATCGAGGTACGTAGTATTCACATCACGCTGCTCTGAGCAGCATTGACACATCGTGGCAGTTCAACCAGGCAGTCCGTGTACGATCACTCGTCCTTCAGGCGCAGGAGCGAGGACCAGATAAACTCAGGCTTCGCATCAATTGCTCCGCTATCGACTTTACCAATTTTGAGGACTCGGAAGATACCCAGGTCATCGAGTTAAAGGCAGATCAGGTGTCGAAAGAGGGCTCAGTAAAGCTGATTCCCCTTCACCCTACAAAGTTCAACCATGTGAACTCGCTTCACGTGAGTCTGGCTATCCCATGCGGGGACGTTGACCTTATGACATACCGAACAAGATCCTTGTCGAATCTAACCACGATACTACCAGAATCGATGCAATCGATATCTTGGGTACGCTTGTCCAGTGAGTCGTTCACACCTGGCCATTCAGCATGTATAATAACCACTTTGAAGCGCGACGAAGAACCTGAGTGGACTTGCACAACAAGAAGACTAAACTGCTCGTGTGCACTTCACAACTTTATTACTTTGAGCAATAATATGGGGTACACTTCTACTAGTAGCTAGATGCTCAAGCCCATAAATACGCATGGATTCTGGAAGTTTCATTTGCCGTCAATCTGAAGCCACATACTCCATCTCTTCCGTTCTTCTTCGCCCCCTTCAAGTACCCAGTTAACTTTTATTATTTCTGAAAAACCCTCCGTCAGTTGGGGCTCCTCGTAGTTGTCCCTGAAACCTATGAAGGCAAGGTAGGGTAGGATGTTGCGTCTCGACTAATTAGATCACGGAGGTTAGATTCAGGCACTTGAAAGAGCTCAGAGGTTCTTTAGATTTACCTCTATCGAAGGGTGAACATAGGCACGGTAGAGGTTATTGTGCCACGCTAGATCTATTGAACCAATGAACACAAGACATCTGATACAAAGCGTCATCTTCCTGTAGACGCAGTTAGCAAAGACTTACCGAACAGGAATCTTCAGTTTCTTGGCAAGATCCAAGTAGTACTTTCTAGTTGCAATATCTCGATTGGTATTATCTGACGGACCGTCATGTATTTGATCAGTTCATAGAAGAACTGCTCGCACTCACCAACTACACAGCTTGTACCAGCTTTGAGTGCCACCTCAGCCGCTTTTACGCATTTGGAACGGCTACCTAGTGTATCCTGGTTGATGTGGGTATACCCAGCAGGCGCAAAATGCCTTCGAAAAAAGGACGATTTTCCTAGGCACGGAAAGCCCGAAAATACGACCAGCTCCGTCCCTGCAACATCGGGAATTATTTTGGCCGTGGGGGGATCAAGTAACGGTACTGCTTGATGTGTTAACTTGTGGAGCACTTTTTGAATATCAAAGAAAGCAGCGAACACTTAGGGAGACTGGAAGCATCAAATCCAGGGAGGGCATACGGTGCTGAGGGTAGTTGGAGGAAATATTCCTGAAGAGGTTCAACATGCCACCAAAACTTCGAGAAAATGATTCTCACTTCTGGGGTATAAAAAGGAATGCCAATGTTTACTGCCCATTTCCTGTCGGTCGATGCAAAGTCATTCGTACGGCCTGCAGCATCTCCAACAAAGAATGAAGCGTCTTTATCTGAAAGTGACGCACATAAGATACTGCAATGCCTCCCACTGTTCCTATCCCACTCACCTATCTGAATACCGTCTACCGCAAAGATACGTTGAAGCTCGTCCCATATCCCGGGCATAGGCTTACGAAACCCATCTTTGGCAGACGCAGCGAACAATCGGAAAGGTACACTGGGAAGCTGCTCTCATTTACAATGAACGCATTAGGGAAGGTACATCAGGGCTTACGGCAGCGGAGATTAGGGAAACCTTCTTTTTCCAGTCCTCCAGTTGTCGTTGCTTTAATGCTTGATTAGATATCAATATGATCGAGTATCTGCGAAGATTGAGTCATGGCCTGGTTTGGCATACTTCAGACATACCCTTCTTGATGTAATTCATACAACTTTACAGGCACAGTAGCTCTCCACCACTCCCAGTGCAGCGCGGCTTCCTTGCTTCGATTTTTGTGGTTTGACTTGATCACCGTTCCATCGAGGTCGAATGCAGCCACTTTCGGTGTGCTTTGTGGTGTCAGATTGATTCCATGCAAACACGTGCGCTTCGGACCTAGAGAAGGTTTGAGCCATTGAAATAACTGACGCCGTCGAGCTGCTGGCGCTTGGTTTGGTAAAAAACGGGTGTACTGGTATAAGCGCGTCAGAAGGAATTTTACACACAGCAACTGTGGCTCACTCTTGGCTAATTTACGAGCACCCGTCCTGGAGCCACTGTCATCAGACTCGCTACCCAGATCTGAAGCGTTTCGCTTTCTCGACTCTGCAATAAGTTGACTGAGCAGAAGCGCAAGGGCCGAGGCAAGTATAGTAGGGCAAATTACACGAACCTGATTGCTGCGTTCGCTTTGAATCTGACATACCCTTCGGGGCTGTAGGTATGTTATGCGATTCTACGCGACAAGCTTGATGTTTAGTTAAAGTTTCTTGTGTTAAACGCACACGCACATCAAGTTCTCAGCGAAGGGGGCTGCCAAGGCTCAGAGAAAATAATTTGTAGGTGTCGGCAAGGGCGGGAATAAAGTAGCGCGATGTTAAGTTGCTTTTTAACGCAATAGTCGATTCAGGAGTCCTCTGCAGCACAAGCTTGTGTAAGTTGAACTTTGCGGACCACCTGGACTTTGATGTGATTGGTCATCAAATCGTACGGGACTACGACGGTGAACTCAGTACCAATACTTATACAATAACTTATACCACACACACGGCTTAAATAATGACATTGCGGTAAGCCCGAATTCAGCTTGCTCACGAAACGTCATGCAAATGTCGCGTTTGAATCAGCGATGGACGAACATTTGGACATGTCAGTGGTGTTGCGGTTGGCGCCACATTCCCAACCAGGTGAATGCACAGAACATGATTGATATGCCGCAACGAATTCACATTATATATTCGTAGAGACGAGTTATTTAAAGCAGGCGTACATGTCGTAATCCGACGTGGCATACACGGAGATCAAGAGCTCGGTGCTTTCTCCATATGCTTGTCCGCAGGGTATGAGGATAATGTCGACAATGGAAATACCATGCACGTATCAAGGCTCGATTTTCTAGCTCAGCGCACATATATTGATGTGACCCCTGTTTCGTTCAGTATATATGTTGGCTCGGGTTAGTCATCGTGTGCTCCCTCGTAATCCCCTGTTAACCCCTATATATAGGTGAGCAAGAGGATGGAGTAAGCAAACAATATTGAGTCCTTGTCCTATATAAACCCTATAATCTGTTCTAATGTAGAATCAAATACGCGACCAGTCCTTCGATCATGCACCTAACAAAGCTTTGCTCGTGAGTAATCTCATTTGTGCCAGTCATTCCCGGTTATTTCAATGTCCCGAGTAGACCTCATTTGAAACCAAGCGTCCTGTGCGAGTTGTACGCGGACCAAATGAGGGTAGCTTCTATTCTCCGAGCACGGGGTGAGGGAAGTGCACTTGCTCTTTGCCCGCTTTATTGAAGCTCATTTAGTTTTCGTTACGATGGACTGTATGTCGTTGATGAGGTGCTGATTCTTTCTGCTACGTCATGACACATCACTCATACAATTCAGGCCAAAGAAAAGGACGGAAAGAAAGGCTTTAAGATGTGCACCTTCAAGCTGAGTGTGAGGAACACCACAAGAGTCCACGGATGTGACTAATTTTTGTCTCCAGCGAATTGAGGAGGAAGGCCAGAAGGAAATTCCAACAAGACGCAAACTCACCCCCAACAAATTGGCAAAGATGGCAAAGAAAGCTCGTCTCGGATAATCTCCCTGCTCTGGTTCTGATACTTCACTCAGGCTATGCTTTGAGTTTTCAATTATTAATGTAAGTGAGTCTGCACATATTCCTCGTCTACCTGCGTATGTAGTTTTATTGCATCCACGTCGAATATCAAACTCTCTTTCTTTGTATGCACTTAGACCCTTGGCGCGTTTAGTTTCGTGTCACACGCACACGCACACGAGGTCAAGGTCAAGTTAAAGTATCAGTGAAAGGAAGTGCCAAGGATCAAATTTCAGAGCTTCCTTGTAGCAAGTTTGTAGGCATTAAGGCAAGGGCAAGAATACTTAAAGGAGCGGTCCAGCACAGGATTACCTAAGTGTTGCCAAAAGCGGAGGAGGCGCGTCTGGCGGAGGTGGTGGTTCGAGGCGTCGCATCTGGGACGAGCTGTGGATGTAAAATTCTAGGGACGGTCGGGGTGGGTATAGCGGTCGAAGATGTAGTTTTATTGAGCTTCCGAAGCTTTTCCTGCGGTGCGTTCGCGCTGCGGAGAGCTTGCACTACGTTTCGCCACTGTGCGGAGTCCTGGTGAGCGTTGCCGAGCAGGATTCGAAAGGACTGCAAATTTATCACCTGAGGACCGTCAATTTTCTAGTCCGAACGTGCTGATCCCACGCGTACAAAGTGTACATGTGTGGTTCTCCGCGAAATTCTGACGACTCCAGCTTCGGGTCGAAGAATTGACGGTCCTAACTCCGCTCGGGTTTGCAGTCCTGAATGCCAGCAGCCACGAATTCACGGCAACCGTCCTGGCAGCGTGCTTGCCTCGCAGGCACTTACCATACATTCTCAGGCATTTTCTCGTGCTCATCCTGACCTCAGAGTCAGACACATTTTATTGAGTGTAGATACTTCATGAATACATCTTTTCGCCCATCTCAGGACTGTACTGCAAACCCCATCAAAAGGATCGTCAATTTTTCATACGATGTCAATTGGATGTCGAGTTGTTATTTGACGCAACGTGCGACGTCGAGAAAGTCCTGCGTAGTACGTTGAACTTTGCCGGACCGACGGACCGACTTTCTGGGACAGGAGGACGGACCCCAGGACCTTTAATGTCATTCATTGGTGTCATCAAATTATACACAGTTGAACCCACCAAGTACTTGCACTGAGTACTGAACGACCACTGTGACACGGCTTGAATGATGTCATCGCAGTAAGCTCAAATTCACCTTGTTCATAAAAAAACTTTATGCAGCGTTTGCCAATTAGCGATGGACGAACGTTTGGTCATATCAGTGGTGTGGCGGTTGGTGCCACATTCCCATCAAAGTGAGTGCACAGGACATTGATACCGCAACGAATTCACACTGCCCATGTATTCGTAGAGATGATTTAGCTAAATCAGGCGTACATATCCTGCGTCAAGCTGGCATACATGGGGATCAAGAACTCGGTGCTTTCTCCATATGCTTGTCCAAAGGGTACGAGGATAATGTCGACAACGGAAATACCATGTACGTATCAAGGCTCCCTTTGCTGGCTGAGCACCCCATATATTGATGTGACTTCTGTTTCGTTCAGTATATATGTTGGCTCGGGTTAGTCGTTGTGTGATCGGTGCTCCCTCATGTTCCCCTAACGGTTAACTCCTGTTCAGGTGGGCAAGATCAGGATGGAGTAAGCAAACAATATCAAGGCCTCGTCCTATAAACCTATAAACTGTTGTAATGCAGAATCAAATACGCGACCAGTCCTTCGATCATGCACCTAACAAAGCTTTGCTCGTGAGTAATCTCATCTGTGACAGTCATTCCCGGTTATTTCAATGTCCCGAGTAGACCTCATTTGAAACCAAGCGTCCTGTGCGAGTTGTACGCGGAGCGAATGAGAATAGCTTTTATTCTCCGAGCACAGGGTAAGGGAAGTACGCTCGCTCGCTTGCTTTATTGACGCTCATTTAGTTATCGTTACGATGGACTGTATGTTGTTGATGAGGTGCTAATTCTGTCCGTTATGTCATGACACATCACTGATGCAAATCAGGCTAAGCTGAAGGACGGAAAGAAAGGCTTTAAGATGTGCACCTTCAAGCTGAGGGTGAGGAACACCACGAAAGCCCATGGATGTGACTGATTTTTGCCTCCAGCGAATTGAAGAGGAAGGCCAGAAGGGGATTCCAACAGGACGCAAACTCACCGCCAGCAAAATGGCAAAGATGGCGAAGAAAGCTCGTCTCGGATAATCTTTCTGCTCTAATTCTGATACCCCACTATTTCGGTTTTCAATCGTTAATGAAAGTCTGTATATATTCCTCGTCTCCCTGTATTTGTAGTTTTATTGCATCCACTGCACTTGAAGTGTCGACCATTCATATATGGACATCTCCTATCTGAAGGGCAGGAACACGGACTCGCAGGTTGCGCAGCAAACCATGACGCAGACACGTATGACTTTGATTTACAATGCGGAGCGATGTCTGAGAAGTTAGCTGGCAAGGGCAATCCGGAGTTTACTCTGAAGTATTCGGAGGGGTTTGCCAATCAGGTTTTTTTTAGGACACCGCAGTGAATCTGAATTCCGCGCGATAACAAATGGACGGCGACGGCGAGACAACGCGCTCACGCACATGGGCCACGTCGCGGTCGTCAAGTGAGAGAGACCAGCGAGAATTTTCAGTCGTGCTCAAGAAAGAGGGCTCAAGTGGAGCTCGTGGCGCACACCGTGGCTCCGAGAACTGCTCGACACGAATCCTTTCGCAGGAACAAACGCTCCATCGTTAGATAAGAAATACATTAGAACTACTAGCATTGTCTGGTGTATGAAATATTTAATCATGATCATCTCTCAATACAATGCTAGAGTCCGGAGGGTGATTGTCTTTAATGTCGAGGGAATCACTCTCAGAGACCGTGACATTGACAACATCGCCGTTTCTTTTGATCATCAGCATATTCGAAAAACATTATTGAGAGACATAATAGTCTTACCTGATAGTCCCTTTCAACAACTTCTGCGCAAGAGGGAACAGCACGTTGGTGCGCACGACGCGAGCAATCGCGCGGGCTCCATAGGTTTCTGAATAACCCTTCTCGGCAAGCCAGTTGCGGGCCTCTGCGTCGACGTTGAGCGTGATCCTTCTGTCCTTCAAGCGCGACACAACATCATTCAGTCTCAGCGACACAACGTCTAGAATCGACCGGCGAGACAATTTGTTGAAAACAAGTATTGAGTCAAGGCGGTTGAGAAGTTCAGGAGGGAAGTATTCCGTCGTGCGTTCCATGACGAGATTCTTGGCTTCCTCTGTGACGACACCATCTGAATCGCAGGACGAACTGTGAACTAATATGTCACTACCGAGGTTGCTCGTGAGACAGATGATGGTATTCTAAGAGGAAGTAAGTGTGCTTCATTCCATCGACAATGAATTGCATGCCTTGAAGTCTACTTTTCTGCCTTGACTATCAGTAATGCTGCCCTCGTCGAGTATTTGTAGAAGGATCATGGCCACATCCTTCGTGAAAAACGGCTATAAGCACAGTTCAAACTGTCAAAGTAGAGACGAAGTACCTTGTGTGCCTTCTCGAGCTCGTCGAGTAAAATGACCGCTGTGGGTTTGTATTAATGGTATGCAAGTACTACACCTGGAACAACTTACCATACGGTTTGCGTCGAACAGCTTCTGTTAACTGACCTGCAGACGAGGGATGAGGTTAAACGGCACGTAGGGGAACAACTAACCGCCTTCTTCAAAACCGACATAACCCGGAGCGGCTCCAATAAGTCTTGAGATCGTGTGTCGATCGTGGTACTGTGGATTTGCGTAAACGAGTCATGTGGAACAGCGCAGGGTAATGTTAAAATTGCGAACCTCCGACATATTAATGTTGATACTAGCAATTTTACGTGAGCTCAATCTAAGGTTGAAAGAATACCCTGGACAAGCTTACAGTCCTCTCTGTTCGTCGTTGAAAAGAAATCCAGCTAGTGCCTTTGCTAGCTCGGTCTAAGGGTTCATACAGTCAGAAATTGTGACGGACAAGGCCAAGCATGTAATTTACCTTGCCAACACCAGTAGGACCAAGGAATAGAAACGAAGCCACAGGTCTATTCGGTGCCTGCAAACCAGCACGTGAAATGCGGACAGCATCGCTAATCGCAGCGACAACATGATCTTGACCGACAACTCGTTCTTTGAGGGCATCCTCCATCTATCAAGAGTCATGATAGTCCAGGTAGGAGACGGGCAGTAATACGAACATGAACGAGTTTATCTCTTTCACCTTTCAGAAGGTTCTGGACAGGGATGCCTGTGGCCTTCGCAACAACGCGAGCGATATCGTTGCTCGTAACGCGGTCATGCAGCATTGATAGAGGTCCCTCTTCAGCGTCGTCCTTTATCTCGCTGTCCTGCGGGAGCTGTCGTTCGAGCTCGGGGATTGTGCCGAAGCGCAACTGGGATGCTTTGTCGTACTGACCGTGACGTTGAGCAACTTCGAGCTCATGCTTTGCATCCTCCAGTCGCTTTTTGAGATCCTTGATCCGATCGAGTCTTGCCCGCTCTGGGGATGAATTTAGAAACTACTACATTTGTTAAGGTGGGATGGATTGCACCATTTTGCCAAATAGCAGTGAGCTCCTGCGCCTCCTTCTTCTTTATGCGCAACTCTTCCTCAACCTTAGTCCTGCGCTCGATGCTGAAAACATCGACTTCGTTCTTTAAACTTTCGAGCTCAATTTGAAGGGTCATAATCTCGCGCTCAAGCGCTTCCAGTTCAGCCGGTTTTGATTCTTGAGCAAGACGAAGGGCCGAAGCAGCCTCATCGACAAGGTCAATTGCCTTGTCAGGCAGATACCTGTCTGATATGTAGCGTGCGCTATAAACAGCAGCTAGTAAAGACTTGCATGAGCACTAAAAAGACGTTGTGAAAAGATTCACTGACCTGTCACAAGAGCACTGTCCGCAATTTCAACACCATGGTGAACCTCATAACGCGATTTGAGTCCTCTCAGAATTGAGATGGTGGTTTCGACAGTTGGCTCGTCGATCGAGACAGGCTGGAAGCGACGCTCAAGAGCTGGATCTTTGCCAATCGTCTTCCTGTATTCGTTGGCTAGGAGAGACTGTAGTAGATCCTATCTTGAAAGAAAAGTTCTACATACGGGTTGTAGCTCCAACGAGTTGGAGACCGCGAGCTAGGGCAGGTTTGATCATCTGGCCGGCATCAATGCTTCCCTCCGCTTTTCCGAGGTTGAAAAGCGAATCTAATAAGTAGCGACATTCAACTTTGTTCGAGGACCAGGCTGCAAGGTTACTCACGGACTTCGTCAATGAAGCAGATCACATTTCCTGCCTAGGAATAATTCAATGAAACTAAACAGAAGGTTCGGAATTGGGTAGTGGCTCACCTCCTCCTCAATATCGCGGATGAGGGCTTTAAATTTCTCCTCAAACTGTCCGCGAATCCCGGAGCCAGCCATGATAGCTGCCAGGTCAATCGACAAGACACGCTTGTTCTGCAAAGACTAAATGGAATTTTCGTGAGTAGTTATCGCGCACGCGCGAGCTCTGAAGCTCATGAGCGTACCTCTGGTACTTCTTTAGCAACAATCCGGCTTGCGAGACCCTCCAAAATAGCCGTTTTCCCCACACCAGGGGGACCGATCAACTAGAAAACTTATCTAGTCTTCGTCCGAAATGAGACAAGGGTTAACTTACTACAGGATTAGACTTGGTGCGTCGGGACAATACTTGGAATGTTGGCATCATTATTTTAAATTGGCGAGGTAGGACTCACTCTGTATAGTTCTGCGGATTTCTGCACGAAACTGAACTCAAAGGAAGTAAAAGATATAGCTATATGCATTCGCTTACCATCGTCACGCCCAATGGTAGGGTCTAATTTCCCATTTCTGGCCATTTCCGTTAAGTCAACGCTCTGAGGCCCATGAGAAAGGATATGTTGACGGTAAGACAAAACTGACTTACATATTCTTTAAGGGCATCTCCTTTCTGGTGCTGTTGCTGGAACGTAAACCCAGGGAATCCACCACCACCACCACCACCTGCACCACCTGGAGGCTGCGAAGCGTAGCTCCGCACATAGCAATCTGGTATTGCTGGTAAATGCCTGCTGCTGATGTGCGGCTGAACGCGTCCCGCGAAAGCGAGAATTGCTGGGCCATGACGTAGCCCGAACGAGATCCTTGAAAGTGCAGATTTCGGGACTACTGAAATAACTCTGCGTGACATGCAACCGAAGTTAAGAGAATCGGCTGGTGGTGAATGTATTCAAGACAAAAGAGAGCGGAAACAAATTACGACAGTGTGTATGGACCCCCTGTCGGTCAAAACTTTCACGGTATTACGTTTCCGGCTTTCTTTTCCCATACTTAGTCTACCGTAGGCCTAGGCAGACCAAATAGAATGAAGATGGTCGTTCCTTATGCTTTCCCCGAGTCAGTGGCAAGCCACCTTGAGTGAGAGGTTTACATTATATACCAGGTACTGCGACAAACTTGTCTCTCACAACGAGATCTATCTCACTTCAACTTTTCTACCCTCCCAGTCTTCCCGCAACCTAGCGTCGACAAGCTTATCCAGATCTTTGACCAGAATGCACGCTACGTTAATTAGTCGTTGGACTTCTTCTGGCGCTGTCGGAACTCCCCCTGCTTTATGTAGGACACATATTTCGCGCTGAGCATTCATCGCTATGCTCATCAAACCTGCACTCAGTCTCTGTTCAAGCAAGGATGGGTCCACCACTGGTCGCGTTAATGCATCCGGAAAGAATGCAAATGTCAAACAGAACGGTGTGTGATGTATTGCAAGTGAGATAGGTGCGCGTTCGGAGGGTGAGTGCTTTGGAGAGAGGTGAACAATATAAGCAGTGAAGTTATATCAATACGCACGACGATGACTTCGTCCCCGATGACTTCAACTTCAGGTTTTCTGAAGTGCTTAAAGGCTACGATGCCAGCGAGACATGAACAGTCGAGAATGTTACCAGCATCAGCGAGGACATGAACTGTCAATCGCAACTGCCAGACCTGAAATTTTCATTGTTGACTCATTCAGCATCATCTCACTCTCTAGACCATGACTTGACCTACACGTTGACCTGCTAATATGCACAGAGATTCCTTGTCAATGGCGTCACTTCTTCGGAGGACCTTGTCCAACATGCGGGTAAGAGTGACCTCTTCTTCCGAAGGCCTGGCGAAATCTTTGATTTGGCAAAAATAAAGTATACGTAGATAACACGCACCTACCGACCAGGTTCATAGTCTGGGGACGCCATAGGGGAGATTTCAGAGTGTATTGTAATGATGCCTTCGAAGGGTCGTTCTGGCAGCGGTTTGACCATTTTGGCGTCTAACTGTGCGATTACACTGGGACCTGTCTTGTAATTGATAAAAAGGGACGAACCCTGATGAATGCTCACCGTGTTTTGCCCATGGCGCATTCTACCCAGCCCAGTTCAGGGCCAAAAGTTAATGACGGTGCTCGGAGATCAAGCATATCGCGGACCGTCTAGTCGCAGAGACTGCTTCAGAGTATCATAAATAAACTTTTTCTCCGGAATTGATGGCGAGGGTGGACGCATGGAAGGACGAAGGTAATTGAGTGCTTAGTGTGTTGATTTGGCTTTGTGACAAAGACTGAGATCAAACTTTCAGGACAAATCCTAAAATGATCTTATCCTTTCGTCACTGTTCATCATGGTCCGGCTGATCACGCATAATTTACTCGCATGCCACGTCAAAGGATGCACTACAAATAATTTTCCACTCGTATTTCAGGATGTTCAAGTCGAGCTGCAAGAGGCAGAATTCAACCCAGACTTCATTCAGAATATGCTGCCTCGATTGGAATGGACTGCGCTGGTAAACGCCTCGAAGCAGGTGCGTGCAGATGTGACAACGGGTCATAACGAGAGGCTTATGACTTGTTGAGGTCGGAGATACGTCGCTACCTCTAGAACAGCCGGATATGTTGGACGATGAGCTGCTTCAGAAGCTTCATCATGTTTTGATGGAGGTACGCAGACATCTTGATCACTTCCTTCCAATATGTGTTTACCTTTTCCTAGATCCATGTTACTGATGGTGCGATGGTCTGTCAAAATTGCAACCACGTATATCCCATATCTAATGGGATCCCAAACATGGTGAGCTACCACTTGTTTCGAGTCCCTCCATTGCATAATCGAGATTCTCTGCAGTTACTGGCTGAGCACGAAATCGGCTAAATCATGAATGAAAATTTGTAGTTTACCCTGAGATCTTGCTGTTGGCCCCTCACCCGCGATAACCAGAAGGTACTATTGGCTTTTAATGGCCTTCACGCGTTGGACATGTTCCGTCAATCTTATCATGAACTCAAAGATAGTGTTCGTGACTGACAACCATGGGACCATGCTATACAACCGTATTCAACAGGTCCCCGATAAATATAGACGCTGCGACAGAGTTCGCATCTCTCTTGTGACAACTGTATCGCCAGACGCAATGGGCAAGGATGTATAGTATAGTGATTCCCTGCAGCGCGACCTCTCTCGCGATCATAGGCAAATGGGATAGACTCAGCAGTGATCGTCTTCCGGACTGACAACGTGCTGTTATAGAGGGTACCCTCAGGAAGCGGAAGGCATTATGTTGTTCAACTCTTATCACGGACTCGGCTCAAATATTCATTGGTCCACAGTGCCGAGGCGGCTGGCAGGTGTTTGATTGCACATGAGCGCAGAGCGGCTATAGCGGTCGACGACAATACAGCCATGGTTTCATCATCATTGGTACCACTTGTTGCATCCGTCACGGAGAATCAAGTATGGGAGACTGCTAGTGCGATCTGGGGAACGGGTGGATATCGTCGAAGCAAGATCACACTTTACCAGTTGAGGTAACAACGTACCAAAAAATGAATAGACCGAGAAGGCTGTAGTCTTGGGTCCCTTCCTCGACTCCTAGGATGTGGGACTCCGCTCTGGGTAGTTCAGTGCCGGTAGCCAGGACAAAGTACTTGCAAGGCGGCTCGGGGGCTTTCACGAGACATACTACCTTATGATGCAGCTTATCAAAATATAAGTTAATGTTGACAACGATGCGGTCTGCAGAATAGATTACACACGCCGAGTCGGTTATGGAACATAGGTGGAGCGTCCATTGTGCCTGATACTAATCTTTGCTTCCAGATTATTCATTGCGGCGTGTTCGAGTCTTTTCGAAGTTCAACGCTTCTATGGAGCCCTTTGATCCAACTACCCATCCACACAGACGTTGTAAGTCCTCTTGTTGATCTTCGTAAGATGACCCTGGCGAGACAAATGGCTACGATGTGGTCACAGATAATCCGTTGACCAACACACACGTTCTCGTCTCACCCCATCGCACCAAACGTCCTTGGCTAGGTCAGACTGAGCCCGCCGAGCCTTCGAACCTCCCCCAGTACGATCCCGCATGTTACTTGTGCCCTGGGAATACTCGTGCAGGCGGCAAGGTGAATGAAATGTACACTTCCACCAGCGTATTCGAGAATGATTATGCTGCCGTTCTTCCACCCCCTGGACCTGTCACACCTCCGGTTGCACATCCACTCCTGACCGCAGAGCCAATTCAGGGTGGATGTGATGTCGTATGCTTCCATCCACGGCACGACCTCAGTCTACCAACTTTATCTCTGCCGGACGTGGAGAATATCGTGGATGAGTGGACTCGCGTTTACATCAGGAGGGGAACTGAGCCTGGCATCGAATATGTGCAGATATTTGAAGTATTTCACTTTGACAGGATCATACCACAAGTCCTTATATAATCACAGAATAAAGGTGCAATGATGGGTTGTTCCAACCCGCATCCTCACAGCCAAGTTTGGTCCCTTTCCACCATACCTACTCTCCCCGCGAAGGAGCTCGCTTCTTTGCGTAGCTATGCCTCGGCCCCCCACGTACCCTCTGGCGTTCCAACGGGGCCTGACGGACGTGCGTGCCTGTTGTGCGAGTATGTGCATCATGAGCTGTCTGTTCCAAAAGACGAAGGACGCCTAGTCATCACAAATGAGCACTTTGTTGCGCTTGTGCCGTGGTGGGCGTATTGGCCCTTCGAAATCATGGGTGTGTTACTCACTCTTGCGCGACACTATCTCTGAACCCGATATCCCAGTACTCCCTTACAAACGCCACATTTCGTCCCTTGTGCATTTTACAGTGGATGAAAAGCACGCATTCGCAGATATCATGTCGCGCGTGACGAAGCGTTACGACAACATATTCTCCTGCTCATTCGCCTATGCGATGGGCGTCCATCAACGACCCCTCCCCCCACGTCGAGATGATGATGGGATGTATGTACAAGATGCAGATGATGTCTCACATCTGCATGTGCACTTTGAGCCCCCGCTCCTGCGGAGTGCAAGCGTGCGCAAATTTTTGGCAGGGTGAGTTCTGCCACAGACTGTTGACTTGTCGACACAATCTAATATAATTGATAGTTTTGAAGTGATGGCGGAACCGCAGAGGGACCTTACTGCAGAGCAAGCTGCTAAGAGGTTGAGAAATTGTTCTGAAGTTCACTACCTCCATGCTGTGCACAGTGCGCAGTAACGTTCATGGTAGTTAACGTTAACTAGAATATGATCGTAAATGTATAGAATAACCTGTTCATTGCGCATGCCACAGAGGAATCAGGATCAGTGTCACATGTGGTCGGCCAACTCGGTTCCGCAAATTTACCTGATCTAGACCTCACATGCTCAAGTTAAGGGGGCATCTGGGATGTCCCTAGTTCTCAGAGACTCATTTAGACTTGTGTGGTTCCATACACTTCCATCTATCTTCCCTGCGATCCTCAGACAGAATCCGAAACCGTTCACCACCATGCCTGCTGCCAAAGTCATCCGCGAGGAGCCTTTGGACAACAAAGACGCGAAGTGAGAACGTTCTTCGCGCTGGTCATATTTATCTTATGGTTTGCGTAGATGGATCCGCCTCAAGAAGATCCGCTACGCTGATCAAGATGGCAAGCACGTGTGTTTTCTGTTCTCTGGGGCCGTAATCTCGCTTCATTCGTGGTTTTAGAGGCTTTGGGAGTGCGCCGAGCGGACAACGCGCAAAGACTCTGGAATAGACGGTACGCAAGGATGATTCGTGGTCCCTCACTAAGCGGCCTGACTGTACAAACGCTGGTCCTGTGCAGGCGTCGCTGTCCTCGCTGTCCTTCGCTCCAAGACGAAGGCTTTCCCCCTCTCGACGGTCATTATAGAGCAGTACCGTCCTCCTCTCGACAAGATTGTCATTGGCATGCTAAATTTGCCTACTGTCAGTATTCCATAGGCTGATTGCTTTGTTCTGTTTCGATTGTAGAACTTCCAGCTGGCCTCATCGATACAGGCGAAACGGCTGAGGCAGCAGCCATTCGAGAGCTGAGGGAGGAAACAGGATATGAAGCCGATATGACGACCGAACCTGAGTCCTCGCCAATTGTCTTCAGCGACCCAGGTTTGTATTTTTGCTCAAATACAATTGATGCACATCTAAGACGCTTATAGGAATGACCAATGCTAACATGAAACTCGTGGTAGTAAGTGTCCTCCTGGAAGATAAACTCGAAACGCCTGCCCCGCATCTTGATGATGGCGAACATATCATCACCCGCGTCGTAGAGCTAGACCAACTCGATGCTGAGCTTAAAGGTGCGCCCTATCATCCAGTTCACTCCGATGGAATGTATTCCCAATCTTCAAATATTCAAGCATACGACAAGAAGGTGCATTCGCTAAGCAGAAAACTACTGACTTTTGCTGACCCAGACTCCCAGGGTTTTGCAGTGGATGCCAGGCTCTCTCATTTCGCTGCTGGTTATACGATGGCGAAGAGGATAAGTAGCGGCGCATTCCTGTGAGAATGTCAACGCTTGGTCTCCCCAAATGGTAGAGAAACACAAAAGACTATCGCTATGTCCAGCCTTCGTATTAGCGACATTTGCAGCTGTACAACATTGGAATACTAGTGATAAGATTTTTTTGCACGTTCGATGTGTGCCCTCAACTTCTGCTGCTTCTCTCTCAAGGATGCCTTCTTCTTTCCCCGCACTGCACCACTGCTCAATATCATCATGATCGGCTTATTCCTTGCCTTCTCGCGATTTGTGGAGCTGCTCGGCGTCTCTTTATTTTTCTTACCCTTCAGGGAGCCATACTTCTCCCGCCCTTCACGACCCTTTTCGATACTCGCTATACGTTCCGCGTAGTCAGCTTTAGCCTTCTTCCGTGGACCAAGGATGTCGTTCTCAGAAATGAAAGTACCGTCGGATGGCCCAGATTGCATGGCCTTCTTGTTAGCCTCAAGGGTTGCCAACTTCCGTTTTGCCCTCGAACCACCACCTGATTCAATGGCTTTTGTGGCAGCCCGTATGCGCAGGTCATTCAGCAATGCGAAGTCTGCCGGCGTAAGGATCTGCAATACGCGTCAGAGCGTCGCACGAGGGGTATAAGAAATAATAGTTCACTTTAGTGGTGGCCAAGGTCGAGATTCGATTAGGATCGGTCTCCAGTTCTTTCTCCGCATGCGGTTTGGGCGCTGACTCCCGCTCGTCTTCACTATCACTAACTTCCACGTTGTCATCACCGTCGGAATTAACATCTATCCACCCTTCAGACTCTGATTCTGAATCAGAATCAGAGTCGGTTTCGACATCCCAGCCCTCCCAAGCGGCTGCGTCATCGTCATCGCCGTCATTATCTGCGTTGCCCATCTCCTCTTCGCGAAGTTTCTTCAGATGGTCTTCCAGAAGCTGTCGAATAGTTCAGGCATATTCTTCGAATATAAAAATGTCCGGATTACCATTAATCCTTCGATGTCGACTGCAGCATCCGCACTGTGCCCAAATGGCAGTGGTTGATTACCTTTGCTTATGCCTATACTAGCATCTTTTCCCTGTAAAGACACTCAACGTTGGCGATGGAGAATTGAAAAGCGATTCGCTTACTCTCTCCCGGCGTTTGAGCATGCCAGGGTTAACTTCGCGATACAACTGCAACAATCCTCTTGCGGCAGCTGTAACCGCCTTGTCTCGACTTTTCCTGTACTCTACAAGATCGCCCAACAAATCTTCCTCCATTGCCCACGGTTGTCTTCTACAAACCTCCCGAATCGAGTTGATTCCTGCAGCAATTACCTCGCTTCCCACCCCAGGATGCACAAATTCGCCTGCAAGCTTCTGCACGACCGGGGTCAAGGCATCTGGCGGCGTAAGATCGTGAACAGACTGCGCCAGAGCGACAAGGATTGACGGGACGCGAAGTTGGTGGTAGGTGAGGTATTTGACAATGTAGGTGTAGAAGCTCAGGACGCAAAGTTTATGAGCACCCATCACCCGCGAGAGGAGTTGCATAATGAGAATTTTATGTTCGAGTGAGAAACGCTTGTCGTAGCGGCTTAGGTTGTCATACAGCTTCTCAGCAAATGTCTGCGGGTCGTTGAGAAGCTGAAGTGCCGGGAAGTTTGGTGTCGTGGGAGCATTTTTGTTGTGCTTTTTCTACATACAGGTGAGCAATGAGATGGAGCTAGACAAGCATGCATGAATAACTGGGTACCTTCTTTGCAGCATTGAGCTGTTTCTGAAGCTTTTTATCACCACCCCGTGTCTTTTTGTTGATTTCGCGACGATGGTGAAGGGCTCTAACGTCGGGACCCTAGAGCAAGTATGAGTGATATTCTGGCAAGACAGACGTTGCCTACCTCATCTTCCTCATCATCACTGTCTTCCTTTTCGTCGTCACTTCCCAAAAAAAAGTGAATGGAAGCACTCTGCACTTTCATCACGGGATGGAAGCACCCTAACGCAACGATAGACACAGGCTTGGCGTCAGCCCTATTGAGGGATGGAAGTCATGTCTATCCAGTCACATCAGTAACGGGTTGCGTACCATATTCCCTTTCGCCACAACTCCTTTGTCAATATCACCGCCCACATAGCGTCTTCCCCATTATTAGCGGTTTTGTCACTCGTGGGACCTGCAGATCTAAGCTTTCCCTTGTCCCCAACAACTTCGGCATCCATTCCCCGTTCGACCATGGTGAAAAGCATAGCTTGCACAGCACGGTTTAGTTTGTGATTTTTGGTTCGGAGGTTGGCTGTACGGATGTCAGAGAGGATAGTTTTTCGGATGAAGGTTCGTAGGCTGGAGGAGGTCGTGCGAGGGAGAAGGGGAAAGAGGGACTTGAGGAGTCTGAATCGAGAGTTTATTTAGAAGATAAAGTGTATCAGAACGCTTACTCGATTGATGTGATGACATCCTTGTTGCGCAACATGACAAGGTTTTGAACGAGAGTTTTTCTGGTATCGGGCGTGAGGGTACCATAGTTCTCGAGGAGAAGGGTAGACAGATGGGAGGGGAAATCTTTGGTTTCCTTGGGGTAACACTGTGCAACCTGAAATCGCGAACGTTGTCAGTGGACAGGCAAACCGTAAAGACCTTGATGGACGAACTTGGGATATAAAGGAGACGAGTTCACGAAAATGCTGGGCCTGTTCGTCAGGATTTAACTGAAATATCTGTCTGATACTGTCGTAGTGGTTCCATTGCTGTAGGAACTCCTCCTTGTACGCTGCTGGATCACGTTTGATGAGGTTTTGCAACTGAGGAAGATTTGAGGTTAGAAGGACGCCACGACCACCCATTACAGTAGAACGCTGCAAGCGAACGGCAACGCAAATAAATGATCTCCAAGGGCGGCTCGTAGTGGGTATTTATGTAACTCGAGCTCAAGCAGTCGGATATCAATTGACTTCAAATCGAGAATCGCATATCTTTGCAGCTTACATCATCAGCAGAGAACCAAACCGTTAGTGATTTGTGAACCTATTCCGTGATAGTACTGTAGTAAGTAATCCAAGTCAACCGAGTAGACTACGATGCGCCATTGAAGCTGAAAGCATCACGCAAGTCGGAAATCCGAGCTCGAGTTGTGGAGCTGTATTAATTTGTTACTTTGATACCGGCTGACGTAGCACTGGCACTCGACCTCACCTCGAAGCGGTTGTCGATACAGCATCCGAGTAGGCCGCCCAGAAAAACTTGCCATAAATCTCCGCCTTCTTCCGCGATTCTAGTTCGTCCGAGTTCCTGATGCAGTCTTTGAATGACGAGCAATCTAGTAGAGTAATTTTAATCATCCATTGATCAAGGGTGACTGATTTCGGATGCCCACCTTCTATGTCCATGAGCGATAGGAAATGGAGCGTGTCCGTAGCGAGGACATCATTTTCATCACGGATCGAGTCGTGTTCCTTCGCAAGCTGTGAATGCAAATAAGCCAGCGACTCAGGTTCCACAGAAGCGCCCTCACCTTTTGCCTTAAGGCCAGCATTGCCTTGAGACGCATCTGACTGTAGTCCCCTGACTCGGTTGTAATTGTTGGGCTCGTATCCGCGGCGTCTTTGACAGGCTCGAAGTCAGACACGGGGTCCATTTCGTCGTCATCTTGGTAGAGTGGCGCGTAAGACGATGAGCTGGGACCAGCCTTCATCTTCCCTTTGGCTTTCGCGGGAGCCTTGGATGAAACTGTGTTCTTCGCAACCGAACGCGACGACCCGCTGCCAGCGCCATTATCCTTGAAGGTCAGTTCGACAGGGAGGTTGCCGCTGAGGCACGCATCTGCTTGCGGACCAAGCTTGAGTCGAATTGTAACATTAGTTCACCAACAAAACGAAGACGAGGCCGTAATTACCTTCAAGTAATCATTGGTCCAGCCAGACGCAGAGGCCTCTCGTGAAATCGCAAGAATGTTAGCGCCCATCATCGTGCTTATGATACGTTCTCCATCTACGTTCTTGCCCACTCCAAATAGTGACAATTGGTTATGCCCACTATCACGAACCTTCGCCTTGTTCCGACCCGCGAATACGTCTTTGAAATGTCCAAGGGCGATCCTATCCATGGAAGCTGCCATCTGTTCGTATAATCGAATAGCCTGTTGGGCCTCCAAGGTGTACAGCTGGCGAACAATCGTTCCACCTCTCGAACAGCTATCGCAACCCTTCGGACAAAGATGAGAATCGAAACGCTCGTTGAAATGAGCGAGAATTAGCGATCGTCGGCAGTCAACTTCATTGCGGCAGTATTGTACCACAGCTGAAAGGTCTTCTAGTTGCCGCTTCTTCTCCTCCGGAGTCCGAGGCGGTCCTTTGTCGTTGCGGTCGCTGGTAATCAAGCCCTGTCGCGACACAGCGTCCTTGTATGCATAGTCTGCAAGTGTGTAACAACTCAGATAGCGCAATGAAACTGCCATTGAAACTGCTTACACAGGATGCAGTCTGCGGGATTGCCGTCGCGTCCAGCACGTCCAGTTTCCTGGTAATAGCTGAAACGGTAAGCAACGCTTCAATGGAGCGTACTTGCAAACTCGTGACGTACCCATCCATCGACTTCGGTAACGTTGAGTGAATCACGAAGCGCACTATCCAATATGGTTAGACAGAGACTGAGGTGCATCAACAAGACTTTACCATCCGGCTTGTCGATTCCCATCCCAAACGCGATCTAAGACGATGTTAGAACTCAAAAAAGCCACACTAAGAGTGTCATACCGTTGCTACAATTATCTTGCACCTGCCGCTTTGCCATTCTTCCTGCGTGGTGCTGCGCTCTTGCGCGTCCATACCAGCGTGGTAATGTTTGGCAGACAGCCCATAAGCATCCCGCAGTTGCTCGGCCAGTTCTTCGCACTCTGTCTTCGAGAAGCCGTATACGATACCAGTATGAGTGGCATGCTGTGACTTAATGAAGCCAGCAATGGCTTGCACCGCCTTCTTCTTCGTGGCGGGTTTCGGCTGCACCGCGTAGTACAGGTTGGGGCGGTTAAACGACTGAACCAGGCACACGGGGTCACGTAAACCTAACCGAGTACGAATGTCCTGGATCGCGGTTTTGTTCGCGGTTGCGGTGAGTGCCATAATGGGTACATCACTGTACCGCTCGCGCAGCATGTGGAGTTCGGCATACTAAAGATACAAGTAAGAAGTGGATAATGCACAGACCAGGTTATATTCACTTACGGCGTCACGGAAATCCCGTCCCCAACTCTGAATGACATGCGCTTCATCAACGACAAAGCGCGCAATCTGTTTGTCTTCATAAAGTTGCGCTAGGATGTCTTGCATGGCGTTGCTCTCACACAGCTTTTCGGGAGTGATATAACATATGTCCGGTTTGAGCTGGCTGCGAAGGCGGCGCATGACATCCCGCGAGTCTTCCACGGTCCTGAGGGACGACATGCAGTCCACATTAATGTTCTTCTCCCGCAAGGATGCCACTTGATCGGCGATGAGCGCCACAAGTGGAGATATGACAAAAGTGACTCCATGTGTCCTACCAGTCTTGCAGACTGCGGGAAGCTGGTAGCAGAGACTTTTCCCGCCACCAGTCGGCATCAGGACGAAGACGTCCTTGCCATCGAGGGTGGCGTTGATAGCTTCGAGTTGATTCTGCCTGAAGGACGTCAGCCGAAAGATGCCCTTCAAGACCGAAACTGCCTCAGCATAGTAGGGCGTCGCCGTGTTATCAAGACGACCGGTGGGCGCAGAAGGAGTGCATAACGGTGTATCCACTGAATTATGCCTCGGAGTAGTCGAGGTTAACGTAGCCAGTTGCAATGTCGAGGGCTCGTCAAGGCCCTCCCAGAGGTCATCACTGTCAGGCACAATCAAGGTTTCCTCCGATACATCGACATCTTCTGGCTCAATCGGGCTGTCGATATCCTCTGGCTCAAGCGGGCCGTCGACATCTTCTGGCTCGAGCACACCCCCAAAATCAGTAGGCGCAGACGACGCGAGAGTAGAAGTTGAGGGCGCTGGTGCCGGTTCGCTAATGGTGTCGAGGCGAGCGAGCCGTTCTTGTGTAGCTTCGATGCGACCTTCAACATGAGCCCTACATAGAGTTAGCAAGGACGTTAAATACAATACCAGTACACTCACAGTAAGAATGAGACTTCGAATATATCCAGCGGGTTGTTTCCGTGTTCTGATATTAATTTCAGAAAATAATCGCGAACTTGGCGGTTTCGGCGAAGGATCAATTCCAAAAACCCTCGCGATCGCTACAAAACAAACATCAGAGCCACGAGTATCTGAAATGAGAGACAACAAACAGAATCTAGGTCCCAATTCTTCACGAGCTGAGTGCCTGGATCAGATTGTGCTGTCTCAGAAGAGGCCGGATGCACGGAAAACAGATCAGGACGAGATGGTACGATTGCCGTAGGCTTCGGGTTCAATGCCTCAACGTCACTACTAAGAATTTCGGGCGTCCATTGTCGAGGAATAGCGCGAGATTTCCCCTTTGAAGACAAAGGGCCGGTAATGAATATGTTTTCTTTGTTGACACAATTACTTTCCTTGAGACGCTTAGAGGCTGATTGTTGCGCTCCCTGGGGGGCATCAAGAGACTGGCGCTTTCGGGAGGGTACTGGGCCTTCTATGATCTCGAGAGTGGGCTCACGAGACAAATCGATTGCATCACGGCGAGGAGGGGGAGAAGCTGGGGTCGGACGAGTGTTCATCGTCTTCCTTCCAAAATTTGGTGTTGCGAATGATGGAAGTGAAGGACCTGAGCCTGACGTTTGGCGAGCTGAGAGTTACTTAAATGTGCAACTGCTCGATTCGTCATGAAATGTTTACTTACCGGTGGGATTTGAGGCAGAGTAAGAAATGCCCAAAGCTGGCTTGAACTTTGATGATGAAGTCTGATGAAGGGTTATCCGAATGATGGTAAGTAACGGACCATTCGAGTTTCCAATGGATATACCTTTGGCAATACGCTGTTCGAGACCATATTTCCGTTTTGCTGAGACTGAACGGTCCTGACGCTGTCCAGGTTATTCTGTGGCCCCGCCATCTTGGTAACGAGGATGAGACGATACTGAGAATAAGGAAGTGGCAGGCCAATTTATGAGTTGTCAGCTTGGGATCTCAAGAGTGGCGAAGAAACTCACTGAGACTGGATTGATTTGGAAAATCGATAGCGATGCGGAATATCGCCTCGAGGTGAATTGTAGCGCGCGCGGGTTACGAATTCAATAAGTAGCCTTGCACCCAAGTACTTGTCCCATTCATTTACTTAATGTAAAGCTAAGTACGAATTTGATGTTCGGCTCGTCCCGATCTCCGAATACGCGTCAGTCACACGACGCGCATCATGTGACCGCGACGTGCTTAAAGCCTTGTTCGTCATCGCCGACGACGACGACAACGACATGTCTGGGCAGTATTGGTTCCCAAACATGCCTATACCAGAGATTATGACGGCCCTGTCAGAATGGGGTTTGAACGTCAGCAATGAGCAACTCGTCAGGCCCTCCTCTGACTTTGTCATTGGCGTGTACAGCGCCTGCTTGGAGCAAGTCACGTCAATATCTCCAAACGTGCTTCACAAACCCACCCAACGTGCTCTCACTTCTCTTGACGATGCTAACCCCGTGCGTGAATTGGTTCTATGTCTGGCCGTCTGTATCTGATGATGTGCGTACTCAGGATCTCTACAATAACGCCATTTCACACAATATCATGCTCTACCACCTGTGTGATCTGCCCTCTCTTTCATATTCTCGTTAACATAAAAGCAAACAGAACGCGCTTCGCGACTTCCGCGCGCATTATGGACTTCAGCTCACGAGACCTCTCCGCACCAGAGCCAGAGCGTACACGTTTCATCCTCTCAGCATTTATCAACTTTGTCAAGTTCGCGGAGCAATGCACCACGTTTATTAGCAATGTCCGAGAAAAGTCCGCACAGGTCATCGAAGAGCGCGAACAAGTTGTCCAGGAACTCTCAGAGGTTCAACACACGCTCGCAGTGCTCAAGTGAGATCATCCACCTCTCTCTAGCATCCCTTTAGCTCACGACTCGTAGAGCGCAACGTGCAAAAGATGAGCCGAAATGCGAACAGCTCAAAGATGAGAATGCAGCCCTGACCGCCCAACTCCTTGCAGCAAAGGAGGTTCACACAGGACTCACCAAGGATATTGAAAGTCTAAAGATTGAAAGGGCACATCTTCAAGCTCGAAACGAGACTGTCAACTCAGAGTCTGCTCTACTAATGGACAGCAATTCCCGTACCCGCTCGCGTATCGTGCAGTCTCCAGAGCGTATAAGGCGCAATATCACGACTATGGGGGCTACAGCTATCGAAGAAAAAAGGGCGGTTGCATTGCACGAAGCAAAGGCACGAGATCTGCAGGCGAAAATTTCGGCACTCGTAAATATCGAAAAGGTCTCATCCTCCGTTATGTTAACAGTGTGGTTTCATCTAAATTATCCGTTCAGGACGTCCGATCATGTATTGAGCAACTGCAGACGACAGAGAAAGAGGTGCAGCTCCTGGAAGCTTCACAAAAGGAACTCGCAGAACTCAAAGACAGCCTTGAGTACAAGAAGGTAGAGCGCGGCGAGCTGCAGAAGAAAACTGAGGTGCGTGACGACATTCTCTTTTAAGTACATATTAATACGTGCCTCTCAGCGCGTACACAAGCAACTAGCAAACGCGCAGGAGAAGCTTGAGAGGGCGCAGAGACATGCAGAGGAGAAGCGACAGGCCAGTCAGCAGACGATTGAACGTCTCCAGCGAGAATACGAGAAGATGGACGTTGAGCGACGAGAGAATGACAAGCAGGTGGAGGAACTCCGGATGGAAGCGGGTGACATAGAATCCAAGGTAATCTTGGGTCTTCTTCTCCTTCGACTCCCACATCCTAATGGTCCATTTCAGATGGCGGAGCATCTGAAGAAGAGCGAAGCAGAGCTCAACGAGCTACTCACGGAGTATTGGAAGCTTCGACACGAGACAGGTGATTTTGTTACTCTTTGTTTGCATCTATCACTCAACAATATCCAGAGGTGTACATGGAAACCCTCGCGAACAAACTAAATATGAACGTCTCCTCGGACTGAGCAGAGTGCCTACCTGACCTTGAAGCCTCAGAATAAATAGCTTGAGTCGACTTCGATTTATGGTACCTTGATACTTTTTTTTTCAATTACATCGTCAGTGTACAAGTGGCAACGGTGCAAACAGACAGGTGCGTCGAGATCATCGTTTTTTGCCTTTCTGTGTCATGCAACTCTGGCAATACCATTTCCGCCTTTTGGGAGCTTCACTGAGACCAGTACATGGCAGGTGAAACTGAGAATGGGCATTAGTAATTGTCAGCGGAACATCTTATTCACTTACCCATTCCACCTTGCAATCATCACTATCGCAAGCGATCATCTGGGATACATGCCGTGTCAACTTCATCTAAGAAAGATCCAAAATGATGCTACTTACCGTGCCAAACGACACCTGGTTACAATAACAATACCTCAGTTCGTTCGGATCCGCAGGTCCTGCTTGAGCTGGAATTTTGAGCTTCACGCTCCTCGTCGTGCGAGTGGCTGGCATCCTCAAAACTTCTTCAGGGGGTGGTGGCGAGGTCTCAAATTGTGGCTCCGGTTTCTTGCGCGCCTTTCTGCCCCTGCCAAGTCTTGCAGACTCCGCATGCAGCTCATCTGTGAGATCTTGAGGCAAAGGGTCAGCGGGAAGTTCTAGGGAAAGTGAGGGTGTAGGGCTGTGTTCTATGCGGGTCGGGCGTGCCCAGCGCGGTACGACGAGGTCGGGAAGAAGTATCGGAGCGAGATGTGTCCCTGGACGAATTCCCAGAGAGATGGATGCCTCTTGTTCCTTGATAGCTTGGTCCAAAAGACGGATATGTCGATCAACCTGTGCAGCCGATTAGAGGTAGGAAATCGGAAGAAAGGGATGTGGTACCGTTTCGTAAGCAGTCTGTGCGATATTGACTTTCTCCTCAGAGGCACGGAGGACCTCTTCTGATGCCTGCGCGATGTGTTGCAGCAATATCCGAGTTGTTTGTTTTGAAGTGGGCATCTCAATAGATGGAGACTCCAGGCTGCGCGAAACGGAAGCAGTAGGACTTGCATCCTTTGAGTCATTTGGTACTTCAGCGGGCGAGTCATTGTTGACTTGATCGTTTCGAGGTGGGGATCCTGTTGCCTGAGGTGGATCCACCGGCATGGCCTCTGGATCTAACGCGGCCGAGATGTTCAATTTATTCTGATTTGTGTCGACGATTATACCCGGCCGTGATGCAAGCTGTGTACGCAGTGCGATATACTTCCGCACATTGTCCAGCAAATCTGCATGATAGACTGAAAATACAGCAGCTCCAGTGCGATCAAACACAGACGGAACTTGATTACACGTACCCTCGCTTTGATCATCCAGTTCGCGTATGAGCGTGTACTGGCGATGAAGGGACAACGGAAGCTGCTCGAGTACTACGACATCCAGTTCAGCAGATTGCACAATTAACATATTTTTGACTGGCATACTCTCGTGATGTTCCTCTTTGAATGCATCCCAAATTTCGAGTTCCTTCCTCCGTTCTTCGGAGTCATGTCCTTCTCCAGTAGTATCCGCATCTGACGTGTGCTCTACGTCGTGCTCCTCCTCAGCAGGAATAGCCTGAGAACGTCGACGCTTGCGAGACATGGTTGGCGTCACAAGTTGCGGACCGCTGCGGGCCTTGACCGTTTATTACAAATTTCCCTATACATAACTGATAAATTTTCTAAGAATTTAGCAGTATATGCATATTGCAAATTTTAGCGAGCCTCGTGGCCGCTTGGCAGTTGGCAATGCAGTGTGTGCATAGGTTGACACCGTCTGCACAGCACTGCGTTCCCTAGGACTGCGAGGTTGATTGAGGTTTTATTGTGCACTATATTCCAGGTTTACAAGCAGGAACCCATCATAACTTGAAGCTCGATCGTGCGTTACTGGCCATGCAAATAACATGAAGCGAGCTCAGACTAAGAGAACAACAGAGAACGTTATCGGCTTATTTATAAGTAAGTCCGTCTTTTAGCCACGGAAGTTCTGATATCATCAGACGCCCAAGGAAAGAGCATGCATAAACAGCATGTCACTTACACGAGAAGCACAGTTATAACAGACACTACCTATCAAGTGTACTCCCGTGTCCTGTAGGAGGCTCTCTCAGCCATGAGTGTATTCAATGCTCTTGTGAGCCCAACATTGGGTATTCTCGAGATAGCTGGTGCTGCATCTGGTGTCCCGTATGCCCAAGGGGCTGGGATGGCACTCCAGGCTATCAACACCGCTTGCAATCAAGTGGCCATGCACAAGGTATGCTTTTCTCGTGTTAACACTTGCTTCAGCTCAAGCCCACACAATAGCGTAATATCCCTTAGCGCAAGTCTGCCCAACTTGCTCACAGATGCACATCGCTGCTGAACCTGATCAGTGAACACGCAGCTGGACCCGCTTGCGATGAGATGCGACCCTCGTTAGAAGACGCTGAATTGTACGTCGTCTGGGTTCTTGGTCTCCCTGTTGAAAAGGTTCACAGTATCGAGACAGTGTTCTATATGCTGTACGAGACCGCATACAGAAGTGGTCGCGATATAGCAAAGTGAGAAGTTTCTGTACGTGTCTCAACTATCACGAGCCTTCATGTGCTCACACGATGCCCTAGTCAAGAGCTCGCAAATAGAAAACGACCTGGACAGGTGCCAGAACGATGTGAATGCAGCCATGGAGCGCCTGCATGTAAGCCAGCTGCTGCTATTTGTGCTCAGGTGTTCAAGATTTTTGCAGGTTAAGAATCCCCTATCAGTCATGATCATGCAGAAGAAGTCTATGGACATCATGAAAATGAATCATGATCGCATCGAGGAAAGGCTGGCGCAGCTCATCATATCCCCGCAGCAGGTTTGGGACGCTGTTCAACGGCATCACGCTGGCGGTCAGGATGCCCTTGATCTCATGAGGACCGGCCAGGAGGCAAGTTCTGATGGCGCTTGATGCTTTCTTTCTTAGATCCTTATGATCCCTTCACAGCGTTTGATACAACTACATTTACAATCACCGCCTGAAATCTCCCAGTCGCCGAACCGGATGTTTGAGGGACCGATGTTTGAATCTCCACCACCCTCGCGTTCTTCCTCGCTGGAGGTGACGGTGCAAACTCAGATTCAAAGTGCTCTGACAGATTTACGACGCCTAACAAACATATCTCCGACTCTCAAAGTCTTGAACAATCAAGTGAAAAAGGTCAGTGGCTCGGCTCCAATATGCTCTGGAACGTACAGCGATATCTGGCTAGGAGAGTTTCTAGGAGAGAAGGTAAAGCCAGACCTTGATGACATGAACTCGGTGACTAACAGCTCCTCAAGGTGGCACTTAAAACCTTGCGCAGTATCACCGACCCTACAAAAGCCAGAAGGATGACGAAGGTATGCCGTGGTCTCCGTTCACATGGCTTGACTGTTATTGATATGTCGCATAGCGCTATGAGCACGAAATAAATGTTTGGGCAAAGCTCAAACACGACAACATTCTGACGATATATGGTGTCATCACTAACTTTGGACCTGTTCACATCGTAAGATCCTTGCTCATGTAATCATAGATAACAACTCTATACCCTGCACAGGTGTCGACGTGGCAAGAAAATGGCAGTGTCCTAGAGTGTGTTATGCTGGAATACAACAGTTTCCCTCTTACTTACTTAACATTGCCCAGATATCGCATCAAGAACCCTGAGATCAACCCCCTTACTTTGGTAAGTATGCTAGTAACCCAGCCATTGCCTCGAAACTCATCTTGATAACAATCAGCTCACACAAGCGGCGAGGGGCATCGAGTATCTTCATGGAAGCAACATTGTTCATGGAAATCGTGAGTGCATCTCTGTACTTGGTGAGAACAATCGATCTGACCTTACGAGTAGTGAAATGTGTAAGCTGCCATAATTTGCAAGTAGATTTGATCGTTCACAGTTTCTGACCAGAATAATATGCTGGTCTCCTCCGAAGTGCGTGTCCTTTCTACCTGAGCTACTTAACAGTAAGGGTCTGACTCACTTCTCGATGCAGGGTGTAGTATGCATTGGCGACTTTGGGCATACTCAGGTCCTAGACGAAGTGCTCGGGAGGGACGCATTCACCGCTTATACTGGATCCTCCAACGTGCGCTGGAACGCCCCAGAACTCTTGAGTGGTGACGATGTCAAGCCCACGAAAGCCAGTGACGTCTTCGCGTTCGGAATGTCTATCCTGGAGCTTGTTACCAAGCAGGCACCCTATTCGCACAGAAAACGTGATCTCGCTGTTGTCATGGATATCAACGACGGTCGTTTACCTCTTCGCCCAACCGAGCCGGCAGATGTCTCGCTGTTGCTGCATGATCAACTATGGGAAGTTTTGAATAGATGTTGGTATTATGAAGCTCAAGAGCGGATGAGCATCGAAGACGTCACGATCCGTCTTGAGGAATCGTTGGAATTGGCAAACGGAAGAGGCGGTGCTGAAATTGTTCGATGAGATGTTGTCCTCTCCCAAATAGCTTTGGACGTCGCATGTCACAATCTATATACATATGTGATATTGTACGCATTATTTAAAACGATCTTAAAGAGATCTGCGGCTTGACGTTCTGTACCGTGGCCGCTGTACCTTCTACAGCCTTCCGGATTGACATCTCGAGTACTTCCCGCACAGAGGGATCCAGCTGAGTAGTGGCCTCCTTGAAGGATGCGGGCGAGCTAGCTGCGAGGGAAAGTAAGTGTGCTATGCCACTGGAGTGTATCGTCGATGGAGGGGTCTGAGATGGACGTAGAAGCAACGTGGTTGTTGGTAGCAGGACGCTCAAGAGGCGGGAACCTGCGAAATTGGAATCAGATATTATAAGGTTTTAAACCAGATCCGCGGAAACTGACGTTGTTCGTCCTTAGCAAGCGAAACGAGTGTTGCAAATGTTTTCCAAACCTCTTCTATCGAAATGGCTTGTTGCTCTGATACTGTTCCGTCATCCACTCGAGGTACCATTTTGGCGATATATTGGATAAGTGCGGGAAGGAGCAGCCGAACGCAGGCTCGAAGCAGTTCGCTTCCAGACGCAGCGAATATAAGGGTTTTGGCGCAGTGAACAGCAACAATAGCCATCTGAAATGAAAAAGCGCTCAGCGGCACGCATGAAAAGTATTAAAGTGACAGAATACCTCATCGCCTTCTTCAAGTTTTTGAGATATAAGGAAGAACAGGTGCTCCACCACATCACGGGAAACTGCCACTTGTATAGGAATGACGGTCAAGATTAGCACCGCCGCCAGAAGGTTAGTTTTGACTTTTCTCGACGAAATTGAACCTTCGCGCCCCCTACGTTGCTTTAGCCTTCCACAAACATGTAGAGATTTTCAAACACAAACCTCATTTCGTCCACGTTCAGTAGACATGAAGACAACAAGCCATGAATAAGCTTCCCGTAACGTGCGCGGTCACTAGGATGGCACGGAAGGGCCAACAAGGATCTGAAACCCGGAAGGGTGGGAGTTGTCAAATCCGCTTCCGATGTTTCGTCTTTCAACAGCTCTGGAAAGGGGTCATGCAAAGGAAAACATCGATGAGAATTTCGTACCGCCATAGAGCATGCAGCCTACTCCTCGTACATCTTCCCGAACAACAGATTCTGTGGTCGAGGCAATGAGGTAGAAAGCACTCAGGGAGCCAGAAATCATCTTTGCAATATCAGACAGATCACCTTCTGCAAGACATGCATCGAACGTTATGCATCAGTGAAAAGATCAGAGGACATACGAATCGACGATGTTCCTGAATTATGGTGAGAGTGTCGAAGGGTATAGGCGAAGATCTTGAGACAATGAGTGCGAACTGAACGCGGAGGAATGGCTGCGTTGCTCTGACTCCCATTGCTGCTAGACTAAGTATGAGAATCACGTGAAGGACAAGTTGTGCGAAGACTCACTTGAGGTCACTTCCGAGTTCATATTGGCCAAAGTGTTTGGCAAAAGAGGTCAGAACATTGATCAGGTGAACAAGTACCCCTGCAGATTCTGTCATAGTCATTCGATGACTGAGACTCATGAATTCTTTAAAAACAGTAGGCTCCAGGAGAGCTTTCCCTGAATAGCGAGGATCGACAAGGCATTTCAGTGCCCCCAGGCAGGCAATCATTGTCCCAACGCGTGAGCTGGTGGCGTCTGGCGAGGACGTCGCGAGTGCTTCATATATAAGGCCAAAGAGGGGGAAGAAAAGGGGCGCTGGTCCTTCCGCTGCGGAGCCGACACTATTAACAGACCCCACATCCTTTCCAAGGATAGCAGCTGACATGTGTTGATCGGAGTGGTTCATGGCATTCGCGACAGCTTGTAGGATCGTGGCCCAAGAAGAGGTGTAGTACTGAGACAGTGAGATTTGTCGATAATAATCGATATAATAAGGACTTACTGGCAGCAGAACTACTTTTCCAAGGCTTGCATACGACGGGTCTAAAGCCACCGCTGAGGCATCATGTATGAATTCGGAATCTGCCCGGATGACAGCGTAATCGCGAAGGCACGCAATCCATTGCGGTGCCAAGATTGGTCTGTATGGCTTGATGACATCCAGAAGGTACGTCTGCTCAGAACTAGCAATTTCCAGACGAGCCCACGCGGAGAGGATAGATACCCTCAGCATGCCTGATGCATTCGGGCTCAAGTCCACAAAATTACCCATAGTCAAGTTGCCAGATTCTTGAAAAGCGTGAATATTTTTATGCGTCAGATATCTCGAGAGGCCTACCATCAACCTCTCCAAGTGCAGTCGTGAGTTGTTTGAGAATTCTCCCCATCCGGCTTACATCTTTGACGACGCCGCAGCCAACAAATACTGCGCAGGCATCGATAGCAGAAGACAGAATTTCAGGAGTGGAATCCGGGGAAAATGCGGGAGTAAGTGCAGCTGTGATAGGTGCTTGATGTTGCTCAAGCAGAAGAGCATCTGGATAGTCAGGGTCCGGGGCCTGGCAAAATACCTATTGAAATACATATATATATATAAAGAAATGTGACACAGATTACAATGCACCTACCTGGATGACATCGCGTAGTACAACTAAGCCTTCTAGTCGTATCTCTGTGACATATGCCGCAGACGCTGTGAATGCCATTTTGATCAAATCAGGAACACGAGACACAAGGAGGCCGTTCACTGGAATGCCATTGCTACGAGCGAAGGGTATGTCGAGGTGCTCTCTGCGTCCATAGCGCGCAACTAGGGTGCAGATGTCGTGTAAGCATCGCAGTGCAAATAGTTGCGTCCTCCAGCGTGATGTAGCAACCATAGCCGCGCTGCCCTGCCTTGCGTCATCGTTTGACATGGATGCACTCAATGATTGACCCTCGTCGTCCATCAGACTGTTGGCTGTATCGACGACTTTCTGGGACGCATTGATGCGCAACATAATCCTCTGGCAAAGGTCAATCCACGCGGATGGATTGTGGATCGCTGTCTGAAGGAGCCAGCTCGAAATCACGTTTCTGACTCCATCAATGGACGGGTCGCCGTCCAGCATTCCGAACAAATCTTCCACAAGGCGATCTCCACCTAATCGGGACATTGCTAAAGCGTCCTTCTGAACCAACTGATAAAGGGCATCAATTGCTGCGAGTTTGAGGCATCGTCTCGGTGAATTGAGGTGTCTTCTGAATCGATTCACGATCTCCGGGACGTCCACATGCTCGGGAGCAAACATGAGGAGATGCTGGATACACCTTATGGCTTCCACTAAAATGGGTTCGTCAACTTCCACTGAAAATTCGTGAACAAGGTCAAGTACAATTGTCCTCGTCCGCGGAGAGTCGTGAATATCAGGGCCGAGAATGGTGATGATCGCATCCAGAATGGAGCAGACAAGTGGATAAGCTTGCAAGTCACCACCGATATTAGCGTTATTCAATGTTCCTCCCTCGGCCTCGTGAGTGTCTGACAGGTATATTTTGAGCAGCATTCCTAGGGTGCTTGACACGAATGGAGCGAAGGCCAAGCTGGCGGCATTGATGACATGTCCCAGTGCACGGAGGGACCAGAAGTGAACCAACGGATGAGAATCATTGCTCAAGGACATCAGAAGGTTTACGGTTGTTTTTAAAATGGGCGCTGCCGCAAGTCCACCGACATGGCCGTATAGAGATCCGAACGCAAGCGCACAGCCAGCTCGTCCTTGGGGATCGCGGTTGCATACAATGTGATCGACCAATACCTTGGTTTGGCTGGTCAAAAAAGAGCTTCCAGATATATTGGCAAGGCGTCCAATGGCCTCGCTGCTAGCAGATCTTAATACGGGGTCACCATCCACAAGAGCATCCTGCAAGTGAGTTTAAGAAACTCATGGCCGAACCGCAGTCAAAGAGGAGGCTTACTTTCAAGAATGCTCCGAGAGCTGAAGTGACTTGAGAGTGCCCAAGGGTATCCTTAACTTGACGATGATGCGAGATCATGGAGACACGCAGCGTCCGTACGATGGCCACAACACTATTAACCATTACAGCGGCCCTCCTCCCAGCGTTCTTGTCAAGCTTCGGAGAACGACTGGACTCTATCAAATGATTGATCGTGCGCAGAGTGGTGCTTAGGTCCTGTGCTGGCAGCAACTGAGAGAATAGTTCGATAGCGGCGTCACAGACTGACGACACAGCCGGTGGCGCATTGAAAGGCCGGCTTTCCTCTTCTAATGGGTTTATCATAACAAGAGAGAGCGTATCGTGCTCACAAGCTCCCAGTATCGGCTTGCGTAGCTATAAGCATGGATGAGTCATTGGATGGAAGATCCACAGATGATAATGTCCTACCAGGGCGCTTATTGAGTACTCCATGCTATCGCTGTTGCTGTGGCCTCGGCGAGGACCTTCAGACGCTGTATTTTCGTCGGCCCCGTCTTCAGATATTTCGAGCGTAGTGAGTCCATATGCATAACCATCTGTGATCTGCCAGATTGAAGTGAAGCTGCCAGAGGTAGACGCAATGGAGGCTTGCATCGCGGATATGTTGTCGATCTCGGGACCCGCAAAAACAGTAAGGACGGATTGCAATAAGCTTGCTTGGACAGAATCCGTTAAAGTGGAAGCTCCAAGAGCGGTGAAGCACTGGTATACCCTACGCCGAAGAGACGCTTCGCGAGTTCGAAGAGACGGGCCAGTATCTTGATTGGCAGAAGGCCCGGAAACCTCTTCAATAGTCTGCGACAAGAACGCATTTGAAAACGAGAGGGCATTTCCCAGTAGAGATGAGACTCTCCGGGCGACGTCAAGAGTGGTGAGTTGGCTATTGTGAAGCAAAAAACAGAGGATTGCCCCAAGTGCACTTTCGCGGACATGCAGGAGAAACTTCCACTCGGCAGCTGACCGACCCAAAGCGTTGTCTTTCGCGGTGGATTTCGGTAATGCATTACGCCAAAGAACCAACAGCTGAGGTAGATGTGACCGGACAAAATTTGGTCCAAGCAGCATCAACGATGCAATCAAAGTCCAGGCCACTTCAACCTCTACTCCTGCGACATGAACATCATGGTCACTAACGCGCTTGAGGAGCTGAGTGGCAGTGTCAAGAACGCTGGCTGAGACGTCAAAGGACACGTATAGGGGGCGGTGAGGCACAATGGCGACAAGGGCTGCCAAACCATAAGCGTGGCCCAGGGTTCTGCGATCAATGTCTGATGGAGCTGCAGGAGATTGAAGGGATTCGATGTCGCGTTGTAGAGACTCCGCGATCACCAGTATTGACTTCGGCAGACGGAGCGGGGTAGAATAGCAGAAGCATCGGAGGGTCCAGCTCGCATTGACACGAACCGAGTGGCTTGGATGCGTGAGCAGCGTCATCAATGGTGCAGAGACAGCGTCCTACGCCGATTTTATGAATATACCGAAAGTTCCAACTTCACAGCGACCTACCTGAACTGGCGGAGGCGCGTTGCCCAGTTGTTGCAACAGACCTGCAACCTCTTCCAGTGCTATTGTCAGAATAGCTGAAGATGGGGCCACCTGACCTGGCATCAATGCTGGCCATCGTTTCAAGTATGATGAAGAAAGCTCCTGAATTGCAGTTATTTGACCCTGCTCGGTCAGCATTCGTAATGCGATTAGTTCTCGTAAAAGAGTGCCGACTAGCTTCCGAATGAAGAGTTTGTCGTATCTCGTAGCTCCATTCCTGGGATTGGAGACGATCTCGGTCATGAGGTGACCAACAAGTAGAGAATAATTGACTTCCACAAACGCTGGTCCAAGTTTCGCCAGCAGCGCGATGTAAAACATAAAAATTCCGGCACGAGTTTTTCGGCTGTGAGATCTGTTAAATTGGGCGGAGATATGTGATAGCATATCTCCTGGCGTCAAGAGGACTTTGGTGTTTTCGGCTGCGACATGTGCAGGAGTAGAGATATCAGAGTCTTCATGTTCCTTCTTGCCTTTTTGTGACTGCTCTGCGACTGCCACTACACGTTCCATTTGAGTCGCCGCGAGCATATGTCCCACTAGCTGCGCCAGTGCTTGCGTCGTCACCTGGTCACCGTTCTCGAGACTTTTAACGCAAATAGTCATAATCGACTCCACATCTGTGAGCGTGACGGAGTCCTCGGGGGTATACATGATCCCCAAGACCTGCATACAGTTAAGTTCCCAAATGCAGTTCACGGACGAGAATCTCACAGCAGCAGCAGCTCGTTGGACAGGGAGAGCTTTATCAGTTAAACCGTTCTTCATTTGCTTGATTATGTCCTTCGCGAGAGAGTCGCTCAAAGCCTTCTTGGCTGAAACCAGGGTTTTCCGAAGCATGGTGAGCGCATGATATCGGACGTGCGGCGACTTTGATAGCGATGAGAGACGTCAAGCGAATAACTTGCAGATATTCAACGCACCGCAGATGACTTGAATGTTTTTATTCCGATAGTGGCGGTTTCAGCCATGAAGGACATGAACTGCCTCGGGATATCAGAGTGCTATAGGAAGAGAGGGAAATGTCGAACCTGGGAACCAAAGGCCTCCATCAACTCTCCAACGGTCCATAGTGCAGCGCTGTAGGTTGGATGTCATTCACAAGTACTGAAAAAGCATGAATTTCCTCCTTACATTCTAGCTGGCTCCTTATCCGTGGCTTTGATGTCAGAGGCCGGCTTGAGCAACGCCCTTAGAGTGTCAAACAATGACCTGGATTCTCCGCGATGATACATGATTAAGAGACATCTGGCAGCTAGGTTGCGCAGCGGCCGACCAGGAGAAGGGTACGGCTCTGAAGGTATAAGCACTTTCAGTAGCGTGGCTTCTAATGAAGCTTGCGACTCTTTGAGGGTTTCCTGCGAAACGTTGAATTGCAATGAAGTACAGACAGTTTGAAACCACACACGGTGTTCACATTCCTTGAGTCTTTTCTCCAGATTCGACAACCACTGAAACAAGTAAAGCTCGCCAGTGTCAGCTGTCAATTGATTCTGCCTGTTGTGTGAGCTATCTCCCACGTCTACTACGAACTAACGCATGACATACCTCATCTAACTCTAACTCTTCGATATCCTCCTTGGACGTCATGATCCGGGAAACCAATGAAGTTTGAGGCTCAATGAAGTGATATACTCAGCCAACTAGAGTGATGCCTAGGTCTAAGTAGTGGTGGCAGTACAGTCATGTAAACATCTCCTACCTACCACCACATATCCATTAGTACAAACGCTTAAGAATCCACATTTTCGTCCTGTTATTCTCGTCCGATCCGCTCAGTGTTCCTTGATCAGGCCTCAGGCCTCAGGACAAGCGCTAGTCACATACAAATGCAGTTCGTGATAAAATGAGATACAGTCAGAAACTGGTGTGACATCAACAACGGTACTACTTAGGAATATGCGAAAATCAATCCGTCTTCACTGGTGCACGTTTCACCAAGTATCGGCCAGACGTTACCCACCACGTTGCAACACAGCACAGACCCATCCCGACACCCTGTGCTAAATGAGATATCACGATTGCGGAAAGTACTGCTCTACGGCCTTCCGTTTGAACTAGAAGGACGGCCCGATCATGTATTTTGGTCATGGAGATTGCCAAGTACGATATCACGGCAGCCAGAAGGAATTGCCATGTTGGCATCGAGGTCTTCCATCTGTGAGTAGTTTTATTTCTGTTAAAGAACGTCGAAGCGTATTGTGCGGCGTAGATGATACGGGCTAGCAGGTTGATTATGTTTGCGTATACCAGAGAGACATCACCGAAGCCCGATGCGTAAAAACCAATTGCGGAAAGAAAGAATGTTATGGAGAAGGCAACGAGCCACCTGATCATTCAAATCAGGTTAAGTATAAACTGTGGTGAAGGGAGGACAGACCTGCTTTGTCTTCGAAGATCTTTGGGAGTCGCGATGCTCGAGAAGAAAGCTTCAAGCACACCATTGATCGCAAGTGCAGGGATATACCACATCCAAGCTGCGAGAACTTTCGGAGCGCTTGTTGATAGGTACTGGAACGGGAGCAATAGGTGCAGAAAGATCGGAAGATAAACCGTCGCAAATACAATGACCAGGACGGAACAAGCCAGTTGGATGGAGACTAGTGACAACAAGGTCTCCGAGGCTTGAACTAGCGTACGTCTGTCGGTTTGTGCGCCAGTCGAGGGGCACAAAATTCTTGAAAAGTAGACTCGACACATTTCCTCCAGAGGCTGAAAAACTATTCGTGCCACTAGAGAACCTGCGCAAAGGTCGGACTGTCACGACACCTGTAACATCCCAGTCTGGAACGTTGGCGCACCATAGTTCACGGCGATCGCGTATCCTCCTTGATCCTGCAAAGGGCTCCACCAAGACAATATAATCTTGTCCCCCTCTGTCAACATATGTTTGACAAGGGACTGCCCAGTCATAGTCAGAGACAGATGCAGACTGCTAATGTCAAAGTATCGTGAGGCAATGAGATAGAATCTTGATCTGACAGCTGTAATCAGAGAATTGACCCTTAAACAAGTCGACGGACTCACCTGGAGTCGGACATTTCATGTGACTGTCGTGTAGCAAGACGCGTCGGCCAGAAGGTGGGGTATCCCATCTGATACACGTAACTGAAAAAAACCACAACACTGTATGCAAGTTGGCCCAGCGCAAATGCCACGAGCGCAAATTCCCCGGATGTCGTCGGGTCGTACAGGAGGACAAGATAAGTGACAAGGGTCTTGCACGTTATCCCGAGACCTTCAGCTCTTACTCTAGCTCCAGTGCGAACTTCACCCATGGCCCTGATAAGTTGAGAGAAGATGCATGCCACTGATATTTTCTACATACTGATTGTGCATTGGTTCGCTGAGGAGCTCGCTCAGCGCAGCGAACACGTAGGTCGATAACGCAACATGAAAATATGGCTGACGACGAACGTCGGTGCTGGCAAGAGTAGCATACACAGCTGTCGTAGCCAGAGACACTGGAAGTCCTAGGATAATGGGCAAGGCGGATAGATTTGCCAAAGCGGGTACGCGCTCGTCTTTAGAACTTGATCCTTGGTTATGAATAGTAGTGTCCCGCGGCCATGCTCTGAGAAGCGCATTCCTGACGCCTTCCCGACTGAGAAATAGTATGGTGCTCAAGATGAGCTCGAACTGGATTGCAGCAATTCCGTATGCTTGTGGGGAGGCTAATCGGAATAGTGCTTGATTCAGAACGAAGGTCAATAGACGAGAGCCAAGCTGGAGACCCATGAGAGAGAATAACGAGGTAAGAGAACGTGTTAACAGCCCGCCATCTTTGTCTTTTGAATGTGCTAAGGATGGTGCTTGCTTCATGGTGCAAGAGTTTGATCGAGAAAAGGTATCTCTGTGGCACACTTAATACGAATAAATCAAATTGGCAAGGGCGTGTGTTTGGTCGTGTTACGAACAAAAGCTGCATAGCCTTGTTCGCAAGTACTAAATACTACTCTTAGCTACCTAGCTTGCAAATGATAGTCTGTGACACACGTAGTCCTCCGTCTGACGCGATGTTAGTCACCAATATTTCTAGCCATCGTTTCCTCCGGTCTTTATAAATTCTAATGCAAGTGTGATGTGTCTGTTAAATCTCGTCCCTCTGCGATTGAATCCGCTGAATCGAAACAACGGGACTGGACTGCCACGCGAGGGGGGAGGGCAGTGCGCCGTGGACTATTACATGACACAGTACGAGGGATTTACATATGGGAGTGCTGACCATGGTGCGTCCATCCCTTGCATCGGGTAGAGAGATATTGTGGGGGTCAGGACAGGTTTCTGTAATGTAGGAGAACAAATGGCGGGATAAATTAGGATGAATTTCGGGCGTCTAAGATGGTGCGAGAACGGTGTATTCCACAATAGGTTTTGGTACTTGAGAACAGAAATTCTCTGTGCCGGCACGACGGTTGAGATTGGTGGATACCTCAGGCTGATGGGACCACAACCACCTGTGGCAAGGATCTTTCTATTTCCGGATCGAAATATCAGGTTGACCATTCATCCTGTGCATACAGCTTTGTTGGTCCACTTCATCGTCGGAAAGAGTGTCAGAATTAGATCCTATTGTTGCGTGGAAAAAAACTTAGATTTGAACAAGATGTATTTTGAGCAGGCACCTTGTGCGTTGTGGTTGCTCTGCTGAAGGCGCTGCTCGGCGACCTTGGACAATGGGGAAAATGTGTTTAGCAGGGTGTAGATCTGCCAGAAAGAAAGGGGGGGAAACTACAATTACACCGCGTAAGCAGGAATGGCGTGGTAGTTGACAGGATTTTTGCCAGGCTTGTTTATACTGAGTCTAGGCGTGAAAGCCACGGCCTACTTGGTTCTCGAAGCCCTTGATTTTCACGCGGTATATTCGGCTACTTTGGTTACGAGCGCCGAGCGGCAAGAAAATAAAACCTGCAGGACGGATGAGGAGAATGAGCATGGTGTCAACTCCGACTGCTTGTTCAGCAGAGCGGCGGCGGAGTCCAGCACCACATGCTGCGGTCAAATCATCATGGTCGGTGCGCTGTCCACTGCGAGCACAGCAATAAAAACAATACACCTCGGTAACTGCCACTTCTACCTGCGTCCTCGTCGCCTCAATCACGGGAGGCTCGAACCGGAATTTGTCATGAAGAATCAATCGATGTGCCACCAAACGCACGAATTTTGCCCACACGAATTTTGCAAGAAAAAAACGGGAACACTTCTGATCTTCCATGATGGACAGCCTTGAAACGAGGGGTATTTCTTCAGGTACGGGTGAGAGTTTGTCAGTACCGGTCGATGATAATGTTCATGGATTTAACTCACATCTTTCAGATCCGTCACAATACCTCAATCATCCCAGATCCGCCCTCCGATGTTTGATGCTCAAGCCTGTCAAATAATTTCTTGCGAGAATAATCAAACCACGTTGTATCCAAGATATGCCTTCGGACAGCGTCTTCCAAGGCGAGGGCGGCCAAGGACCGATGATAGTGAACTATGGAGCAACGGTCGCCACAAAGGCCATCTCTCGGCCCTCGTTTATCCCCCTTCGCGTTGGACGGGAGACCGGAGGGGAGATTGACCTGGATAATTATTTCGAAGTCCCCCATGAGGTGCAAGAAATCACTCATGGCCTTCGCCTTACATGTGGCGTTACTAGATAAGATAACAGTAAGTAACTCCAATCTACTAACTTCCGGACGGCTTTGACATGGACTTCTATGTTCAGGAATGCATCCCAGGTAAGAGCATACGGCCACTACTTACACTTACTGGGCATGCGCTGTCGCCACGCTAGTACCATCATGTGGGATGGCGCCGATTACCATCCCCCTATTTCTGGGGTCCATTCATTACCTGCCACATCTTCAATAATCAGCTGCTGTCCGAGGGGGTTATCGGGACTACTCCGGATTCAAATTCATTGTCCCAGTGATTGGAATTAGGGACCGCGGCCAGCGAGACACCGCACAACGATCGTAGGCGAAGCATGCCAGTCCTAAAATATGCAGAACTCTGGCACGCCAGCCGTGTTCCGAACATAGTCACGATGATGGATCTCAGTGACTCTCGGAGAATTCAAGGTGCATAACACGTACCTGCTGTGCATATCCCTACGTCATAGGGCTCGAGTGAAGACAAACGGACATGATTCAACCTTTTTTTTGCGTGCTCTTCCCTCAACCGTCGCGCGCTAATCACAGAGATCAACGTTCGACTCTCCGCGTTGTTCGACCCGCCCCGCTCTGCGAGTTGCGCAAGCATGGATTTTGTCCCATGTGCCTCCCAATGGATTTTACCGTTGTTCCTGGCTTAGCCTAGAGCCTTTTCGACCACAAGCATCGCCCGATTCCATTTCAATGGAGTAGAGTTCTGGGGTATCAACGTGGCGATAGGACGTACACGATAAAGCGATGACTCCTCAAGTTCTCTTCGTCACCGTCGCTTCCATTCCACCCCTTGATGGCCTCGATGCTGCTTCCATGGTTAGATTGTCATTTCGCTGTTGCCAAAGAAGGGCTACACCGTGTTGTGCGGCTGGAAGATTACCTTCGGGCCTTTATTGTCGGCCTTGCAAGTTGGCTGTGTCTGGTCTTCGCGACACAGACGAGCACCACTTGCGCATGTTCTTGGTTCGAATGTTGTCACATCATCAGGCTGGGCAGCCAGAAGGTGCCGAAGTCGCATCCATCGCACCGTGAGCAAACCATTATTACCTCAGGCGCGTTCCTCTCGAGCGCTAACTTTCTACCAAATTCTCTCTGCGCAGATCCTTCTCACTCCCAGGCTCTCGCCCGAAAAAATCATCTTGGCACACCCCCAAATAAATTCGATTATATCCATAAACAAAATGTTCCGGTGCAGGACCATGGGAACCCAGAGCCGCGGAGCGCAGAACGCAGCGACGATGCTCCACCGCATTTCCGCGAACTATGGGTGCCTGTGGATCGAGATTCTGGCAAGGCCTAGCAATTTAGGGAATAGTGGGGTATTGATTGACGGGATCGAACCGCAGAATGCGGGGGGATGTTACACTCTCGGAGGATGAACTCAAAAAGAATGCATTTTCGTGCATTTTCGTACACAGCCTGGCGAATGAGCGGGTTGTAAGGTTTATTCACTAGTTACGTTCGTTATCCTCGTGGGTTTCGTGCGGAGGATATTCTGTTCACGTTCCAATACAAAAATTTGACCTTGACAGAGGCGTGAATTTAATTTGAACTCAAAATGTTGGATCAATCAAAGATGGCAAAGGCAATAATGCATCAAGCAAATAGACCCAGGTAGACGAACAACGAGGTATGGACAGTGCTATAGTACAGAAAGACGACACAGGCAAAGACGAGATGGGATGCATGTAGGTTGAAAACAAGCCCTCTGTTTAATATACAAAGGACACATCACAAAGGCACGTTACGCGAAATCAAGAAATTAGAGGGAGAAAGGTTGTCCTTCGAGATGCCATGCACCTCATCTAGTCGTCACCGTGATTCCGCCCATTCAGATGCCCAGAGTCGCTCGACCCACCGGCTGAAGGCGGCTTGCCGTACATTTGGGGGTACGGAGCATAGTGAGGGCTCATCATCTGCATCTGGCCGTCTGGACGATGCGGATACATATACCCGTACGACTGCGGCGCATATGGAAGGAATGCAGCCGGAATGTACTGGGCCATGGATGGGTAGCCCTGTTCTGGATCTTGACCAGGGTGCCCGTTTTGTCCAGGATGAGGCACCGGCGTAATCGCATAGAACTGGGGATAGTATGCTGGGGAGGCCTCACCAGGCTTGGGAGTGGGCGACCCCGGGAATTGCCCCGGGAACATGGAATACCCTATAGGCGCCATATAAGTCGCCTGTAAAGGCGGCGACGCCGATTGGGCTGGCACTTCCGTCGTGACGGGAATGCTGGGTTGCTCGGGCACATCGCCAATGTCGGCATTGGTGCCTGCACGATCTCAACGAGAGTCAGAACGAAGAGGAACGAACCAATCAGATAAGAGCATGGGCGGAACGAATGCACGAATGGCGTCTCAGAGTATGGCACAAATAGAGGGATTATGATCTTACCTTTGCCATCGCGCTTCTTGTAGGGTCCCCTTTTCACGCCTTTTTTCCTCTCCTTGCGCTGGGAATCGACACACTCTTCAGCGATGCCGTATTTAACGCAACGGAGGCAAGGACGGGCGTCGTCACACTTCTTGCATGCCTTTTGACAGTTTGTACAAGCGTTCTTGACCTGCCTGCGCTTAGAGCGAAGAGGTTGTGTGGCGACTAAACCGGGTGGGAAAGGATACATGTGCATGGGCATACTAGAGTAGCCATTAACGGGATGAACGGTCATTTGAGGCTGAAGGTCTGTAGACTGCGCCTCAGCGAGGTCGTCGCCGTCTGGCGTTTGATTGCGCTCCACAGAAGACATGCTGCTGAGGGCGAGAGAAGAAGAACTGATGCGTGGCGAACCCAACTATAGTGATGAAGTTCGAATTTGTTGATATTTATGGATGAATAGGAAATATAGCTGTGGGTAAAGACACGAGGTAAGTAGAAAAGACGGTGGAGGGGCGGAAGAACTAGTACCGGAAGATTAGCTCAGGGCTCTTTGCCTACACGAGTTCGACACACTTTCGGCCCTTGGTCCCTGTATCTTGCTCACGTGGTGGGAACCGATTAATGCTGTAGGTGGGTGAAGGTTGACAAGTTGGTACCGAAGATACGGGTGTGAGTACAAAGGAGAATTGTAGGCAAAACCGAGTACGGCCTTGAAGAGGATAAGAACATCATTGGAGATTGTCAATAACGGCGATGTCAGTTTCGATTGTGAGAAACCTACATACCTTTAGATTGATGAATGAGACTTTCGCTGAGCTAGCGGACTGTCGGTGATGGAGTTGGAAAGTAAGAGGGGTCGGACGATGCGCTGAGTTCTAACAAAGATCCTTTATATCCTCCAACTTTTCAGCCACTAGTACCGGAGAACGACCTAGAACGACCCTGTCATATTTCTTTTCATTTCAGATATTGCAGACATGACCAAGTCTACTTTAGCCTTGCCTCTAAAAACTAATCTGCAGTTTATGTGGACCAGTTTTAGATAAGTTTACAACCCAACAAGCTTGTCACCCCTTTCAAACCGAAAAGCCACCGCCGGTACGTAGTTCCATCGGCTATTTTACGAGATCCCGCTTTCGGATTAAACCGCTCGGTAGATTATTTGAATCCTTGTACTACGGTGACTGGATGTGATATCCTTCTTGTAAGCTTGAACTGTGGTCAAACGGAATACTACTAGTAGTTGACTTACTGTGACATATTGTGACAGTGACACCGACTCAATGGTAACCGATAGTACTGGTTGATGTAAACCACAGTCATTGACTATTTTTGATCTCAAAGTTCAAACCAGCGAAACGCCCATGGCATCTCCGTGCGTCGTGGGTTCGCATGATGCAATTTTATCCACCGGAATTGGCCTGGCTCCGCGCGTTTACTTGGAAACCATTTCAAGCCCGCGATCCTACGGTATTCCCTTTCGGGTTTGCCTGGGCTAACATACAATGTGTCCTTCCTATGTATTCGCAACGCCCACCGTTTCTTGCTGCAAAATATGGTGTAGCTAATCTCCTATCTGCCTAGGACCTCTCGTTTCAGAACAGCACTAGTGAGTGAAAAAGTACACAACCACCCATCCAGTTTGTTCTCGTCATATCTTACGGACTCCGCGCATCTTGAATCAACTTGCATCAGCCGACCTTGTGTAATTTCTCAAGTCATTGGTCAAGCGCTTTGAATAAGTCGGCTCCATTCAGCCGCGCCTCTCTTGGAGCACTTATCAGAACACAGCTACAATTCAGTTGTCCAAGACGGCCTTACACGCTTCAAATAAGGCTCTATTGCATTCCTACCCTCTCGTGCTGCGTCGTGCAGGCGGTGTGCCGAGATTGATTATTATGACAAGTCTGTCATTCACATCTCAATGGCGTCGAGTTTCTCGTTCCGCATTTGCGCTCATATATATCTTATAAGGCGGCCGGATCCTTTGTTTTGCCTAGAACCTTTACCCAAGATACCGTCAATGACAATGCATGCATGTTTCTAATCCGCCATTCCGCCGTTTTCGACGGAGATGACACACTTATGACGCTTTTTCAGTTTTCCACCTGCTATCCGCGTTCGGTAACACCATACGCCTTACCAATCGCCAGCAACCAAGTTACGCATACTCATTATCGATGACCGCTCTGGATTTCCACCCTCGATGTAGAAATTGCCTTGCATCACAGAAGGAGATCAGCTACTCGCCAAAATCATAAAAATCCCTCCTTTCGGCAGAGGTCGTAGTAAATTTATGTCACAGATCAGTCGTTCGCTCGCCAGCAATTGAATTCGATTTTTTATCCTTCCTTCTTGTTCTCCAATTGCACTGGGTCCGCACCGGTTCCTATCATTTTCCGCCGAGGTTTGGAAGCCGACATCGTGTTCTTCGAAATCTATTAGGAGCCCAGTTTTGGTTTCCTATCCTTCTCGATCATTGTGAAAGTGTTGTCGCCTATCCCTTCAATTGTTTATATACCATGCACGAGGCTCGAGTCATATCCGATAATCATATCTTGTGAAGCGACGGGTAGCCTGCGCAAAAATGGGATATGAAGTCCCTTCACAACAACCCGCATCCTTCCAGTATTTTTGATCACGATCATCTTCTGCTTCTACAGGGACGACCTCGATCTGTCTTACGAACTCTAGCGTTGCCCACCCACGCCGAATTCGTGGGATCGATGACTGGTCAAAAGACACGATGCGGCTGTATGGGAGTGGACCTAAAGACTTGTCGAGTCTTAAGGATCTTCATATCTCCGCATACTCCATAAGTATTTCTCACCATTCACGTTGCTCATCAGATTCTCGATGAAGTTCCTACATTTAATTATGTCCACTACTTTGTGAAGGTGGGTAGCGATCTATTACTAGTATATAGTGGTCGGTGTATCATTTCGGCAAATGTAAGCAATATTCCCCAAGGACAATGGGAGCTGGTGGAAAGCCATTGCAAGCGCAAATAGATCCAAATAACGGGCTAAGGACCAGTGCCACTAGGACTAAGAGAGCCAGCACTGCAGACTCTGAGAGTTCTCTGCTAACGTTCTTGCTAGTCGTCGTCAACAACGGCGACCAGGGTCGCCGTCGCACCATTCAGCAACGGCCTATAGGTATCAGGATCTGGTCTACGTTTTTCTTTTCTTTGTTCTTTACCTACCCGTGTTGCTTTTTTTGAGCTCCACGGTGTCGTTTACGTGTTTCTCTCACTCGTCGTTGGTCTTCCTCTGGAATGTCGGCCACGTCTGCGCTTTTAGAGAGCCAACGTGAGCACGAAATTTACCTCCCATTGACCGCCCAAGGAAACGACAAGAAAATAGCAGATGATGGCTTAGATACATACCAAGTTCATAATACACAGGTAATATCACCTCAAGTTCGTGTCCGAATCACACTGAACATCCTAATCAGCCACGGCTCCATATATCAGCGGCGCCGCCCGACGACGAATTGTCGCCGATGCAGACAGACCCCGAAATCCCATCGCGTTCAGGATCAGTCTCGTCTTCCCTTGACCCGTACTATTTTGGCATTCAGACTCCTGCAGACTCGCCTGCACCGCAGTTTCCTGAACCAGGATTTCTCTCCATGACGCCTGAAACGCGCACCCCAAATGAACCAGTTACGCCAGGGCGCGATCCTGCCAACATTGACAGGATGGGCCTCGTGGGTGTAGGCGAGCTGGCTACCCCGCGATGGGGTAAAATACAGAGGCATCCACATGACGAGGATACAGATATCCATCAGGAGCAGATTCACGGAGATGATGTCCTTGAGGAAGATGTCACGGAACTCGTCATTGACGAGGTCGAGAAGGATGGTCCCGATAGTCCATGGACCATCGAAGCGGTCGACGGCGAGTCAGACGGCAAAGATGAGGTATGATTTTGCCACATCAACATTATATAAACTCACAGGTGGTTTGTAGCCAACGGACGTAAACCCGGTTACCCGTACTCTGCGTTCACGGAGATCTATAGCGGATGAAAGTGGCGGCGAGGAAATTTTGTACCCCCGCAAGCCTTACGGTTCCGACTTCTTGCATCCCACCATTTTACCTAAACATCCCTCTGCATCTCCAGAAGAGCCACCCTCGCCACTTTTGCCCCCGCTCCCTACCGAACAACCCTTCCTCAGTGGCTCGTCTGCTCCCAGCGCATTTACTCCGCTGCGCAAGGCTAAGAAGCGCACGTCGGACGAGTTTGAGATGGATCATACAGGCTCTCTTGTTTCCAAACTGTCGGGTGTTCCCAAAGATCGCACTGGCTCAGCAGCCAGGGATAAGGATGATAAATCTGCATCGACGCGCAAGCATCGCAGCATCGGGTCCAGTGTTTCTGGAAATGCCTCTCGCGATCGTGCCCGGCGTCGGGAAAGCCTCAATGTCACTGCGCCAGCCAAACTTTGTGACGCACCCCCTCCAATGGATCCTACACCTGTGCGCTCGGAAAGGGAGAAACATACGCGTCAGCTTTCCGGTGGATCTTCGTCGTCTGGCCATGAGGCTGCCCTTCACGCACATTCTCGGCGTGTGCATACCACGGACTTCTCTCACCTCCCTCCCTCCCCTTCGACAACCTCCATCCAACATATTCTCCGGCACGCTGGCAGTGCTACCAGTACCACCAATCCACCTTTACGTCCACCCTCATCTCACAAGGACATCGCAGCGCCCCAACCCCAACCCCAAGCTCATTCTTCACCTAATGTTGCACACTCGCTCCTCCGCGGGACACAGGAAGGTTGGTCGGGCTTAGACGACGATGCTCACGCTGAGGCTCTGCGTAAGCTCGACGGACTGTCGACGAAGACCGCACGTGCACGCGCGAGCGTTGGGAGCTTTGGAAGGCCTTCGAGTATGAGTCGCCCTGGGACGCCTGCTAGCACTGCTGGCAGATCTGGAGTGCACTGGGAGGGTGTCAGTTCCGACGGTGGAGGCAAAATGACTCGCCGGGGCAGCACCAAGGACAGAAAGGAGGAGCACCCTCAGCGTCAGCCTATTGGCCTTGGTATTTCTTTTTCCGGGGACGCTTCGCAGGAGCATACCGAAGTTCGAGGTGGTGGGATTGTCAGCAGCGACGAGCATGCGTATAGCTCATCTGGTGTTGAGAAAACTCCGAAAAAGCCGGGTTCTATGAGTACACGCTTGAGTTTCACTCCAAAGCGTGGGTCTGCGTCATCCACTACATATACAAGCACCCCAACGAGTTCGCGTGATTCCGCATCCATGTCAACGGCCACCAGCATGACTTCAGTATCTGGCCCTTCGGCCTCTGGTCGCCATTCAACTGGTGCCGGCAAGGGAAGGCGGAACAGTGCGGGTAGTGATATTTCCAGCGCATACTCAGGTGGTGATGTGGCAGTGTTCAAGGACCGTCAACCTTCCTTCGCCGCCAGCGGTGAAGCACTGGAAGAAGATCGGGTCCCCCCTGTCCCACCGTTACCCAAGGACTTATCTACTTATCGGTCCCCACCCCAATCCTCACATGGCATTACATTCCCTCCTTCTGGCGCCGATGAGAGCGACGTTGACCGCACTATGTCATTAGAGGTTCCCCCGGGGTCTTCGAAGCCACTCTCACATTCGCACGCCCAATACTTATCGTCTGGGAATCACGGAAGCTACTCCTCTCCCGAGTCTGTTCCTTCAGTCACTAAGACGCCCTCGAAGAAATGGAGCTTCTCTGCACTCAATATCAAGCTCACTCCGTCGATGTCGTCGATGAAGGGGAAAGATTCACCGTCGAGCAAGTCTTCAGGCTTCCCTCTCAGTCCCCGATCGGTGCAGACGTTCGGTCAGCAGTTGCGGAAGTCGGGATCAAGGGAACAAGCGCTTTCTCCTCCCGTCGCTCCTGGTGCTTCTTGGTCTCCTGGTCAGCCAGATGCGATGACATCTGCTGCATCCCTCGCCTCCATGTCTTCTGTCGGGTCTACCCGCACCCCGAAGTCCCCTGTTGTCTTATCGGGCAAAGCACCTAGCCGCCCTGAAACGGCTTCTAGTGTCAGCCATCACACGACGTCCGCCCTGTCTGCTCCTCATAATGCCCCACTCAGTCCCTCGTCCATGCGACGTCAGCAATCTAAACGTCTCACGCCATCGTCCATACCATTCTTCCGTCGCTCATCCTCTCAAAGCATGCAAATACCCCCTTCAAACCAAGTTACCATGTCCATATCACCGACGCTATCATCAGGCAATGGTGCTTCTGCATCCCATCACGTCAAGGCAAGCCGCTCTCCAAACAAAGAATCAAGTCGTGGTGTTCCCACTACTCCCGCCTCTTCACAGAAGAAATCGTCCGTGCTTAGCCTTGGCCTTCCCTCATTGCTGAAATCTAGTTCACGGAGAAGTCTGCATGGGGATAAGAGTGATACTGGCACTTCTAAGGAAAGCAAGGAAAGTGCGAGGTCCAAGGATTCGGAGAAAGAGAAGTCGAAGCAAGACCAAAAGGATCGTAGTGAAAGCAGAATATCTGTGTTGATGGGACGTAAGAGAGGCAAGGTGTGTGCCACCCCGCTGTTCATCTTCGGAATGAATCTGATAATACTGTGGGCCTACAGACCCTATCGTCTACAGATCCAAAAAAGGGTGCTTCTGCGATTGCCTTACCACCCATGCAGATGTCCGCATTACCTGCCACCACTGCTCAGCGTGTTGCGAATCTGAAGAGCGGTTCGTCGGCGTCTACCCCTGCATCCTCCATTACACGGACACCATCCACGTCACGTGTGACCTCTCAAACTGTAAGCTCAATGCAAAAGCAGTCAGATGCTTCGCTACGGAGTCGAAACCAGCCTTTACCCACGATTGCTGGGTCACCATCTGTTGGAACCACTGGGTATAGCGTGCCAAAGGAGTCAAAAGATTACCCGCCGTCAGTGCTACTGAATTCGATAGGTGGCATGTCAAAGGAAACGCCCACCAAGATTCCCCGCATTTCGAGCCGTACGTCAGCTGCAGGATCTCCTGGACTTGGCAGTGCAACTGTATCCAGTCGTCGCATTAGCCTTAACGTTACCGCGCCTTCGACGGACCCTTCACCCACGCCTGGTGATGCTGCAATAAACGAGTTTGGTGTTCTGGAGAATGGCGACGCACAAGTTGCGAAGCCATCGGGCGAAACGGCATCAAGGCGACTGTCTGTCCGAGCTTCTCCGTCCATCAACTCCCGAGTTCCAAGGCAAGTCTCTGGGCCTCCATCCTCTGGCGGCATCCCTCGAAAGTCCAATCGCGACTCGGTCTCCTTCAGCGCTCTACGCAAGGCGTCCACGGGTTCTGTGGCCTCCACTGCCTCTGTGGCCCTTCCTAGCGAAACAACGCACTCGCATAGGTTTTCGGCTTTGTCTCCGTCAAAAGGTTTGAAACTGCTTAGCCCCAAGATTTCTCTCTCCAGTCGGTCTTCGAACAACCACAGTTCAACGTCTAGCGCTCAGCGGGCTCATGCAGGGACTCCTGCGTCAAGTCGTCAGTCGCTATCGACCCCTTCTCCAGTCCCTAGCAACATCGATGAAGAGGAATTCCTCGGCGACGAAGAGATGATGCAGTACATCAGACGACAACAGACTAAGAAGATGGCACACGGGGCATCGCAGGCTGAATTGGACGATCTGCTCAAGTTCCCAGAACCAATACCACCAAGCCCTGGCTTGTCGCCTGAAGGTCAGTTGTCTCTTTGCCCAGGAAGTCCAATCATTGACTTTCACGCAGAGGTGTTAAATTCTTCCCAGGCTCAGTTCCTGTCCGAATATGAGAAGGAAGAGATTCTCAACTATCCCCAGGTTTACTGTATCGGTTCTGGGAGCCCGAAGAAGAACGCGCATCCTCAGATTGTCGTCAACAACTTCGGCTACGACGATGAACGTGGCGATTACCAAGTGATCAATGGGGATCATCTCGCTTTCCGCTATGAAATCATGGATACCTTGGGCAAGGGCTCGTTTGGTCAAGTGCTGAACTGTAGAGATCACCAGACGGGCGAATCTGTTGCGATTAAGATCATCCGGAATAAGAAGCGTTTCCATCACCAAGCACTGGTGGAGATCAAAATCCTTGATAATCTTCGTAAATGGGTATGCACCCATACTTGCTTCATTCTCAATGATTTATCGACGCGTCTTCCAGGACCACGAAGAGAAGCACCATGTCATCAAGATGACCGAGCACTTCTACTTCCGCAATCACCTTTGCATCGCCATGGAACTACTCAGCATCAATTTGTACGAATTGATCAAAGCAAACGGGTTTGTTGGGTTCACGACCACCTTGATACGACGCTTCACCAGCCAGATGATATTATCTCTGTGCTTGATGCGGCATCATCGCATAGTGCATTGCGATCTCAAGCCAGAGGTTCGTCATTCTCGCATTGCAGGCAGATTGTCTTGTGACTCTGTCTAGAACGTCTTGTTACGACACCCCGCGAAGAGTGCCATCAAGGTCATAGATTTCGGCAGCAGCTGCTTAGAGCACGAGAAGAGTGAGTTCATATTCACGATGGTCGATCAATCTTACTGATCATGGGCAGTCTATACTTACATCCAGAGTCGTTTCTATCGTTCTCCTGAAGTTATCCTCGGCATGAACTATCACATGGCTATCGACATGTGGAGTTTAGGTTGCATCCTCGCCGAGCTATATACCGGGTTCCCTATCTTCCCCGGTGAAAATGAGCAGGAGCAATTGTCTTGCATCATGGAGGTCTTGGGGCCCCCAGACAAGGACTTCATTAATCGTAGCTCCCGAAAGCGACTCTTCTTCGGTAAGGTGGCTCACATTGACCTTCATTCACTCCCCTGACGCTTTCCAAGACAACAATGGCGCACCCCGGCCTGTGGTGAATTCCAAGGGTCGTCGTAGACGACCTGGAACGAAAACGCTTGCTCAAGTTTTGCGGTGTCAAGATGAGGACTTCGTAGACTTCATTGCGCGGTGCCTTGTATGGGATCCTGAGCGAAGGATGAAACCTCAAGCAGCGCTGCAACATAACTTCCTCCGTGCAGGACGTCGAAGCAAGATCACTAGCTCCTCGCCAGCTACTACAAAGGCTTTGCTTTCTTCATCCAGCCTTACCAGCTCCCGCACGACCAAAGTTGCTGAGACACCCAAGAAGTCGCAGATCAGTGCTCCCACTCCTTTGACCGCCAGGACTTCACGAACGACCACGAACGGAGTACCCTCCACTCCAATACACACGACTACTGCAGGATCATCATCTCGGACGTACCGGTCCGGCCAGTCGCATGGCCTTTCCACCCAATATTCCAGCCGGACACTCAGTGGGTTCGTAGTGAGTCCTCAATCCTCGTCGGAAATGCCATTCGAACAAGAGCTTATGAGCTGGCTGCAGACAACAGCCTCTTTGAAATGAGCGGTGATGCAATCTTTATGCGAACGCCTTTTTTTCGCTGTGCCTTCTAACACTTACTCCTTGAGAAATTTTGCTGGTTGCTAGAGTCCTACATACAACAACAAGCTGGCCTTCCTTCTTCATACCCGGTCTGCTGTATTTTACCCCTACTTGTCATTTGCATGTTATCCCATAGGTTTTCTGCATATCATCGTAATGCTCGCATCACAATATAGTTTTCTTCCTGTCCTGTGACGTCCCATATGCATGGAACCGGCAGTCTCTTGCCAATGACGTGTCCTTTCTGTTGAACAACCCAAGTCACCGTAGCCAAGTGCATGACAAGTCAGGTGATCTGAGACTGTCACGTGCAACGTGTCCACACCCCCCCTCAAGTTCTTTGTTTGATGGGTTTTAGACCGCGATTTGCCTCCCCTTCAAGTTGTATTTGCGGCATGTTGACCAAAGGCGAGCTTATCAACTATTTCTAGCGTACCATTTGTGCTCTTCGCACAGATAGATTATCTCTTCTTCCGCAGAATTGCCTGAAATACAGTTGCGGACAACCAAACACCACCAATTTGGTAGCCGTCCAGCGTGAATTTTTGGTGCCAAACCAAGGCCAGATCTGGATTCAGGGAGTGAAAATACGTCTAAAAACAATGGTCCGAAGTTTTTCCCACGAGGTTTTTGGCCCGCCAAATTTTTGGACAATTTGAAAGACATTGTGTACCCCTTTTGGGTGTCTGAGACACCATTTTGGGGGCCCTATATCACCAAGATCAAAAAATCATTCTAATTTAGCTATGTAGACTTTATTGGGTATGATTTCGCCCATTCGCGGCCCAACTGACAGAAGTTCGGGAGTATTTGAGGGACCATTCCAGGGATAATTACCTCAACACTTACCATTTTTAACGCTAGAACGGCTCGATATTTTTGTAATATTTCAATGGAATCACGCACAGGACATCGAAAGGAAGCGATTGCCATATTTTTCGAGATTTTAGCAATTTATTTATGGTACCGCCAAAAATTTGCCCTAAAAAATCCTCAAATGAGAGTTTTTGGACAATCTGCTCGTGCAAATGCATTGCACTGGTCCTCAATAAACATATTCTGCATCAAAAATGGGTTTCCGGTTATTTGTGGCACCAGGAAAAATCAGTCTTTGGCGTCGTCCAAATTTGCTGACTTTGCCTGTCCGCAACTGTAGACATGCGATTAATGGCTGCCTTACACGACGGTGACGAGGATTTGTGGTGGGCGGTGCCTTGTGCTTAGCTATAATAAATTTACATAAAGTGATACATCAAAGTCGACAACAGCATAAATATGACATCGCAAGTTCGATTAGCAGTGCAGACCGAAAACGCCCTTCAATCTTGCATGGCCCATTGCGGCAGCCACTCCTCCCAATCTTCCCAATCCAGGTCCATGGATTGATGACCATGGTGTTTGTGGTCTCCTTTGTGGTGGCCACGAGGATTGAGCAGCCCCGTAATGACTTGCAAAGCGCCATTCCGAGCAGGAATGTCATACGGTCCGACATCACGACCATTGACCAGGAACCTGGTAAAGTAACGCGGGGGTCCAGGAAGAGGAATCTTAGATTTGTAGCGCGCAACCTGGACATTCAACGTGTGGTTCTCCAGCATGGTGGGAACGGTGAGATTGTAAGCGTAAATAGCATCGCCGGGAAGCTCTACAGGGGGACCAGCATGAGACCCTGCCTTCCAGTCATCAACGAAATCGGAATCAGTAGTGGCATCGTGCACATAATCTATGGACAGACGCAGTGAGATCCACGATAATTTTTTTCTGGGAATGCTCACCTGTGAACAGCACGAAGTTGGGCACGATGTGATACTCCAAAAGCTTTTTGAGCGCTTTTGCGCCAAAGGGCGAGAACAAGAAAAGTCTCAGTTTGTTGGGGAGACGCTGGAATGCTCCTGACGTGGGAGCAAAGAAAGTGGTGATCTGTGCGCCGACAAATGATCCATGACCACCATTTTTTCCAGGGGTCCACCAACGATCAAGTTCGCCAGTTAGGTCCACACGCTGGATAGCAGATGTCTACACAGTGCAGACTGTCAGAGGAGAAAAGAAAAAGGAACCAGACAAACTTGCCACGTATGAGAAGACTTCGGGAATAAGGAACATCTCACTGAACACGGAAGGGGGCGGCAGGAGTGGGAAGTTGATGGCGTGGATGACACCTGTTCCATCGTAAGTATGTGCCCCTGAAATATTAAATCTAACTCACCATTGCTAGCCTCAACATCACGCGTTATAACGTCTACCACAGTATTGATCCTGAGACGAGGAGGCACAACCGTGCTCTGAACAGTCAAGCGCAGGGGCTGATAGTCCATGCTCCCATCCTTCAATGTCAGATTCGTCGCATATGTAGAGTTTTGAACGAGCCCAGCGGAATCCAATTTCTCAGGTAAGATGTGATACGCGAGGATGCCTCGAATGATTCGCCCAAGTGCTTCCTTACGATGGTCCTTGTCACGAGAATCGGGCATGTCATCAAGTTCCTCCACCTGGAGGACAAGGTGACCAAGGTCATGAGCAATATCACGCTCATCCCCACGTTTAGGTGCGAGAGATGCGGAACTAAAGAGATAGTCGTCGTCATCCGGCTGACGGTGTGGAATGCCTGAATTCGGAACGGCGAAAAATGTGATGCTAGAGACGAATGACGTCAGGTGAGCGAGCGACATTTGAAATACTTACCTGGCCGCAGGGTCGTCCAAAAGGTCAACAACCCTGTCGCTCAAATCAATAGCTTTGACCAAACGCGAGTACCTGCTAGGCTGTTAGAATGCGTCAAATCTGATTATTAGTGTAAATGACTTGTCGTCGTCTTTCAAAACCTGGTAAACTGTCCTATCCTCCGAAAGGGGCGCAAACAACCCCCAGCAGCGAACTAACCCCTCGACGGGCAACTGCGCAAGCCAGGGTAGAGCAGGAAGAGCATACGCGCCTCCAACACAGAGTAGCGGCACAAAAGTATGAATCCTCATTATCGAGTGTACCTATTTTTGACGTCGGTGGGACCAGCTGTGATGGTGGAGAGTCAGGGTATGAATAAGAGGGCGTAAGGTCTTATATAACCCCTAATACTCTCCGCAGCACGTGAGCACTGGCTGCGCAATGACGCTAGGTTGTAACAACGTCATGGGCGTCGTGTGTTATGTAAACGTTCGTGCGCGCAAAGATCCAGACGTTTCATCCGAGGGAAATGAGCGGCGCTCTCGCACAGAAGTTTCTATGTACGCGCTGCAGACTGTGAATGGACAGCTGCTATTATGATATGGGCTACAAAGTGTTATGACAACGTCCGGTCGCGAGCATGCTCGATCTACTCCACCATCTGGCGGAATTTGTCCTGGATTTCCGTGTGCAGTGTGTCCAGCTTCTGCATGATAGGCTCCTGTCCTTGCGAGGGAGACTGACAGCAAACGCGATGGAGCGAAAACAATCACGAGAAAATGAGAGGCACATACCTCGAATTTCATTTGTGAGAGCTTAAACATGAGATCACTGGCATTATCCTTGATTTTCGCGAACGTCAGATCGCCTTGTGCCACCGCTCTCAGCGCCGCATCATGGAATGCCACGTAATTCTTCAACATTCCCGAAGTCTTGTAGAATGGACAGAAGCGGTCGTACTCGCTCATGCCGTTCTGCTGCAGGAAGTCGTCCTTGAGCATCCGTGCGACCTCCAGCGTGATCTTATCTGATTCTCCCAGTGCGCTTTTACCGACAAGTTGCACGATCTCAGCGAGGTCCTCCTCCTTCTGCAGGATCTCCTTCGTCTTCATGCGCAGGGAGACGAAGCCCTGTGCGTTAGAGTCGTAGTATGGCTCAAGAACTTTCGTGTACTTGGAGTACGACAAGTTCCAGTTAACGGACGGGAAATGTTTGCGCTGTGCAAGCTTCTTGTCGAGACCCCAAAAGACCTGCACGATACCAAGTGTGGCGGATGTTACGGGATCTGAGAAGTCACCTCCAGGTGGTGAGACACTAAACGGTGGTCAGGACAATGCCCACACGGTAATAATTCTTACTTACGCTCCAACAATTGACACTGTCCCCTGCCTCACTGGGCTACCCAAACACTTGACTTTCCCGGCGCGCTCGTAAAAGCTCGCCAGTTTGGTCCCCAAGTAGGCAGGGTATCCTGAATCAGCCGGCATCTCTGCCAGACGACCCGAAATCTCACGTAGTGCCTCAGCCCAACGCGATGTCGAATCTGCCATCATCGCGACATTAGAACCCTGGTCCCGGAAGTACTCCGATAGTGTGATGCCGGTGTAAATGGAGGCCTCACGGGCTGCGACTGGCATATTGGAAGTGTTGGCAACGAGCGTGGTGCGCTTCATAATAGGTTCTTGGCGCGAGCCAACCTCCATTGTAAGTTCAGGGAACTATGGAACGTCAGCGCGTGCGTCTATTCAATAGGCAGCGATATCACCTCCATCAACACTTCAGCCATCTAGCAATTGTGCATGAGGAATGAAATGCTTGAAACAACTTGAACAACGCACCTCATTTCCTCGCTCACCACATCCGACATAAACGATAATATCGCTATTGGAGTATTTGGAGAGTGCTTGCGAGATGACGGTCTTTCCACAACCGAAAGCACCAGGGATAGCAGTAGTGCCACCTTGTACGCATCTATGCACCTATCAGTGATGAACTATTGGTAGTGAGACCCACGTACGGGAACAGTGCATCGAGGATGCGCTGACCGGTCAGCAAAGGGAAATCGGCGGTTTGTTTCTCAGCAACGGGCCGAGGTGCACGGACAGGCCATAGCTGCATCATGGTGTGCTTTGTTGTCCGACCCTCGAACTCAGTCTCTAATACGATGTCCTAAAAAGACAATTAGATACAGAACAAACGGACTTTGCAGTGCTGCGGACACACATTGACTGCATAGCTGCCCTTCTCCGCAATGTGGGTAATAGTACCGAGGGCACGGGGAGGAAGCATGATCTTGTGGTTATCAACAAGTGAATTCTCATAGACACCACCGAAGATATCACCCCCTGATATGTGGTCGCCAACCTAATATGTATCAGTACATCACTTTAATGTCGATCAATATCGAATCACCTTGTATGCGCCAGGGGTGAAGTCCCAAGATATTGAGCGATCTAGTGCCTCTGTATTGATACCGCGAGGAATATATATCGATTTAGACAGTTCTTGGATGGACTGCGTCCCATTAGATAAGAGGATTATCTGCACGACTGAAATGAGTGCTTACCCGAAGTGGTCGCTGAATACCATCGACGATATTGCCCATCAGGCCTGCAAAGCGTTAAGGAACCACAACGCATTGTGCATACTTTGAGCAACCCACCTGGGCCTAACTCAACACTAAGAGGTTTGCCTGTCCTAAGGACAGGGTCGCCAACGGTCACGCCAGACGTCTCCTCATAAACTTGAATCGTTACTTTATCTGCCTCTATTCGAATGACCTCTACGCCCAATTAGTCTCATTCCCTCCCAGTATCAAGGCTGCTCACCTCCGACGAGCTCATCATGGCCCACGCGAACAAGTTCGTACATAGCAGCTCCAGTCATGTTCTCTGCGATGACGACAGGCCCTGAGACGCCGTACACACTGCCAAAGCGAGATTCGCGGTCTTCATCTTGAATTTTTGGAAGGTCACGCTTTGCATTCTGGAGAGCGCCGGCCATCGTACACAACGTCAAGCTCTGAGTCTGAGTACTGTCCAGCTCGTCCCCGCGTTCTGGGGAGCACGCCCAAAGCGGAGTATTAATTTCTTCGGTAGTTACCGAGGCGCGTTACTTGGTGCAGTGACGCGTCCCATAGCATAAGCAGTCTGTTCTTGCTCACCGTTCTCTCCGTCGTCCGGAACACTTTCTTCACCATCCGACACGATGCCCCCGAAATCGTGAGTCTATTTAGCACGCCCCTGGTATCACTTGCTAACGATACTCCTGCAGTGATTGGGAGAAATGTGTGTACAGTTTGACAAGTCTCATGTCCTGTCACTGATTTCCTGCAGACGAGAAGAAGGTCGACGACAAGGAGGAGAAGATTCAAGGTGTGCAATCCGCATTCAACTGCATCTCTTCCGTGCTGAGGTCCTTTCAGCACTTACAACTAGCGATATCCAGATCCTTAAAACCTATGTGAGTACAATGTTCGTATGTTCCATTTACCCACCAACATATTCCTTCAGGGCCAAGGTGCATACGCTGCCAAGCTGAAGAAGACGGAACACGACATTAAGGAAGTGCAGAAGCGGATAGATGAGAAGCTTGGTGCGCAATATCCTCTCCATAGCGTCAATACACTTAATCCGGTACAGGCGTGAAGGAGTCTGACACTGGCCTCGCTCCACCAAATCTCTGGGATCTTCCAGTTGATAAACAACGCATGGGCGCTCATCCATTACAAGTTGCACGGTGTACCAAAATCATCCCTGTCGACCCCAAGAAAGCCGAGGCTGCTCGTGCCGTTAACCCTGTTGGTGCGGCTCAAGGCCAGAAGGGAGCCGATGAGCAAGACAAATATGTCATTAACATCAAACAGATAGCTAAATTTGTTGTTGGTCTTGGTGATCGAGTCGCACCGACAGATATCGAGGAGGGTATGCGTGTGGGGTTTGTAGAGTCGCTTGTGCGAAACACCTGCATACTAATATTTCGACAGTGTGGACCGGAATAAATACCAGATTCAGATCCCACTGCCGCCCAAGATCGATGCTTCAGTAACGATGATGCAGGTTGAGGAGAAGCCCGACGTAACATACTCGGATGTTGGTGGATGCAAAGAACAAATCGAGAAGCTGCGTGAAGTCGTCGAGACACCGCTACTATCAGTGAGTTGGTCTTGCACTTGCTCGTGCTGAATCACTGACACCCCCAAGCCCGAACGCTTCGTTAAGCTTGGTATTGATCCCCCGAAGGGCGTCCTCCTCTTTGGGCCGCCAGGAACCGGCAAAACCCTCTGCGCACGTGCAGTCGCCAACCGTACAGATGCCACCTTCATCCGCGTCATTGGTTCCGAGCTTGTGCAGAAGTATGTCGGCGAGGGTGCGCGAATGGTGCGCGAGTTGTTTGAGATGGCACGTTCAAAGAAGGCTTGCATTATTTTCTTTGATGAAGTCGACGCTATCGGTGGTGCACGATTTGATGACGGTGCTGGAGGTGACAATGAGGTGCAGCGCACAATGTTGGAACTGATTAACCAGCTGGATGGATTTGACCCTCGAGGGAATATCAAGGTGCTCATGGCTACGAATCGACCAGATACTCTCGACCCTGCACTGTTGCGCCCCGGTCGGCTTGACCGGCGGGTGGAGTTCTCGCTGCCTGACAACGAAGGCAGGGCTCATATCCTCAAGATTCATGCTCGAAGGTGAGAGTGCATAAATGCCCGCGCTCACCAGTCTAGCTGATGATCCCTCTTTAGTATGAGCGTTGAGCGCGATATCCGATTCGACCTCATTGCTCGACTATGTCCTAATACGACAGGCGCGGAACTTCGGTCAGTTGCAACTGAGGTGAGAACTTGCCAAGTTTGGCACCAAAACGCATCTGATTATATTGTGTGTCCAGGCTGGCATGTTTGCAATTCGTGCGCGGCGGAAGGTCGCTACAGAGCGTGACTTCCTTGACGCTGTGGAGAAGGTCGTGCGGCAAGGGACGAAGTTCTCGTCAACGTAAGTCATAATTCTCATCTCACCCGAAGAAATCCTCATCATAAATATGTATTCGCAGACCTCTATATCAAGTGTACAACTAGACTATCTGACCTTGGGCTCTCATTGTTTTGCATGTATTTTCCCCTCAGACCACGCATTTTCATGGACTGCTTGAGTGCACGGTTGAGGACTCAGGCAACGTCACATTACGAATGACCAGGCTCGTGCTTATACATTACAGCAATAACCGTGCATAATCATAAGTTACGGTTGGTCAAGTGATATTGCAGAGCCGCTGTTGGCACAGTACAATATTGACACTTGTGTATTCGATCTAAGCTTCTTGAAGTCTTGAAAATTTAGCCTCAAGTAGCCACCTTGCCCCATCTCAAGTCCTCGGCATCCATGCACGCAGCTAGAAGGAACGACTGTCTTCCTTCTGTTGTGATCTGCCTATGATAGGGGAGACTAGCCCGCCTAATAATAATTCATAACTAGTGGGTCCATAAGTATGATGCCAACGTTACATTAGGCGCTCTGTGTCCCATATAAAGGACCTTGCTACTTATTTAACGCTACAGTTCTTATTAAGGGGATCCGGGGCAAGGGGGAGACTAGCTCCGTCCGTACTTCCAATGATCATCAACCTTCAAGTGCGCGCCCTCGCCGCGCGCACCATTCAACGGCGGCGATACCATGTTCGTCGTGCACCGTCCCCGCCTTCTGCTGAAGCTGCTCGACTTCTCGACTCTTTCGCAACACATCCACCACTTCCTTTGACGCTCTCGACCCTCGTGTCCTTCGGGAACCCTTTAACACCTGTATCTGTGCTGCGCTCAGTATCGTACGTGCTCTCGGAGATACCAAGACGCATGGCCCAGCGCATCCGCGCCCTCGAGGCGTTGCCATTCATCGTCGGCACTAATCCATATGTTGCCCGAGCCCTCAATGCTCATAGAGACAGCTTTAATGTACTCGCCACTTATCCCGAAGTGCGCACACTCGAGGACAACAAAAAATTTGTCGATGAACTAGATATGCTCGTGCAGGGACATAGAAACGATATACCTACGATGGCCAAGGGGTGCGCATACTTGTACCCGCAGCTTCGATTGGTTGAACTGACTCTAACTTCAATGTTGTAGATTCCAAGAGTGCTCGCGGTACATGTCTCCAACTCAAATATCCAACTTCCTCGATGGTGCTATCCGATCCCGCATCTCTGTGCGCCTCATCGCTGAACAACATATTGCGCTCTCGCACGCACTTGCTACTGAAGACCCCGGCGCAGTGGAGGCCAGCGTTCTCATGCACAATGGTATCATCGATCCCGATTGCTCCCCCGCGGCTATGGTCCGCATGTGTGGCGCATTCGTCAGCGAACTATCCGAGGCAGCCCTCGGTGCAAGCCCCATCATTACGATCGACGGCTGTCCAGACGCTACGTTTGCGTAAGTTCATCATATCTATAGTACAACCTATAAGTATAATCCCCCATCGCCCAGCTATGTCCCTGTGCACCTTGAATATATACTCACCGAAATGCTCAAGAACGCGTTCCGCGCGACTGTAGAGCACCATCACAAACTACATGGCCTCACTTCATCCTGTCCCCTACCACCCGTAAAAATAACCATCTCACCCCCTACTCCACCGCATCCATTTCTCTCAATTCGAATTCGCGACCAGGGTGGTGGCGTCTCACCGTCCAACATGGCACGTATATTCTCGTACGCTTTCACTACAGCGGGGCACGCCGACGACCAGAATGGAGGTGGTGGGCCGTATGCCGCCCAGCATATTGGTGGGAGTGCAGCAATAGGGAGTGGCAGCGCAGGGGAAGGTGGAAACCTTTTTGGCGAAATTACAGAAAAGGGTATCCAGGTGGGCCTTGGAACAATTGCAGGATTAGGATACGGACTCCCTCTGAGTCGATTATATGCAAAGTGGGTTCGCCCTCGCTTTTCTGTCTCTAGTCCTCATATTGGCTTTGCAGATATTTTGGTGGTTCATTGGATATATTTTCGCTCGATGGGTGGGGTGAGCTTGATTATCTCTGCGCCGAATTTCTGACTTGCTGATCATCTTGCAGGCAGCGACGTCTTCATTAAACTTAGGTGCCTACTAGATGAAGCAGGCAACGCGGAGATATAGGTCCCCATCGTATTTGTTAAAGATAATGAGTAGCTGTAATTCACTTTCGATTTCTTACTCTTTGCAGATAGTGGTATAGATCCATTAGTTATCTGAACCAACAGTGCCAAACCAGTGCCTCGTCATCACCAAACCATCACCTTGCGTCACAAAATCAACCCGGCCAACGAATTTTCGTCCTTGCACCAGGAGGGGCAGCCAGTAAACATCACCTTCCCACATACTTTCATACGGGATCGGTGGCACGATTGCGTCTGAATCGGACACGGGTGACGCGAATGAAAACCACTTGGGTCGCATTTCGTCTGACCTGGGATCCAGCCCTTCAGCAAACAACGCATTTGCGCAGACGGAAAGGACTTACTCTGTAGGTGTCCCTGAGTACGAATGGGCGGAAAATATTTCGATCTGGAACGCCCATCCAGCGCCTTTCGACATGAACAGCAATGATCCTGCGTGCTCAAGGGGCGCGTCGATGCCTGCTTCTTCCTGAATCGCACGTCAATATTTGACACTTGTGTTGTAGGAATGAAGTTAGAAGACTTTGAGTTCGCGCATCGCAGCATCGGTAAGCGTCTCTCCTGGTTCCACCTTGCCACCAAATCCATTGTACCTGTTATTGTGAGATTCACAATCACTCTCCATGTTCGTAACGAAGACACGAAAGGTTGCTTACTTGTTGACGCCAAATCCACGTTTCTTGAAGCCGAGAAGAATCTGACAAGTGAAACGTTTCGCTTGAATGGGTACGCTTTGTGGTGCTAGTACACACCTTATCGTCCTGGATAACGAATGCGTTGGTATAGAAGCGCTTCTGGTCGAATGGTAGCCAGTCTCCCTCTCCCCCTTGAACATATTCTATGAGGTTTCCTTCGAGCCCAGGAGGAAGTACGGATGTCATTTTGATTTTGTGAGGTCTCGCGGAATATATAAATCTGCACGCGGATTGACGCTAAATCGTGTCATCGAATCCGCATTAGTCAGACATTCGGCACCGAATTTCGGTGGAATTATTCGCAGTGCGTTACGTCGTAGCCTAGTAGCTATAGGTAAGTAGCACGACACGTTGTTTATTTCCAAGGCTCTAACCAAACAACCGCTTTCAGGATTGCATTACAAACCACAACAGGATGGAGGTTTAACGTTGCAACCGACCTTGCTGAAAGCGGGGTTTCAAACCAACTACACCACCTAACATGTACGAGCAGGACATCTAATTCGAAAGTTATGCAAAAAATAAACGAGACAGAAATATATCCCAAGTCCTGACTCTAAGCCAATCTAACTGACCTAAACCAGTCAGCCCTAACCAATCCTAACGAGTTTTAACACCCTAACTCTAGCTACAGTTGTGTTTTCAAACCCGGGGAAACAACGCAGCCATAATCTCAAGTTGGGCAATATACTTTTTCTTTTATCTGCCTTCTAACAAACACAAACCGCATGATGAAATACATCACGCTGCCAGTCACCGAAGCGATCTATTGAGTTGACGTGAATTCTGAAGAAAACGGTAGCCACGGTCAACTCACCCCAGAGAATAGAGCGGGTATCCACCAGGTATAATTCGATGTCAGCAGAGCGCCGGATATGGGGGTTCCTCGATAAAGAATAAAAATTTAAAGCAATGAATGACACAGATTTACCTACCAATCAAGCTTCCAAATCCTGCGGTGATCAACATGCGAGTTTAAAACATTTCAAAACTATAGCTGATACTACCCACCAGCAATGAAGAAACAGATGCCCATCCGCGCGCTGTGATCTATATCAGATGATTCGAACATCCCAATTTGAACTATCACTCACCCAAGCTCAGAAAGGTCAGGCGTTAAAGTAGCCATGAGTGGAGCCACCATCGCAATGTCTGCATCAACCATCAACCCATATTAAACTTTTTACCCTGGTGGAAAAGAAGGAAACTCTTACACAGCCCTGCAAAAAAGCCATACATTATACCCAGCACAACGACGCTGGCCAGACTACTCAATCCAATCATGCCCAAAATGAGCACACCGCACGAAATTGTTGCGACTATGATCAAGTTTGGAACTCCTATGAACGCCGCGATAAACCCTGATGAGATTCGTGCCACACAATTGGATCCATTCAAAATCACTAGCTAAAGATAGCGTCAGCAGGTGAATCACTTCCATAGTGCTGGATCCCACAGAGTAAAACGAGAAGTTGACGCTGATACCGTGCTTGATAGAGTCAAGTTGAAAGAAGAATAATGGGTAGTAGAAACCGGTCTGGAAAAAAAAGCCCCTGCAGGATAGTTATTTGAAGGACGTCGGGAGAAGTTGTGTTGAGATCTCACCCTGCTGTCATGAAAATGAATGGTGCATCACGAACACACTTTCTAGCTGCCGCAATATAGTTTGCTGGGGTCATCGGCGGATCAAGGCGAGTCCGCATGCACAGACATGCAATTAAAAGAAGCACGCTGACCAACCCCGCGCTTGCACGAACACCATTGGCAAAACCAAGACGGCCATTCAGGAGGTTATTGAGCATAATCGGATGAATGATAGCACCCAGCGATGAGCCCGAAGCGGCGAACGTCATAACCAGTGTGCGTCTCCGCCGGAAATGATGCGAAATAACAGCCATGCTCGGGACGTACATGAGCCCCGATGCGATACCCAAGCCTAAGCCTTGAGCAAGGAATATCTACACTGAGTCAGAAAACGAGATCGCAACATCAGAAGACGTTACCTGGTAGTACTGATCGGGTTTCGACAAAGACAACATAAAGAGACAGAAACTCTGCAGAAGCGAACCGGCAATTACGAGATGGTAGCTATGTAAACTTGCTAAGTATCGGTGAGAACCTCCAACAAAGCCACACTCACAAATATCCTCGGTCATATAGTAAACCTGATATAAGGCCCACAGCGGTGATTGAAAACGCGTTCAAGCTCCCGATCCATCTGCAAGAGATCTTGAGAATACCCGCCATGAAGACACAACTAGAAACCCACGATATGGCAGACGATGTCTCATTTGTGAGGTAATGCTGGGTATAAAAGTCTGGAGGGTAAGATGATTAATGCTCCATTCTCGCTTTTATGGTGTGCAAACCTTGGTAGACACCAAATGAAGTGGTATAACTGTTGAACTTCAGTCACAGAGCCTTTCCTCGTCAACACCAGTGGCCCCAGACTCACCCAAACCCGCAGAGCTGTACAAGAAACCTAAGCAGATCGAGTAAGACCCTACTTTACCGCGCAAATTTGAGTCTTCTTACGATCCAAAAGTCGTGGCCCAAGCTGCCCGACCGCCTTCGGGAAACTCATGGTCGGAGTCCTTGGCAACTTGGTATCCTTTCAATGTTTCTGAGCTTTCTTTGTTCTCCTCAAGTTGGGGGGTAGCCCCTTCCGTATAAAGCGATCGAGGCTCGGATTCAGGCGTCATCCTGGGCTGGGACAGCAGACGGTAGCGACTGTATAAATACATGGACCCCCATGCCCTTCGAGTCACGAGCTGAGAACCTCGTATGGACTTTTCGGAGGAGAGTGAGATTGTTTATACAGACTGATGGGAAATATAACGTTGAAATAAAGCTCTTCAAACAGACCGACACTGTACCCGGCACCGCCTTCAAGTTTGTCATGGCCCAAATTTACTTGATATGCTCGGGACAAAGTAACTGAGAAGAATCCCTGCATTCACCCAATAGGTTTGGGAAACTAGAATTTATGACATCGACCTGGCCAAAGTTCGGACACACCCAGTAATGGACTTCCTTGCCACCATCGGAGCTTTCGCGATGCCAATGCTTGAAGGTTTGCCACTTCTTGTAGTCGGCCTTGAACCTCGCAGGGGGCATGTTCTTTAGTGGCAAGTAGATCATCAAACCGGCGTTGGAGGTGTGAAAATTTGATCTGCAGCGGCGCATCAGTAAACCGGTGAGACTCAGATATTAGTAAGGTGCACTTTCCGCTAACAAAACGTGACAAAGCGTTACTTTTGTTTGAAATGTTAATGGCAGTTGTAAAACTCATACTTTGCAAAAAGAAATCGCGCAGGGTTCTTTGTATTGACACTACGCACAATGCTGCGTGGCTGGATTTTTGAAAAATTGAAATTGAAAGTGCCATTAAGAAAATATTATGAGCCTTGTTGTTGCGTGACAAACCAGGGGACGCCTCGGGATGGATAGTATAAGCGGCGGACAGTGCCGAGCTGCTTACCCGCACAGTGTACGCCAAATAGCAGAAGTCCTGGAGTATTTGGGACGGTATATAACACTGGTGTTGAGTATTAGTACAAGAATGCCTAATAATAGTAAGTACGGCACGTAATAAACCAGGCTTACTTATTGGGAAACCCAGGTAGTCCAAGTAGCTATATTACTGGACTACTTACTAAGTAGTCGTAGACTGTATGTAGTAGATCACGATGTCCCAGGCAGATCAGACGAAACCTCTTTTAACAGCATCTGTTCACGACGTTCGTTATTTCACCGCTCTACTACGTGGGATTGGTTTTTCGAACGTGAGTTCCTTGCTTCGAACTACGATTTATCGCTGCAAATACGGTATGGTTGAAGCGAGCATCTGTGACATTGACAGCCAGTAGCGGAATAACTGTCACCGTCGAGGAAGCGCGAACACTACTGGGTACGTATTTTTCTGTTCTCCAAAACATACGTATCATTGGTGCACAGCAACGTCGTACATCTATGCGGACCACTTTGACGAGTGGTTGTACAATGTCGATAATCTACAAGCTGCCCCATCCCAGTTATCTGCGCCCGATGTCGATCGAGAATCCGCTTCTTTCGAAATCCCTCTAAACACCTTGCTTGAATGCCTCAACATCTTTGGAACTGCGAACATATCTTCCTCGAGTAGCGCAGGCTCGAAGAACAAACAGTGGCGGCGCGCCGATGATGGCTCAGAGGACGAGAGGGGTGACGAGGGACGGCGTCCTAATGCCAATCGCATCGATCAGTATTTTGGCAGTCACGAGAAGAGGACGAGCATGCGTCTCACATATGCTGGACCCGGACACGCCTTGACTCTTGTTCTGTAAGTTTTAAACCTCTTGGCCATGGTCGATTGGACAGGTATCTTACAGTGCGGAAGACTCGTCAGGGCCTACGACGACGTGTGAGATATCGACCTTCGATCCTGAGCCGAACTTAGAGCTACCATTCGATGCTGACCAGACGTTGAGCACCTCCTCAAATGCTGTTTTCTTCTGCCTTACAGCGTTTTAGCGTCTTAAAGACGATTTTCAAGGTCTGTCAATGCACATTGGGCTTGTGACGCAGCTCACACAGTGACCAGTCTTCATTCTGGCTCCGTGACGCCCTTTCAGAACTCGATCCATCCTGCGAAAAAGTAACATTGATCGCCAACCCCGTAGCAGATGTCCAGAGAGCGCAAAGAGGCGTTCCCGCTAAACCCCTCTTTCGAATCCAGGGAACGGGAGCATTTGGCACCACCGAGGTAAATTTCTGGCTTTCTACAGAGTTTTGGTTCCAAACTGCTGCAGATGGACTATCCGAACGACAGAGAGGTACTGGAAACGTTCGAGTGTTCGCGCAGTGTCAGCTTCAGGTACAGTTCATTGGGTCGCATGTACCAGAAAATACTGAGACGCTCGACATTAGCTATCGGTTTTCACATATATCACGCACGCTGCGAGCTTTACAAAACTCAACAAAGACCTCTCTTCGCGTTGAGCAGGAGGGTTTGTTGAGTTTGCAGTTCTTAGTGCCCGTGCCAAGGCCGCGGGGTGGGGTGTCAGATTCTTTCATCGAGTTTCGGGTGAGATGTTTTTTTATTTAGTTTTGAAGGCTGAAGCTGACTGGAACAGTGTCTTGCTTTGGACGATGATGTTGCGCACTAAAGCAAGAGAAAACAATGTGGAGGGTGTAGCGAGCTATCGGATGTTCTCAACGCAAAAGGCAAACCTTTATGATCTGTACCTCGGCTGGACTCGTGGAGACCAGTGCTTCACAGATTTCACATAGATAGGTAACATGACCTGTGATGAATTTCGCGTGCACTCATGAAATGAGCATCAATAGCCCAGAAATCTAAGTAATGTCTACGCAATAAGGGTGACAATATAACATTAGAATAGCCCATCGAAGTACTTGGTAGTGCTGTCTTGTACATTCGTCGATGACGTGGGCACGAGTGCAGCCTTTGGTGAAGAGGGTGAAGGAGGGAGGTAGTCAGCGATGATGGCGTCGAAGGTTACTGGTGTTTTGGGTGCTAGCGAAGGCATGAATTGATGTATACATAATGAATTACAGAAGGATGATTTACCAGGTGCAGGCTTCATCTTAGCGGCAAAGCCAGAAAGAATAAGTTGGCGGATAGCAGCACCGTCCAGTGGCTGAATGATGATATGAACAAGTGTGAGATCAAGCGTGTGGAATGCAGCATACCTTAGCTTCCCCAACCTTTTTCGGCACCGGCACCTCCTTCTTCGCTTCCTTGAATGTTCCCATTGGACTCGATGCTCTGCCGAGGTATGCAAGAACATCACCCTTGGTGAGCATGCCACGAACACCCGTTCCCGGGATAACTTCTGCATCAGCAACGTTGCCTTCGATCAGGAGACGTATCACGGAGGGCAGCAGGTGTTTCGAGTGCTTCGGGTGGTGTGACGCTTTGGGAGTTGTAGGTTGAGGTGTCGGTGCCGGGGGTGGAGCTGCCTGAGTCTCTGTTTTTGGAGGGGGAGGCGCTAGCTTTGACTCCTCTTTTGGTGCCTCTAAGTTTGAGATGTTATCCCCTTCCTCAGCAAGGATGGCAATTACTTTGCCAACCTGAACGTTCTTGCTACCGTCTGGGGCCTGCAATGTAGTTAGTGCTGGTGGCAGTTGTCATGAATTCACGAGACAAACGATAATTTTTCCCAAGATACCATCATCCTGTGCCTCGACGTCAATAGTTGCCTTGTCCGTTTCCTGTTGTGTCCGTGAGGTTCGTGTGCGAAACGGAAGCACGGAAAGTTCATACAATCTCTAGCAAGACGTCTCCTGCAGTGAAAGATTCGCCTTCTCTCTTCTTCCACGAGGCAATGCCGCCTTCTGTCATAGTCGGCGACATGGCTGGCATCTCAAGGTTGGTGATAGCATACCGGACTCCCGTCTGGTGCAGAGCTAAGAACAATTATTAATGAGCTTTGTCAGAAATGAAATAAACGTACTTCTACGTTGTGCCCGGGACAAGGAGCGAGCAAGGCTCATTGTTTGACGAGCAGAACGCATTGTGGGAGTTGTCGACGAAGCGTACGACGGTGAGCAAACTGTGAGCCGATTTATGAATATCAAGTCCGAGCATGACACGGTATTAGTTCGTGGGAGTCCTCGACCCCCTCATAATCGTAAGTTTGTAACCCCTCCTTCACCGACCTCCATCCTCTCTTCCCCAGATCATATTGACGCTAGAGGAATCACCGAAAAAAATCGTATTTTGAGTCACGTCCTACAATTCAGCAAACACGACCAGCGACATTGGAACTTCCATCTCTGAACCGATTTCTGTCCGCAATTTACGTATCTGTGTTTGGAAGCTTGGGTGGTAGACAGCGTTCTCTGTGGTATGCCATCGCTGTCAATTGAAGCTCTTGTGGAGGAACGCGTGGCACAGCTTGAGTGAGTGCACTATACTCAATACCACCACCCAATGTTTACACTAGTATGTGTGCAGAGCAATTTCACAGCGCAGAAATGAACTCCTTCGTGAAATGTACCGTATGATGCGGAAACGACAAAATGCAGGTTCTATATCCATCTTCGACGATGAAGACGAAGATGGACTACAGGATTGGTTAGAAAAATATGATCTCAACGAGAAGTTCGTGGCGTCGTTCGCTAATTTTCTTCCCTAACGTGCTCATCCCCGCCAGTCCCGATTCGGGCATGGTATCAAACATTCCACAGAGCGAGCTGTGTGCCACTTCGTTATCTCCAACTTCCGATGAATTTAAATTAATAGACCTACCGGACGTCATCGATGTAGATTCCCCCATGTCAGAACCTCCTGCTTCACCTCGCTCCGCCTCATCCGTACTACTTCAAATTCCAGAATCCGATGACCCCTTGGCCGCATCGATACCCGAAGGGTCACCTCCCCGGGCTACTTCCATATCGCGCAAGCGCCCGAGGCTAGACGACGAGCCAGATGAACTGAACCTCGTAGGCCTTTCGCAGTCACCATCTGTGCGGTCACTCAGTCATCGCAGTCGATCACTGACTCACCGTACGTCTCGCTCGAAGTCTCGTACATTCTCGCCGCATTCCCCTGAACCTGTCAACCTCACCCTCGACGAGGTAAGTGAAGTCCAAGAAGCACTCGTCGACCTGGAGGAAAGCATAGACGTGCCCATGGAAGAAGATAGAGAACTCTCGCCCGATCTCGTCCTTCCATCGTCTTCGCCCGTCACCGAAAAGCAGAAAATCATTCCCCGCACGATCGTCCATACCACTGTGGATGTTGCATCTATCCAACCTTCCCTCCTCATTCCGACCCCCACGTCTCCAGTGGCTGATCCGGCATTCAGTTTCGATGAGGCCGAGAGCGAGTCGCCTGAGGAGCCATCACCTGCCTCGACACCTGTAGAGGTGCAACGGAACCATCCTCCTCCTCCTCATCATCATTTCAACCCTGCCTACAGTCTACCACCGATCAAATCGTTGCCTTCTGAATATCTCCGTAAGGGCAAGTCTGCCAAACAGAAAAGGCGAGATAAGGAACGCGACAAAGCAGACGGAAAAATCAAGGATGAATGGACACCGATGGGCCTGACCAAGTGGGGTGCGACCGTACGTGCAAACCCTGTCTGGAAGAAGGTCTCTCGTGCCACTAAGTGCTTGAGCACGCGTGACTGGGGTGTATGTGGCGTAAATTTATCCCAGCTGAAGTACTCATGAGTATGTAGGTCGCCATTTCCGAGCTAAGGCTTACTCGCGCCCTTGAACGCGTCGAAAGCCTCGAAAATGTCGCGAAGTGGAGTTATAGGCAGCCCAAAAGACAAAAGAACCTCGGGGGTCTGACCAAGACCCACTGGGACTATCTTATGGACGAAATGGCATGACCTCCATGATTCTTGCAGTACATGCGGCTTACGTTCTAGTCAGAAATGGATGCGCGTTGATTTTCGCGAGGAGCGACGCTGGAAATATGTTGTTGCGTTCAACTTGTCGAGTGCTGTGCTCGAGTGGCATGAGGCTAGGAGTCGCGAGGAGAGGCTTAGGCTTGGCATATGTGTTCTGTGGAAGCGACCGCGGTCTTCTGAAGACGCCCCTATAGAAGACGTAGACATGGACTCGCGACCCGCGGAGCACAATGGGTATACCCCTATGGCAGACGAGTCCGATGGCGATGAAGAGGAAGGAGAGGCAGAGCAAAGAGATATCGTAGACGCTCTAGAGTCCCGCAATGCCTTGGAGGAAGCGCTAGACGGCACAGGATCTAACGAGTCCACCGACAGTAGTCAGCACCAGACCCCAGGCCCCGATCATGTCAAGCCCAAAGTCGAAGATGTTGATGATTCGTCAGCCCTGCAGGACTCGAATGCGATGAACGTGGACACGCAGCAGGACGACCAGGCCAAGGTCGAGAGCGATGATCAGACTGGTCTCAAGGCGCATTCAACAGACCCCAACCTTGCCTCACAGCAAAATACGCAGTCTGATGCTGCTCCTGCGGGATCGTCGTCCAAAACGCCGAAGGCAACTTTGTACGCACCGCTTAGGGAGCAGATCGCATACTCGGACGAGCGAAAGCTTTTCCTTGACGATGATGACCTCAACTTGGTCATAGCACTTTCTGATCTGACTACAGACGACCCTGGCATTCAGCCATCGCTGCCCATCCCTGATCTCTCGGACATTTTCCCCGACCTTCAACCGCTCGGCGTGCCAGATATTGCTTCTGGCTCGAACGAGGGGAAGAAGAAAGATAGGAAGTCTGGGGAGGATAACAGGCGTGTCGAGGACTCTGGGTTCACGAAGATGGCACCGTTGGGTCGCTTCATGCACAACAAGCCGACGCTTCTTGGACCTCTGCAACCTGCTAGGCGGTGGCAGAACGGGGAGTGGATGTTTGCTGAAGAAGCCGCAGTGGCTGTGGATTTCGATGGCGCAATTGGGAAGATAGTGGATGATACTGCCTCAGGTAAGATTAGCATGAGAAAGTGACAGTGGTGCTGATTATTGTCCACAGATCTTTTTGAGGGCAGCAGACCATCCGCAGTTAACTCCCTTGGACTGCCACCGAAAGACGGCAAGAAGCGCTCAGACCATATTTGGAGCTCAGATGAAGACACCCTTCTCAAAACCTTCGCGGATAGATATCCCAATAACTGGCTCCTGGTCGCGGACTCGTTCAACTCTTCGCGCGTGACTATTTCCACCGATAAACGAACTCCTTGGGAATGCTTCGAGCGTTGGAGCAGCTGCTTCGGCAGCGGACATAGATTCCATCCTGATGTCAGTTCCCCTGTCAACGCAGGAGCGCACACCACCACCAGCATCAACCTCAGCTCAAGGACAGATGACCACGAGAGGCGTCAAGCGGTTAGCTAATATGTCAGTTACACAGAACCAAAGTCCTGGAGCCGGCCTATCGTCCGACACCAAAAAAAGGCGGAGACATACATTCATGTATGAGACGATGCGGAAAGCCGCGAAGAAGCGCGAAGCAGCACAAAAAGCTTCCAGTGAGGCTCTATTCGTCATTTCCCGCATTTCAGCACTCACCGATAAATTCACCAGTCAATCAGCGAAAGGCATCCAACATTCATGATACACACGGGCAGTATCAAAAGATGCCAAAGCTTACACCAGCTGAACTTAGTCGCATGAAGTATGATAAGGAATCGAGGGAGCAGCAAGAATTACTCATTGCGCGACGTCGGCATGAGGAACTTGCCCGTCAGGCAATGATGCAGCGCGACCCACGGCTGCAAGCGGCCGCGGCTGCAGCTGGTGTATGTACCAATGTCTTTCCTTTTTCACGCGCTGTTCTGATGGTGAGTCGCTAGCAACCTCAGCAGGCAGCGGTAGCAGCAGCAGCCCAGCAACAACAACCGCAACAGCAACAGCAGCCAAATGCCACGCCGAGAACAACAGCCCCGCCCGCACAAGTTGTCCCGCAAATGCGGAATCAACCCGTGCCGCAGGTCAATATCTCTCAGCAGCAGCGAATGCCAACACCAATGGCATCGACAGCTGGTGCAGGGGCTCGTATGTCTCCTCAGCATTTATTGCAAGCTCAAGCTCGTGCTATCGCTGCGGCCTGCACAGGCCCAATCCCAATCCCAAGTGCCAGTACAAGGTAGCCCCGTTCCCACTATCAACGGCCTTCCTGCTGGTGCCCATCTACCACCTCCATATCAGTCACGCGCTGCAACATCATCGCCTGGCGTAGCACCGCAAGCAAGTCCTCCACGTAACATAGGCACGCCATCCAACGCTGCTTCTCCCCGACCACCCTCCGCACAACCACAGCTACCCATGCAGCCTCCTCAGATGGCTGTAAATCCCCCCCCACGGCCAGCTCATTACTTCCCTGTTGTTCCTACGCATCCCGGTGGTCATTTCACACAGGAACAAATGGACCAGGCCCTTCGGCTGATGCAGGTGAGCTAGCTTCGTTCAATGATAGGGTGGCAGCCTTTGATAATGGTGCATTTCTGTCGCAGCATCGGACTACTATGGCTCAGGCACAACAGAATAGTCAATATCCCTCGCAGCCCTGATTTTGCCGTGCATTGGCTGTCTGTGTTTGTGCTGTGGTTCAATGAGCACATGCACGGGACCCTGCATGTCACTTCCCTTTATTTGTCTGTCTTTCGACCGGCCGGCTAATAATAGAAAATAGTTCCAGGTAGTTCCAGGGAATATATTTCGAATCGAATGTTCAACAAGTACTCTTACCTGCAGGCTTTGTTTGGCTGATCGAACCCTCCCGTTTCCTGTAAACTTGAACCTTCTCACCGCGTAACAGAACTGCCTTGTGCAGCAAGATGGACAATTGATGGCATAATTTTTCATGTTTTGCGTAATGCATAATGGGTTCGTGAGGGCAAAAGTCTCGGTCAAAAAGGAGCGAGTGTGGTCGTGATGGAAATAGTGAATGCGAGTGACATATGGGTTGATCTAAGGGATATATAATAGGAATAGTGAATGCGAGCGACAATATGATATGATAGCGTCCGAATGCGCAATGAAGGGGTCGTCGTGTGTTTTTCCATTCTTTCTTTTTTTCTGAGGAAAGCACGTTGACTAAGTTCGGTCAAAAACAAGAGTAAAAGACGAATGACTCACTCAATCATGATGTATTGAAACGTTGCTTCTATTAATGACGCGGGTACTGGAGTCGTATTCCATAGCCGCGTCGAAACTGTCACACTTTCGAGAGTGGGCTTTGAAGGTATCGCGACGCGTGTAAACTTTGGAGCATCCTGCGCCCCTGCAAATCCACGTTGCACCGAAGTGAGCGCTCAAAGTATGCCGTGGTATGTCGCTTGCCCGCATCTCCCTGGTGCAGCCCAACCATGGGCAAGCGATTTTCCTATCTCCACCGCCTCGAGCGTCTCTATGCCATCGCTGCCCATGCCGTATGATAGAGCGCCTATCCGCTTTCACCCAGAGACCACAGGGAGAGTCTCCGCGGCAGCATTCATGGACACTTATCCAGTCATCATTGGTGTTACCGCCTATAAGGTCTTCTTCGTCAATCGGGAGACCATCGACATAAGCACAAGGATAATCAGGCTGTGGAATCTGATGTACGTGGGGTGAACGAGTTCCGTATTCCGTATGATGAGAAATTTGGCGATCTGTATAGGTGACTGGGTTGAAGGCTTCGCTACCACCAAGGGAAGGTGGCTGGGTGCTCGACGAGGCGACGGGAATACTTGAGAACGCTGAAAATGAGGTTACTGAAGGAAGAAGATTGGGCTGTATGGTCGAAGACAGCTCCCGAGGTAATGGAAGATGATGGGGAGGACCGATCAGGTTACCGAGTTCCGACTCCAAGCTAGAAGAGCCTGCACCGCGGGTTGCTGTTGAATGCTCCCAGCGCGGCGCTTGATGAAATGAATACATGTTCTCCTGAGATTGTGAAGCCATTCTTGCAACTGGCTGACTACAGAATCAATACAGAAAGTATGAGCGCCAAGACGAACAGCACGCAGACTCGATTACCTTGAATGACCATCAAAGATAGCATCGGGGGAATGATTCTGAGCAGGTAATACCTCCCTTGTACTACTGTCACGTAGACTGAACACGTATGTATCGAAACGCACACCTTATGTGACCAAGGTAATGCATGCCCGTAGTGCCGTTGTTAATCTGTACTTCTACAGACGAACGCAAGAATGCACTCCTATACAAAACTGGGAGGTAAGGACGGAGTTGCACTTGACAGAGGACACTTGCATTAGACCGTGTGGTCCCCCTAGTGCGGCCGCCAGCAGCTGATGAATATCCAGAGGAAGGTATACTACCACACTTTCGATGTAAGGTGCTCTACGAACTGTCAGGTTTGATGAGTCCAACCAAAGTACAGACGTACTGGAACGGTGACAACGGATCCTGCTGTGTAGCAGTCGGAATGGGACCTGTGACAACATTGCTGTTTGCCATTAGTACGTGAATCAAATTGGGGAACGAGAAAAGTCAGACGCAGAAGAAATAATCAGCACTGCGTAAGGTATATGGCCTGTGTTCAGAAACGAGTCGAGTCACGGTGTCATATTTAAAGGCCCTGGCATACAACTGGCCTGGCCTGGCAGGAGGCGGTGCATGGACATAGTACAGCAACGTTGGCCGCTCCAATGACATAAAAAAGGAAAGTGCATAAGAACAATGTAGCCAGCGGTTTAGTAAGTCTCGGAGAAGTGATCGTTTGAAGGGGTGGCCTTGGCCCATGGCCAGGCCCTGGCCAAAGCTAGCAGTCGGATCCATGTCATCTAGTGGTATGGACATCAATCGATATAACCCTCATGGGCCTCAAAGCTGATTCAGTGATGGGCAGGAGTGGTTCCGATTAGTTGCATGGTTATGGAGGGCTGACTTGCGAGATACCGTTGGAACTTGTCCATAGGGTGAGTATGTTTACACCCTAGGCATTGATGGAGTCGCTAATTGAAAGCTTCGTAGTGATACTCGAAGAATGAAATTGGGGTTCGCTATGGTCAGTGCCATCAAACTTAGAACAGCATCATAATGGCGGGTGTTCTGGATTATATACTTCGTAGGAGCTCGGCCCATTTTCATTACCGACTTACCGATTATCGGTTACCGACTTACCGATAAACGATGATTGTGGCTGACAGTGACTACAGCTGAGCGCTGATCTGCCACCCAATAAACTCCATGCTTCCCTCCTCCACATAAGTACCTTAGTAGTCAAGGAAGTGTGCAGGGTACTAAGAGCCGTGCTTGCATGGCATAGCACAGGCATACAGATTGCCATATATTAGCAAAACCAGTGATAATCATTAATCAGCGCTCAGCGCTCAGCCATGCTGTATGTGCCGCCAGTGGGGACTCATGTCAAACCCTAGACATGCAATTGCTGGCTAAAGATCAGATTCGGTGCTGTACAACAAGCTGCGTGAAATTTTAATTTCGGCGACGAATAGTTCGCCTTCCATTAGAATCACAACCTACCACCTGCCACCTGCCATCAGGACCTGGAACTTTTACGCGTATTACTAGCTTACCCCTACTAGTATGATAGCAGCTCTATTTCACACACCAAGTTAGGCGCCTGGTGGAACGTGCGATCACCAGTGCTGAGTTTCTCTGATCCGGGACTATCTCGATCCTTCAGCGTATATGTATCATACTATTACTACTAATATATGTCAACATACATGCTTCAGGTAGCATATATTGTCATATGTGCTCCAGTCTCTTTTGTTGATGCGACTTCCCAGTTTTGAAGCGGAATTGCGTGGCAGGGACAGATTTTTTTGTTCATAGGACGATGCAGCGTCACCTACACAAGTACAGTAACGTCAAACATCTGTTGAACCCACAGCTGCCCCTAAGGCTAAAGGCATTAGTCAGGGCATTCGCGAACCTGAGATGCACTCGAGACACTGGGGGTCTCTAGTATAGATTGTATTGTCCTACATAGAGTACCACTCTGAAAAGGACAGAAATTGGATATATAAAAAAAGGCATTAGTCGTCATGAGCGTCACGTGATTGATCGTAGCATATCGTAGCGAGTTTGCAATGAGCTAAGTGACGGGTATAAATAATGACTGTGGGTAGTAAGGATAGATGGATCGTAGGAAAGTTGCTCTATGCACAATGGTCAATACTTGATAGGTTGCGCGAACGAGTGGAATCCAAATCACGCCAGCTTGATTTGAATGAACCTTTTGGTTCAATAGGTCCCGTCTGATGCAGAAGTAAGCTCGCCATCAACGAGATAAGGGAAAAACAGGAATCATACGCACCCACCCAGAATTATTGGCCAACCTGCCTCAGAGACACGCCTGTCACATTGACGATACGGGTGCTACGGCCGTACATCACACGGTATCCATTACCTCCAGACTTACACATTTTAGCATGAGATCTCCAAGAGTAATCTCGAGAGAAAAGTCTCGAGCACCCGTTGCACCGGAATGTCTCGCCGAAGTGTCGGCGCAGAGTATGCCGTGCCACAGCGCTCTTTTGCATCTGGATGTTACACCCATCCCAGGTGCATGGGACCTTGCTGGTCTCATCTCCACGAGTAACACCATGCCATTTCTGCGCGTGACGCTTGAGTGAACCTTTGTTGACTTTCACCCAAAGGCGGCACGGTGAGTCCGTGCGAAGACATTCGCCAATGATTATGCTCCCGTGATCGGTACTCTGGTCTGCAAGGTCATCACCATCTATTAAATAGTCACCGACCTTGAAAACCTGAAGGGCGCTTGGCTGATGAGCATGTTGCTCATGAAGTGACGGAGCTTGGGGAGTATGGTCAGCAGAGGGACTTGGGTGCTGTGTGCTGGGATGAGGTGTGTCTGTTCTGGAGGATGAAATCGACGATGGTGACGGCGAGGGAGGGTACGGGGGTGCTAGGTTATCAAGGAAAATGTTCCAACCAAGATAAGCTGGACCTGTGGAGCTGGATGATTCTGCGACATGCAATTGTGAGAAATGTCTAGCGTCGCCTCCGTAGCTCTGAGCAATGGGATTGCCTCCATATGGCGGCACAACGATCACTGGAGTGTCGCTGGACGGCTGAAATGCTATGCCCTGTCGCGACGGCACAGGATTTGCAATCGCAAAATTTATGTTCGAAATATCGCCTGGGCCTCGAGCAGGCCGACCAACATCCAATCTGTATTGGTCTCTTGCAGAGCTGCTTGCACTGAAATAAAGAAAATGAAGGGGAAAAATGAGCGTCAGCTGAGATGTTGTGCGCAAACTCGAATACCTTGAACCATCGCCGGTGCCAGTAGGAGAAACCTCATACCGCTGCTGTAAGATATGTGTGACATTGCTTTCATAGCTCTGAGCAATGTCATGACTTCCGTAAAATGGCGCAACAAATACTGGAGTAGTGTCGTTGAATGGCCTAGATGCTGTGTCCCATTGTGCAGGATATTCAATAAAAGATTCTCCATTTGGAACACCACCTGGAATTTGAGCAGGCTGGCCGGCTCCTGCAGAGCTGTATGCACTAGGAAAGAAAAAGATATGAGCTTCAGGTGATGCCGTACACAGACTTCAAGTACCTCGAACGGCCGGCGGTGCCAGAAGGTGGAATCACATCCCTCCACATCACCATTAAGTGGAGCAGTCGCCCATTTATCGAATAACACACCTAGACTGTGGATAGTAACGTGGGCGATGGCGGTACTCATAGGAATGCATTCCAATATCGCTTGAAAAACCGATAAGGAAGGCATGGTCATTTGATGGTAAAGATTCACCTCAGCTGGCCGGATTCTAGCAAAGGTGAAAAGTTCTGACGCAAAGAGTACCCCGCTGGCAGTGTGCTGCGATGAGATTCATGAGTCACTGATCTCTGACTAGCTACAGCTCACTTACGAACTGCCATGCTGGGCCGCTGCAACGTGCATTGTAGGAGGTGTCTTCCGGAAGGAGATGTTGTCTTCTGATCGGCCCATACTGGTAAAGGTTGGGGGACTGGTAAGTTAGAGGTCCGTTTATATAAGTGAATTACTGAGAGGGCCATGTGAAGAAAAATGCTTCCGCCGTTTGTCTAGAATTCGAAAGAGGAAGATTCCACATGAAGGCACTGCCCAAACTTGCCAACGCAGCCACTGTTAAGTACAGCATCTTCTGCCAGTCTTTTACTTCCTGTACTGCACGTAAGGCAATCGATCCGATAGGTAGTAATTGTACCAGAGATTTGAGATCTCGGGAGGTCACTCGTAAGTCGGATCATAGATCTTGTAATTAACCCGCGTCATTCAAGCCTCATGCCCGTCGATCACCTTCTTTAGGAGCATATAGGGAGCACGAAGCCAACTGATAACTACGGGATCATGAGTTCAGCTCGAAACCAGGTCAGCCTGAATCACCTCTCGCCATTATATTTTCAGCAACTACCGGTTATTGAAACCCGGAAGAGTAATGTATTGTGGCGACAACCGTGTAGACGGCAAACGGTGATAGCAATCAAGACCTGATGCAAACACTGCGGGCTGCATTTTCATTAGGCAATAGCGCAAGCAGTGCCGACAATCCTACATTCGGGAACCGCAACATCAACATCCGATTCAACGAAGAACACGCACACATCGAGACGGAGTAATGGCAATATTTCATTTGATGCATGACAGCGCGACGCAGTGCACATTTCGAGTCCTATGGTATTATCGCCATTGCTTTTGAAACCAAGGGAACATGTGAAGTTCAGCGCACTACGAAACGGGTTGAATGAGCTATACAAGATTGTCTGTTCAGCAGTGGAAAAAATCGCTCAAAAAAGAGCTTGTGAGCCATGTAGCTGAAACGCAAGAGACGAGCGACAGGATAGCAGGAGCAGGATATGAAAAGAGAAGTCGCAGCGCCGGTGAACTTAAGTACTTCAGGATGCGGACCAGTGAGGCGGAACCGCGTTGGCCAATGGCCACTGATCAACAGCCCTCAGATCATCGCGGAGTTTTTGACCGGTATGTTGACATACATCCGATGAGAGAAGGATAAAACCCGAGATTATATAATATGGACAGATTCGTTCAAGTTGAATCTCCATCGAGTTTCGTCCCTGAGGTTGTATCGTGCTCCTGTAGGTTCCTGTCAGCAATATTGCTGTGAAGTCTGATGGTGGGACAACCTGGTACAGCCTACTTATGATTTTCTACAGCATTTCTACACAGGACCAGTTCTGTATGCAGTAATATCACTGCAACTATCAGCATTTTCGGACCGGCCAAGCCCTGCCGCTGTGGCGTATCAGCACCAAGCCCATCAAGATGTAAAGAGCAGGGAGTCTGGAAGAAGTGCATACATGGTTTAGAATCCTCGAATGGAATAACCGCACTCAAACCTAATGTTGTCCAGGAGAGTTGGACGCTGGCACATCATATGACATACATTCACTGATCTGCAATAGGTCGTGGAAATGTCAGGTGTGCACGGCCCAGTCCTCTGATTGTAGCCATTAACATGATTAAGACATTTGTCTGCAAGCTGATTCAATTCAAGTGTTGGTCACTAATCTTAGATGAAGTTCGAGTATCGCAGAACCGAGGTTTGGATACATGCTTGCCACAAATTGTCACGGTCAGCAATAGTAAGTGTGAGTCTTTTGGCGCCCGACAGCTTATCAATGACAATATTAATATCCAACCTTTATCGCAGTGAGTCTTTGGCATCAAAAGCATATGTCAAGGCGAGTGAATTGCTTATGCACGCTCTTGAAGGTCGAGGTGAATATGAACTCAAGTAACTTTGTTTGCCGTCACTGACGCTCTGAATCAAAGGCGTTGACTGTCAGCGCGCTCACATCGAAGTCTGAAATGCTTTTGACTGTTTTAAAATACCGCACCGCCATGGGCGTCACAATCGCTCGTGATGTCTGTGTCTAGGTCCTATGGGATTTACAAGCGTGAGCTCGTTAGAGTGCTCGTGATGTACCGTGATCGTGTGATCCTAGTGACGTGGCCTTTACAACCCATGACATGACAAGTCGCAACATACGAATGGTCAATTAATGTATGAGCTTCCTGGTAAATATATGTTAGCGATGCTCAACTTATCGATAATGAACCGTACTGGAGAGCTGTATGCACTATCGCTTGACAGGGGGTAAAATAAATGTTGAATATTAGCACGTTTAATCGGAGCTTTAAAATAGGAACCGGATTTGAGTGTTGGCAGCGAGGACGAGTTGCCACCGGGCTGGTGTGTGTTGGACTCGGCCTACCTGCTTTCTCTACTTTCTTACTTACGCTATCCAAAACGGCGTCCTCTGGTGGGATCGTCTCGCGACGCCCGGAGACTGCGACCAGGTCTTCGGCGATGGATAATCCTCCAAACGCCAATATACATACAATTGTAAAGGCTCAAATCGTCTTCCTTCTTTCTACCCTCACAGAAGACAATTTTGACCGCAATCAGCTTGAAATCCGTTCGGTCAGTATTATCAGTATCAGATTGACTGTTCTTGTATCACTGAATCTTACCGTGAACTCCTTTTTAGCTTTCAGAACAGCACGGACTTGACACATACCTCCATTTCATTCGTCGTCTGATTGTTCATTCCCAAGGCAGACTAGCATCTTCAGCGCCTCCATCGGCTTTTGATACTTCTACTGCGTTGACTTTTCGACTCCTCGTGCAAGAAACTCAAAGACTCGCACGTGACCCTTTTCTCGCTGACCGTTTTCGTGAGGGCATAGACAAGGGTGAAGGGGACGCATTCAGGCACTTTGATCTCCTGCGATTTGCTGATCGGGTTGCTTTACGTCCTTTGGAGAGACTGGTCCTGTCTTCGGCCATCGTCTCTTCCTCCACGAGGAAGGAATTTGCCACCCAAGCAATGACGCTTATACGACACGACTTCGAAATCGCAGTACTTGCACTTTGTCAGCACCCCTCATTCGACCACGCCGATCTTTCTCCTCAGCAAGTTGCGAAACTCATGTCAAATCTTCTTTCCGAGTCTGCTTCTGAAACCCCAATCCTTGACCACACGCAGCGTCAAGCGCTCATTGCTGCTGCGCAGGCAAAGTATGGACCCGAAATTGTCGCTCCTATCCTGCAGCGCATTTTTCCAACGTTGAGGTCAGGGCAACCCGTTTACCGCTTTTGTCCAATATTAATCCGAACCCTTTTGCGCAGCTTGCCCCCTGGGACTTCCCTGGTTCAGACGCTGATTCAGTTGGGTCCTGACATCACAAGTGATCCTGATACTGTTTGCGCTTTACTTCAACGCTTTGGGATTTCGGACGCCAATCCTCCTCGAGACGCTCAATTGGTGGAGATCATGTCCAATTTGGCTCGATTGGCCGCGGAGGGAACAACTTTATGTGATGTTGGAGCTTTGGTGAGGGCGTTGAGCAGCTTCGTAAGCGTCTATTTGTATCGAGATTTGCATTTCCTCACGTACATGATCAGCCCGCGACTTTGAATTGGGCGAATGTTATTAAGGCATTCGATCTACCTGACCGTCATGGGGTGGATACTGCTACCTTGAAGCTTCTGATCGCCATTCTGCTTAACTGCCCACGTGACGCAGATCCTCACGCTGTGATTGGTTTCTGGGGGACATGGTCCAACTCATTATATCAACTAAAACTTCTTGACGCGTTGCTCTCACTACCCGCCGATACTTTCAATTTTGTGTCTTTGCCAGGCAGGAGGATCGTTACAGTGGACGATGTCGCGGTTGCGAGCCCCACAATCAAGTCCCTTGCAGCCAATGTACAGAGTCACACTTGGAATTCGTTGGATGTCTTCGAGGTTCTCGTACGACTCGCGGACTCGGATAGTACCGAAATTCGCTCATGTGTCAGGGATATGCTCGACAAGGCACTTAAGATCAGCGCCGAATTGGTACAAATGGGTTTGCTGCAAGTGCCGGTAAGTTTTCTTCTAGCATCACGTGCTTGTTTTCCTCAATGGCCTTAAGGATGCAAACTGGAACGAAATACGTGTGGAATATTCTCGCAAACTTCTGGCCATGTTCCTCGCCGGACATCCTAATCACCAGCTGGTCTTCATGCGTCTATGGCAGATCGAGCCGACCTATCTGACCGATGCATTCCGCGACTTCTATGAGGAAAATCCTCTCAATATCTCGAGGATCCTGGATGTAGCTCAGGACCTCAAGGTAAGCCAAAATGAGCCTCAAGGCGCTCATGATGACCATAAATGGGACCAGATTCTGGAGAACTTGCTCGAGGTTCGACCCTTTACATTCGCCCTGGATGTTGCATCGCTAGCATCGCGTCGAGAGTACCTTAACCTCGACAAGTGGTTGGCCGATAACGTTACCGCACACGGAGCAGAATTCTTGCGCGCCATGATTGCCTTTTTGGAGGTCAAGATGGAGAGCGAGAAGGTGGCTAGGATGTCTGATCCCACCGTAGATAGTCGTACGCTGTCCCTGAATGCCCACACCATTACCATTTTCCTTCGCATTCTCCGTAATAAGTGAGTATCTGTCCCTTCTGTTTTCCTTTTTCGTTTCGCTTATTTTCTTTTTGTAGTTCTGCCAAAATGCCTCGAGACGACATCGATTACTGCCTCGAAGTTCGCAACTCCTGTTTGCAGGTTCACCCTCGCCTCATGAACCTCATCCCTGGCAGCGATATCGATCCTGGATTAACTGTGGTCAATTACTCGCCGGAGATTGAGAGTGAGGTTGACGCCATTTACAAGCACATGTACGACGAACAGACGTCTATCGACGAAGTCATCACCCTTCTACAACGCAGTAAAGCCTCATCCGACACTCGTGACCACGAGATCTTCTCTTGCATGCTTCACTTCCTCTTCGACGAATACAAGTTCTTCCAATCCTATTACCCGGCTCGCGAACTTGCCATGACTGGATATCTATTTGGCTCTATCATTCATCATGATCTCGTAGATTCGGTTCCTCTCGGAATTGCTATCCGTTACGTTGTCGACGCCCTTAACTGTCCCCCCGACACCAATCTTTTCAAGTTTGGTCTCCAAGCCCTATCTCGCTTTGAAACTCGCCTTGCTGAATGGCAGCCTCTGTGTCAGGCTCTTCTCAGAATCCCCCACCTTATGGAAGTTCGCCCGGACCTGACAGCTGTCATTCACCGTGCCATCGCTGCTGGTGGTGACGGATCGCGCAGTAATGCTGATATGCGTGGCATCTCTACTGGTCTTACGGCTGATCCTGCGCCCGTGTTTACTTCTATCCGCCCTGACAAGTTCGATACAGAGATTGTCGAGCCTCCGGAGGAGCTTTCCGACAAGATTCTGTTCATAGTGAACAACCTCGCGCCCAGTAACTTCGACGCTAAGTTGTTGGAGATGAAGGAGCAGTTTGACGATGCCTTTTCGAGGTGGTTCGCTAATTATCTGGTAGACCAGCGCATCAGCAGCGAGCCAAACAACCACCAGCTGTATCTCCGTTTCCTCGACGCGCTTGACAAACGGCTTTTGTCCAAGTACATCCTACAGGAGACCTTTGCCAAAGCAGCAACGGTGTTGAACAGCGAGAAGACGATGCAGATCACCTCGGAGCGTTTGGTCCTGAAGAACATTGCGTCGTGGCTTGGAGCAATCACGCTTGCTCGTGACAAGCCGGTCCGTCACAAGAACCTTTCCTTCAAGGACCTTCTCATGGAGGGCTTTGACCATGGCCGCCTCATTGTCGCCATTCCATTCGTTTGCAAAACTCTTGAGCCTTGCTCCAAATCCAAGGTCTTCAAGCCGCCCAACCCTTGGCTGATGGCGGTCATCAATCTACTGGTCGAGTTCTACCAGTTCGCCGACATCAAGTTGAACTTGAAGTTTGAGATCGAGATGCTGTGCAAGGGCCTCGATGTCGACCTCGCCACCATCGAGGTTACGAACGCCCTGCGCCACAGAGCCACTGCTGGTGATACAGGACCTGCCATTCCAGATTATGTCACTGACATAGACTCCATGCCGATGAATGGGTTTGATCCTGCTCATATGCAGGGTGATTCCCAGGTCATGCCGATCGGACCTACACCTGCAGCCGAGCCTCAACGTGCTGTAGGTGCTCATATTGAGTCGATTCTCTCGAGCTTGGCCACGAGCGTTGTGATCAGCTCGCAGCTTGCACCTTACAATGCCAATCACTCCTTCAAGCGTGCAGTGCAGCTTGCTGTCGACCGTGCCGTTCGGGAGGTAAGTCATTCCGTGCTCATTTCTGTTGCATCAGCTTGAAGTCAATCTTCCACTAGATCATTGTTCCAGTTGTTGAGAGGTCTGTGACAATCGCTGGCATCTCGACTCGCGAGCTTGTCGCCAAGGACTTTGCAACCGAGCCTAGTGAGGAGAAGCTGCGTAAGGCTGGGCACCTGATGGCGCAGAAGCTTGCCGGGAGTCTCGCACTGGTCACCTGCAAGGAGCCTTTGAAGAGCAATCTCGGAGGTCACTTGCGTTCTTCTCTGGTGGACCATGGGTTCAATGAAGTAAGTGGTTGATACCTGTAACGTGCTGGGCGATTACTTACAGCATTTCAGCAAACAATATCCGAACAAGTTGTGGCCATCCTGGTGCAAGACAATGTGGACGTCGCCTGTGCTGCGATTGAAAAAGCTGCTATGGAGCGGGCCGTGACAGATGTAGATGAGGGCTTTGCCACTTCATACGAAGCTCGTCGTCGCTACCGCGAGGTATTTTGGTCGAGATATGTCACTAGAGTATAGCTAACGTTTACTTGTCAACAGCTTCGCAGCGGGCAAGCGTTTTGGGATCCTGCAGCTCCGCCCTCAAACTTCTCCTCTAGTCTTCCGGATCCTTTGCGTATCAAGCCGACAGGACTGCAACCCCATCAAGCGGCAGTTTATGAGGACTTCGGTATGTTTTTCATCGACGCCTCAATGTAGCTCGTCTAAACGTCTCATCTCAATTCAGCCCTAGATGCGAAGCGTGGTGCACCAATGAGTCGGCCAAGTTCAACGGTGTCGTACGCTCGCAATGAACATCTGAATCCAGCTCTTTATGCCGCTTCGCCCGCCCCAGAGCCAGCTATCGCGTCCCATCCCGCAATGACCCACCAGGAGGCAATGGACCGCTTTAATGTAAGTATGCTCTCCATTTCACCTTGCCGGAAAGCTCACCATTGTGTGCAGACGATTTTGAGAGACCTGGAGAGTCTAATCATTCAGTTGCCCATCCAATCTCTGGCTGCCCTTCCCCCCAATCATGATCTTCGTCACCTTGTTCGGCAGATCCTTTTTGTCGCAGCGAATTCCATCGATCATAACCGCACCCCTCTCCACATGTCTCAGAAAATTGTTCAGCTCCTGTACAAGACGAGCTCTCAGCTCGGCAGGGAGATTTATGTTGCCTTGTTAGACCAGTTGTGCCACTCGTTCGAAGAGGTTGCTAAAGAGGCTATTACGTGGCTGCTCTATGCGGAGGATGAGGTTAGTCCTCGGTACTTCTTATATATACATATCACTCACATCACTTCAGCGCAAGCTCAACATCCCTGTTACTGTAACTCTTCTACGCAGTGGTCTTGTCAACACTTCGCTCCAGGATCAACAGCTGGCGAAGAACTTGTTTACCGATCCTCGCCCTAGTTTGCAAAACTTCGCAGCAGGTCTCATTCGCGAATGTCTATCAAGCGACCCCCCGGTTGCTTCCCAGAGTCAGTTGACATACTCTATTGAAGTTCTTGGGCAGTTGGCACAGGCCGGCAAAGCCAATGAAGAGTACGTCGCGATCGAATTTAGTGAGCTTGTGTGCTGACCAGCGTACTAGGGTGAATCGCCTCCTTGATGACCTCCGAGTCGTTCGCAGACCTAGCATGACGTTGCCAACAGAGGGCATGGTGGTTCGCCAGCCCTCAGTCAAGCCAGAAACCGAGCAGCTAAGGGAGAAGTTGTTTATCTGGTTTCAGCAATGGGTTACCATCTTCCAGAGGTCTCACTCTCCAGAGAAAGCTTTCGTTCCCTTCATCTCCCAACTCACGAAGCAGGGGATCTTGAAGGTCGAGGATATTTCTTCATTCTTCTTCCGTGTGTGTGCGGAAGCAAGTGTGAACAGCTATATCAAATGCATGGCTTCCGGAGAGTTCGACTACGCTTTCCAAGTTCTCGATGCGATGTCGCGACTTATTGTCTATATCATCAAGTATCATGGCGATGCTTCTGGGATTGACAACGATCAGGCGAAGGTTCATTACCTCACCAAGATTCTGTCGATTTTCGTTCTCGTTCTGGCGAATATGCACGAAGAACAAGGCGCCCTCTTCCAACAGAAGCCATTCTTCAGATTCTTCTCCAGTCTCATTAGTGACCTACACTCCATCGCAGAACATCTAGGCTCAGCTTACTTCCACTTGCTGATCGCCATCAGGTAAATCATAATTTCCAGTATTTCATTTTTGTTGTCACTCACAATCGCGCAGTGACACATTCAGTTCTTTGCAACCCACCTACTTCCCTGGGTTCGCGTTCTCTTGGCTCTGTCTTGTTTCGCACCGACTCTTCATGCCGAAACTACTGCTGTCCGAGAACCGCGAGGTAAGATTTGCGCTTTAATTTCCAAGGACTATCTTTGACCTAAGTTCCGTCAGGGCTGGTCCGCGTTCCACAAGCTCCTTCTTTCCCTCTTCAAGTTCCTGGCTCCGTTTTTGAAAGAGGCTGATCTCCAACTCGCATCTCGTGATCTGTATCGCGGCTCCCTCCGACTCCTCCTCGTCCTCCTTCACGACTTCCCAGAGTTCCTTAGCGAATACTACTTTAGTCTCTGCGATGTCATTCCTCCGCGTTGCATCCAGCTTCGCAACATCATCCTCAGCGCCTTCCCTATGTCTATCATCCTTCCTGACCCCCATCTACGCAACATCAAATTTGACTCGATTCCCGAAATGGGACCGATACCACCCATTCTATCCGATTTTGCTTCGGGTCTCAAAAGCGCCGATCTCCGCAACAACCTTGATCAATACCTCCTTAATCGTGGGACCCCTTCATTCCTTACGACACTCAAAGATCGCTTGAGGCTGCCCGGCGTACCAGAGGGTTCGACCGAGTCGTACAACCTGTCACTGATAAATTCCCTTGTAATGTACATTGGGGTGTCGTCAGTTGCTCAGGCCAAGGCAAGGAGTGGCTCCTCTGTGTTTGTCGCAAGCGACCCTGGCGTCGTTGCTCTACAGTATCTAGCTGCTAATTTAGATGTTGAAGGTGAGTACCAACGAGTCTGCTGATCAATATGATATAAATTGACGTGATACGTAGGACAACACCACCTCCTGAGCTCCGTGGTTCTTCATCTGCGATATCCCAATGCCCATACCCATTGGTTCAGCTCTCTCCTTCTCCACCTCTTCGTTGAGGTAAAGGACGATCGCTTCCGGGAAGTGATGACCCGAGTCCTTTTGGAGCGCTTCATCGTACATCGCCCTCATCCGTGGGGTGCTCTGGTCACCTTCATTGAGTTGCTCCGCAATTCGAAGTACGAGTTCTGGAACAAGGAGTTTATTCGCGTCGCACCCGAAGTCACCATGTTGCTTGAGAGTGTGAGTCGATCTGCTGATTAGTTGAAACTCTTGCTCAATCGTCATTGTAGGTCGCGAGGTCCATCTATCAGCCATAGACTCGCTTTGTCTTTGTTCCTGCTATCTGTCGTGCATATCTGTTTCTTTGGGTTTTTTCCTTGTTCTCTAACTGCACTCACTGTATTGTAACAACCTTTCACCGTTTTCAAGTGTTGAACAAGGTGTAACATGAACTTTGATTATGACAAACCTGCTGCACAACCTTGCCGACACGCGTCAGCTGGCTCGTCGATGTTTATAGCGCCCTTTAAAAGTTCCTTTACCTTTACAATACTATGTACACCTATGGGCATTCTATGCTAATTAAGCCATGACATGCGAGCGTTGAATCCCCACTTCCCATCATTTGACCTATGAGCTGATCCCCAAACACTGCCAAGCATGTCTGAGTAGATAGTGTTATACAGGAACCAGAACTTACCCGGCCCCCTCTGCCCCACCTGCCCCTATCCTATCTGCTCTCGCATCAACTACCAACCAGTCAGGTACCAAGACACCTGTTCGGATGGGGAATAATCGTAGTGCACGCTCAAGTCCTCCAGGATCAGTTGATTGCAAGAAAAGCACCAAGTTTGAAGTGTTTGATGTTTTCTTGGTGAGGAAAAGCAAGCCTGCAAGGCAAAACGTTCAGCGTCTCTCATGCATGCCACCTCAAACTGACGCACCAGAAGAAGGGCGGTCAAATTTCTTGTCGTTTAAACCCCAAGTTCCTCTTTCGCAAGACCATTCGCTCTGGCTGAGCTTCAGAAGATTTTTGACAAGCAAAGAGTCTGGGCAACCGATGATGATCATGTTACCACCGCATGCCAGGCCATTTTCTGCTTCGCGGGCAGAAAATATCCGCGCATCAAGAGAATGGAAAGTTCGCAGGCTGTGAGCGATCCGCAAGGCTACAGACAACTCGAAGGAGTGATATAGCGATGGAACCACGATGTCGATGATTCCGTCTGTGCTGAGAATAGCTTGGGCACGACCATACGGTTGTTGGAAGTTCTCTACATAAGAATCTACTGCCTATCTCAACGGGCTATGAGGAACATTCGGATATCAAGATACCCAAGAGGACGTTACCTTCCAACCAGTTGAGTTGTGGTTAGTGTCTTGTTCGAGCCAGAGGGTTCTAGCTCCCGTACTGGCGTGCAGAACTGAGACCATCTGATCGTTGATCACAAGGTCATTGACAGAAGCGTTGCTTAGGTCAACGGAAATAACGCTGATGTTCGAGACATTGACGTTTACTCTTCCTCCGTCATCTTCGCACACTTCCAAACGACCAAGCCTGCGGTAAACGTTGCTGTGTCAAACCTTATGAGATAAGAGAACGTCACTGACCTCCCAGGCACTTCGAGGGCATGCACCCGCCAACCTCGCATTGGCCCGCTCTCTGCAGGAACAGCAATAGTAAGTGTGAACTTGCGACATTTAGCTTTCAACGTGTTGTCCGAAGAACAGCGGTCAAGAAACGCCTGAACACGACTATTTTTAAGCACCTCCAACCACCAGTGAGGTTGACCAGGCTCCTCGTGGTACCTTCAGAACAATGAGCGATCATTGGAGACCAAAACCAGCACAAGTACATAAAGTACATACGTGACGTCTGCGTCTGGATTCCATTCCTTGAGCACGCTCACTGCCTCACGAGTGTGCCAAGGCGGGACATTATCATCCATACCACTGGTAGTGGTTGAGCAGCTTCACCACGAAAAGCTATTACCAGACACACCCATGTATTGCGAGTACCGGCGTGTGAGCGAGATTAGAAAGGAATAAATCATTGTCGTCTGCTAGGAGCGATGTTTCGAGAACAGCTCGGAGCGCTGGGTCAATGAAATGCGTGGATCTGCCAGAGGCCTAGTCAGCCCCGACGTCATGACATGTGCGGGTTTCATGACACCTCGACATCGTCAATGGGACATATGCCTGCGACTTAATGTATCCAGCAGCGGCTACGACTGAGTTTCACCGTCATCCTAATGGAAGCCTGAAGCATAGTCTGTCCAACGTACCAGCTTTCACCTTGTCTGGCCATCTACTGGCTACGTACCATGCACCTTGTCCTCCATTCGAATGACCTATAACGATAACCTTGGTATCTCGAGGATAAACCCAATCCGTGAACCCTGCGCATAGTATATCATGCAGGGCTGTCACAGCAGCAAAGGCATCAGCAGCAGAAGGACCATGCCAATCGAGACCCTGTCGTCGATCAATCAAATCAGCAAAGGAGGACACTGGAATGTGAATTACCCAGGAAGTTCGACCAGACGGAATGACCACCCATGCCCTGTCTTGTCGAGGGAGGCTGTCTGCCCAGAATGTTTGGGTAATGATTTCGACACCTGCGCCATCTAGAAATAGAAGAGAAAATCAACATCCAAAAAAACAGGGAGCTAACAGGCGTAGACAATAACATACGCAGTGCTAGAATCGGTTCTTTCAGTTCTCCTTCGCCTTCTTTATTTGTATATCGAGGGGGAAGTACCAAGAACGTGGTAGGATTGCTGGAGCTCAAATTATATGTCGCTTTGATGGCGGTGTAACTGATAGAAGTCCACATGGGAATGTGTCTGATAGGAATATTGACTCTGAAGATTTGTTGCTCATCAACCGCACTGTATGCAGATCCATCAAGACAGGGAGAAATTGTAATCTCGAAGGCAATCTCTGTGATATTGGTGGGGATAAGTCCGGGGTCAATTTGGAGCTCAAGCGTTAGTACGTGTGTTTGAGTCGGGGCGAGTCGTGTTGCAGTTGGAAGGTTGGACAATGAAAGGCCAAGCCCTGCGCACGGTATAATCGCAGCCGAGACTACTGTCCACCATCCTGATCCAGTTTTGCGGGTAAAATCGACGTTTCGAAGCCCAATTCCTAGCGTCCGGGAGAACGGCTTGCCATTGACGAAATCTGGTATGACGTCGTGAGCAGGTGCATGTACGATGGGTGTCGCCAAATAAGGTGATGATTTAAGTGGTGGAGGGGTATCAATTGAGATGGTGAAATTGATGCTTAGAATTGGATATGCCGAGTTGTATGCCTGAGGGTCACCAAAGAGTCTTATCTAGTATGGTGGAGAATTCAGATGGTACTCCTAGTCTTCCAGAAGTCAATCACCTCGTAAGGACTACAAAGAACTACTTGATATCGGGTCGCCTTGTCTTGATATGGAGACATCGGGAGCGAGACAAACTGTAGAGGTGCGCGCTCCAGAGCGTAAACATTCCCCATGTGCCACTCCGGGAGATGCGCTGTCCAAGCTGTCTCGTCACCTGGTAGAACGGTAAAATACGCACCCTGCAGGCACTCGACACGCAGGCGTGGATCGGCCTTCTCAGTCCCTCAGGCTCTCTTGATTAGAATCCGGAGGATAGACGGTGAGATACGTCCGGAGGACGTTATGGTGCTGCAGGGCAGCCCATCCCTCGGTCGCACGAAGTTGCTCCCACCGAATATTGGGATGAGATACCTTGAGACCTTCATGTTCATCCGATCTGGTTTTGGACCAAGAGACGGATCCACCATCAGCATAAGCAGATGGATAGGTGCGGGTCAAATCTATACACTCAGACACTTTGGAACCAATGGCACATATCAGCTCAAACTCAAGATATACGATCAATATGGATGCCCACAGTCGAGAGGAAACGCAGGAGAAAGGAAGTGCTGTTCCCGAGCATGGATGGGGAAAGGTCCGAGAACCTGTATCGTAGTGACGCGTCAACAACTTGCGCGTTGGACTGTGTCTCAGATGGAGTGGAGGCAATTGAACGCACATCCCATTCTCGAGACATTTCGACCCGCCATTCTCTGGTGCTGGGCGTGATATCCATGAAGACTCAATTCCGCCTAGTATGTGATGAAATACCGTTCACGATGGACTCCAGCTTGTAGAGGGACTCTTCCTCCAGTCGACCAAGTGCAACGATTGGCTACTATGCTCTGCGCTGATTATGGATATTAGCTGGATAATGCGGTTGGTTGACTCCCAAGTTGATTATCGATCATCACCTACACTTGGTCGGAGCGGAATACGGAAGCTGTGAGTCAAATATGATTAGTACGTCCAGAGTCGCCCAGACTCTTGAGCTTCCACTCTATGCAATGCAAATCTCAAGCACTGCACTACATACACAGTAATGTACTACCGCCCCGGACTCGGATATCAGGCCTCGGCCTCAGGTGCCATGGACTGAAATGAAAACGCCTCAACGGCTCAGTTGATTACAGGCATTGGCGCAAACAACAAAACGAACATAATATGTATTAACAAGGCGCTGGCGACCGCCGACAAGGGAAGGGGAATCTTGTAACTCAAATGCGGGAAGAACATCACTGACTCGATACGGACTTTGCAATAGGGCGAGTTGCGCTAGCAACTGGTCAACTATCACCTGAGGCCTGAAGCCCTGAGCCTCGGTCCAACCATCAGCCCGACTGGCTGAGGGTGAGCTGAGGGCCAGGCTGAGGATGACTGATCTATAAAGGCTCACCTGTCATGCTCTGCTTGCCTCTTTTGTTCCGCTTCCTTTTGGATGGGGGTCAATTCAAAGCCATACTCCCTGCACATCTCCTCGTGACACTGTTCGTGACCCTCACCTTCAACCCAAGATATCTAGAGCATCCCTCATTCTGTGTTGCCTCACGACAATAAGAACTGCATCACGGCCTCCCAAATTGTGGGGGCAAACCAGAAATATTGTGTCTGGTACAGATGGTAGTTGGGAGCATGCCGGGGGGATAGCATTTAAGTTAACAGATCTTTTGTTGCGGAGGGATGCGCACATGTTACGCGTTCAGATCAGAGACCCTTCAGCATCTCAAATTCCGGTCCATGATTCCGTTGTAACTTGTCACTATTCATAACAGGGCTACTGTTGTTCCGGGGTTCCTAAAACACAGATACTTATAGTATGGTTCATACAATCTACTTCTCACCCTCAAATTCCCCGCCGCATCTGTTCTCTGCAGATTCAATTGAGTATACCTCTCAACTGTGTGGTCTACAACCAGGACAGCGGTTGCAGACCCTTGCGGGTTTCTAATGATGGAAATAAAAGAGAACAAACTTATGTTCTTTTAGGCTCACGACCAGTCGCTCCCTCGCACTCAAGGCAGGAGCCTGACGAAGACGTGCTATTTGCTACAAGATAAATATCGATACAAAAAAACAATACATCGGTTTCCGGAACCGCGGGGCATTTAGGACGTTAATATTTCTCAAGAAGTACTTTCGGCATTAATCGCCTTCTGTTGTGCATTGAACGTGGTGGCCACAATCGGACAGCCCTTCCCAGCACCATTCAAGTTCTGTATCGTAACAGCAGCAGCGTTCAGACGCGCATTTTGCGAGGCCGTACTGTTATCGGTTGGGAACGTGAGGAGCACTGTTGGGTTCAGGATGACGTGGCCCGCGCGAATATTCGCTGTCAGGTTCTAGAAAAATATTATTCCCTGAGAGTGACTGGATATGAAAGGAGCAACATACCGCAATGTAATGCGTCTGATCGGGGGGACATTGGCATGGGATGAGTATTGGTTTTCCGTTTGTACCATTGACTGCACCATCGCAATTGCCAGTGCCTAGCAATACGTGAGCTTCGTATGTATTTGAATATATCGCACAATTGCTCTTTACCATCTGGGTTGATTCCCGATTGCCACCCAAGCGGCGGAGCAAGAGTAGCAATCTGTTCATCTGTAGGCGTTACGGAACTGTTGGTTGAAGCGGTGCTCGTTGGAATGCTGCAATCCATGGATGTGGTTGACGTGATTGTAGACATTGTGGGAATAGCACTTGGAGACACAGGGGTTGTGGACACAGCCGTAGAGGTTACTGGTGTAGGACTTGAAGACCCGGAGGTAGACGTCTCTGCATTGATCGCTTTCTGCTGCGCAGAAAAAGTGGTAGAAGAAATGGGGCAACCGATGCCGGGACCTTCGAGGTTTTGCAGAGTAACTGCTGCTGCATTTAAACGAGCGTTCTGAGACGCAGTGCTGTTGTCCGTTGGGAAAGAGAGCTTCACGGTGGGATTTGTTGTCACAAAACCCGCTGCAACGTTTCCTATTAAGAGCCTACAGCAGAAGTCAGTGATCAGCAGGAGGCAACACAAACGCTGATTATACGAAGACTCACAGTAAGGAAGAACGTTGAATTTGGCGGGCATTGGCAAGGTACCTCGATAGGCTTCCCATTAGTACCGTTCACAGCACCATCACAATTTCCCGTGCCTCCATAAACATGTCAGTGCACGGAGTTGAAGTGCAATATTATTTTTGTACTCACCATCTGGATTGACACCGGATGGCCAGCCGAAAGACGGGACTAGCGTAGGGTCAACGTCTCGCTTGCTCTGAGGGCGTAGAACGCGAAAGGGGACGGCCGCAACTGAGCCTGCCAGTACGACGGTCGAAAAGACCTTAACGAATAACATGTTTAGATAAATCTGAAGCCCTCCGAAAAATGAGTGATATTAAAACACTGTCGAGTGAATTGCTCGAGCTGAAAGTGAGTGACGGTGAAAAAAATAAAAGAAAAAATGTCGCTCGCGACAAAAGAGATCGACACAGTCGAAGGAGTACAGGTTGAAGATACGAGAGCAGAGCACCGAGATCATATATATTGTAATCATTGCTTGTCCTTTTGTTCAAAGTTGTTGTCTAGAAAACCTATTGTATACGCAAATGGAAGGTGTTTATCTTCGGGGATAGATGCTTATGTAATATCCCCTGGGACCTAGTACCTGGGACGGTACCTGGGTCCTGGTACTTCTGGCGTCACCTGGGTGAAAGAAGATAATTGTTCAAGATGAACCAGGATGAACCTTCTACTGTTCTCCTTCTTAAAAAGTAGTGAACAATATTTAAACAAGAAGCGTTCCCTGCCTGCAGCTGCGATCGATGACTCGGCGACTCGGCACGTTGTGGTGAACCGGCGCGAAGGGTTGCCAAATCAGGTCGATCAGCTAGCTTTGTGAACAAGTCTTCCGCAGTCTCTCAGGTTTATCGATGTCGAGACAAGGTGGAAAGCTGAAGCCTTTGAAGGTCAGTTCTTTCACCGCCTCGAAATTGAGTGACTAAACCATGCTTTTCGCTAGGCGCCAAAGAAGGATCATAAGGATGAAGATGAAGATGATAAGGCCTTCAAGGAGAGGAAGAAGGCCGAAGAAGCTGCTTTGAAGGTTGCGAGGGATAAAGGTACGTTTCAGCTTTCAACAAGTGCAATGAGCATATCTAATCAAAGAGATCTATCAATTTGTAGCTGTCAAGGGTGAGTATTCAAAACCTTGTAGTGCTTCTATCAGGATAGGCTTATAGTCTCGATAGGTGGTGCTCCTGGCGGCGGAATCAAGAAGTGCGTAGAGTACAGTCTTTATCTCGTTATCTGACTGATCTTTTCTTTAGGTCAGGAAAGAAATAGAAGGTTTTGGACAAGTTTCGGATGACACACCGTCTTCAACTAACCCAATCACTTAACATCTCTTGTATGATCAATCTTCCCTGATTATATGCTCCAACTCGGAAGAATGAAGGCCAATCCATCCAGTCTTAGATGCAATCATGAATCAATTGACTTGTAAGGTCCCTATTTGTTCCTTGCTGCCCTGAGTCTCTTGCTCCCCCTTCCTTTGTCATTATTGAGGTCCTCCTGCTTAGCTTTTATACATGTGGGAAGCAGCGGTCGACTTAAAATCACGTATGACCACTTATGGGCCAAGACCCGACATGGTTCTTGCACCGAGTTGCATGGTTCAGAGGCAGGAAAGGAGGGAGCAGAAGGCTCCTCGCAATCAGATGCTCTAGAAGATGACATTGTTCTTCAGTGTCTCAAGGCAACCTTTGGGCTTGGGCTTTTAGGGCTTCCCTGTTTAGCATCAAAGGGTGAGAGCGACGCCATCCAGTCAGAAGGTCCGTCGGAAATTGGAGCTTTCATGCGTCACACGGGGGCTGTACGAAGCGCCCATGAATTGGGTCGGAGACTCGGAAAGCACAGTGCATCGATGCATCCCTGGGCTGATTTTGGTTAACAGGGTCTTGTTAACGTCAACTTGGGTTGTCCAACGCTCATGGTTGAATTGACGTTGTTCTCAGTAAGATAATGATTGAAACCCCCGAAAGGTCGGATGTTTGAATTACACGGCGTTAGTGCTATGTAAAACGTTTTGTGAATCGGTGAAATTGAAAAGAAGTGCTTCGTGTACTTACTCGCCTTTCTCCGTACTTCCATTGTCGTCGCCTTCGCTGTCGTCGTTGTCGTCGACGTTGAGCTCGTCGTTAGCGGTTGTTTGTTGATCACAAACATTAGAAGCAGGAACCACAACCACCGATATGCTCACAAGCTCACGGATCAGTAACCTTGCCACTTCAAAATCTCCTCCTCCTAACGGTCTTCTACCGCAAAATAACAGCAGCAACAGCTCACAACAGCGTGACGCTTTGACTGCATTATACCACCAGAACAACCACAGTACACAAACAATCTCATCAACGCCCAACATTCACCATCCACAGACAATCCAAATCCCTATGCTCGGCACCTTGCAGGTGCCCCAGCCCCAGCAAAATCAGGGTGGCCAACAGCAGCAGGGTTCCATTGGCCAGCAACAACCTCAGGGTCAGCCTGGACAGTCTCAGGGCATCCCACCACCACCCCCGCAGAATGGTCAGGACTTCAATCTTTCCAGCGTCTTGCACTTTTTGCAGACAGAATGGCGTCGTTATGAGCGTGATAGAAACGAGTGGGAGATTGAGAGAGCTGAAATGAGGGTAAGTGCCCTCCTTATTCCTATGTGCAGATGCGTCCCACCACGCGTGTCACTTTTTACTTTCGGGCTTTTCGTACAAAAATGCGTTCAGTCTGTATACTAGCATTCATTGCGGGTTTCCTTGATATGTTTTCGACGTGTCGCGTATCCCTTCTCACAATGGTTCACAACAGGCTCGTATAGCTCTCCTCGAGGGCGAGCGACGCTCATTCGAAAATGTCAAACTCGACCTTATGCGTCGCATAAAAATGCTCGAGTATGCTCTTCGTATGGAACGGTTCGTGTTGTCCTCCTGCCCGTGCCAGCCTACTCATGCGTGCCGCTTCCCTCTTTTTATCGACATGCCATGCGTTCTTCATTACGCTGTGAAATAGCTCAAAGCAGTTAACTGCGCCCAGTGGCACCGTTCAGTCGTCAAAATTAGCCGCGCTCCAGCAGCAAGGCGCAAAAGATGATACTCAGAGCCATAAGGATGGGAGCAGTGGCAGCTCACCACATAGTGATGGTGCGTGTTTTCAAGTTCTTGGCTGCAACTTATTTTGGTACCGTATTTGACGTTGGAGCACCTGCCACAGATTCCCCTTTGCCCTCCGAACGTGCCCCGAACGGGACCTCTGCACCTGCTGCACGACAGCCCTCGTGGCCCGGTACGAGTATGAATTGGAGCACAGGCCTGCCATCCGTCGGGTCCGTTGGTAAGCCGCCACCAGGACGCGACCCGAAGAGCCGCGCACGGAGCAGAGACTACCTCAAGCAGTTCGTTTTCTTTTCATCTTTCTGGCGCACTTTGCATAAGCTCACGATCTCCTTCAGATGTTTGCAGGAAATCTCATACCTCACCTCTCCGCAAGCAATGAACCCACTCCCGAATCGTCCGCTGATCTCATCAGGACTTGTGAACCCAACAGCACCAAGCCAAACCTTCGAGCCGATCTACAATGGTCGGCCTCGTAAACAATTGCCAGATTCTGGGCCTGGGGTCACAGTCATTGGCGGACCAGGGAATAAAGACTTCCCGATGCTAAGTGGTGGTGTGGGTTCGATGTCGGGCCCTGGAAGTGGGCCAGCATCGACCGGACCATTGGAACGGGGTAGTCCACTGAATGTTGGTGCGGGCATGTTCCAGCAGCAGCAACCGCAGCAGCAGCAGATGCAGAGCCAAGAAAGGTCTCAACCACCTCAACCACCCCAGCCTCAGCAGCTTCCGCCACAGCAGGTGCCCCCGCAGACAGCACCACAGCCGCCTCCGGAGAAAGAGGGAGCGCCAACTCCGGATACTGAGACATCGCGCCATTTGACGGCGATCTTCCGTCCCGATGATCAGGGTGAGTGGCGAGAGAAGTTGCGGTCGTCGTATGAGCAGCACATGAAGATGCAGCGGTGGCGTGATGACGAGGAAGGCGAAGGCGAGGGTGAGGATGTCGGAGAAGATGAAGATGAGGTGGAGAGTGTCGGTGTTGGAGTTGAGGAGGGCGAAGGCGACGGCGGAAAGATATGGAAGGCTAAGCGAACATTAAGAAAGTGTGTAGCTCTTTCACTCGAGGTCTCTGTCACTAATAATAACTCTCAGCCATCTGGATGCAGTGCGTGCACTTGCATTCCACCCCACGGAACTATGTCTTGCAACCGGTGGGGATGACTGTACAGTGAAAATCTGGCGCATGGATGTCGCGAGTCTAGCATCTTCTGCGTTAGTCCCATCCTTTCTCGCAGCAGTCATCATGAGACTAACCCTCTTCTAGTACTCGTCCCACTACCGATTTCGAGCCCCAACTTACGCTGCGTGGCCACTCTGCCGCAATAACGCGTCTCGTGCATTCCCCTTCTAAGCATCTCATCTACAGCGCATCGCTCGACTCAAGCATCCGGATCTGGGCGCTGCCCTCACCATCGCACACGACATATGCGCCATACGACGACACATCCGCACGCGGCGAGCTGGTGGGACACACCGATGCCGTCTGGGACCTTGCCCTTGTGAGGGATGAGAATGCGTTGGTGAGCTGCGGTGCCGAGGGCTCGATAAAGGTGTGGGATGTAAGCGGAGCCATAGAAGGTCGCACGAGCTTGAGATTGTCATGGGGTTATTACGGCTTAGACCATGAAGGGGATGAAGAGGAAGAAAAGGAGAAAGAGAAAGATCCAGGAGCCACTGCGGTTGAGGCGATCAAGTCTGACTTGAAAAAGGTGGCAGTGGCATTCCAGAACGCGGTGGTAAAAGTGTTCGATATCGAGACTGGAAGAGAGGTGTCGAGATTGGCGACTGATGCCACCTATGGTACGTGTTTCGATTCGTGTGGTTTCCAACGGCGATCGCTGATTACGTTTTGCATCAAGATGGCACCCCTGCGACTCAGGTGAACCGCATTGTCTCGCACCCAACGATGTCGTTCCTAGTCACTGCCCACGAGGACAAGTTCATCCGTATATTCGACATACTGTCAGGTACGTTACCAACTGCACTTCTTCGCACTCGCTGACCGCGCACGAAGGACAATGTACGCACACCATGCCAGCTCATCTTGACGGCGTAACATCGCTGTCGATCGACGCAGCTGGATTCTCCCTCGTGTCTGGTTCACATGATTGCTCGATCCGCTTCTGGGATCTCCTCGGTTCGCGGACCTGCACGCAGGAGATCACGACACATCGGGAAAAGGCCAAAGAGGGCATTCTCGACGTCGAGTTCCACCCTTCATTACCCTTCATGGCAAGTGCAGGCGCAGACGGCGTTGTCAAGCTCTACGCATCGTCATAGCCTGCTCACGAAACGACCGAATATGATTGACCTTTTGCACTTATGATGTCACGCATTATAGATATCTTCATACGTATGCACTAAGGACGGGTCTTTATGCTCAGTACAAATTGGCTCTTATTTTTTCCTTCCTGTTCTTTACCTTGTTCCTGTATATTCCCTTTTTGCTGTTTGCAGGTGATCTTTATGTTATCGTCATGATCTTGGATTTCGTGCTTGGATCGTGCAAGTGCATACGTGAGGGAATCTAAAGCCAGTACGTAGCGTTTGAGGAGAGAGGCGAGAGGGCTTCAAGGTACAAGATGCGTCAAAAGGTACAAATCGATCGTAGGATGGTATCCATGAGTGAATCTTGTGACAAAAACAGCAACTGCGAAGTGGAAATTAAGGCTACAGTGGTTAAGTATACACACGGTGGGGATGGTATGGTATCAGCGGATTCCTCCTAATATATATGGCTCAACGAATAATCGAACAAATAAGAAAAGTTGAAGATAAGGTTTAGATCACTTGATGAAGCATAAGTTAGTAGATCCGCCGAGCCGATAGGACGATTGAACGCACCAATCTTCATGCCTTGGTCTGCGGTGAGTAGTTCGACCCCTAGTTGGTGCGGTGCGAGTAGCTCGCGACACTGGTCACCAATAACGTGGCTGATCGGTCGTTCTGTTGAGAATTGCTCTTTGCAGTGCATAATGTACACTCTAACCCCCTCGAGTGCGCCAGTGGAGGGCTTCAGGTGAGATCGCGTCATTCCGCTGCTTCTTTCGCGGTCTTAATCCTGAGCGTGATTTGGGTGCTTTCCGGGCCATAACGACCTCTGTTGCTAGCGTGACCAGCTCCTGTACCAGATGACAGGGGCTGAGATGACCCCACAATTCCCCGTCCGGCCGCCCTGCTTGATATGAACACTCGATGAAGATGGTAGACAGGTCGTGCGGTATCTTTGGAGCTGCTGCGCGCCAGACAGTGATGTTCTTCGGCTTCATAGCGATGCTGTCGGGCTCGACATCACCGAAGAAGAGGAACTCATGTTTCGAGGGGTCGTGTCGGACGAAGAAGCACGAATCGTCGTATGAGCCACAGTCATTTGTCCCGTGGCTGATAGCCATGATGCGGACGGAGACATTGGGGAAGATGACCTTGTATTTGCCGTCTGAATGGAGGCTGCCAAGCGGGCATGGCAAATTTGAGGGAGATGACTAGATAGACACGTGGGATGAGAGACTTACGCGTTATACACCAATCGGATTAATGGGTCATTCTCATCATAGGTTGCTAATCTTGGCCATACCCTTCCAGAGAAGACAGTCTCCAGATCTCTGAGAGTCTGAGGTGAGCCATATATACGCTTACTGACACCGCCAAGCGTTCCTGCGGCCATCACAAGACTGCCTATATGGTCCAGATGTGCGTGTGTAAGGAGAAAGCACCTGCAGAATCAAGTTTAATTACGGGTCGTGAGGTGGGTACAGGTGGAAGTCACTGACTTGACATTTGAATATACCGTGAGAGGAGTAAAAGATGTCGAATCTGCATCCGGTGGACGTTCTCCGAAGATGTTTGGGTCGCCCTTCATGATATGTCTGAGCGCGCCAAGTCCGGACCCTGGCGGTGAGAGCGTGAGCCAGTGGTCGCGAGACACGGTTGTACGAACTGACGCACCCGCCTCCAGCGCAATCATACCATTATCCCAAGCAGCGTCGCAAGGCTTGAGCAGATACCTAACGTTCGGCGGTGTTCTAGTCAAGAAGGAAAGAAGCGGACAGGAGACTCACCCTGATAGGTTGGTTTCGTCGGGACCACCTCCGGAGCCCACCACAATCAAATCGAATGCGGGCATGGGGGGGACGATGATTCGATAATTTCTATCCGGAATGTGGAACAGTTGGAAGACGATTATATAGGTCCACCAAATTTTTTTGACAAGTTAACCAATAACTTGGTTTTGCAGTCTCCCCGCTCACGGAAGTAGTAGTGCGTGTATTCAAGGTACCAAGATTCGGTTAATCAACAACGTCAACCTAAATTCCAACTATCCACAACCCCCTGTCGGTGACTTACTGCGCAGTTCTCTACAACATCCTCCCTTGTTCCAATTTATAATACCGCATGAAGAACAAAAACTTGACGTTGAGCACCCAGACATTCTCATAAAGCGGGTCGACTGAATCCGGGTGGGAATACAACAAACTTCTGCAGGGTCGAATCAATCACACTCGAGGCCCGGCGATGAATCATGTCAAGTAAAACGCCTCGGCGCCGACCCGTCAAACAGACCCTAAGAAAGGCGGCAAAAAGGAATGGTATTGTTCCGCGTTGGCTCTGCTGGACCCTGATCTGCTCCTTATGAGTCAGATATTTCTGGAATGACGAGGGGATGAAATGGAATGAATAGTAAAGAATGTGCATGTGTGTTCCCAAAGTACGTTCTGTTGTCTGAAAATGAAAGATCACGCGAAATATTACAGGTGTAAAATCAAACGATAAGATATCACGTTCGTCGTCGGCCCCCTCCCCCTATTGCGCTCCCAATAAGCTATTCAATGCTCTCTGTACGTCATAATCGTGTGCTTCCAGCGCCGCAACCGCTTGAGTCCGACTGAAGCCCATAGCAGACAACTGCTTCACAGGTTCCACGTCGTCTTCAACGCCAGGCGTTACGTTAGACTCCTCTGCAACAGTCAAATTACGTGACATATTCGATGGGGGAATGGGTGGCACTGCTGAGTCCTGTTTCTTTTTCTTGCCAAATGGAAGGCGGATCTATGAGGCACCGATTATCAATAAGGTACCATGCAAAGCAAAGATAGGACCTACACTGAGCTTAGAGTGCCGCGGAGGTGGTGCAGGCTTCTCATGAGCAGCTTCCCTGGTTGTAGAAGAATTCGATGGTCGCTGCATCTTCGGAGAAATAGCCCGTGGCGGTGGCGATACGGCACGTCGTTGTGGGGAACTAGATCGTAATGTCGTGACACGGGGGGAGGTTGACCCTCGCGGGGACGCGGGAGGCGAGACATTTGGGAAGGGTTTACCACCCTCGGTCGAATGCGACGCCGAGGATGTGAATGCTTTTGAAGTGCGAGATGAGAAGGAATTATCTAGCGACAGGGCTTGAGAGACATCGACGCCTCCGAATGCATCTTGGAAGCTTATGCTCCCCGCGTCCAATTGTTTCGATTCTGCCTTCTCAGGCTGGGGAGCATTGCTTTGGGCATTCCAGGGGCCCGATGAGAAGACTTCATCAAATGAGACCGGGGCTACCGGCTGTGCTGTAGCTGCTTTCGGAGTGGCTGGTGTTCCGTTACTCGCAGGCTGAGTGAAGAAATCAGGCGCCCCATTCGCAGGCGCAACCACGTTTGTGGTCGTTGCGGGCTTGCCATTCGCGGGTACCGAACCGGTGGGGGGTGGTGGGAACGTAGAAGATGACGCCATCGCTGTCCCAAAGTCAAAATTATCCTCGAAGTTGGAATCGAAGGAGAAGGCGGAACCCGGCTGCGTGGAACTGCTGTTTGAAATCTTGCCAAGTGCCTCGTCGAAACTATTCAAACCGCTTGTGCCAGAGGGTTGAGAGAGCTGTGACTGAGTGACTTCGAGCGGCTCTGAGAAAGGAACGCCAAAGGCATCTACCAGAGATGTGGCAGTGTGCGAGGGGGCGGCAGTGTCTGACTGAGTTGCGCTGCTGGAAGTGGGGACTTGCTCGGGGGCATCGGTGTTGACTCCAAAAATGTCATCGAAAGAGGTCGGTGCCTTTGAGGATATCGTTTCTTCGGAGGGAGAAACCTCCTTGGCAGACTCTGTCGGGCGGTGGACAGCTTCCGACTCGTGGCTGTCCTCACTTTCACTTTCACTCTCGGTCTCATTCACTTCTAATTCCTGGAGATCTGTCGACAAGTCTGTCTCCTTCTCCCCCTCCTCGGGTACAGAGTGCTGAGTATTGAAATCATCAATGGCGGGGAAGTGCGCCGCAACGCTATCGAGAGATGAAACGTTTGCACTGGTGTCGTGATTGACTGGTGTGATGCTGGTTGGAGGGGTGGTGAAATGTTCATCGCTCGTGGGTGACGACACGACGTCATTCAAAAAGTATGGCGCGTCATTCGGGCGAGGGGTTACAACGACGAATTCAGAACTATCTGTATCAGGCGCATTGTCGGTCTGTTGCGCGGGTTCTTCTTCGAATGCCTGCGAAAAGTCGAATGACCCGGCTTCCGTTGTAACTGTGGTAGCTGGGGCAGAGAGACCGGGCGGCGATGGAAGGCCAGGGGGTGGAGCATAAGAAGCGTTAGAGAAAGGCGGGAACGGCGACTGAGATCGAGGAGTCGATGCCCCCGAGGACTTTGCAAACCTGTCGAAGGGATTGTTACTCTTGACACTGATAGGGCTCGTAGCCCCCGTCATATCAGGTGTAACTGGTAAAGGATGAGCAGCTGCGAAAGCAACCGAGTCCGGTGACTTCGAACGCCCCAAGGCTGCCTGCGAAAGCGTATTCACAGTGTTCTCGACATCGGCCTCCGCTTCTTCTCTCTCCTTGATGGTGTCGGTAAGATCTTGCTGTGCCTCTTCTAGCTCCCTGTCCACCTTGAGTTTCTCCGACTCCTTGGCTACGAGTTGCTTTTTGGCAATCGCAAGAAGACCTTTCTGTTGTTTCGCGTCTTTCTTCGTCTTTTCGACTTCCTGCTTCACAACAGCGATTTGCGTCGTAACCTCCGCCATGCGCCTGTTCAGGTCTCGAACCTCTTCCTTGTCACGCAAGAAAGACCCTTCAATTTCCGCTTTCTCCACTCGGACAGCGCTGAGATCGCTCTCGCCCCTGATGAGTTCTTCCCTAACTCTCTGAATGTCGGCGGTCTGAGCTGCGTGACGATCACGAAGCGTGTTCAAAAGCGAAGTCTCCGTCTCATAAGATGCCTTGGCAGAAGCAAGCTGAGTCTGAAGAGCTGAAAGCTGCGCCGCCTGACTAGCAAGCGTGCTCTCGAGAGACTCTCGCTCAGCCTTTGTCGTCTGCAGAGATCTGGTTGTGGAATTAAATTGATTCTGCACGTTCCCAATTTCCGCAGACTGATCGTGAAAAGCGGGTGACGGGTGTATATCCTCATCATCAAGGAAATTCCTGTTCGATGCTGTCGTTTAGATGTCAGTAGATGCCGAAGACGACGGCTCCAAGCAACGCACGAGATGTAGCTGCAGACGAGCCAAAGGGATCCTGTGAGGGTGGTATGGGACGAGGCACAGACCGCGGAGAGAGTGGGGTACCCGTGGTCTGGGGCTGCAAGATGCTTGTTGGAGGCTGCGAGGTGGTCGCCGACGGCGGAGGCGAATCGTCCCAAAGGAGATCGCGCACTGGTTCAGGTTTGTGAAACGCCGAGGCGGCAGCAGATCGCGCTGCACGCATCGATGGAGGTATAAGGGTCAGAGGCAACGTACTAGGGACATCTTTGCCTGAGATGTTGCCCTGGATAAGGTGCATCGCGACTGCGAATCCGTCGCGGGTTAGACGGCCGTCATTACTAATATCTGCGAGGTCCCTGCAATCTCAAAATGAGCAACAAGACGGACCAAGACAGACACTAGATGATTACAGACCAGATTTGGGCCAAGACATCTTCTGGCAACTTGGATTGGAGCATGAATGGCACTGCAACGTCACCTTCGATGTACCCTCTGCGCTGAAGGTCCAATGTGTCGAAGAAGCTGTCTGCACTGGCCTTCTCAGCCGCAGTGACATCCCATTGACCGGTGGGTTGAGGAGGAACACCAGGGAATGCAGGTATAGTTGGGGCAAGCTTGCTGGGTCCAAGGCGTCTATTAGGAAGGGGAGGAGCCGGAGACGCCTGTCCTGTCAGCTGCGGCTGCACAGCATTCTGCCTCGGTACTTGTGGAAAGCCCGGGCTGCTGAAATTGGCGCTACCACCAGTCGCATGAACGGAAACCCCACCAGCCTGCTCGTACAGGCTGGGTGAAATGGAAGTCGGAATAGACGAAAGTTGGCCGGACATGGAGGCTTGAATTAGGTACATGGCTATGGTAAAGTCGGTTGCGTCGAGCGCGCCTCGGTCTTGTGTGTCACATAAAGTCCTGTGACGGCATGAGATACTTGTCAAAGTCAAAAGATACTTCATGACACACCATATTTGAGATAATTTGTCCACAGAGAGTTTGGATTTGACGAATACGTCGCGCGCTTTCTCGCCTTAGATGACAGAAGACAATTAACACCTGCTATGTGCAATTGGATTGACATACCATTGAGAAGACCCTTGACGGGCCCACAACCCTGAAATATCCGGGTGAATTTGGCCTTGTCTTGAGGAGTCAATGGAGGTAAACCAGGAGGCGGTGACTTCGGTATTGATGCACCAGTGCCTTGTGGAATCAAAGGCGTTTGCACGCCTTCGATATTGGCTAATGGTCCGGCTAAGGGGGTAATATCAGTAATGTGTTAAGGTGAAAGAGCAGTGAATCTCACGTTTGTTGACAAGAGACTTGTCGACCTTGTGGCCTTTCTGCGCATGGCCCATCAGACGGACCGCAATTGAAACACCCTTCTTTGTCAAAAATCCATTGTTATCATCATCTGCAATACTCCAAATCTCGCCCAAGACGGTCGGTGGTAGTTTAGCACCCTGGAAGACCTTTACGGCGACGTCACCAGTGAGAATTCCGATTTTCTGGGTATCGGCTTGAGCGAATATCTGATTTACGAGTGCAAGCTCTGCGGGCGTCGGCGCAAAGTTGCTCGACATCGTGTGTACCGTTGACGACGTTGAAGTATAAGTTACAGAGCTACGCACTGGCTCATGTGCGAGCAGGAGAAGCTAAGCGCAGCCGTTCTTGCCGATATAATTTCCCACAATTGTTTAATTCAAACTCAGAATATTAGGTTATGGTTTGTCATTGTTTTTTCTTGTGTAAATTTCCATAATGACTGCACGTGACGGGGCGCGTCCACTTGTACTTGAACTTGCAACAACTTGCAGTTCTTATCTTTCATTTGTACTTTCGCCGCCGTCTCTCATCTGCAAGCTTAGACACTATGGACCAGATCACTTCAGCCCTTGCTCCTTCCAGAACCTCCCAAAAAACCGCCGTGTCTGGCTCAGCACCTGACGGTCCTGGTAGCGTGACCAAACGGTCTGTCTGCCGCCACCTGTCAAGCCAACATCTATGCTGACCGTCATTTCACAGTCTGAGCAACGAGCTCATGACCTTGATGGTGAGTACTTGGAATAGTCATGCCTTTTCATTAAACTCACAGCGCTTCCTAGATGTCATCATCTCCTGGTATCGTGAGTGATTCTGGTATTTTCCCCGTGCTGCTCTCTTATATACCGCTTAGTCTGCCTTCCCAAAAAGTGATGCAAACTTGTTCGAATGGCTGGGCACGATAGAGGGCCCAGCTGGGACTGTACGTCGCACATATGTGAGGTCATGACATTCAGTGCTAATTACCGCCTAGGTTTATGCTGGACTATCATTCCGGATCTCTATTTCATTCCCCAGCAATTACCCATACACAGCACCCACGATCAAGTTCGACACTCCCTGTTATCACCCTAATGTGGACATCGTAGGCGGCGCTATCTGCCTTGACATCTTGCAGGTTTGCCACATTTTCTTGTCTATGATATACAACGCTCAAAATTCGTCCAGGACAAGTGGTCCGCCGTGTATAGCGTGCAAACAGTATTACTGTCATTACAATCGCTACTAGGAGGTCAGTTGTGAGACTTCGCAGCGTACCTTTTCTTACCTGTTTTAGAACCCAACAATGCTTCGCCGCTTAATGGTGACGCTGCAGGGCTATGGAATCAGCCTGAGTGTCAGTTGGCTTTTAACATGCAAGATTACAGTTCCTCATCCTCCTTTTATAGCTTTCAAAGTTCAACTAATGAAACACTACCGCCCGATTGAGACCGCTACGTGACAGTCCTCTTGTCATGGTCTTTCGCTTTGATTGGTCGGCTTTTGTTATTCCATACATCGACCGTAGTGTTTTCGGACTCGCACATTTGTAGATGGCGATGATTCGTCCTTCTCAATGTATATTTATCCTTGTGATTCTATGATTGGATGGATGGGATCAATCCATCAGTGCCTTGGAGTGCCACCTCAACATACACAGCCTTTTGCAACTTTGCCATTGACCTTTTACGTGTGGATACTCGGCTTGTACTCGCTCACCATAAACTCGTGTATCCTTTATTCTCTGTGCTTGTGTTTTTGACATTTACTGTAATATCCACCACACACTATAGCTGCTTGGTGAATTGTGACCAGTATAAAGACGCTTGGTTCGTTGTCACTCCCTCTTTTGTGTTCGACGATCTTAACAATCGACTCGACTGTAGTCTGAAACATTATTGTCTTCACATTCGCTTTCATCATGCCCCGCGGTCCTCGTCGCCCACCTCCTTCTTCCCTCCGTCTAGTGCAGGGTGCTCTACCACCACGCTGGACTCCAAAGCACACCCTCCCTTCCCTTCCTTGTCCCTCCTTCCAGCCCGACGTTACCCTCGCTCATAGACCCATGCCCCAACCCCGTACACGTCACGTAGATCCAGTACGGCTCGCATTCCCTGATCTGCCACCACTGGATGTAGAGATTGTAAATACTTACAGGTCTGCATCATCTACTCCGACAACATCACCCATATCAGGGAAGCACATCCGGGGCCCCTGGGATCATTCAAGCGGCATCACGGTGCTAGTGGATGTGGACAGTCTGATCGCGCTGCCAAAGCCTGCAGCAATATGTCTGTAACTTGGTGTAATTCATATGGGAAGAGCTGGATGGTTGAAGCTTAGCTGGGCTGGGCTGAGTGTATTCTACTGTTTTTATTGAGACTGGTGCTCAAGATGCATTTATGGGTATGTAAATGCAAAGATGCTTGATGCATATTGTTTGTATCCACCGCAGATCAGTTCGAAGTCGGTTGATCTAGATTTACGTCCAGTCATGACAACAAACTATTATTTAATGTGGTCAATCTTCGCCCTCTTAAAATGGTCCTTCGTGTGTCCTCATGGTACGACGAACTATCTCTGGTTATCTCACCGCCTATCACTTTTTCCGTCGCGCCCCAAGTTACCCTCAAGGGTTTCATGCGACCCCATCAGCCGCCTTTGCTGCGGTTGCCACGAGCGTCTAAATGGTCCCCACCATACATAATGGTGTGTCTCGCCCATGTGATTTCATCGTGCTGACCTTTACAAGTTTTATTTTGTTGGTCCAACGATATGGTTTCCCGGACACGCACGTTTGTTCAGGCGTTCTGGGAAAGCGCAAACAGCAAAAAGGTCTCAAGTGAGCCGCCATCTAAGGGAGCGCTGATCGATCATGTGAGGAGCTGCTTGTGTGCTATGTGTAGTGAAACTTCCCTCGCATGTCATACCCTGGTTGATTTCGACAGCATCGATTGCCCGTTTGTGCTGATGATTTATTTAGATAGCCTGCCTTGCCAGATTGGTTCGTCGGATCAGGTGGACTGTTGCTGGAGGATCAGTTCCGTCCATGCATGGTCACGCACAGCGCCCGGATCTGAAATCCGCGCCAAGGTTGCAACCTGAAAGTGACTTATTCATCAAGTCATTTGATGTAAACTAACCATAGAGCGCGGCTCCGACTTTTGAATGCAAATTCATTGATGTGTTTTTTTTTTTGTAGCAGGATGAAGTTGAAACTTGTCCATTGATAGAGAAGCGAAAGAAGCACGAATATTACGACCATGCCGGTTTGTCAATCTTTACTTCTAAGGGTCTTTGTTGGCTGAACTGGGCTGTAGACGTCTAGACCGTGGAATCCGTCTGATGTTCGTATGGTCGGTACAGCCTGACTGCTGTGTGGTTAATGAGAAGGTAGAGGTATATATACTTTGTAGTAGAAACGTGTATAGTGATATTGAAATCAGGGTGGCGTGAGGTGTGTTCTGGTTTGGCCACGAGCCTTATTTTCGGCGTTCATCATCCTTGTGTTACTTGTACGCTTTTTGTCTGTTCGCCTCGTTTTTTTTCAAGCTGCCGTTACGACTGGTTTATCACTAAGAGAAGGTCAACGGTCAATCCAATTCTTGTTTTCAATCCATCATGACCAGCTCTCCAACTCCCGACATCGGCTCTTTATCTCTTAACCCGCAATCTCAACGCCTCCATGACAATTACGATTATGACCCAACAAACAGGCAGCAGTATCAGTTCCAACCGAACCAGCAACTTTCAGGTTTCTCGGGCCAGTATAATCCACTAGGAATGAGTCCATCTCCTCTTAAGATGAAGCCTGGTATACGTGCTGGTCTTCCCACCGTGCGTGAATTTCGTTTTCTGACCGTGTAATCTTAAAATCATTATATCTTATAGCAATGGCTCGACAATTCAATGGTCATCCCCGACAATCGCTCGCTTTCTCCTCACAATAACTCAGATTTCTCTTCCTCGGGTAGTTCTCCTCCTTTGGGTCATCTCGCCGCCTCTGCTCTAGCTCCCTCGACGCCTATCCAAAATGCTGACGATGAGGTTATACCAACCGCCATCGTCGTCAAGAACATTCCTTTCAACGTCAAGCGTGAGACTCTCCTAGATATTATCGTCAGTTCATCATGAAGCCAGTTATAATAAATTTGACTAATGACTTTATTTTAGGCATCTTTGTCCATCCCTACTCCCTACGCGTTTAACTATCATCTGGATCAACAAGGCTCATTCCGTGGTCTCGCTTTTGCTAATTTCCGTCAGGCCGCAGACGCTGACGCAGTTGTGGCCGCTTTGAATGGATTCGATGTCCAAGGTCGTAAACTTCGCGTCGAGTACAAGAAAGTCCTTCAAGCCGGTGAAAAAGAACGCATTGAAAGAGAAAAGGCTATCAGGCGCATGCGCTCCATGCAACTCGAAAAGGAGCAACAACAGGCAGTTCACCAAGCATACGATGATTTCGGTCCCGTCACAGCCCCCGCTTTCACCCCACAGCGATCCTTCTCTTCTGGTGCCTATCAACAGCCACAGTACTCACCTCCGCCTATGCCTCATCTTCCAATTTCTCAGCCCTTCAACCCCGCCGCGTCCCCTCCAATTGCCCCCGCGACACCAAATCCGTCGGAGAAGTCTTCGGCCTCTAATGAACTGGATCTCAACGATCCTTCAACTTTGGAAATCTATTCTCGCATTTTACTTTTTAAGGACGACAGAATGAGGGATGAGCTCGCTTTCTCGAGGACCCTCTCACCAAAGCAAAGGAGGGTAGTTCATTTGATTGCTCAGAAGTTGGGCGTGTATCACTATTCGGTCGGAGAAGGCGATGAAAGGTACGCCGTCGTAACTCGCATCGATCCTAACAGGGTGGGTACTTCCCTACATGCCAAGCATTCCAGTCCCTGATCATTCAATTCACAGACTCAACGGGTCCAGGCTGCGACCCTGTCGCGTGCCCCATCGGCATATCTCTCTGCAACTTCCTCACAATCGCAGCTTGCAAGCACTTTACGCATGAAAAAGTCCATGCCCGATATGAAAACTTTGCACACTCAAGCTCCCCGCCTTGCCACTCGTGCCTCAAACGGCAATATCAGGGAAGGCTACGCAACGATTGCTTCCCCTTCTCGCCGCTCTCCGGGTGGTTTCGGCTCGCTCTTTGGCAACTTTGGCAGTTCTGCCATTCCGCCGGTTCCCAGCTTGCCATCCAGTGTCACTGGAAACATGAATGGTGGTGGTTTTAATGAAGGTAGTAGTAGTGTTGTCAGACAACCACGAGGCCCTGGCGTAGGCGGCTTTGGATTGCGTCGTGGCACGAATTCAGACCAAGCACGTGGCAATGGACTAGAAGCCAGGTCTCACGAGCCGCTGGAGATATAGAATCTCACCACAGAGACACTCAGGCCTTCACTTCGTTAATCATTTTGAGAGTCCCACGACCAGGGTTAGATGGTGCTCGTATTAATTGTTCTCCCCCGCGTAGCTCCTTGCAGGGGTTCCTTTTCGCTGCTATGGTTTTCCTAGTCCTGTTCTTTTTGTATACCGCACCATCAAATCAATTACACGTCTCCATCTCAAAAGTCGACTTTCCCTACTCGTAATTTCTTTGTACTTTCGTTGTCCGGATCGCTCTCTTACATCTCTGCTTTCATCTCTCTGGATTCTCTTGCTTCAAACATTTTATATACATATCATAGTCTTGATTGAATATATAAATATATGCTGCTTGATGCACCATAGGTCTTACTTATACTAATCGCGTTGAAGGTGCTTTATCTACTTTCATCATGATCCAAGGCTTTTGCCAGACAAAGGGAAGGAAGACAGTCGTTCCAGAGCCTACAAACTGGTAACCATCCACCCTGACATCGTATACGACAATTGTCATCTAATAAAGCAGCTAGTGACGAAGCAAGACAGGTGGATCAAAACTCCACCAAGTGTGAACGCATCCAGGGTTCTAGACGCGATGCTGAGCAACGCTCGCGAAACTGGTGGTGAGAGCTCCGAACGTTATACCGTGTGCTATTTGCGCGTGTCCGGAGGCCCACGAGCAAGCTGACCTCGCGAGGACTTGGTTCATGTATCTGCTATAGCCATGTAAGTTAGAACTTGGATGCTAATGTCTGTCACGAATACTACCAATGCGATTTCTCCTTGGTAGCCACCGCTGGATCTCACCAGCCATCAGACCCGATTTCTGGTCAGACTATTGACGACACTTATGGCAACCTTGTAAGTGCCAATCCGGAACGATTCAGGAGTGACGTACGTCCTACTGATGGAAAAGTGGCTTTTGGCGTTGACTCCAATAGGTTAATCGACGAGACGGTTCTTGGTGTGTTGTTACCGGTGTGTGGGATGGAGATCACAGGGCTGTCAGGTGGCAATCAGGGTTGGGTAACCTTGAGAGGAGCGCACATCCTGAAACGGGTCGTCGGTGTTTTCAGTATGGAACGGGTAAGCATTTCTTTGCCAAGTCAGCATTAATTCTGACCCTCAAGTTGGATTACGCAGGCCCATCCAGCGGCTGCAACGTGGAATATCATTCGACATTACTCAGGAATGTCCGAAGAAATTATTCAAAATATGGAAAAGGCTTGTAGACGATCCTTCCAACGGCATGATGCTCGAACCCAATGTCCACACTGTTTTTAACATGCTGAAAGTATATCTCGAACGGATGGAGGTGAGCCTGCAGGCTCTCGTCCTAGCAATGCCTCATATTGATCAGCGCTCCAGCGAGAAAACGAGTACGTAGTTAAGGAGGTTGACGGCGGGCTGTGGATACACCCTCGCGAGCTCCTCGGTAGGACGATCACCTTCCGGAATCACGCTACCCCTACACGAGACTTGCCGTTACCTAACCCACATTTCATCACTCTACATGCAGGCATCTCACGAATTTTGCATATGAGCGGTGCAGCCGAGGTATTCGCACTTATCTTGGACAAATATGATGGGGCAGCAGGAGGCAATGCCGGAATTTTGAAAAGCGATGAAAATCCAGTGCATCAACTATCTTGGATGATGTCTGCCCCGTCTATAGGCGCCTCATTGACTGATTAGAGCGCTTAGTATCTCGCGATTTTTTATTACACTGAGGTTGTATTATCTGTAATATTGTCGGTGTAAGTTTGATATTCCACCTGAATAACACACCGACGACAATGAGATGTTTGACTGCAAACGTGTCGCCAGTCTTGGATGGCTTCCCGGAGACTGCAAGGGCCTTGCGTTTGCTGGAGTTGCTGGATGCGTTCTGGAGGTTCGCGTCAACTTGAAATCTGTACATGCCATAAGATAGCCCTCAAGCAGTTTCTGCAAACGTCACGTGATAAACCGTGATGAAGACAAAACAATAAAATGCCATAGGATGTTCACGAGATCAAGTTAGAGGGAAAATAAGACGGATAAGTCGTAGCGCAGGTCCTTCTCTCGACAATTCATCCATTCCAGAATCATCATTTGTGTCATATTGAAAGAGGAGATAGCAATACAAGCAAGATGTGAGGTATACATTGTACCTAAACAACCCCGGACAGTCCGAACTCAGCTTCGCCTCTCACATTTGCCGTCTGCCCACTACGGAAACTCGCCTAGATGCCAAAGTGGTCACGAAAAGTTCGTTCTGCAATCGAGAACCTAGGGAGTCAGGCAAAAAAAGCAGAAAATCTCAGCAGATAAAGAAAATGTAAGTTTTCAATTTTACTCACTGGAGACCACTGGAGACCAATGCTCAAGCACTCATGCCTGCACAGAGTCATCCAATAGACTGTATATCTTCAAGTTCTGTAGTAGCTTCAGGCTGTGAACCAGTTGCTTCAATCACTTCCCCACCTTCTAAGCTCCCAGTTGAGAGTGTTTTCACACAACTCGAGAAAAATGTTGTCCTTTGTATGAAACGCGTGATCTAGAAGAAGATGATGAGATGATCAAATATCCAGTTGGCGGAATGATGTTGAGGTAAGCTTGATATTTGCTCTCAGAGAAGGTACAGATAGAGTGTAGACTCAAGGAAGATATCTGTGGAGAGTATGAACATATAAAGAACTATCTGTGCGAGTTGAGGAGGCTTAATAACGAATCAAGTTGAAGATGACATGCTAATGATTCGTTTTGTGTGTGGGAAGGTCTGGCGAAGCCAGGCACGCGTGGGAGGCAGCGCCTGGACTAAGCACGTGATCCCGGAAGACGACAAGCAAAAGGCTTGAATATTGAAAAGTTTGGGATCGGGGAAACAGACCTTCGGAGCGTGTTCGGTGCGAGACGTGTACAGACTGAATTGATGGTCTGTCAGGAGAAACACGCGTTCAGACCAAAACACACTGTATTTATCAAATAGGGAGGCGGGTGGGTGGACAAAAATGAGAGAGCGACGCGCAAATGGGGATGAGCGCAGAGACGAAGAGGGAATGATGTGTTGATTCTCAAATCGAGTCCTTTTGACTCTGTGCGTTCGGACATGTGCAATACTTAGATCAAAGCGCACAGCAGGAGAATCTTCACGTGATCGCTTACAAAGGCCATGTTTCGTGTGTCAATGCTCGCAAGCTCGCGATCCACTTGAAACGGCCACCTTATCTGATCTGTGCTTACACAGCACTAACAAAAATTAGGTTTGCCATCAGACCACGCCATTTCATGAATGCTTATCACAAGGGACTTAACAGCAAACAAGCAGCTTGGGCTGCAAAGCGATACCGAGGCCATCGTGTACTCCCCTCTGCAGTAGTGTCAGGGCTCGAAGATGCACACTTAAATTAAACTTGGTCTTTATATTTTATTCTTATTATAACTGCCACTTATAAACCTATACTACACAATATCCTTGCACCCATCCTAATTTTCTGTACCTACTGTAAAGCTATTTGTTCTGTACAATCACCTAAGCACAGTAATGGTTGTATACATTGCTTCTGGAGTCCTGGTGCCAAATGCAGTAATAGAAGTGCGGTCACAGGCTCGTCACATCACGTGACGTTTGCAGAAACTGCTTGAGGGCTATCTTACGTGGTATAGAGCAGCCGGGGTCCTGAATTCAGTCGAAGCGTCCATAGCTTTTGTACATTGACTTCCACTTCCACGAAACTTCGCAAAACGTGTGTTCAGGCCTAGAAGAAAATGCCAAGCGCAGCTATCATTCACGCCGCGTGCTTTGCGGTCGGCGCAGTGGTTGGAGGGGGTGTGGTCACCGCCGTGTCCTCCAGGAAGAGGCAAATCCCTACAAGCACCACCTCAGTTGGCACGTCCGTGTCTCCACCCATAATCGAAATGGGCCAAAGTGGCGGCGCGAAACTCTCCAATGCTGTTGTAGTCTCTGCGCCGAACTCCCCGGTCTTGAAGTACGGTCATCCAGGTGAATTGCCATGCTGGATGATGATTTCGTGTCTCCCCCTTGAACTTGGATTTTGAATAGGCCCTATACCGGACTTCTTGGTCCGCAAAGCATACACTGCCGCATATGACCGGAAGCTCAGACACCCAGCATGGGTGAGTTCTTGGACAGTTATTCCTTTGCCATTTGACTAACACTTCGTTCATAGACTGCAGAACATCTTACTCTCGCATCTCTAGGCAAGTCAACTCCACAGCCTCCCTCAGGGGGAGATGGGTCAGGCGACCGCTCAAAATCGACGTTCACCGAGGATGAGTCCCTCCCCTCGATGTTCCGCGCGAAGCTGCAAGATTACTTCCGAAGCGGGTATGATCGTGGACATATGTACGTACGTCGAGCCTTTCTTCAGCTCAGGTTTTGATGGGCTCGAAGGGTTCCCGCTGCAGACGCCAAGGTCTCTCAGGAAGCTATGGATGAGACTTTCTTACTGTCGAATATCGCACCTCAAGTCGGTGCTGGTTTCAACCGGCATTGTAAGTAGGTGGCACAGGAGATGTCTCAAAGCTGATTTTTGTTTCGTAGATTGGGCATACCTAGAAGACTGGTGTAGACGCCTCACAGAGTCTTTCTCTGACGTCTACGTCTTTACTATCCCATTGTATCTCCCCCGCAAAGATGCAGATGGTAAATTCCGCGTGGTCAGTCTAGGCTCCCGAGGACGCTATTGATTATGATGATTCATCTTTCTTGCAGACGTATGAAGTTATTGGCTCCCCACCAAATGTTGCGGTCCCCACGCACTTTGCCAAAGTTGTGCTGGCCTCGAGACCTTCATCAACACCAGACATGCCAGAAATCTCTACGGGCGCGTTTGTGCTCCCGAATGCCATTATTCCTAATGAAGCATCCCTGGAGAGTTTCGTCATACCAAGTATGCTCGCAAACATTTGAATATTTGGTATCCGACTGATACGCTGCACTCAGTTGATGTCGTAGAACGCGCTGCTGGCCTCAATCTATTCTCAGATGCCGTGAAGGCAAACTCCAAGCACATTTGCAAGAGCACGAAGTGCGAGGTGTTGGTACACAGATTTGATGATGCACAAAAGCGACCAGAAACACGTCGGGCCATCTCTGCCCCGAAATAGGTGCAGTAGAGTACCAGATATATCGATGAGTAGAACAATATAGGAAATATATATTAGAAATCCGACAGCATGTCTTTGATGCCTAACCAGTAGTTCTCATCCACCCGAGTCTTTATCTCGCCCTTGGTTAACCAAGCAAAGTCTTGTGCACGCGTCCGGTTTGGGCGAACCTGACCAGCCATGATATGCGCTTTGTAGAAGAAGACCACATCCTGCAAAACCGTTAAAACAAGATGCGGAAAACTGGAAGCAGGACAAACCTTCTCAGCACTGTCTGTACTGGCCGGTGATGGAGGGTGGAAGACTCCTATTGGGTTGCGACTGACTATCCAAGTATCCATGTTGTTTCCACACTCGACTTCGAGTCCACGGGTTGCCGCCTGGTTGGAGAATATAAGAACAAGCAGCTCAGAGAAACACCGATTTACTGACATGGTGTAAAAGCTCTCCTTTGTCCACACCTCCCTGAGGAAACCTCCACACGGCCATTCCATTCTCCTGCTTTTGTAACAATAGGTATAGGTTTCGCTGTCCGCGTCTATGCAGATTTTTGAAGTCCGAGTTAATGTCAGCTTCATGAACACGCGGCATGGCCTCTTCTTCGTCGCGCATAGTAGCCTCGGCAAGCTTTTCAGCCTCGCTCGTCTCCCCCGTCTGCACGCCAAAAGGCGCACCAAACGCCTTGCGTTCGCGTCTTCGCTCTTCTATGTTGAACCGCGCCTCTAGAGGCGCTCCCTGTTTGAAGTAAAAGTCATAAGGAAACGGGTTGTGCAGCGCGCGGTGAATGCGGGCTTGGTATGCGTAGTAGGCTTTCTCAAAAGCCGTTGGTGTACGGGTGATGATGGGAGATCGGTTCAGGATTATTCCGGTGTGTAGGATGGGCTGTACAGCCTTCTTTGACAACGCGACATCTACTTGCGCGACCTCAGGTGCTGCAGAAGCTGCAGACGCTTCTGTTGCAAGACCACGAAGGAGACATGCTGCAAAATTTGTTATGAACAGTCTAGAAAGAGTAGAAGGAAGTCACGTACCTTTGGGTGCGCGTTTGCACGACGACAACACCGTTCTCGAGAACATAACCTGGACAGAACGGAACTGACTTGCAGAATTGAAGAATCATTAATTAAGGGTGGTCGTAACCCCCCTTCACGCGTGAGAAATAAACCAAAGGTGGGTGGTCAACTGTGCAGACGCGGACAGTTACTTGGACAAGCTTGTGCTAGGTGACAATGTCCCTCTCTTTGGTTTCAAATGCACATCTCGACGAGAGCTCTGCAAAGATAAGGTCAAAGCCTGTCCCATGGGAGGTCCGTCAAATAGATTTAATCAGTGCATGACGCTCATACCGGAGTCAGGGATACCAACGTGCCGAACTGGTGACTTCAGAGGAGCTGGCTCTCATTAAGAAGGTGGACAGACAGCCCAAGGCGAAGGTCGAGTCTATCCATCTGTCTGATGGTCAAACATATGCCCTACTATACCTTCGGCTTCTCAAGAAGCTTCAAAGGGTTGATACCATGCAATGCCTCTTGGTCTTAATCGCAGATGCACTACTTGGTATGTTATATCTCGAGTGTTTTGCAATAACATACATGATATTTACGTCTGTAGATCATGATGAGCGAATACCGCTCTTCGCAAGAACCACTCAGTCTGATCCCGACCTCCCATATGCCCCTCTCATCAGGTACGTGACTTCGACGTTTTGGACTTTATTGCAAGACCTACAGCCCTATTTCAGAACGCTGGAGGCTCAAGATGACTTCGTGCAACTTAAATCCGCTCAAATTCTGACTGTGCTGCTGAGGTGCGCATGATGTGCCTTCCTGAAGTTCAATATTTACGATATGTCTACTCAGCTCGGAATCAACTCCCCTTCAGCATCAGCACCTTCAGCCATTCCTCAAGGTTCTCGCATCGCTCGTCCAGAGCCAGTCACAAAACAAGCGTGACGTCGCGGTCCAGTGCTTAGAATCTCTTCTGGCTCGCCCAGAATGCCGCAGGGCAGTATGGGCCATCCCTGGAATATTGGCAGGGTGAGCAATTACAGGACCACAATTTAGTTCAGGCCTTGACTGGTCGAATAGGTTCGTCGAGATCCTTCGCCATAAACCTGGCCCCCAGATGAGCTATCAAGTGATTTTCTGCATTTGGTTGCTTTCATTTGAGCAAGATGTCGCTGAGCAGATCAACAAGTGAGGGTTTGAGTCGCACGTCACTGGTATTTTCTCAAAATTCCGAAGGAAATACGATATCATACCTCTGTTGATTACAGTGGCACAGGCTGCTGTGAAAGAGAAGGTCATCCGTGTTATTATTGCTACTTTCAGTGTAAGTGCAGGTATTCTCTTCGGGCACGGCTCGATGCTGACGTTCTTGAAGAATCTTATCACGAAGGCCCCTTCTGATAATCTCCCGGCTATGCTCGTAGCGCAGCTTCTTCCGTTCTCGAAGAACCTCTCAACGCGCAAATGGTCCGACGAGGATATCTTGGAGGACGTACAGTATGTCAGAGATGAGCTGGAACGCAACTTTGAAAGCTTAACGTATGTTTATCTGATACTACTTCAGTTTCTGACTGATTGACGGGATGCAGGACATACGATGAATACATGTCGGAGCTCGCATCTGGTCATCTGTCGTGGACACCAGTACACGAGTCAGATGCATTCTGGCGAGAAAATGCATCGAAGCTAAATGATAGAGACTATGAGCAGTTGAAGTAACGACAGCCTCTCATGTCAATGTCTCCGTTGCTGATCCCTCACTTCAGGACTCTCATCAGATTGCTAGGCTCCGATGATCCCCTAGTCCTGGCGGTTGCAGTACACGATCTTGGACAGTATGTGAAGCATTACGAACGAGGAAAGACGTACGCAAGGCTATATAAACTTGATCTTCACATCAATCTGATCATTGCACAGGATAATTACAAACTTGGGAGGCAAAGCCCGAGCAATGGAGCTCATGACCCATCCAGACCCAGATGTACGCTACTACGCCTTGCTATCAGTGCAGGAACTCGTCAGCCACCCTTGGTCGGTATGATGCACACTTGGAAATTGATACTGTCTCCATATTATCAACACGCGATGCCACGCATGACGGCCGTCATGCTGTACGTTACAGCTACCCGTTTTATCTCATTGTGCATCCTTGTGTCTCGCATAAGTACGTGACAACGCCATCTCTCCTTTCGTCTGCAACGCCGGCGTGTTGGTTTCACAGCATCATAAGCGTTTCGAATGTTAAGAGGTAAGTATGAATATTGGAAGATCGCGAGGAGCTGACCACTGGCTTCTTTCTCGCGTGATAGTCACTCTACGTAAAAATGAAATAGTGATAAAGAACGTAGAAGTGAAAAAACGCATAACCTTGCCCGCTGTGCACGGCCGGGATGGTGGCTCCCGCAGCTTGATTTCTGATCTATCTCGTCTGTGCAGCATGCCAGAGAGTCGGAGGGGCGAGAGATTGAGCCCAGCTGAGAGGGCGAGATCGGCCACGTCGCCCATAGTAGCGGTACGGGGGACGGCGCGAGGTAAAGAACTACTTATAACAATAAATTGGTCAAGAGGCTCCATTCGATTATAGGTCACGCACTGGCCCAATCAATATTGTCAATGAACCCTCTGGGTATCATTTGACAAGTGCATTCGATGTGCGGGGCTCGTCGTCGTATAGGATCAGTCTAGGATGGCAGATCTGTTGTCAGTGTGATTGACGATGAAATGTAAGCATTCGAGCTTACATCGAGAGAAGGTCATCGAGGCCGGTTTCTTTGACGATGGCAGAGACATTCCATGTGTGTACATACATGGATGTCAGTCGCAGCCAGCAGCGAGGAATCTTCCATCCGCAGATCGAAAAGGCCGCGCAGAAGATAGGTAGAGAGGTAAGTTATGACATTTACCGTGACCGCCGGTTCCGAGTCAGCCTCAGCGAACAATTCGAAAGGCTGTAGAGAGACCGTTTCGGGTACTACCTACTGGTCAGAAGTAAAGGTTAGATGGATCAGCCAGCTGATGGCCTCGTGCCAAGCGCGGGTGAGCTTTGGTGCTACGATCACCACGGACTCTGAAAGTGGCGCTATAGCAGGACAGAAGGGTATGTTTCTGAGCTAGCCAAGAGGCTGACGATACGATTCACGAAATTCTGTCTGATCATAAAGATGCAGGTTACATCCTTCAAGTGGTGACTCTATTCCTGACCACCAAATGTGTAGAGAGTTGCTTGCTTTGCACAGCTCATCGCCAGAAAAATGTATGTACTTGTTCCTCGAGCACATGGACAAGCTCAAGCTCGGTGCAACAACAGCGAGCTTGAGCTTGTCTATGAGCTGGAGCTCTATTAATTTTTGATGTATGTACTTACAACTTGGTGCAGTCTAAGGTTAAGTATGGCCTTCGCTCCCCCCTATTCCAGACCAATGGACTTCTGTGACGTCACAGCAAGACTAGGCTGAGGTTATTAATACGCAAGCTTGGCTTGTGTTCTTGGGCCTTGTTTTGGTCCGGATTTGTGTCCCCCTTTTTGTCCCCTTTAGAGGTCTCTGGGAATATTAAATGATCGTCATGACGCGCTCCGAAGTACCTATTGAGCCTGATTTTTATCTCTGCGTGTCCCATTTCTCATGTCTTTACAGGATCTGTCAACTTTAACCCGGCCCTCCAACCCTCCTTTGGATACATGTAGCGAATCTACAGTGTTCGATCCGTCCAGCCTTAATCCTCGCTTTCTCCCCTTCAAATATTAGTTTGATCATTTCTTGAAAATCATACTGACTAAATATTTATACCTGACCCCTCTCTACTTCCGAACGGTAGATAAAGAAGACTCCGGATTTTTTACTATACAACCCACTGGCAGGTTCTCTTTACTTGCTCGTCTGTAGCTAGTCACCATGTTGATACTCACCAATGTAACTTGACTAGACACTAGTGCCGGAGTGTATCTGGCAAAGTAGGCATTCACTAGTAAGAAGAATCCTGCACCATATCCACCTGGTTCCACAGGTGGGGTGGCCTCTCGTTTGGAACGTCCCAGACATGTCTCATATCGATCCCTGGCTTACCTTCGCTGAGTGGGCAAGAAGTATGGTGAGTGCATTCCGTTTTGTCAAACTCATGTGTTTTAACCCCATGTGTGCGGCAAGTGATATCTCGTACATCAATGTTCTGGGTCAACACATCATGGTGCTGAATTCTGTCAAGACCGCTATGGAAAATTTCGGAAATGCTGGATGGGAAAAGCTCTGTCACATGTTCTGCCTATGGGTGGCGAACTCTGGCTGGAAGCACACTTTGGGGTTTCTCCCTTACGATTGACCGTCAGCCCCTTGGTCGGTATAGTGAACACTTGGATTTTGATACTCTCTCCATATTATCAGCACGCAATGCCACGCATAACCGCCGTCATGCTGTACGCTGCAACTACACATTGTGTCTCGTTGTACATCTGCATCTCGCATAAGTATGTGGCAACATCATTACTCCTTTTCATCTGCAATGTGTGTGTTGTCGGCCTGTTCGTTTCACGGTATTATAAACGTTTAGAATGTTAAGAGTAATACAGAGCTGTGATAAATTTGGTGGACATCATGATGGATTTTTAATCCAGCGAGAACATGAGCATTAATGGGGTAGTGGTAACCTGGGTCGTTGCCATCGACCCGCCGGGGGTTCGATTCCCTCTTAATGCATATGTAATCTTCGGGGTCTTTTTATTGCTACTGCACGTGAAGTGCATCTGCCTGGTGGGTATTATGATCACAGTTCAAAAGAGTTATATCTTGGTTGTCTGGAGATGACGTTACAGTGATTCATACTCGATGTGATTCTGCAGTAAGGAATATATCATGAAGGAACCCAAAGTTCAGCGACTACATCTAACTCTTTCAGTGTCCTTGCTTCCTTCGTGCTCGATCCTAAGCGATAAGTGGCCTGATCTGCACCAAAATCTATGAACTCATCCTTGATCAGTAGGAGGCGCAGTCCACCCGCTTGCACAAATCCTGTCTGCACAGGCAGGAAGGTAAGCTCAAACTCTTGACTACCCTCTACCTTCTCCACATCACCATCTGATAGATCTTCACGATGACTGACGGGACTAGCGTCGGTGAGCGTAATCGGGTTTAGGAACAGTGTGGAGGATCCCATAAACACACAGCCTTTCAGCTTTGCGCGCTTTCCCTCGTCAGCGAACTCGAAGTAAGGGGGCGGCAGAGTGGGCAGTCCACCATGTGCAAGCATCTTCTCTGGAGAGACAACCAAGAGATTGTCGCTTGCCATGTTGGGGGAGCTTTGCACAGAGGTGACAACGGTCGATATTACTGAAGTCAGGCCGAGGGAGGAGTACCGCGAGCTAATGGTCTCGGCGGCCTGCGATTGTTCAGGGTATGCAATCGCTGTGGAACGCGGACACTGAAGATGCTGTACAGCAAGAGAGATCACCCTCTGTTTCCCCTTCGCCTGTGGTGGAGCAGCAGAAACGGTGGCAGTAAAGGCGATCTTGAAGGGACGGTCAACAGCGATGGATTCCCTGGGAATGTGATTTATGATAACATCCACCTCGACGCCCGATACGTGAGCAGGCACCAGTGGTACTGGTTGTTGTTGATTTGGTGCGACAGACACGTTGGATATAGATCCGGCTGCAGGTGATTGCGGACGCGAAGGGCCAGCCATCGGGCGTGTGCGAAAAGGTGAGCTTGGTCTGTACGGAGCTGGGGGTGGAGAACTAGGTCGAGAAGGAGGAAGCTGTGGCGATCGTGGTCGCGCGGGTGAGGATGGCGCACTTGGCACATTACGCTGAAGATAAGGCGGAAGGGCTGATACAGGATGCTGAGATGGGGGTGCTGGGGCTGGGGTAGGGTTTGGAGCGGGAGGAGGACCAGGAATTCGACGGGATAACATCTAGGTATCAAGAGTGAGAGCTGAAGCTACTCTTCAGTGCGAGGATCTCACCGAAGTCAATAAACGGCCTGGCTCGCCGAACTGAGAACGCCATGAAATGTCAAGTTTACCAAGAGGGATGATACTGCCTGCTGGATGAACGTCGGTAAACGAGGACGATGATGTTGGGGTTAGAATGTAGATGTACTGTCGTATTGTTTGTGGTTGCATGAGAGCCATCGAACCGGAGAATAATCTATGGTCCTTGTCATCATCTGCGCTGGGTATCGTGTTGGCATCAGCAACACTCCATCCCTCCGCGCACTCAAACTCTATGTGCTCGAACCACATCGCGTCTTGTGTCATGTTCTGAATGTGGACCTCAAGGAACACTTTCTCGCGCTCCGAAGAAGTGAGCAATGCGGACGGAGATCGAGGCAGGTGTACTTTTGTCTTTACAGACAGAGGATTTGTGACCTAGGGCATTTTCAGTTCAAATTGTTCAGAGATCCGCTGGGAGCGATAACATACAGCAAACTTGTAAAACTTGCGGAAGGTTGCTTCATTGGAGGTTTCGCTAGCACCAGGGGCGTGTCGATATGACGGAGGAAGGTGGTATGAGACGATACAAGCCAGAACGTGGTGGCCTAACTCCTTCACCTCGTGATTGGCTACATATTCCAATGAATCTCCTACTGCTAGCTTAAAGCCCGGGCCACCCAGTTCAGCCAACAGTACCTTGGAGTTTGCTGTCTGGATCTCAACGCGGACAATAACGCCCTCGAATCTCGATGTTGGTCTCATTGTTGATGCATATGCAACTGGAGAATGTTTCGCCCAGCTGAACGGCTCCAAATGAGGCGGGGAGTGTGAGGAACTCAGAAGCATGGGTGAGATCACGTAGGGTCTTGGGATGGCCAGGGAGAGGTGTCTTTCCTTGCAGAGAGAGGATTGACGCTGTAGAATGGGTAGAGAAGAGGGTGAGCTGGAATAGAAGGGCTGCCATGCACTAGCTAGTGATGGTCTCTGTCACAAACAGTATTGATTATCACGTCTTGTGCTATAAGATTGCCCACGCACAGATACCCGCATCACTTTCAGTGACAAAAGATGTCCTTGTCCAGTCCATGTTAAAGAGTAGCCGCTATGACCTGTGCCAGGTTAGAGTCGTATCAGTGATACTACTTTTACTTTTAAAGAGCGTTGTTTGTTCCGTGTTAGAATTCAAAGCCTCTGCCTTCCTATTTCAGCTAGCTCGCACACTACCTGATCATGAATGCCATATAGCCTAACCATTCCGATACTGGGATTAAGGTCGTCAGGATTTGGGCATTTGACGGTTCGTTCATTACCCTCTACGTACTGAGTTTTGTGGTTATATTAACTTAACTAGCAGATGTAGAAACCATTCTGGAGAGTGGAACGTGGTTTCAGTTTGTACAGAATGGCATTACGACAATCAACGATGAACCGAAACTCGATACAGTCGTCACGGTTCATATCCCTGACGAATAAGTGGAACCCGTACCCAAACCACCGGCAGTTTCTCGACTCGGGTGCTTGCGTCTGTGTGACTACTCCGCCGCGTAACACTCTTTCCAATTACCATGGTAAGCCGCTAACGTTTCACGCATTATATCACTGATTCACAGATGCAATTCGACCATTGGCGTCCACTAGTGCAACAGGTACTATATACACAAACCTATTGCGACATGGCACGCTACTATAGCTGCCTTTATTGCGTCCTTCGATCCGTTGAACTACATTGTCTCCGCCGGGTGGGTCTTATACCGCATCGCTTTAGCGTTGTGGTTCTCAATTTTCTCTAGAACATCTGGACTCCAACGGACTGTCCGACGCTGTAGTTTACACCAACAGCTTCACCTACGCCCTCTGTCCAAAACAAAATCAACTCGAGTCTTGCGTAGATCCAGCAATCGGCTCAGTCTGCTAACGCGTGAGTTGTAGTTCAACTCTTAACAACAATTTACTCACGTTATCCCTGCAGCGGTAATGGACGCTACCAACATGACGACAAATTTTCAGCTCGCTTTCGGACAGTTTGTAAATATTACTGAAATCTATTGCAGTGGGCAACAGCGTTGGGTTGGCAAGCATTATACAGACTTTATGCAGTGCCAGGTCAATACTTTCCTTCTTTGTGATGCATTGACTGACGCTCGTTGTAGTGGGGCTCCATTGGCATTACCCAGCTAAGCGCTACCATCCAATCAGACAGAACCAACTCCTCGACAGAGACGGGGGAGTCGTCTAATGATGGTTACTCCATGTAATCCCGGCTGGCAACTAAATGGGTCCTGTCAGGTTCTGTCTGCAAACCTTCAAGCAAGCGGAATATAATCCAGCCTTGAGGTACGTAGAATTCTGCGTCGATAAATATTCTGAGTACTCACCGCATAATGACGCAAGACATACGCATCTGGATTGATCAACCTGGCTTGTTATGCTGCGTAGTTTCTCACCCTCACGCGAGTGTCGTGAGGCTCAGGTGGACTCGGACGCGCTTCCAATGATTGAAACCCGCTGGAATCCATCACACAGATCCAGGCGATGAATATATTACCCAAGAGGCCGAACTGACAAGAAGGCACGACTGTCTTCCTTCATTCAAGGTCTGACTACGGGAGACTAATCGCAAACATATTTTCTGTTACCCAGGTCGCCCTTTCGATCGTGAATCAATCCTTAGGTCTGTACAATCAGTTATCAAGAACGAGTCTGATTTCTTGACGATAGTCGACAAGTGCCAGACCATCAGGATAATTGTTACAAGGACAACTAAGGATGCTACCGTAAAAAATCTGCGGGAATCTTTGGGATGCTTTGTCACAGCTTAACATGTGAGCAGAACTATTTTCGCCTCTGTTTTGTGATCAGTAAGTACGTCTTTTGATAAAGTGCGTCGTCGTCGGCGTACCTGGACCACTCATTTATTCTCACACGTGGCAACAGTACTGAGTTATCGCGACACCGTCTGGTAAAGTGCATTTTCTGGTGAGCACAATAGCCGAGCCCGGGCACGGAATTCCCCCACACGACTGCCATTTGCAGGCGTCAGCGATCTCGGAGCCGGGCATGGCTCGTGCACTCAGAGGACTGATAACCGTCAATGCCAGGAGGATAATCGTCAAGAAATTCATCTAGACCATATCATAAGTATCATAAGTTGGATCTACAGGTTGGTGGGTTGACCCTTACCGCCAAAAAATAAGAGTCTATAACTAGTTTCAAGCTTAGCGAGGTTTTTTTTCGTTTGTTGTTCATCAGTTCTGTGCTCACGCGTTTTATAGCTGCGATTCGTTAAAACATTAATCCGTAAGGTCGAAAACAGCAACCACGCAGCACCATCAGAATGCAGAATCTCTTAATTATGTAAGCTGTTCAAGGTAACTTAAGTGGCATGCCCTTTTACTGATGAAGGGTGGAGGCTAAACCAAGAGTCAGCCAAGTGTGGAGTAAGTCGATGACGACACACGTACTTCCCCGCCGTGGCCAGACGAAGCTGGAAAAACCCACTGCCTGAGGTGCTGTTATTGGCAACAAAGAGTTGGTATTCCAAGCAGTCTGATTCAGGCGAATTAGACCCTTATTGGTTCAGAACCCGGTATCAGTAAGCTCATTCGTACTATACAATTCACTCATGTTATGGTGCCAAGTGGCTTCTAGTCGCAGGGTTCTTTCGCGGGCAGTAAATCAACCGGCTTCGCTGGTCTCATCTGCTAGCATCCGTGAGAGCGAACTCTGCTACAACACTTTTTCTCTAGGTCACATTTTCCCTTGGTAATGTTACATAACTATCAATTGCTCCTGTTCATGTCTCTGCTTTGTGCCAACTCATAGGTCACACGTGCTACATAGTATGACCCGGTACATGTCTGCAGATTTGAGCACCAAAAAGTAGCAGATTTGAGACCCAGGATCGGGTCGCAGGGCGGACAGACATAGGGGGGCTTCCAGGGGCCCCCACAGACACGTCGTGGCTTCGAGAACCATCACGAATTCACCCAAGATCTTGTTCCGTTCTTCGCGCCGAAACCAGTAATTCGTACACAACTTTCAAAAGGCAAGGATTCGTACATACAGCGCGCGATGTATAACATAGGGCTCCGCCCTAGCGGACAATAAAAAAGATCGTAGATCTTGGCTAGCCACGTAAATTTAACGGAGAGGCGGAGAGGATGATAGAGATGGAGACGGAGATGGTGTGAATTACATACAGGAGAACGCCGTGCGCCTTCCGTACCATCAAATCTGAGATACCGTCCATCATGATGCGCACGTTGCTTTGTAGGCGTACGTCCACTATGCGGATCTAGACCCGCATGACGTGCAAGACAGTGGAACGCACAGCAGGTTTGTGCCAATGCAACCTAGATATCAACAGGTGACGGTAATATTCCGGTTGCAAGTCATAGCGGAATTAGCGGATTCTTGCTTTGGAAAGGATGGACGAGAAAACAGTATTGAGGTCAGATGGTGGCACCGGAGATGAGGTTGCTGTCCTCTGAGCGAGGTCTGAATCAAGGAAAACAAGAACATTCACCCTGAAACGCGCAGTTGTTCGGCTCTATTGCCAACTTTACCTGGACGCCGAATGTACCATCTTGACAAAAAGGCTCAGCTGAATAGCCAGATAGCAGGCTGCCAGGGGCCCGAATTGCCAATCACGCATACGAGTTTCTTCTGTCGTGGGTCTACCCAAGGGCCCAGATGCCGTAGCGTCGGTGTCTTCATGCTCCGAGCTGCTATGATTAAGGCATCAAGTGCCAGAATGAAGAAGCAATTGAATTGTTGGCAGAGCCCACATCAATCAAGGGGCTGCGATAGACCGGGCTGAGCCAATGATGACGTCCAAACCAGGATTCTTCAGGTAGTCAAGGTTTGGGGTCGCCGGTGTTATCACCGCTGGCGATGAGAGAGGAGGTAGTAGACGGCGGTGGCGGATCTCCAAAAAAAAGGCTCCAGGGGTGTGGGGGCGTGGACTTGTTCAAGAGTTGTACAGAGTATGTGGTTCTCTGTTACCATTCCGAAATAGATCGACTCTCGAACGGGGGGACAATGAAAGTCCCTGAACGGATTAGATACGGCAGCAGGAAAGACCTCAACCACCGCTCGGCAAGCATATTTCGAGGGCATTTTTCAGTCCAAGTTTGCCGCCCTCGCGCATGGTTCTCTTTGTTCCTCACCGCCGTGGAGGAGAGTCTGCAAGATGTCGTGCCTGCCTCATGCAGCCGCTGCCGCCATCAACCCATCCACTCGACATCGACATCCTCCGCCTCAACTTCCAGGTTGCCACCAATCCCCACACCCATGAAACAGTTAGCGGAGCTCGCCGTTACACACACAGAATCCCGCACTTCGGTCCAAAGCCCTCCCTACCCTTCCACTACCGAACCGGCGCATAATGATAGACGGCCTCGACTGGACTGCTGCCCTCCTTGCGAACGAGTGCACTTCGGGGCGGCGCTTGGAGGTGCCCCGCCTGTTGGCGTCCTCCCCGCGTCTCACCCTCTCGATGGGATTTGTCCGAGAAAGATCATCGAAACTCACCCTTCATGCAAGACGCTCACGCTGATCCGATTCTGAGCCATTCTGAGCCTTTCGCTGTGTTTTTTCTCATTGTGTTAGTAGCAGTAATTCAATGAATTTAATTGCATCCCTTTGCCCAATGTACGAGCAGCCCGCACACGAGAATAAATAGAACTACAAATGACTGGAATAAGTAGGTACAAGATGTGAACTGCATGGTAGGTAAAATGCAGACAATTAGATATTCGAGGCTGCCAGAGCCAATATCGCGGGAAACGTAAATACAGGCGGAAGAGGACGAGGATGGATATGTAAATAACTACGCTGGGGGTGTGGCGCCTATATTGTCTGCATAGGAGCGCGTCATCGAGAGTGCTGGTCTGGGACCGGTCTTAAGCTTGATACGCTGACCACAATGGAAGGAGACTAATGGGTGAAAAAATTAGCCAGTGACGTGGGAAGGTCTCAAGCACCGGAGGCGGGAAGCAGATGGAGATGACGGCGGTCGCTCAAGCAGTTCGTGGCATACCATGGTTGTCAATGACGGGCACGACGAACACGGCGACGACGAAGACAATTATTAATGGAGAAATTAGAATAGTATTGCACAAACAAGCTTCGTAGGGTTTTCGGGGTCCTGGTCCAGCCTTGGCTAAATCACGTTATCGCAAATCGTAACATGGTTTTCGCTGGACAGAGAGCCGATTTATTTCGGAATGGTAACAGGTAGCCCGTTGGACCGGGCACGGACTGCAAGGGGAAACCCAAGGCCAAACCTCTAAGGCGGGAGGCGGCGGCTCTATCTATCGAGGATGGACTACAGACATGCGGTGGCTACCTATTACGAGCCAGGACTCCAGCCATTGCGCCAGGACCTCCGACACCCCATGCCAGATCTCCGACACCCCATGCCAGATCTCCCTGCTACACCGTCACTCCCAAAAGGAATCAGAGATGTTGAAGTTCCTGACCCTTCCTAACTGATATTTTATAGGCTACACATCAGCCTTTCAAGGCCTAGGGTGAGGGAACGAGACTGACCCGACCGTTGTAAGCACCAGGAAATCTAGTCTCCCCTAGCCAGACCATATAGAAGGAAGACAGTTGTTCCATCTTGTTTGGGGAAAAAAAAATCTGGCGCGTCGCGCGGCTCCGTGGAGTGCCGGTGGCTTGGCGCCGCTCGACTTCCGGTCAAACAGCCATACAAGGTGACAACACTGAGTACTGAGTACTGATCAGTGATCACGTCGACAACCGACCGAAACCATTCGAATAAGCATGCGGCATTCCCCGATAGGCGCTGGGGCTGTAGCGCATAGCTAGGCAGAATAATATTTGCATCTAACTATGGAATGTTGTGTTGGCGACACGCAGAACATTCGCCTTCAAGATAAACTGGCATTCACACACGGTCTGCATGGACTAGCATTCGCGGACGTGTCCAATAATTTAAAGAGCACCTCAATGCGAAACATTCAACATACAGGTGCTACCTAATCAACCCCCCTTCGCCAATACTCTCTTCAACTCAGCATTCCGCTTCTCCAGTATCTGAATCTTCGTCTGCGCAGAACGCATCTTCTTCAACAAGTAATCCTTTCGCTCAGATGTCGCTCTACGCCTGAACAACCAGTATGACTTTTCCGCCTTTGAGAGGTCCTGAAGCGTGGTAAGCTCAGATTCGCATGCACGAAACGGTACTCTCTGCGCTCGATATAAATTTCTCATTGAGCGCGATGTCTTGCGTGGCTTGGAAGACAGGGTCTGATGTATCATTAGTAAGGGGAAATTAGATGATATCACAAATCCCATTACCGTTCACAAGTCTCTCAAAGACGGATTTGAACACAGGCCTTCCAGGACGTATCGTGGACGGTCGACCTGAAAAAGATATTAGACACTTGTCTTCAGTGTAAATGGACTGAACGTACCGTGCTGCGTGCTGATAGATATGATCTCAGTGTGTTCCATGGCACGAAGTGGTAGCTCGTCTCCCTTGAAAGGTGGATCGAGTAGCACGTCGTAATATGGCAGCTGACAAGAAATATGAGCAGATTACCGACTAGCACATGAGGATGAGTACCTCAGATTTGCGTGCCAGTTGTTTGAGCACGGTCCACGCCTGCTCCCTTGACCACGGCAAACTCTTAGCATCGTCGATGTCCTCGCCAAAGGCATTCTTCCTTAGTTCTCCCACACTGCTAGCGATGATGTCTTCTACTGCTTCCTCGATGCCTTGGCCACTGTAGACCTTGTGGATTAACTAAGTGCGGGAGGTATTAGCAACTTGCACAGTAGAGGGAGTACTAAGATAACTGACGCGTTCAAGGTCGCTCGTGCGGCCGCCAAGGCCCTCTATGGCCTTGCTTTGTGCAGGTTTGAGATCTGATGTAATACCACCATCGTGCAGGCGCCGGCGGACAAAGGAGAGGGCGGTAGGTGCATCAGCATCATAAAGGGCTATTGAGTTCAATGGTTTGGAGGGCAGCGCTGCAATATCATGGTAACAGTTAAACAATACCTCATAACAACGTAAATATAACACTCACCTCGGGTAAGCAGCTTTGCGTTCTCGCGGTTATCGCTGACCACGATAACATGGGCAATCTTAAAAGACGTAAGGAGCCGCACAACTCGACAAGTGGAGTGGTGCTGATCACCTGGTTCTCAGCAAGGCTCGCCGCCCACTGTGCCAAAACGCTGAGGAATTCCTCCTTGTAAACTCCTCCCCGTGCGGCGAAGTTCTTGATGACGACAATCGGCAGCGTACGAACAGCTTGCACGTCTTCCGCACCCCGGCGTTGTCTCACTAGCTCCTCCTCGCTCGTCTTCTCCCCCACACCATTCAAGTTTACCATGTCGTTCTCCATCGCATCAAAGCTCACAAACTCGCCATCACCCTCCAGCAACTCGTCCCCCACCCCAAGCTCGCTTATAATGCCATTCCCCGCGAGGCAGTCAAGCCGTGGATCGTGCCATGTCCCGGCGCAAATACGGGCGCGAGTACGCGCATTCTCGGCTTGTCGTGTTTCGGCCTCTTGCGCTGCTTTAACAGAGCGCTGCGCAGAGTCGCGAAGGGAATGATTGACTTTCTTCAGTGCTGTGCCTGTGACTTCGAGAATTCGTTTCAACTGGTCTTCGAGGGAGGATGTGAAGCCCGCTAGAAATACGGTGGTTATTCAGATATTGGAACGGGGAAGAATCAATCGAGTAACCTTTTTGCCCGATGAGGCCGACAGTCGCAATGTCTATCATATTGTTGACGGAGTTCAAGAAGGTGAAAATCGGTCTGTAGCCGGTCTGTTGTGCTAGTGCTGAGACGAGACGCGTGTCCGACGTTGCTTTATTGAGCTCAGCACAATCAATCACTAGAGCTTTTCTATATATATGATGATAAGCTGTGTCTAAGTCAATAGAATATAATACAGACCTGCCAGTGTCACGGATGATAGCCTGGAGCATATGGTATTTTCCACTGCCCTGGGGACCATGCACGAATGCAACTGTAGCTATTTAGATTATTTGTTGTCAGAATTCTTTCAGTGACACATGAGTAGGACTTGCAAGGTAGCTCGGAGAGATAGCTCCGCACGGCGATTTCTGCGTCTTTACGCTCCTTCCAGATGTCTCCCTGCGGCGAGACGTCTTGACGGCCCATGCTAGTGAGAGAGAACCGGTCCAGGGCGTTGGCACGAAGCCATTTATATACTTTGTATTCTGGAGTAAAAGAAATGGGTCAGTATGGTATGTTCGATGGTCGTGATCAAAAGAACACATGGTTACCGCGGTAGTCAAACCAATTAAGCATCTTCCCTTCAACAGACAGGATTCTTATTGGATCGAATATCTAGACAATTGTTTTTAAGCTCACGAACAGATCTTAAAGTTGTTCACCCACAGTATACGTCAATGTGCCAAGCAAGAAAAATAGGATCGGCAATACGATCCTGGGATGCGAAGTCAGCCAGTCCCTAATTGCATGGGCCTGGATGGGGCGTTGGTATACGGTCCTCAGGCGTGTTGTTGCACCACCATTAGAGAAAGTGAATCCATGGATGATATTCCGCGCGACAGTGGCAGAACGCACGCGGTGGAATATGATATCAGAGGAGCGGAGCGTACCTGCGGGCACGGGCGTAGGGGCGGTGATGTTGTATATCCGGCCGCATGGCTAGCACGACATAAGAAGTAAACTAACGAACGAGTGGAGCGTACTCACTCGAAAGAGACTATATAAGGCTTCTTCAGGAACATCTGGGCCTTGGAAAGAAACGTGTACGATTCCTGACGGGTATCGGTGCATATCCTGATCATGTAATTTGCGTTCTCGCCAAGCAACTTCTACTTGAGAAAACGCACCTCGAGAAATGGGTTCCCCTTCACGAGCCAGATATTGCAGTCATTGAGTCCCGACCACGAGGGGAGACCGCCATGCTTAGTTGCTTCAAGCTCAAGATCGCTCCGAAGCGTCTCGAGCGCATTTTGGTGGTCATGAGCAGTATAACTGAACCGCACAAAGACGCCGCCTTCCTTCTGATATGGCTGAAGCTCGATGATGTTGAAGTCGTGTGTCTTTACGGTTTCGAGACGCTCGTGCAAGCGTTCCAAGAGGGTGTCCTCACGTAATATGCCAATGTAGTGTCGAAGGCTGCGTGGGTTTAGTCAAGGTAGAAGGTATAGTTGTGTAGTACGAACTCCCAGATACCGAGACGAATAGGGAAGACGGAGTCAATGAACAACCATCGTTCTTGAGACTATAAAGAATACTTAATGAGCGTTGGGAATACCCGGTGTCGAAGCCACTTACGTCCCCATCCTCCAATTTGGATGCGTTCACTGTCTCCAGTGGTGTGTCCTCAAATACCCGTCTGCTCGCATGTATTCGTCGTGTCTGGTATGATAAAGAGCGCAAATTGCGAGCAGCCAAGTTTAACGTACTCCTTGAATACATGCTGTCCTAGCAGTTGGCTATAGCCAAGAGCTTTGACATCAATATCGGCATATCTCTACGTAATATCCGTAGTCGTGGGAGAGCATTTCCTTACTTGGGGTCTTGTGAGGATGAAACGGAGTCAAAGTTTGCATCCCGTGAACTCCTCCACGCTTGTGGACACCGTCAGGTTGTGCGCACAGGACGTCAGCGACCACAGCGACCACTAGATCAAAACTGTTCTCGTCAACACAGACAGTGATGAACACATATACCCAGACGCAGGCCCGTCCGCCTGCAGCTCCAGTAGCCCTAGGACGCACAAATTCATTCTTTGGCGCCATCAAGAACATCGTTACTGCCCCACTCTCATGGTTCGGCGGCAGTGATGAGGAAGACTTTGGGGACAGCGACGCCAGGGGGAAGCGGAGGCGACTTCCCACTGCCTCTGAGCAAACCCGCAATGAGGAGGACTCGGAGCAACGGACCAAGAGAATGAGAGTGGGCAGCCCTAATAGAGATAAGCAAGGCTACCTTGATCCCCCCAGATCAGCTTTCAAGAAAACTTCTGAAGTCGCACGCGCTCAAAATCAGCGTCATATCTCGCCGTCCCCGCGAAAAAACGCTTCGCGTGCCTCCTGCCACACCACGTAATAGACGCACGATGTCCCCCTACCCAAGTGGATCCCAGCTCAAGGCACAGCCGTCTGTGCGTACCATGTCTCTTGATCCTCCCACTGGTCTGGCCTACTCCGGGACTGCAGCCCGGCTCCAGCCTGCCCCGACCATGCAGGATCTCACCGAGGAGAAAGACGTCATGTCCATTAGCAGGGAACCGTCCATGTCAAACATCCGTATGCGTACGTCTGTCACACCGCAGCCCTCGGGTCCCGATTTCGGTCCCGTCGTTCCCGCTCGTCGGGAGCGCGATCCAAACGAGCCGCCACCACTGACTACACTGATGTCAAACCCCATGTTTGTCAAGCCTCCGCCCGGCTTACAGAAGTCTGGAGCAGCAGAATTAAGCAGACAAGCAACTCTTGGTTCATTGTTGGACTCTCAGCGTCAGGTGAGGATCATATCCGATTTTTCGCTTTTTTCACTCTTGTCGTAGACGTACCTTTGACACAAATTTCCCAGCAGACCCCTGTCCGACGGGGATCCGTTCTATTTGGCACTGGATCCATGACAGATGTCCCTGCCCGTGCGTATGCCCACACTCTAAATATTTTTTGACCGTTGATTATCTTGCAGCAGCCCACCTTTGGCCGATCAACCCCGCCGAGAAAGCCCTGCATGAACTCGACGTGTACAAAACTCCCCTCCTTCCATCGCGTCTTAAGGGTGCACCGATCCCGGACATTTTTATACCCAAGAAGAGTCGCCCTATCACTCTCATGCATGACCGGGATCGAGAGCGGAAGAAGGGGAAAGGCAAGAGCAGAATGAAGGATCGAGATGGTGTCAATGGGACAAAGCCATATGCGGGTGAGGGCGGCATGAAGAAGTGGTTGGCAAGGAGGAAACGGGAAGAGGATGTGGTGCGAGCGTATGAGGAAACTGACCGAGAGCAGGAGAAAGATCGGGCGATGGAGCAGGATGAGAGTGCTGAAGCCGAGGCTGAAAGACTGAGAGAACAGAAAAAGAAGGCCCAGGCGGAAGAGGCACAACGTAAGAGGCAGATGGAGGTTCCCGCCGCTAAGGCACCTGCATTCGAGCCGCAGCTCAGTGCTACACGGGAGATGTCGTCTCTCCGTGTTGGACGCTCGCTCATGCGCAACCACATTGAGCGCCCGTCATCAAAGCGCCCAAACAAGTTCTCTGCGGCGTTTGAAGACGACGAGGATGCTATGGATGATGAGAGGGTTGCACTCGAGGAGGCTGCAAAGAAAGTACCCGTATTCGAAATCCCTGCTGGGTTCACGTTTGCGAAAGAGGTAATTTTTATCTTTGTGGTACTCATGAATACGCGATCTCATTATTTTCGCAGGCCCTCATACCTCACGATGTCATGGGTGCAAAAGAACCTCCCATCAGCGCACTTCCATTTTCATTGTCAAAATCGACTACGCCTGCGGCTATGCAGGCCTTTGTCCCCTCTGCAGCCACCGCTCCAGCAGTCCCCACCATTTCACTTGTTCCTGCTACCCCACAGCAGCCAAAGCCAGAGACACGTACTGAGCCTGGACCCGTTCCAGCGGCCCCTCCCGCGACTGCTTCTGGCATTCCCAATTTTTTTGCTAGTACGACTGCATATACCAAGCCGTTGGCCGTCACTGCTCACCCGGGCTCTTTTGGCGTACCCTCTCCCGTTCTCGCGCCAGCACCAGCACCAGTGCCAGTACAAGGTACCAGAGGCTCCAAAGGTCACCGAGGCCTCGCCTTCATTGTTTGTCACGCCTGTAACTCAAGCATCTGCTGCACCTGCTACGACTTCCATATTTGGAACAGCTCCTGCGTCTGCAAGTACCTCGATCTTTGGCACTTCTTTCACTAGCACTGGCACATCGTTTGGCGCTCCAGCACCGCCCAAAGCAACAGAGTTGATGCCTGTTCCTTCCCCTGCCCCTTCCTCTGCATTACCCTCTGCCCCTTCCCCTGCTCCGTCCTCTTTACCATTCTCGTTTAGTGCCGCACCCGCACCGGTTGCCCCTGCCAGTGAAGCTCCAAAAACAGCGGAACTTGAAGCAAGCAAACCTCCGTCGCCCTTCGGAACTAGCCCTTCTGCTCCTCCATTCGGCTTTAGTACACCCGCCGTTTCTGCACCTGCACCTGAGCCATCCAAGTCTGCATTCTCTTTCGGGGCACCGGCACCGACGCCTGCAATTACAGAGCCACCGAAGAGTGCCTTCTCATTCGGTGGGCCTGCACCTTCTACGTCGCCTGCGCCTGTACCCGCTCCTACTCCCGTGATTGAGGTCCCCAAGTCGTTGTTCGGGACGCAGGGAACGACGACGGCATCTGAGTTCTCATTCGGTGTACGCCCCAGTACTGCGCCCGCAGAGGAGAAACCTGCCTCGGCCCCTGCGCCTTTTGCATTTACGTCTGCTTCAGCTGTTCAACCCGCTCCAAATGAGAAGAAGCCATTCGCCTTTGGCTCCCCATCTCCTGCACCGCCTACTGCTACACTCAAGCCCTCATTCAACTTTGGGCCTGCCAATGCGGGTAGCAATGCCTCTGACACAAGTAAGCCCTTCAATTTTGGGCAGTCTGCACCTGCACCTGCACCTGCACCCCCGCGTTCCATCACGCCGCCGAAAGCAGACCAGGAGGTCAGCATGGACGAGAGCCCGAGTCGCGACATGAATACCAACGGGAAGGCGCCGGAACGGCCAACACTTAATTTCTCTTTTACTGGTGCCAGTAGCACGCCCGCAGGCAGCACCCTCTTCGCGCAGAGTCCTGCTACGGCAACAGGCCCTGGATTCGGCTTTGGCACGTCTAGTGCCAATCCATTCGTGAAGCCAGAGGACAAGGACAAGCCAGGGATGTCATTTGGCTCCGGGTTTGGCCAGTCTTCAGGTTCTGGCTTTGGATTTGGGCAGGCGGCACCCGAAACACCTGCCCCGCCATCTGCGGCGCCGTTCTCGTTTCCACAGGCTACATCGCCGAGTGTAACACCGTCCTCAGCGTTCGGGTTCGGCCAGACCGCAAGCAATACATTTGGGCAGCAGCAAAGCACATCATCAGCGCCATCGAGCCCGTCGACATTCAGCCGCCCGTTTTCATTTGGCGCAACCACGTCTACGCAGCCTGCTGCTCCATCGTTTGGGTTCGGGGGCAGCCAGCCTGCGTCGCCGGCTGCCCCTGCCGGCGGGCTTCCACAGCCCTCAGGCGGCGGTGCGTTTAACTTCGGTCAGTCGAGTAGTGCAGCGCCAGCTGCCGCGCCGAATTCATTTGCTCCTGCTGCCGCCCCGTCTGGCGGGGGTGCTCTATTTACCATTGGTGCTGCACCTCAGCCTGATGGGAGACAAATCAAGAAGCTCCCTCGTCGTGGAGTTGGGAGACGCTGATCGTCTCCGAAACCTTTCCTTTTGGTAACCAATGGGCTATTACAGACTGTCTTCACATAAAATTCATCTCACATCTCTCATTTCGTCTTTGCTTTCAATTGCGCTACCTCACCTCACCCCACCCCGACCAATTCTGATGTCAAGCATCAACCGGCGTGCACCTAGCATGGTGCCCATCTTTACGCATCTGTTGCCTTGGGTTTTCAATAACTCAGCAGCTCGTCCCTGCTCGTCCTGTAGCGCACAACATTAAACACCCGAGGGATCTATTTCGTCGACACGCATGGATGGCTCAAGGCCACCACACGCTTATCTCCATTTTGATTTGACACAATACGCATACTCACTGGGCTCAAGGCCTGTAGACACATTCACATAGTTACCTGCATCATTGGTTTCTCTTTCTACGTGCATATGTTTTCGTTGTTAGTAGGAGGCGGTCCATAATGTTAATAACTTTTCTGCTGTTATGAGTAACCTTGTATAATCTGGGTGCGAATGATATCAGACGCGCGTGACGCGTGAATTTGATGCAATCTTGAACGCGTGCCGCGTCCATCATGCCCCGCGAAATAGTTACAGTTCAGCTTGGACAATGTGGCAATCAAGGTGAGCTCTCTAAGCTCGTGCAGCCCTCAAATATTCTGATCTAGCAACTGAAAAAGTGGGCGCTGTATACTGGCAACGCCTCTGTGCAGAACACGGTATCAACAAAGAAGGCATCCTCGAGGAATGGGCGACTGAAGGCGGGGACCGCAAAGATGTCTTCTTCTACCAGGCAGATGACGAGCATTATATTCCTCGCGCGATCCTTGTTGACCTTGAGCCTCGTGTACGTGCTCCTGCAATGCGTTGCAACTGATCTCCCAACTGTGCAGCATTGTCTAGGTGATCAACAACATCCTCAGTTCCCCGTGGGCGAATTTATACAACCCCGAGAACATTTTTATGTCGAAAGATGGCGGTGGTGCCGGAAATAACTGGGCGCATGGATATGCTTCTGGGGAGAGGTTGTATGAGGAGGTTATGGAGATGATCGATCGCGAAGCTGAAGGGAGCGACTCTCTGGAGGTGAGCACCAGTTCACCTAGCTCTTCGTAGATCCTTATGAGCTATCTTACAGGGCTTCATGCTCATGCATTCAATAGCAGGCGGCACGGGCTCAGGATTTGGCTCCTTCATCCTCGAGCGCCTTAATGATAAGTTTCCCAAAAAGCTCATCCAAACATACTCTGTCTTCCCGAACGCCAACGAGGGTGATGTCGTTGTGCAGCCTTACAACTCCCTCCTTACCCTTAAGCGTCTAACGAACCATGCTGACTCGGTCGTTGTGCTGGACAACGGGGCACTGGCGCGGATATCGGCAGATCGGCTACACGTCCAGACACCTACCTTTGACCAGACGAATCAGCTTGTGAGTGCACAAACAGAGTGATATCGTTTGATTGCTCAGCCTGCCAAAGGTCGCTACAGTCATGGCTGCAAGCACACAGACACTTCGATATCCAGGATATATGAACAATGACCTTGTGGGCATAATAGCCTCGCTCATACCAACGCCTCGATGCCACTTCCTGATGACCTCATACACGCCCTTCACGAGTGATCAAATCGACAAGGTTCGTGCCCCTCTATCCTCTTCTGTGCATAAGGTTACTTGACACCTGTGTCATCAGGCAAAACCAATCCGCAGAACAACTGTCCTCGATGTTATGCGGCGTTTGCTTCAGCCCAAGAACCGCATGGTGTCCACAACACCAAGTAAAACAGCCTGCTACATCTCGATTTTGAATATCATCCAAGGAGACGTCGACCCAACTGATGTACGACCCGTACTATCTTTTATGCATTTAACATCCTGCTCACTCAGTCTGGCATCTAGGTCCATCAATCACTTCTGCGGATACGGGAACGTCAGCTTGCGAACTTTATACCTTGGGGACCAGCGTCGATACAAGTGGCTTTGACACGTCGCTCGCCATATGTCACAACAAATCACCGTGTCAGTGGGCTCATGCTTGCGAATCATACAAGCATTGCTTCTGTAGGATATACATGCGCGATGTTTTCACTCGAGACTAAGTCTTTTTTTTCTGCAGCTATTCAAGCGGATGCTCGACCAGTTCGACCGGCTCCGCAAACGAAACGCATTTTTGGAGCAATACAAGAAGGAGAAGATGTTCGAGAATGGACTGGAAGAATTTGATGATGCGAGGTAAGTGACTCTTGAGTCAATCGGTGACTTGATTTACTGGTGGCATCAGAGCGACTGCGGAGGAGCTGCTCAAAGAGTATAAGGCTTGCGAGAGTGCAGATTATATTACTTATGTGAGTTCCTTCGTTCACCGTTCATTGTGTCCACGCTCATGTCAAGAAATACAGGGAGCGCCAGACGCAGAACAGGGCACATAATATTATCGAAGTGAGATTCTTGTATTGTTATCGTATTCTCTTGTTGCTCGGTAGCTGCCGCATCTTCTTTCATCTTCTATTACACTCAAAAAACTTGCAAATCATGTCCAGTACATTGTGAAAAGATCTAGTGATGACAGACAGAACTACATGTGTGATAGCAATTCACACCGGTATGAGTCGATATAAACGTGCGACTACGGAAGGGTCAAATTACGACTTTTTTGGCCCCTCCAGCTTCTTTCCAATGTCTGCACCTGTGAACATATTGACGTTATTACCGAATGGTGCTCGACACAGGCCGTTTATACTCACCACGAAGCTTGACACCCAGAATCCTCTCGAACTTGCTGAGGACCTGAGGATTAGGAATAGCCTTTCCGGATTCGTAATCCTGGATTACAGAAGGCTTCTCATTCGTCTTCTGGGCGAGGTCTTTCTGAGTCAGTTGCTTCTCCATGCGAGCGGTTTGGATAGCCTGTGTGCTGTGTAAGCGCTTACGTGATGTGGACATGAGTCAGTATACCGACCTTGCCGACACTTGCGTTGACTTTCGGTGGAGGAGCGACTTCATTCTCGCGGTCAAGCTTGGCTATGCGTTGGTGGTCTGGTCCTGCATACAGCTTGATTAGTTAAGATGAGACTGACCGACTCATGCAAAGACGGACCTTGATGAGCTTTGTTCCCACCAGCGGTGACCTTCTTGTCTGTAGCAACGACAGCACCTGTTCTGCGCGCCTTTTTAGGTCGTGAGTCAAAGATAATTGATCTGGTAGTAAAAATGACATACGGCTAAAATTTACGATTCGTCAGACAAGTATTTCATGTACAAGTGACTGTACCACTACTCACCATTCAAGTCGGACGTGTTGCGGGTGACTTTGGGGGCCTTGGCCTTGAATCCAATGACTGTCTTGCTGTCCCAGTCAAGGTTGCTCATTATGCTCGTGCAGGAGGGAGAGTTGACAGGAAAGGGTGATCTATGTCGTGGGCGGTAGAGGTTTGTGGCGAACACGTCGGGTAGTGGGCATTGCTTATATACATTGCCCATATATATCACATTGTCACAGCTTGTCACAGCCAGAGTCAGAAGTACGGCTTCCAGCAATCTTGTGTCGAGTCACTGGTCCTTTCGAAGTAAGTGACTAGTAGTTGGCTATGCTTACAACTTATTTTTTTTTGCAGCCAGATCTGGAGACATAGCAGAGATTTCTGAAGTGATTCGCTGAGAGCACTAGTTGCTCACTTTCTGCTTCGTCTGTTGACTCCGTTCGAATAAAAATGCACCGCTGGATCCCGGAAGTTTTGCGGCTTATTTTCGAATTTGTCTATGATCCCTTACACACAGAAGAGGATAGAAAGGGTCGCGTCACAGCTGCCGGTTTAGCAAGAACGTGTCGAGCATTCAAAGGCCCTGCCCTGGATGTCCTGTGGCCTCGGCTACATTCTTTGGATGCACTCGTCCTCTGCTTCGGTGGGAGGCGAGATCGTAACAATCGATTAGCGAGTGAGCCATCATGATTTCCCCCCATTACTCAGATCCATTGGCACTTAGATCTGGGACCGTCCATTGTACGACGCGGACTGGCGCATTCTCGTGCGTTATGCAGAACGTGTCCGCACGCTAACAGTCTCATTGAATACATGGGACATCAGCATCATGCAACTTCTGAGCTGTTTTCATCTTCTAGGACCCCTTCTTCCGAACCTCACAGTGTTGAATTGGTTGTCTAACCGTGAAAACTTCTTCCCTTTCTTGCATTGTTTCTGTTTGACGACCCTCGATCTTTCACCCACCTCGTGGAGTGTCCGAAAGTGTGCCGTTGTTGCATCGCTTGCACCACCGTGTCCTTAACTCAAGGAATTCTCGTGCGACGGTGCGGAGGATTCGTCGAGGCAGTTGTGGGCTGGAAGAAGCTTCAAGTGTTGCTGGCTGGGCCTTTGGATGAACAGGCTTTAACGCACGCAACCAGAGTCTTTGCAAACACTTCAACGGTTGCCTTTCTCTGTTCCAAATCTCCGATCCCCAGTGTTGAAATCTTGCCCCCCTCCTTGTGCTCTGATAATCTCACCTCTTTCACCTTCATTCTTCCACGCATTCATCCAAAACGTGCACTTCTCGCCCCAATAATTTATCCTTTTCTCCGAGCGCTATGATGAAAAATTCCCCGAACGTTTCTTCTCATGCTTAGAAGCACGCTTCATGCATCCCGGGAAACTTTTCGAGCTGAGGTTGACGTTGAAGGAGATGCGACACAGGGAGGGTAGCAACGACTCAGTCGCCGTCCTCGCCCCTCGCGTGCTACATCCACTCCTATCATTCAAGGGACTCGACTGCTTAGATCTTCTTGATATATTCACTGTGCATATTGATGATACCTTCCTCAAAGAGGTGGCCGTGTCTTGTCCGCACCTACAGGAACTCTACTTGGGTGACGCGAAGTGCTGGCCTATTGTTCCATTGCCGACCTTTGATGGAGTTCCTTACTCCCGGTGCAGGCATACATCACTGTATTATGAGCCGTTCATCCCGGGAGCTTCGAGAAAGGAAAAATGAGAGACAGTAAATATGAGCTTGGGAACATTTGTCTCAGTTCGGAAGCACAGTTGGGAGCAAGGCTAGTCAGAGGGAAAGGCTGCGGCCCGTGTCTTTTCTTCATTCGATCGATTTACATGTGTAAAGGTCTGACTACGGGAGACCAATTTGCGTACTAAACTCAATCGCCCATCCTCACATCTTGTCACAGGCTCACAGCCCGATTTTCTGGACTTACTAGTACTTATCAGTGAGTTGCTTCTTCATTTTGCCGCAGCCAGATCTGGAGACTCATAGTAGGAATTTCTGTGCCGCCAAAGTGATTCAGAGCACTGAACTCATTTTCTCTGTGTTACTCAGGCTGTTCGAACAAAGATGCAGCGCTGGATCCCGGAAGTTGTGCAGCTTATTTTCGAATATGTCTATGATCCCTTTCGCACAAAAGAGGATAAAGAGGGTCGCGCCACGGTTGCCAGTTTAGCGAGAACGTGCCGAGCGTTTAGAGACCCTGCCCTGGATGTCTTGTGGGCTCAGCTCCACTCGTTGGATGCACTCGTCCTCTGTTCTGGTGGAAGGCGGGATGGCAACAACGAATTAGTGAGTGAGCCATTTTCCCCCCTTCCTGTTGCTCAGATCCCACATTAAGATCTGGGATCGTGCATTGTACGATGCGGACTGGCGCATTCTCGCGCGTTATACAGGGCGCGTCCATGCGCTGACAATCTCACCTCAATCAGATACATGGGACATCACCACCATGCAACTTCTGAGCTGTCATCCCCTTCTAGGACCCCTCCTTCCGAACCTCGCAGTGTTGAGTTGGCTATCTAATCGTGAAGACTTCTTCCCTTTCTTGCGTTGTTTCTGTGGGCCCAATTTGACCACCCTCAAGTTGTCACCCACCTCGTGGAGTGTCCGCAAGTGTGCCGTTGTTGCATCGCTTGCACCATTGTGCCCTTTGCTTAAGAAATTCTTATGCATTGACGCGGAAGATTCGTCGATGCAAGCAGTCAGCGAAGCAGTCGTGGGCTGGAAGAAGCTTCAAGTGTTGCTGGTTGGTCCTTTGGATGAACAGGCTTTGACGCACGCCAGCTCTTTGGAAACCCTTCAAGAGTTGCGTTTCTCTGTTTCAGATCTCAAATCCCCGGTGTTGGAATTTTGCTCCCCCCGTGCTACGATCACAATCTCAACACCTTCGCCCTCACTCTTTTACGCATTCGCCCAAAATGTCCATTTCTCGACTCCACGTCTGCGCCTTGTCTGCCAACGCTACGATGAAAAATTCCCCAAAGATTTCTTCTCGCGCCTAAAATCATGCCTCATGCATCCCGAGGAACTTCTAGAGCTGAGGTTTGGTGTAACAAGAAATGGGTTGATCATGCTCAACTCTCGCGTGTTGCATCCATTCCTATCATTCAAGGGACTCAGCCACTTAGACCTTGGGAGTGCATGCACCGCTATGGATGACACTTTCCTCAAAGAGATGGCCCTGTCTTGTCCACACCTACAGCGACTCTACTTGGGTCACCAGAGATGCTGGCACTTTATTCCGTTGCTGACTTTTGAGGGAGTCACATCTCTCTTAATGCACTGCCGTCAGCTGTCCTCTCTCGGAATTTTCTTCGGTGCCACTTTCAAAAGTGACACCGTATATATGGCCCCGGTCGACGCAGTCAGTCCAAAAATTACAGAGTTTCTTGTCGGTGCATCTCACATCGATGATCCTGTGAGGGTCACAGGAGTGCTGTCCTTTCTATTTCCCAATGCAACACGCATAGATCATTGGATTCCCACGAAATCCGAGTCTAGGCTGCTACAGACAAGGAAGGAGAATTGGGAGGCAGTAAATAAAATGTTCAACGTATTTGTCTCAGCTCGGAAGCAGAGTTGGGAGCAAGGCTGGTTAGAGGGAAGGGCTGCGGATGGAGAAGGATGTAGTAGTGTAAATTTTGATTATGTATCGTCCTAAATAACCATCCTATTCATGTCCCCCAGCTCCTGAACCTGCTGCAGATTACCAGGCTAAGACAGGCTTTACCGGCGGGTGCGTCGACAGCGGACAAACATGTTCTGACGCGGTCGTCAGGGGCGCTCCAAAGAGGGCTACAATCATGGCTAGTAGTATTGCAAAATTATTTCTATCACCTTGCCGACAAACATTCTTCTTGCGATATCGATCAAGAGGCTCATGCTCGCTCTCACCTTTCCTGTACAGCCAATATGCCATTTTCCCGCCCTTCTTCCACTTTAGCTGGATCTCGGTGAATCCGATGACGTTCATGAGAGACTGGAGTTTGTCAAAAGTCAGGTATCGGGAATTCTCCACGCATGGTAGGGGAAGCTAGTAAGAGGATCAGATTAACACTCGTGACAGATGCGCTCAAGGCTTTCAGTTGCTTACCGCAAGGAAGAGCAGACCGTCCGGAGCTAGTATAGAGTGCGCAAGGCATAGCATTCGCCCTGAAAGCGGGAGTCAGATGGCGGGTAGCATGAACACGGGTAATCATATACCTCGATCTCTCGGGTCAGGAACAAAGTTCACGACCAAACTCAGACTGATGATGTCCCACCTGCCTCGATTTTCACCCTCATCCATCAACAGGAAATCCTGCTCGAGAATAGAGGGATGGCGGCTCCGAAGGTCCATTGGTGTGGTATCTATCCATGACGTGCATGTTCGATAGTTGTCAGGCTTTAGAGCACCAACTTCCAAAAGCCTGTTTGTCGTAGAGGGTGTTAGAACAACTTAGAGAAAGACATCGCTCCTACTTCAGTTTCTCTTTGCCTTCCCTTTTCCGAAGCCCCATGTCAATCAACCACTGTATGAGCACTTTCTCACTTCCGCCGCCGCGGTCATTCCCCTGCCCAACACTCGACATGCGCTGATAAACCGCCAATCCTCCCAAGTCGTTGATCTCGCGTTCAACATCTCCGAGTTCTTTTGCATTGGCAGAAGGGGCATTTTTCAGTTGGCCCTGTTTTTTCAGCAGAACATGAAACCGTCGGATGACGGTGCGGCTTGAGTGGGGGTTGCTCGATGAGCTCGCTTTGTCAATACTAGTGTTCGTCACAGGAGTCTTCTTTTTGCGAGTCTTGGGCATGGGCGATGTTAAGAAGCTGCAGTTATTGATGGCAGTTTTAGGAGCATGACAGTATGGATCAAACTTGTTGATTATTTAACAAACCTACTGTGTACTAGTCTCCCATAGGCCGACCAAATAGAATGAAGATAGTCGTTCCTTCTGCGTCACCGTGCTACAGCACGATACCCGTTCGTAGCAAGGCCTCTTCGAATTCTGTACCAAACTCAATGTCCATTCATTATCAGAACACGTTGGTACGTAGTAATTACCAGTACAAAGGATACAAGGGAGATCCGTATCCAAGACAAGACCAGTAAAGCAGATGCAATGAACACAAAAGAAAAGGAAACTAATGGAGGAATGTCCTCGAAGCAAAATTTAAAAAGACAAGCATCGAATGGCTCACACAGTGCCATCCGCAGTCACAAGACTACGGGTAAAAAATATTGACGTGAACGAACAGGGCAGATTGATCGATAGCGATTTAGAAAGTGGTAGTAATGTGCACTTTAAATAAAATTGTGCCCGCCACGCTTGGAATCAATCTTTTCGAAGCGCTCGAATTCTTGCCTCTAGTTGGGAGGGGAAAAGATCAACAATGCGGCCAGTTGCCTAGACAAAATAATGGCTTGCCTTCTTGATAACGCACATGTTTGCGAGGAAAAAGCCGATTACAATTGCCATGAAACCATAGACAGTGCTACAAGGGGCGTTAGAGTTCTGCGTGTCAGGAAATACCATGGGAAAGGTACCTAAAAACGTTGTTCAGCGTCGTGTCCGTGAACTTGGTGATGGGCGTGACACAGAAATTGTTCAAAGCGGTTGCGGCGGCCTGATTGGGGCAGGTGGTGCCTCCAAACGCAACCTCATCGGCAGCGTTGAAGTAACCACAGCACTTGAGCTATAAAAAAAATCAAGGTGTCAATAATGGCCACAAGTCACAGGCCGAGCGATACTCACCGAATCTTGGATCAAAATTTTGATCTCGTTGCTCTGTTGCCCAAATATAGTATGGTAATTGCTCCGTTCATGCAGCGTGAAGACCCAGATGTATGTGCCTACGAATAGGATGACGATGCCGTTTGCAAGCAGCGCCCAGTTAAGAATCTTCAAGCCGAGGGTGCCGCGTTGTATAATAACAAGCAGGGACAGAACGAAAGTGGCGAGGAGAATTATACCAAGCACGCTACCGGCTTCAAATGTCACTTTGAGAGGGACGCCATACACAAAGATACAAGCAGCGCTTACAAGTCAAGTCCATGCCACTGAACGTCAAATTTAGTAAGAGGTTGGGCTGGCGCCATATGATGGACAAGGTGAGGGAGAGGGCACCAGCAGCCATAAGACACATGTCAAAGAATGCCCATGCTCCAATCAATTTCTTCGACAGCATGATTTCTTTTATCTGAATGATGGTGTCTGGAGGGAAAGTTGTGTAGAAGAGCGTCGGAAGAGCGAATGAATGGGATGGCTTGTGGGCTGTATCGAATTGATGGAGACGATGCTCTTCCGGAGAGTGAAGAAACGATAGGATAGCACCTGGCTAGAGCTCGATGAAGAAACGACGGTCAACGTCAAGGTTCTGCGCAGCAGAAAAGAACGAAAAAAGAGATGTGAGCGCTCTGGGAACCAGAGATTGCGGCTCTACAGAAATTCGCTTACAATATGTATGTAGTATGCAGATGGCGATGCTACTGAAACGTGAATGATGATCAAAATCTGATGCGGCGATACAGACCCAAGGAAACTCAGGGCAGTGCAATAGGAAAAGAGAGCCGACAGTGTCAAGGAGGAATCATGGAAGGCGATGGGAGTGCAGTGGCCGGCAGTGATATTGGAAGCCCATAAGGAACAGTGAAAAACCAGTTTTTACTTTACTAATAATACAATCTCCATTGTAAGACACAACAGTCTCCATGGACACAAATACACAACAATATTAGGTCTGTCTTTGCACTACACGGTACCTTGGACTATAGTCTCTCCGTAAGCTTTTTCTTAATATCTTAACAGAGTTCTTATGATCTCCATCATTTTTTTGCGCAGCAGGGGCCCATCAGACAGTCATGTCTCCACTCGGTGGTGGATCTCTCTTACTGGCTTGGCAACTAAAAGGAAAGCATGTGCTCGTTGTTGGCGGTGGTGACGTCGCTTCTGGTCGCATCGAATCTGTCCTAGCTGCTGACGCCCGTGTGACGCTTATCAGTCCAAGCAACGGACTGCACCCTCTTACTAAATCCTTCCTCGATGAACCTTACAATATCACCTACCATGACCGCCTTTTCGCAGGCGTAGAAGACCTAGCCGACGTTGACCTGGTTTTGACCGCGATTGATGATGTGGCGCAGTCTCATGTCATCTGTAGCCTATGCAGGGAGCTTAAGATCCCTGTTAACGTGGCTGATATCCCGGAGTCATGCGACTTTTATTTTGGCTCTCAAATTCGTGACGGCCCTCTTCAAATTATGATCTCAACGAATGGAAATAGCCCTAAACTAGCTAATCTCATACGGAAGAAGGTCGAGCAAAGCCTTCCAGAGCATGCTGGAGAAGCAATTACCAAAGTGGGCGAGCTGAGGACAAAGTTGAAGGAAAGAGCACCTGGAGTGGGCGGTGCAATTGGGAAGAGACGGATGCGGTGGATGATCGATGTCTGCACTTCTTGGGAAATGGAGGAGCTTGCTCTATTGGATGATCAGATGATAAGAAAGCTTCTCGATGACGGTTGGGAGAAGAATGCAGTACCATCTCCTGGCGAGCTCGGAGCTAGGTCATCCCATCAGGCGTACAAAACCACACCGAATTTCTTGGCTCCTGTCGTTTTTGCTACGACGTTGAGCTTTGTTGCGGGCGCTGCTTGCGCCGGTCTTTTTTTACTCTCCCGACGAAGGTGATCCTCACGTACCCGCCCTGCCCTGCCTCGACGTAGGCGCTGTCATATTTCATTTTGTTGTGAGTTGCTTGATTCATTCCGGCTTCTATATAATATGCTCACGGTGGTGAAGCATACCATTTCTCATATCTGGGCCTGAACTACGTACGATCGATTATCCACTATCGTTACCGACAGTAGGCAGCAATAGGCGTTATCGTGGTCACCTCGCGGCAACGTTTAGTGTGTTAATAACCCTACTCAATAACAGTTTATTCGGCCAGTTTATTTTTTTGAGCGAGCAGGACGAAATAAACTGGAATAAACTGTCAAGTAAGGTTTGATGTGCATTCGTGTTGCGGAGAGTGAAATAGGAGCCGCCGACCGACTTGCCGAGAGACTGCAAACGAACACTCATGGCGCGTGATAGCTCAGTGCATCGACAACGACGTCGACGTCAGCATCAAAATGCGACTAGGACTCGGAGAAAAATTTGCATAAAGATCTTCGAGATAGCCACCCGGTGTGCTGGTGGTGAGTAGGGATGAAATTGGTGGGAGGGTATAGTTTTGTGAGTGTTGGTGCTGATCTCGATGCTTGCGTGGAGAACGACACATCCCAGTTATCGGGTCAACAGCATAGTTGAGTTCAGCGGGTGCAGAGAGCTGATCGGAAAAATCGGGGGTTTGCAGAAGAGAGATGTGGTCCCATGAAGCAAGCTCGAGTGCGAGCTTCTGTTGTCCGTCTTCGCTCCAGTAGTCACTCATACTCGATGCTGGTATACTTTTGCTCCTCATCAATTGTACTTCGGCTGCTCGGCATCACAATCAGTCTCAGTTCACTCCGACAACTTCGCGTATGAAATAAACTGGCAAATAAACTGCCACTCAATAACGCTGTCAGTTTATTTCCCACCGCTTATCGTTTGAGCAGCAAATAAACTGGTGAAATAAACTGTTATTGAGTAGGGTTAATGCTATGTCAACCTGATGTTGCGCTTCACCGGCTGCTCTGCTGCTGTGTATTTCCATCACGTCTCGTGGTTCAAGTTGTCAACCTGAAATGCAGTGCATAGTGACCTACACATCAGAAAGGTACCTACTACCCAGGCAAGGTTTTTTTCCCTTTCAGTGATAAGGCTAAGGCGACTGAACGGTCGGTCGGTCGTACAGACGACGTATCCCTTAGGCGCTCCATCATTATTTTGAGCAATTTTTTTGAGCAAGAATTATATTTCCCGTCAACTTTGATCGTGTACATATTTCGCTTCCGCAACCAGTGATTCTGGATTTGTTCTGGATAGAACAACTCTCCATCACAGTCCATTACTCATTTCAACGGTGCTTACCACGTCGCCCCGCTAAATATCCAAATCATATCCGACATATTAGGTCTGTCTTTTACTAGACAATGTCTACGTAACAGGACTGAAATTGATCCGAACGGATGCACCGAGTGCCCAAAGCAGTTCCTACTTCTGTGGTAAATATTAATATTATGCTGAATATGTTCCGGATTGGATGATTTGCCTGAAGACCGCGGATGCAACTGATGGCACTGCAACGTTACTGTTGCGCTCAAGCGGCAGCGGGCAGTTGCCAGAAGGCCAAAGCAGGCACACTCCCAGGCGTACCGCCTTGATAGGATCACTCCGCAAGGAAGTGGACTGTTTCAACGGCGATAAAGCGGAGTAAGACTGAGAACTGAGGGAATGACGATATTAGTGATGATTGGTTATTCATCATCGGAGGATGAAGCTAGGGCTTGGCGGATCTGCGGTCTACTAGAAAATGGGTAATGTACAATGGGGTTTTTGGGTGCCATGTATTATAGGTTTTATCACTTGCGGGCATGTCTGCAGGGTAGTGGGGCTGCCTGTTCGACCAAACTGTCAATTGTCCGATGGAAGGGATTATGCTTCACGATGAATCTCGGGAATTTGTGGGGACTATATCACCTGTCACTGTTCGTCCGTAGTGTGTCAGGAGCCCAGTAGCAGAACCGATCCCAGCACCACCAAGCACCACTGTTGCAGAGCATCATGCATTAGTACATTACTTGTGAAATATTTCACTCACAGTTCACCGTGCTCGCTCTGTTCCAGAGGATTGCCGGTGTCAGAACCGCACACAATATTGCGCCGATAGTAGAGTGGTCGTCGGCACGTAATGAGGCAGTCTGGAAAGCAACCTCAGCTTCTGGTAATAGTCAAAATTAATTGACTGTACGTCGTAGGCGCGTTGCATCCGCCGGTTCCTCACAGAGGCTTCACTGGCCCGGGACGAGCGGATATACTCGAACGCGCCCCCTCCTACACATCCTAGAAAGTGAAATCAACAGATGAGTAAAAGGTGATATCATGCTTGCATACCTACTGCACCGCCTACCCATGTCGCACGAAGGAAGCGGTTGACGGTGAAGTGAGCTTTGCCTTTTCGCATGAGCACGAAAGCAACGTATGCTGGTGGAGTGAGTAGAGAAAATAGTTCGTATCCTTTGGTCATTCCTCGTCGCACGAGAATCTCCATATCCGCGGCGTGAACCGCTGAAAATCTTTCTGAACTCATTTCCGAAGCGGTCAGAAGATGTTGCTCGTCGTGGCACACGATGAGCAGGGTTTTGTGACAGTGTCACGTGTCATGCACGGACCATGGATGATTAAGCTTCGCCTACGGGTCTTCTTTCTTGACCTTGACCCTTACTTGCTCTGCTTATGACCTTGCACTAGCAATGTCAGCCTCACCATTTCCTGAGCCTTTGGACGCACCGATGCACGACTTTGCGACAGAACTCGATGTTCCAATGAACCCAGCAGTCTCGCAAGATTTTTTTATAGAGCTGTCCATGGACCACGATGGTCATCACACGACTTATAACCAGGTGGATGTTGAGGTCGACATGGAGACCTACTATGATGGCAATGCAGAGTATGAGATGGCGGATGAGACGGAGGAGTTCAACGAAAGTCATTATCACCATGAGCCACTTGACGTGGAAGTCTACGACGCTTCTGACGCCCACTCACCTCAGCCCATACCTGATTCACAGCCGTTAACGTCTCTGGCAGCTAATCCGGAGATATCATTACTTTCGTCCCCCGTCCCTTTCCCCGATTCTTTCACCCCCCAGCTAGCCACCATTCCTATTGAACACGACGCATCTACTACAGATCGCCCGGTGGAAAATGATCCTCCTGTAGCTGAAGAACCAGATTTTACTTCTCAGCAAGAGGATGCCCCTCTTTCTTTAACAATTGAGCAAGTACTGCAATCGGATCCCCTTCATCCCACCACTGCTGCCGATCCAACGGCGGCAACGTTGAATGCGGCTTCTGTGGCTTTGGCGGATCCATATGGTGTAGAAAAATACGCAGATCCTCTGGTTTCGGAAACAACTGATGAATCAGGGTTGTCTGTTCACCCTACAGAAGCAGAACCCACATTGCAATCACAGGTTGAGGAGCATTCTGAGACGCTCCACCCCTCAGATGTCCCATCTGATGACAGCGTGCAGCTTCAGAGTGACAGCCACCCGGAGGTCCTCCACGAAGAGGCAGACAGTGCTAATGATCCACACGAGATTTCTGAAGGCGTCTACATTGACCCGCCACCTGCTGTTTTTGTGTCCATCGGCTCCTCTGAAGTACCAGAATACTGTCTATTCAACCAGCCCCCAGCGGAACGCGGGTCCCGAAGTCCGTCCGCGGGAGCTAGCAACGAACAGGCGTATTCGCTACTCCTGCAAAATCGGCCAACACTGTACTATGAGCCCCTCAGTTGCGTATTTGAAGCACTTCGGCAGGATGAGGTCATTTCCAAAATTCCCGACTCTCCCGAGGGAGAGTTAATGATCGACGCGTACGATCTCCAGCTCTCTATATTCGAGGTAGGCATGTTTTTTTTTTGGCAGGATAGGCGCTCATTTTCTGTGTAGGATAATCTTTATGCACAAGAAATCAGTTTGCACGACCTGAATGTGTTGCACGATGGCTCTGACTTTGCGGGACCTCTGCGCATCCATTTGCGTTCGACGATACCTAGGTTTATTTTACGTTACCGTTTACTTCAAGAACAGATTTCTCGGCTTGACTTGGCTGCAGGCGTCGGTGAAGGTGCTCCAGAAGAAGGTTTGTGTTTCCTCTTCAGCAATGTCCAAATCGTCATTAAACGCAGCTGTAGGCTACGCCCCTGCAGACCACCATTCTGCTGTACAAGAAGCAGATCATCACGAAGAAGCCCAACACGAAGCATTTATCCCTGATGACCAGAGGGATCTCGAGGGAACAGAAGGCGTTGACCAGCCAGAAGTTCCTCCAGACCAGTTTCAGGGTGATGAGTCCGCTGCAACAGACGTGGCTCCTATCCCGCAGGCTGTTGTGGATGCAACATATCACGACGTTGGTGGCGAAGTTGCACAGGCATTCGAAGACGAGGAGGATTATGAAGGCACGAACGTCGGCCTAGAGTACCAGGAAGAGGGCGAGGGCGATCTTGACGCCACTGCTGTGCATGAGACAGCGGATACGGATGCTGCTGCGACTCCATCCAACGCCAATTTGCAGTTCGGAGAGGAGGAGACTGAGTACCAGGATTACGTACAGCCAGAAGAGTATGGCGAACGCTATGAAGACTTCCCCGAAGAGGACGGCACTCACACAGAATTTGGATATGATCAAACGGTGGGTTATGAAGAAAGCGGAACGGAGGCTGCGTCATCAGCAGTAGACGAATCACAAACAGTTTTACCTGAATCCCACCTCCATGAAGAGATAACACCAGTACCACCGGCACAACAGGTTGACTCTGAGTCTGTTCAGAGATCGGAACCAGCAGACGGCACTTCAAATGGTGAGCAATGTCATTTATTGAATATCGACCATATTCTCACCTTGCGTTAGAACGAGGAGATTGTTTACCATCACACGAAACTTTCGAGAAGGAGAAGACCAGCCATCGCACTGACAAAGGTCTGTCCGAGTATCTCGCCACTCGATACATATACTGATAGTGATGCCGGTTAGATCTTATTGTAGATCATGAAACAGATCAACCCGAATCATCAACGCAGCTCCCAACAGATGAGTCGGATTCTAATTTTCTCGCAATGCTTGAACGCGAGGCTGGTAAGGCGGCTGGTGTTCTTCGTGTAGGACTGCACTGACCCTTTACCCAGATTTTGAGCTAGATCATTCTTCCTCCAACACCAATGCTATTCCCACACAAGAGGGTGGAGAGCCTTTGCCAGCATTGAACGGGGAGTGGGATGATTGGGATGATGAATTAGACGGCGATGGCGAAGCTGATGACGAGTGGCTGGACCGCGGCGATGCCGTGTCCAATGAAAGCTCTGTGACTCTGTCAAGTAACTCATCTGCAAAGCGCCGTCACGACGAGGTCGAACCTGAAGAGGGTGAACTTGACGCTGGCACACCTCAAAGTTCACCTGGTATGTTTCAGTTGTGTTCTACATTTACTTTGCTAACCACAGTATATTGAAGAAAAACGTCATCGCATGTACTGAGACGGTGGCGGCACCTCACCATATCCGCTCTCTTCGCCGCCACCGTTTCTCTGCGCCCCTACACAGCTGCCACCTGCCACCTTCCTCGCCTGCACACGGCAGGTCTAACTTATCATTCATTCTCATGGCACTGGATCAACTCGCATGCACGCACCCCAAAAACATCAAGATTACGACCATAGGCTAAGTACCGTTTATCAGGTTTCTTTATGTCCTCTGTCCCTTCAGTTCACCCCCATTTTCATCGCATTGTCTTGTGACTCACCTTTACAGCAACATTCGGTCGTGCTACCGGCTTGGAGTGAGGTGGGAGATGGCATTGAGGGAAGGCATCATTTCGCAGAAACTCGGACTGGACATGTGTGGTTACATTCTTGATCTGTTTTACCGTCACTGAGCCTAATGACTGCATCCCATTTCCTCCGAGCTTCTGTACGAGTAACCACCTCATCTCATGACATGATAGGGTTGATAGTACACCAGTATAATCCTTTGCAATCATCGTCGAAAGCGACATCTGTACATACACCAAACGTCGGCTCGGAGATTCCCGGAGCGGTATTGAAAGAGATTGTTAGAATCATTCACACGGCATACTAATGACCTTGTAAGCAAGGCACACTGGTGATATTTTCGACCAGAGCACGATCCCCGTCCTTAGAACATCGTCATTTTTGCCACTTTGAAGTGAGCCCAGGTGACGGCCTTCGAATCATAATGAATGACCTGCAAAACACAACTAGAATATGGCACAAGCAAAGTGTGACCATTCTTTTCACATTTTCATTTCGTGATAACCTCTAACTTTCTGTAGGTAGCAGCAGCCTACATTCAGAATTCGCCAAACGCACACCTCCTGCAGGAAACTGAGAAAATCTAGTTGCCATTCCTAATCAGAAGGTAATCAAGGTATCCTCGACTCAATGGTGAGCCTCTGCTTGCTTCACGTCTGCCTCCAAGAATCCGAGGAATGCATCTGCACCCTTGCCCACATCTTCTCCTGCATGTGCACTCGAACTCACAACCTCTACATCGGCTTTTGTGGGCTCAGTCGCGTCATACGCGGTCAATTCAGCCGCAAGGTCGGCGGGAAGAGTGGGTGGTTTCGGAACGGCGGGTAGTGAGAAAACCTTGACAGCCCCGACGTGTGCGTCTTTTACCTAGATGATATGTGGGTCAGTGGCCGGAATGAGTTGAGCCAGGTGATGCTGAAAACAAAATACGAACTGGAGCGGGGGGTTTGTAAGCTTTTAGCTCCTGGACATAGAGGTCCTGGACAAGGTCTGTGGAAAGGCTTCGTCGATACATCGTCTCATGTGCGTCGGCGAGATGCGGAACAAACCTTTACGAGCGACGGACGTCGTAGAGAACGTCCGTGCAGAGCGGGCCTGTCAATGAACAAATAAATGAGCTCGATGTCATGAAAAGATTGAAGAGCTAATGGCTAACCACTTGTCTGAGGAATTTCATGGACGACATGGCTGGAAAAGAGGATGCAGTGTGACGTTACGCGGTGTTGCGGCCTGTTGTTTGGGAGTCACGTGCTAAGTCAATTGCGTTCGTCTCCGGCACTTGCTTGGATCCTCTAGTGAAAACGATTCACACACGATGCTCACTGTTATTACTCGCCGTGCCCCAGCAATTCCCCTCACTCGTCTCGCTCTCTCAAGGGGTTATACCTCAAGTGTCAAGGAGGGCAGCGTTGCCCAGAGCAAGGGGATTCTCGTGAGTGTGGTGTCCTGCAACGCAAGGGACGTGGCTCTAACCGTGTCTAACTACAGAAAAAAGGAGAAGGCTCATGAAGGTACATCCACATCTGAGAAACTCAGTGATATATTCACGCTCAATTTCAGACGAGTACGCTCGTAAGCACGAGGCGGAGCTGCTGCGCAAGCTGAAAGCTGAGGTGGGTTCCATAAGAATTTCAATTCTTCCTCGCGCTGACACAGTTGGTGTAGATTGAGGCGAAGAAAGAGGAACTCGTACGTTACCAGTATCCCCGTCCCTTTTATGATCCTTCTGACTTTGAATACCAGGCCAAGCTTCAGGAGAAGCATGACGAGGTCAACTCCAAGCAGTAAATTGCTTAGTGTGATTATGTGAATGGATTGTAAATTCTTCAGTGCAATGCCTGTGTGCATTCTCATCTCCTGGTCACGTACTGTTGTTTTCTCTGATCGTCTAGCTATGGTACTAGTACCGTTCAACTTTGTTCTGGATGGACAACTATATAGTGTCGCTCATTCCCAACTTATCAGTCAACTACGCCAGGCATCCCCGAAAACATCACGATAGCGAAGCAGGTGCCTTGATTTCAGTTCTCGTGAAACTTTGCTCTCGTTCGTACACGTCTGTGAGGTATATCACAGCCACAATTTCCTTTTATATTTTCTACCGTGCCCAGCTCAATCCGATTCCAAATGTTGCTTTGCAATACTGCAGCCAACCCTTTGTTCCATGACCAAGAAGCGGACTGGTAAGCAGGAACAACTGCCTTAGCCTGGTAATCTGTACCATATCTACGAGCTAGAGGACATGGATAGGATGGTTGTTCACAAAATCAAAAATTACACTACTGCGTCCTTCGACTCCACCGCAGCCCTTCCCTCCAGCCAGCCCTGCCCCCAACTCTGCTGCCGAGCTGAAACAAATACGTTTAACATCTTATTTACTGCCTCCCAATTTGCCTCCCTTTCCTGTAGCAGCCCAAATGATTTCTTGGGAATGCAATGATCTATGTGTGTTGCATTGGGAAATAGAAAGGATAGTACTGCTGTGACCTTCACAGGATCATCAATGCAAGATGCACCGACAAGAAACTCTGTGATTTTTGGACTGACTGCGTCGACCGGGGCCATATATATGGTGTCACTTTTGAAAGTGGCATCGAAGAAAATTCCGAGAGAGGACAACTGACGGCAGTGCATTAAGAGAGATGTGACTCCCTCAAAAGTTAGCACCGGAATAAAGGACCAGTGTCTCTGGTGACCCAGATAGAGTTTCTGTAGGCGTGGACAAGACAGGGCCATCTCTTTGAGGAAAGTATCATCGATAAACGTGAATGCACACCCAAGGTCTAAGTGGTCGAGACCCTTCAGTGACAGGAGCGGATGCAACATGCGAGTGTCGAGCACAATCAACCTATTGCTTGCCTCCTCGTCTGATCTTGTTGTCACAACCAACCTCAGCTCTAGAAGCTCCTCGGGATGCATGAGGCATGATTTTAGGCGCGAGAAGAAATCTTTGGGGAATTTTTCATCGTAGTGTTGGCAGACAAGGCGCAGACGTGGAGTCGAGAAATGGACATTTGGGGTGAATGCGTGAAAGAGTGAGGGTGAAGGTGTTGAGATCGTCATCGCGGCACGGGGAGAGCAAAGTTCCAACACCGGGGATTTAAGATCTGAAACAGAGAAACGCAACTCTTGAAGGGTTTCCAAAGAGCTGGCGTGCGTCAAAGCCTGTTCGTTCAAAGGGCCAGCCAGCAACACTTGAAGCTTCTTCCAGCCCACGACTGCTTCGCTGACTGCTTGCATCGACGAATCTTCCGCGTCAATGCATAAGAATTTCTTAAGCAAAGGGCACAATGGTGCAAGCGATGCAACAACGGCACACTTGCGGACACTCCACGAGGTGGGTGACAGCCTGAGGGTCGTTAAATTGGGCCCACAGAAACAACGCAAGAAAGGGAAGAAGTTTTCACAGTTAGACAGCCAACTCAACCCTGCAAGGTTCGGAAGGAGGGGTCCCAGAAGAGGATGACAGCTTAGAAGTTGCATGGTGGTGATGTCCCATGTATCCAATCGATGTGAGATTGTGAGCGTGTGGACGCGCCCTGTATAACGCGCGAGAATGCGCCAGTCCGCATCGTACAATGCACGATCCCATATCTAGCGTGGCCCGGGGATCTGAGTAATGGGAAGGGGGGAAATTATGATGGCTTACTCACTGCTTTCTTACTGCCATCCCGTCTCCCACCGGAACAGAGGACGAGTGCATCCAACGAGTGGAGCTGAGCCCATAGGACATCCAGGGCAGGGTCTCTAAACGCTTGACACGTTCTTGCTAAACCGGCAACCGTAACACGACCGTCTTTATCCTCTTCTGTGCGGAAGGGATCATAGACATATTCGAAAATAAGCTGCACAACTTCCGGGATCCAGCGGTGCGTCCGAGTGAGAGTCGAATGGATAATTGGTAATACTGACTTCAAGTTACAGTGTGTCCAGCGCTGCTGTATTTTCGCGGCTGCAACAAAACGAATAAGTCGAAGGACAGTTCACTGCTACTGACTTACGGACAGATGAGTTTGCAGACAGAAAGGCTGCACGAAGTTCCGCCGTAGAATCATAGTAAAATCTGGTTATGACGCATAATGCCCCTATACTGTTACATAATGGCGTCGTAGGCGCCCACCCAAACAGAGTGCGAAACGCTCCACTCGGCCTGCTGCCTGTGCCGAATGCACAACGGACTAAGATCAGTCTTCAAGCTTCAAGGGTGGGAGCAGGACCGTTACTGGACATAATTATCCCCAAATTATTTAATTACTTTATTTATTATGACTTTATTTATTTTCCCTTGCTAAGTGCTAATACTTACACCGATATATAGTTTTGTTCTTAATCTTTAGTACTTCGTCCCCAGTCATGGCGGATGCAGATACTTCCCGCCTCTGTATTCAGATTGTCCAGTCACACTTCGGTCCATTAACGGCGGTGAGTATTCACCAATACCAAAAGTTTATTCTTGAATGCTTTATCAGAATGTCGCATCTGCACTACTGACGCGGGGAAGACTTTCCCTCGTCCAACTCATTCGTTACACGAGGATGAAACCGCGCATAGTTCGCGCAGCAATCCTGGTTCTAGTGCAACAGAATATCTTATGGCATTCTAAAACCGAAGAGGAGGGTGACATGTTGGAGTTTAATACACTGGAGTGTCTTATGCGTCTTAGATTTGGTCGTTTCGTGTGGCAGGCGGAGCAGTTGTTTGGACCTTCTGTGCGGACCCTCTTTCCCCCCTTTTCCTTATCAAACTCATTCATGATTTGGTGCATCAGGGCGCAGAAATTGTGCAGCTAATACTAGACCACGGAAAACTTCAGCCGCCAGACATCATTTCACAGCTGTCATTTTACAACCCAAAAAGTTTGAAGCCTTCTTCCCATATTTGACCATTGCTAATGGCAACTTAGGCTCAAGCCTATACTCGCAAACATTGTACAAGCTTGTGTCCGGCGCATATCTCAAGCCATCCACATTACTCTCACATCACTCACCCAGAGACAAACGTATCAAGTATGAAGCAGAAGAGAAAGCTAAGATAAGTGGTTTCCCGACAGCGAAGGAATTGCGAGAGGCGCAAGAGACTGCGGAGGCGCGGTTGAAACGGGAGGAGGAAGAAGCAGAGAGTGTAGGTTTGGTGAGTTGTCACGTCACTACAGGTCCTGACATCCGTGAAACAAACGCAGAACCATAGAAGCGGAAGCGAAAAGATCAGATCAGCCAGCGGTCGACCAAGGTGAGGGACTTCAACTATTATTGTTCGGGGTGGTCTCTGAACGACTCATAGCGAAAAGTGTCAGAAGAGGACACGGTTGACGTGAGTTCAACGATCAGCGTAGTGGTTAGCTGCTTCATGTCAAATATCTAGGATGAGGTCTACTTTCGGGTAAATTTCGACAAATTTAATACCTATATCCGTAACGAGGTTGGTCCCGTGAATACTTGTTTCCGTTCTTGACTCCATTTTGATGTCATTTGCTAGCTCGTCGAGATGGCTGCAGGAGAGCGTTTCAATCGAAGTGCCGCTCTTGTCATGCGAGCCACGCTAAAAGCGACTGAAGCCAAACAGACAAGTATATCTGATCCAAGATCAGGTAGGATACAATACAGCATCCATTTTTCAACCAACCTCTTATAATGAAATAGATCCTACCTCAACAGCTGCGATTGCCATGCTTATTTCCGACGACGACAACCTTTCAATAGGTCTTGTCACGTCAACAAAAAAAGCGTCTAGTGCTTCACTAGTCAAGGATTATCTCGGTCTAATGTCTGCCGTAGACAATCCAACACCGGTTGGCAAAGCGTCATCGTTCATAAATCTAAGTGACAACAAGGTATACGTTGAGTTTGAGATAATTAGCAGACGCCTTCGAAGGCGCGTGCTGGAGGCAGTGGCTCGGGAACGACACGGGGACGACGGCGTGAGGATAGTGCGCTTACTGCTCGATGTTGGAAAGATGGATGAGAAGCAGGTGCTTCGCTCATCAGCCCCCGAATGACGTGTTTCTTATGTCCAACAGATAGCGAAAGTGGCCATGATGCCAAATAACGCTGTTCGGCCACTGCTTGCGGCGCTCTCATCCGACTTTCTGATTTCAACTCAAGAGGTACCCAGAAGCGCTGACCGTAATCCCACCCGAACATTTTATCTATGGTACTTGATGTTCCTTCATTGTCAGGATCATTGACGTATGCCGATACACAGGCACGTTGATCTACACAAGGCATACTCGGCGCTCTTGGGACACTTGTACAAGACGCTGTATAACGTAGGCGTGCGCCGACAGGCAGAACAAGAGGAGCCAACTGTGAAAGCCGTGCTAGCAAAGCGGGAGCGGACGGACGTTGCTCAAGATGAAAACCTTTTGTCGCGGATGGAGCGGGACGTGCTCAAGGAGTGGGAGACGAAGCGAGAGAAACTCACTGTACTGGAGATGAGGGTGGAAGAAGCCGTATTTATTCTTAGGGATCTCGACAAGGTTGGAAGCAAGGAGGACATTTGAATAAAAAGATATTCCATAAACACCATGGCGGGTATGATATATGATACATCGTACACGGAATAGGTGTTGTATATTTTCAAGCTGTAGAATTGTGATTGTGCCTGTTCGGTCGGTCTCGTGCTCTATTCAATGTTCTCCACGATTGACTTGAGAATTGATGTGGGATTCCGGGAGGAAAATGAAGTGTAGAAGTTTTGATGTCTTTCCGAGTCAGCATACGATGTGGTTCCAGTCTCACAAATTGACCATGGTTGATAGAGTTGTATGTAAAGATAAACATTTCTAATGTTACGTGGACCATAAAGAGGGCGATGGTGACCGCGTCCGTATTCTTCCCGTTCGTAGCAAACCAATTTTACATCGAATGGAAAGAATACTCATGCAAGGACTTGGAAATTCGTCTTTGATGAGAATATAACCAAAGTCAACTTGGTATCCTAGAAAACGTGTCCTGCATTTCTTGTGGACGCTCTAGGAGAGCGACGCATGCTGCGCTTGGTTTATATCCTTGAATATCCCGCGTGAGGATAATCACTTGATGCGTGAGTCCCTGATTACCGATTTGACGGTGTGGTTCCTCTTGCCCTTCGAGACGGCGGATGTTGGTCTTTCACCATCATCCGCAGGTGGTGAAAGCTAGCGGCGACGAAAGTCTGAGCGACGTCTCTTTTTTTGTGCGTCTTGTAAGCCGTCTCGTGCGGTCCTGCAGCCTTGCCTTTACCCTTGTGAGCGCTCATGAAGCTATGTCATTTCCAAGCCTCTGCCAGGCTCGGGTGAAGGGACTTCGCTCGCTGAAGCAACTGGTACAGCTAGATTTAGCTACCTGAGATGCTGTGCGAGCGTAGGTGGACGAAGGGACGGAGTAGTACTAGGCGGTGTGGATGGTTTGAGGAGGGAACTATTTTCCTCCAGCGAAGCTTCCGCGGTTGCACAGTAATTTGGAAGCTCGTCGTCTCCGCCGTGAGTTGAAGGTTGAAGGTTGAACGCACTGCAGTATTCCAGTAGCGCTGCCGGGCACAGATGAAGGCCGTTCTGAAATTCCGAGTATAGTCTGCTCATTGATGTCTCGCCCGGGCGTACGTGTACGCGGTGGTGTACAGGGTTGGGACCTTGTGACTGTGTTTCAATTAAATTCGACGCTTCGTTCAGATGCAAGGTGGGGCCTACCGACGATCACATCATCTGGAGGAACTCTCTCTTGGGCAGGCGACAGGCCTGTTTGAGGTCGCTCTACAAGTAAATGAAGCATATGAGAAAACGCATCAAGCTGTATAGGTACAACCTCCTGGTGTTTCTACTTCCGTCAGCAAAACCGCTTAAACCTGACGAGGCCTTGGAGGGCCCAACAAGACTATACACGGTCCCATTAGACCTTGCGAACATTGGAAGGCCTGCGATCCCTTGTGAGGAAGTATCCCTCTCCTGCATGGCCTTGGGAGAGTGTCTAGGATGGCTTTCCTAGGATTTGCGAGACACGTTGACTTTGCAAGGCTGCTGAGGCTGTCGCCGCTTGCAAGGCAATATTAGTTCTTACTAGATCACTCGAGGTTTGGATACATTTAGTATCAAATCACATCAGTAATAAGAAGTCCGTGCAGTAGCAAAGTCCAGCACGTCTATGGAAGTAACAAGCAGTGATGCGAGAAACAGAATGAAAGTAAACAAGAAAGTACGCGATCCTAGTAACCATCAGCCTTCTTTCGACCGGAGGATCTTCGAGGGGCGTTAGGTGCAAGGCTTGTATCTTCAGTTGTCGAGACAACTTCCAAAGCTCGTGGCGGAGAGCCATCAGCCAGATAGCCCAGATCGGCAATGGACAACGGAGACTCGGTAGAGCGCCAATACGGAGGCGCCGCCAGACACCGCTACTTATTCCGAGTCACAACAGAAGAATAAAAGTCTTAAGGCATGCCCGAGGCTCGTCCGCTTACTCGGTTACACGAGCACCAGAAACATATGGTAGTAACTAGAAGCCGTTTGAGTTAGTCAGTCACTAGAGTATCAGAACGTACTGCTGCCTACAAGAATCGCCCGCAGCGTTCGGGATCGAGTTAAATATGGTAGGTACATTAGGTAAGGCAAGCGCCCGCTGCCCTAAAGGCTAAGCATCTACCGCAGTTCGGTCTGTTAGATTGAGATCATTGATCAAGGGCACAAATAAATTTGTCAAAACCGTATCTTGTTTTTTACCACCACAGATATCTAGCCAACTCCACTGCCCAAGGACGAGCATAAAGGCAGGGAACAATGACTGGCGCAGATTATCCAGCCCACAGAATGAGGTGTTGGAATGTTCGGGACATTCACTGTAGCAGTCCATAACCACATCATCAGCACCAAAAGCCTCGAATTACATGTGGGTTAGCAATTTGGTGAATAACGCCGAAATAGAAAACATAAACTTATACGAGTTCAGTGGAATCTGGAGCACCTCCGCTGTGGTGCCTCTTGAACGTGCTGAAATATACTTCATATGAAAAATTGACGGTCCTTTTGGTGGGGTTTGCAGTCCTGGATGTACAGTCCTGAGATGGGCGAAAAGATGTACATATTCATGAAGTAGGCCCCTATCTACAGTGTACACTCAATAAACGTCTGAATGGAGGAGTCATGTGCCAAGAAGGTTATGAAACCAAACTCATGTAACGGATACTGGTCGACAGCTTGGAGGACAACATCTACCTGTTGATAATCTCCAGGCCAGCTAAAATCAAGAAGACAAAGACAAGACAAACCGAGACGAGTGTGGATGACAGTGATGGTAATAAATACACTGATAAACACAGTTACTGGGCTAATTTGCAGTATAGAAAGCCAACTTCAATCGCTTCTGAGACCCACAACCCCGAGCTTCTGACCTCATGCTAGCGGCGATAGTTATTTAAAAGAGTCGAGATTCAAGGGCCAAACTAAAGACTTACCTTGATCGAGATTAAGCATCTGTAATTGAACAGGGTAAATAGAACGTTCGAAAACAAGGCTAGCACTAGAGAATTACCTTCAGCATCAGGGGACTCGTACCTCCAGGAAAGGGTATCTAATTAGACAGTGTCACTCAGATACTACTGCGGGCACGTTAGAATTCAACCTACAGAATGAGATGATACGAGCTGGATGCATATCTAGTCAGAAGGTGCGAATACTACAAGACACGTCGAAACATACATTTGAGGTTCTGCTCCACGCTGTCGTCGCCGACGGGCGCTGCTACTGTCATCTGTACCAAAGCGATGGCAAAAAAAGCAAAAGGCAAACTGAGCTTCATGGTGGCTATATAGGTAAGAGTGTCTGGTGGGGTGTTGGACTGAATGATCGATGCAGGGAGTGGAGCCTTTGGGGAGCAGACACAGTTCACAGACAGACTCTTCGTGTCTTGTCATATTAGATCAGATCAGATCTATATATTGTTTCGTTTCCCGTATCTTGAGGCTGGTGACTCACCGCGTGTGCATAATATGATACAATGACCAGAGAGGTATGGAGTGACAGCTGGAATGCAATTTCATCATGATGATTGAGTGGACTATATTTCATACAGACAGAAATTAAGTGATGAGTGACCTGTTACCGTTCCGAAATGCTTCGGCTCCCACATCCAGCCAAGAACAAGGTACGTGCAATCATCTGCGGCAGTGAGACCTGCTAGGGCATCGTTGGCGGACGCCACAGAAGTGACATGTTTCCCGAGTAGTTTCATGCGTTCCGCAGTCTCACGGGCATCCTGAAGTTCAGCATCCACCGATTGGGAACCAGGACCTTCCTCCACGTCAGAAGGAGCGTCGAGAACCTTTGCAACCACCAGTTCCGCAGCTTCACGGGCATTGCAAATATCAGCATCAGCTGATTGAGGATCAGAAGTTTCCTCCACATCAGGAGGGACAGCCTGAACCTGCGCGACCACCAGGATTTAGAGAACAAAAGCAGATTATTGGACGGAAGTACCTTCGAAGTAGGTTCTCCGGATGGGCCTTGGTTCACGCAGCCACTAGGATTCTCAGACGTGGTGGGATGCTTGCTGTCAGAAGGATGCAGATGCGACAGATCCTTGGCGTATCTCAGATAAGTGAGAGACTGCAACAACAGTTTAAGCACTACCTCGGTGTTCCTCTACATGATATTAAGTATAGTTAAATCTCCTGGAAGGAAAAACACACACACACACACACACATGTCCTGTGTATAAAGGACATCAACTACTGCTGAGCGACGCTCATGTGACTCAATCCCTGCATCAGTTGGTCTGCGCTGTGTCTCAAAGAGAAGGTCCCGGACCCGGTGGAAAGGGTGGAGTTGGGATGGCGTATTATGGGCATCAGAATGGGTGCGACGGAAAAACGAGGACACGCGACCAAGAAGAGCATTGCCATGTGGTGATGCGCTAAGGTGGCGACGTGGGAGCTGAGATGGAGGTCAGAAAATACTTGATTTGATACTGACAATGTACGTGATCGAAGAAACCTGGGGGCACACGACGGGCGTTTCTCGCAGTATGTCTTGAAGAAGGATTTGCTGTGCTGGAGCAGCTGCTCGACATCATAAACAGAATATGGCCCTGCGGGATAGATAACGATCGTGGCATTTGACAGGTTTTGAGCACCGGCTCCAAATTTGACGCGCAATGACGTATTTTGAAAGCGGTATAGGTACGAGTTGGACTCACGTGCAGCTGTCGAGGAAAGCGCAGATGATTACAAGAAATGGTCTGGGCCTGGCGCCTATGGACAGTGCCAGGAGGCAGGTGAATGTAGTGAAGTAGCTTAAAACGCAGTCCTCTGCGGCTTAGAGGAAGACTCCAGCAACCGCTCCAGCAAGTCAACGCTATTGACCTCCAGTCAGATGTTGCAGTACATTTTTAGCACCACACCCTCCGAGAGCTTAAAGATCATGAGAGCGGCATAAACGCAGTCGCGGTTATACTTGATAGACAATGTATGGTGACCGGCTCGTGGGACAAGACGCCTCGTCTGTAGGACTTAGAGACAGGTGTTGTTCTGAAGATGGAGGGGTACTCCAGTGAGGCGTATGGATTGGCAGTATCACGAGACGGAGCATTGATAGCAAGCGGTAATGCGAGCGCAGAGGTTATCACCTGGCACGGAGAAACTGGGGAGCCTCTCACCAAACCCATCGAAGCCAAGTGTAGAAGACATGTAGCATATGGCCAGTCTGTGTGAAGTCTGCGCAGACTTGATGCAGACCCACAGACCATCAGTCTGTCTCGGCGTCATCCGGGCGTTTCCGGTGAGTCTGTCAAGGTCCCGGGGGTAAAACGATTTTCAAACTCCGCGCAACTGAGTGCATGTCTTGCACCACCTTCAAGTTCGCCGGCCGTTTTTCTTTTTACAAAGAAAGAAGGCAACCCCTGGGGTGGGCACCTCTGTCTCCGGAGGTCATGACAAGGCTTAGCTTTTCAAGGGGTAGACGCCACAAGTCATTACCGGGGGCGCGTTTGTCGATATATTCCGTGGACTTCATCTTCCCATGTTGCAGAAATTGACTGTGGTGGGGAAACTAGCCATACTAGCAGTTGAGAGTATTATTGGGGGGGGGGGGGGGCTTGGAGTTGCTGCATCTTGCGACATGCGAGTGATCGACCTTCAGACGCACGCACAGTTCGAACGAAATTGATGTGGATGTCGTTAAGGAGCTGATCTCGGTAGTGCTGGAGGTTGTTGTCTTGTAGTATGCAGGGAACTGGCCACTCCATAAATTGGAACTGTGGGAATTGGAACTACCAGTTCGTCGTGTTGTGTTTCATTACTCGAAGTTAACGCGTCAAATACAGCAAAGTTGATGGCGATTCAACAGGTGGAAGGAGTGATATGTGAGCCTGAAAGGCTATCGCAAAGTTTTTATCACAGATGGCAATTGCAGATTCGCAACTAGTGTCACAAACTTCTCGCACCCAAGTGCTGGTAAGTACTATCGCCACTATCCTGCCAGCGGAGGTGGCTTCGTGGCTTCGTTCGGTGAAAGGCGGGAATGCATCTGCCAACGACGAACTCTTTACCACAATATGACCATGCGCCGTTGAACTCTAAGAATACCTTTGCACCGACCCGAAAGAACATGCGTGTGACCGCTCAACACGGACTTGCATAAGGAGACGTCACCCACACAACGCGGTCACAAGCGCTAGTAATAGCCACATATCAAAGAGTATTAACACCTAGGTACGAGTGCCTAGTGCTGAAGTGCGCAAACCGGCAGATACAAGGCAAAATTATCAACGTGTATCAAACATCGTGGGGGAGGACTTCGCCATGGCCTGAAGAGCTCCATTGAGAACACCAACTTGTGTGCGAATTGAAACATGGGTGCCGAAGCAACAAGGAGGAATGAGCGTGACAACGAAGGTGTCGAAGCGTACACATTAGGGTGCAAAGAGGAGTAGAGGAGATAGTGACAGTGAAGGTCCAGCCGGGGATAGAAACAGCATCAAGGTAATGGTCCGTAAAATTTATATCATGCAAAACAACTGTACACGAAACAGGTGTCAAAAGCGCAAAACAGGCACAAGGTGGGATACGGAACAGGTGCATGACATAATGCGAAACAGGCATCAAAAAGCGCAAAAGTGGCACTAAACAGGTGTCGAAGGTGCAAAAGGCGCACAGAGATGCATCGACCCACCGAAACACGGTGATGCAAACTCCAAGCAGAGGGAGGCATCGACCCGCACTATGCGGTCACGCACAACCCAACAGAAAAGAGGCGTCGACCCTCACCGAGCGGTCACACGCAGTCATGCACAACCAACCGAAGTGAGAGGCATCGACCCGCCGTCGCGGTCATGCGCACCCAAACAGAAGATAGGCGTCGACCCGCCGTCGCGGTCACGCACACTCCAGACGGAGAGAGGCATCGGCCCGCCGAAACGCGGTCATGCGTATTCCGAACAGAGGGAGGCATCGGCCCGCCGTCGCGGTCATGCACACCCAAACAAAGGAGAGAGGCGTCAGCCCGCCGTCGCGGTCACGCACACTCTGAAGAAGAAGCACCAACCCGCCGTGCACAGAAGAAAGAGAAACCGACACGCACAACGCAGTTGCGCACGTTTCGCCAAGCAAGTACCCGTCGGTACAGAGAGATAAAATAAAAGAGGAAAGTTCGAAAGGGTGTGCGGGGAGGTGGTTTCATGATGAATATATAACACTTACGAGAAAGGCGGCCTGAGGTGTTGGCATGAAGGATACAAGTGCGCGACGATATAACGTGTTATGAACAAGTGAGTATATGTGTCCAGCGCCAACGGTGTTTGTGTTCCGAAGAACGCCCACCCTGGGATAATACCAGGTTATCATGTCGTCATAGCCTTTGATCGAGATAGGGTCAAGGAATGCAAAAGTCGCCATATCGCTTTTGACGACGTTTTAGAATATGAAGAACACGATTGGACTTGGAAAGACGGCCAGATGAAAGTATTCCTTGAACGCGCGAAGGGCCAGAATTCGACGTATCAAACCAATAGTACAAGCGTCGGATTCTCAACATCAAAGACGACAGGTCGACGATGAGTGAGCGAAAGATAAAGATGAAAGACAAGAAATGTGCATAGCACGCAATGAGGACGATACTCTAATCAACGAACTTTCGGAGGAAGAGGAACCTGACTCTGACTCTGACGGTGAAGATAACGAGCCTGAGCAGTCCCAGCCCACGAAGATCCTTACACCACCTCCGATCACGTTCAAAAAGCGAAAGCGCGGAACTAAACAGCACGGAGAGTCTCGTTGCGTTCCTTGGCAATGCGCTTGAGTTTCTTGTAGCTCACATCAGCACGTTCGAGCTCGCGGAAGATTGTCGTGAAATGGACATATATGAATTGATTTGTTGCGAGGAGGTGCATGAGCTCGTTTAAAAATAGTCAGGATTCTGCCTTACAAGACAAAGCAGGCTATCAATATCTTCACGATCGAGAGCACGCAGACGACCACACATTGCTGTGCTAGGCTGATCGTTCACGACATCGCCGGTTTCGCACCAGAGCCTCAATATTAAGTCCGAAACCAAGTGCGTTCGGAAAATCCGCAAGGATCTAGGATGTCGCGAAGGCTCAGAAGGTTCTGTTCATGGAGTCGGATAATCAGACCAGGATTGCTGCAAGTTTCACGTCACGAATGATCTTGCGAAATCCCATGTTGCGAAGATGATAATAAGGGTAGTACAAGGCTACAGGGGCAAAATTTCACTAAGTCCAACATTTCCTAATTGAATGAAAATTTCACGCCACTAGTACTGCCATCCTTTATGCAAAGAGCTGTAAATTTATTTACATAGGGACGTGCTACGATATCACAGTCGGCGGCAGTATTGGCAAACATTTTACAGTCTCGTTTCGAGCGGTGAACTACAAGTCATGACACGTAGCAGATACCACGCGACATCACTCTTGCCATATGATGTCCTACTTATCCCTAATATTCCACTTAGATTTAGACATTGTATCGCACATCGCATTAGTACAGGACTATATCAACACACACTCGTTAGCATATGTCCTGCACTCTTGGGTTGTGTCGCCTACACAACAGTTGTGTCACGCAATTGCATTAAAGTAGGGTTTACGAGGGGTGTATCATATTGGCTTCACGCGCTAATGAGGGATATTGTCATGACAGTTAGCATTGAGCACAATGATACATGTGTCCTGTTCCAGGCCAAATTACCAATAGACTTGTAACACTTTATGAAGAAACCCGCGAGCGGAAAGCTGTGGAAAGCTTGTAGCTTTGATAGTTGCATTTATTTGTGGTGACGAGGCAATGCTTCTTCGAGCCTAGTGGTTGTTGAGTGCCCCCAACAGTTGAAAAGTGTGCAAGCGGAAGACGACTTTGCATTTGTTCCTCCGCTTGCGTCAGTTTCTGGTGACGCCAGCTTGTAACTATCTCGAAGGTCCGGAATCGATGTCACTTGATAACACTGATGCTGAGTTTACTTGACTGGAAGATATTCGCAATGCGGAAAAAACGATGGACGCAGAGTTACGAAGATGGGACTTGAAATATTGACTCGATGTTTACTACTTATCTAGTGATCTTACGTCCATGTAGATACGTCTAGTACCATTGAATTTTCCCCCCGATTCTGCCATCTACCGTGCTGGCAGAACAGTTCTGCCCACAACCTGAGATTCTTCGGGCAATTAATCTGCTGGCATCGCACATGCTGTTCGAAAAGGGATTTCAAGTGGATACATTCTTCATATAAAAGCAAGCCATCTTCCTACGTCCCCTTCAGAATTATTTGACCGCATATCACATCCCCATAAACAATGCGTTTATCCTTTGTCCTCACCGTCGTTGCTGCTTTAACAGCATCAGTGTCTGCAGCATCAACACCTGACAGTAACCCTGACATTGACAGTTGTCCTTATTTTTGCGTTAATGATAAGAAAGAATGCTGCCCTCATAACAAATGCCTATATATTGTGGGTATAAATAGTCCTGAATGACCACATGACTCACCGGCGTGATAGGGGATCACCTATATATGTTTTTGAGCGAGTGGCATGTCGCGAAAGTGAACTACAGTGAGTCGTGTTTCTGCTTTCGCATCGGTGCAGCATGGTTGATGGCACGACGCGTGAGTTTCTAGTAGCTTGTTGCTGAGTTGATCAACGTGCTTGCTTCTGAACAAATTTTCACTGCCGCTCAAGCAACGGAGATCTTGGAATAGAGTAAATCTCGAAGACTACTTACAATGCAGTTCTGTAGTCTGTAGGCTTGAACATAGAAGCCCTCGATGACACCACAACTCGTCCCATCATAGACGCTGGTTACTGCGCGTCATGGCTGCATTTTTGTCTGCACTGAGCCGCTGGAGTTTATCACAACCCCATTAGATGGTGGTATATACGGAAAATCGTCGTTATCGGATTGCAAATGCTCAAGATCCAGAAATGGCGTAGTGGGTCATGAAAGTCGATGCGAGTTATAGGGGATGATTAGGATCCGCTGTGAGAGCGTCCAGGAGTACGTTGAAAGTATGACGTGTTCTTTCTATTTGGTCTGGCTCTGGGAGACTGATTCAACGTTCAACCCGCGCGCACGGCAACTTTCATATATATACACACACACACACACACATACATACCTACCTTCGTCAGTAGATCTTCCGAATCATCGACTTGAACTGGAGAGGCTCTTGGGTAGGATTAGCGAGGTGCTCGAGAGGCTCGTGGGTCCGTGGGAGTCGCTTGGGAGGTACACCGGATGCACCTTGGGGATGCACGGTCCACGGATGATCTGTACTACCGTTTCAGTTAATCAATCAACGTCCATATAACAATGTTTAGAATAAAAACACATACTGATAGCTCTACCCTTGGAATGGTACCCATATTCTTTGCGTCAGCTGTTTCATCGTGTTAACCTCGGTTCTCGCGCATTCCCAATACCCTCCTAGACTTTCTGTGGCCTTTCTGCCACCGCTTGTGCTCAATACAGGCACTCTGCGCTCTTGGCAAGTGGGTATCTGGAGGGAAGGAAGATAGCGAGTAGTGAGAGTATACTAGCATAGAGTCAGCATACACATACTTGGCTGCCTTGCTGATGCCCACAACATCCCGCTACCAGGCGCTCAGGCTGCTGCCCTCCGCAATCGACTGCTAAATACCTGCCATATCCTCCCGCCATCACTGGGTCTCCACGCAGCATCATCACCCTCAGCATCACACATCCGACTCCACTCCCATCTTGTCGCTCCCCCGCAGCGCCCAACATACAGTGGATGACATGCCATCAAGCTTGCTCTGTCACACCCAAAGTGACCTAAGTAGTCTCCCCTAGCCAGCCCTACCTTAGAAGTTAGTCGTTCATTCTAATAAAAGTGACTTAGCATATGACCTTGCTTGTAAGGTGAAAATTTATAAGTTATAACCCTTTCTTAGACAACATCATCAGAATCGGAAGCTTTTAAGGTCGACTCAGCTCGCCGGCTTGATGACGGCCCGCCATGGGCTTACGGCGTTCCAAGTTACAAGCTGTACAAAATTTGGCGCGGACTCAGTCTTACTTGAAACCACATACCACCACCGCGGTAGCGACGCCTCAATGACTGAAACTATATGTGTTTACAGGCAGGGGACTGACTTTATCCCTCCTCACCCAGGCAGCGATTGGACTCGCTTCGTCTGTATCTCAGATACCCACTCTCGCACCTTTGAGATACCCACCGGCGACGTTCTGCTGCATGCTGGTGACTTGAGTAGCTGGGGTAGCCTTTCGCAATTGAGCATCACAGTCGAATGGTTGAAATCATTGGATCACCCCATGAAAATGTAAGCAGTCGATCTTCGAGGCGGATGCTTACTTATAATGGGTCAAGTATGGTTGCAGGGAATCATGACGTGCGTCCTAAGCTGGCATCATGCCCCAGATCTCAGACAATACTTCCGTAGCTCTGTCTTGACGAGAATTGGGCTCAGCCAATATATGGCCTCCCACCAGAAGTGAGTGTGGATTCCTCCCATAATCGCTTGAGCTACAGAGAATCGGAATCAGGAAGTCCACCGAGCACGGACCTATGTACGGAGTCAAGCAGCGGCAGGTCTGCATTATCTTGAACATCAACCCTTTCGATTCATGATGCCCTCGGGGCGCGAATGGAAGGTCTATGGATCACCAGTGAGTGCAAGTCGCTTTCGCGAAGCTCGTATCTTGCGGAGCTGATATATATGAGTGAGGCTGCTCCATTATATGCTCAAGGAGCATTTCAGTACGAGACTACAGACGAGGCACGAGGTATGGGATGAGCTCATAAATGATTATGGGCTGCAATAATTCTTTTTAGTGATCTACAACCGTATACCCGAAGACACTGATATCCTGATCACACACACGCCTCCCTTCATGACTTTGGATACAACAAGAAAGAGAAAGCAGGCTGGATGCCACGTCCTGTCGAGCAAATTAGCCGAACTGAGGAAGTGCCGGCTGCATGTTTTTGGTCACATCCATGAATGTGCTGGAGCGCAAATCAGCACTGACTGACCCATTCAGACTGGTTGACAGAGTGTCCGTGAACGCAGCTATGGCCATGACCAAGAAGGCGGTCGTTGTAGACCTACGGAACTGATGAAACACACTGCATTACGGATATCATGTACACTTAGTATAAATAGGACAAATCATGAGAATCGTACATGTCAAACAGCCACCTTGCCCTTCTTCGCTATTTTGATGCCCAGCTTGTTCTTCAAATCTGATTTCGGCTTCTTCGCGGGCGGCGCACCAACAGATTTGGCATCTAGTAATACTCGCGTCGATTCTGGAAGAAGACTGCGCAGATCAGGCTCGACGTCATCGGCCTTCCGCTTGATAGTGACCAGTTGTGGCGCAGTCGGTTCGATGGATGTATCTCCAGAACTCTCCGCCGCCACAGGAGAGCTACCTGACGGTGCGGGCATCGACACCTTGGAAAACACCTCCCTCACCAGCCTCTCATCCTCTTCTTCTGCTAGTCTCCGCTCCCTGTCCTCTTCTGTTTCCTCCTCCTCCGCAGTCAATCGAGCAACCAGATCCACTGCTTGCCCCACACGCTCATTCCGTGCGTTCCGTGCCCGAATGTCTTGGAGAGCGTCTAAGATATCCATCTCCCGTTTTGCATCGACGGTGCGGTTCTCTAGTGCCTTCATAGGATTGTTCTCCTCTTCTTCCATCCGAGCAAGACGGTCCTCCTCTTCGACAACTCTCTCTTCTCGCCATGGTTCAAAGTTTCGTGATGCACCATGCTCTGCGGAATAATCGGTATTCTTGGGGTCAGTCTTGAAGGTAATCTCGGCAGAACATAGTGTACTAGGATAGGTCTTAGTTACAAGTTAGGATATACAACAACACAATGGCGCACCACTTAATGTAGAACCGGAATATCTTAATTCCATAATAGTCTTCTCCGTCCACCGTTTCCTTGCGAGCATTGAACTTCTTGCCCTTGTAGATATATTCTCCACATGTATTACATCGCCTGTGTGCGTCGTAAGGTATCGATTATGGTAGAATAATAATGATGCTTACATGGAGAATGGGGCCATGAGACGAACGACCTGCTGCGAGTTCTTTGGACCCCTCCTTCGAGGGATCAAGGACGGGTCAAAGTCCGGGGGGAAGTACTTGTTCAATACTAACACCAAAGTCAGCTTCCATGACTTGAATAAAAACTGGATTCCTACCTTTACGTTCAGACATGATGGATCAAAGGAGTGTGTTGCAGTGGATGATGGTGGTACTGAACTTTGGACAATTGCTTACCTAACAAGAAATTTCCCGCCTTTAGCGCGCGCTCTCCTCTTGCTCACCTGCAGCGCCGCTCGCCAGTTCATTCTGTCAATCGCCGCTTATACCTACCATGCAGGTCCAGTTAAACAAACAGCTAATCGGTTCCCGCCTAAAAAATGTCTACGATGGTTGGAGGGTACGCTTTCAGCTAGTTCGAGTCAGGGTTGTCTTGTTAATGAGCTTTCTCTTGTTTTTAGAATGCGAGTCAAAATGACGAGTACGGCTCGATAGCAGATGCAGAAGCTCTCTTGTTACTGTCCGGAGACCCCGCTGGCGAGGATGAACCCTGTGAGGAAAGGGACTGCCTTCCAGGTGAGGTTCATTAGAACACTAGGAATCACGTCTCTGCTGTGTGGCTTACGCGCCAATTCGTGTAGACTTGGTTGCTCGGTTATGAGTTTCCCTCCACGTTGCTCCTCTTCCAGAAGGACAAGCTCCTGATATTATGCTCGGCTAGCAAAGGTGTGTATTGTCTCATTCGATGCGCGACGATCTCACATTTTCAACGCGACACGTGGGTTTGCAGCCAAGTTCCTACACCAAATAAAAGAAGGGAATCCCCCCGTTCCAGTCGAGATACTCGTGCAAGCAAAGGCGAAGGAGCAACCCTAGTGACGCATTACCAAAATTCGTGGAGGCTTACACATCGTTCAAACGCGTTGGGAGTTTGCTGAAGGAAGCGTGCACGGGGAAGTTGATGACGGAGTGGGAGCAGGGCATTTCAAAAGCCGACAACAAACCCGAATTGGTCGACATGGCCCCCGCGTTGTCTGCATTCATGGCTGTCAAGGATGAAGAAGAGATGGTGTGTTCACGCATTGCATCTGTTGGTCAAGGCTCTTCTAATGCGCAGCGCAGAAATGCATTCGTACTGCAGCCAATCTTAGTTCCACATTGCTCGTTCACCATATTGTGTTGAAATTGGAGATGATTTTGGACAAAGAAGCCAAGATAACCCATGAGCAATTTGCGACTCAGATAGAGGCGCGAATTGGGTCGGGTGAAGGTGATGATGCCAAAGGACCCGATATGAAGGTGTGGAGTAAAGGGCGGGGCCTCAATGATGTGCGTCAACTGCTCTTTCAAACTCGCTCATATACTCATTGGGCATTTTAGGTCGATTGGGCATCGACGGAGTTCTGCTACTCTCCTATCATTCAGTCGCGGTCAACGAGCACTGGCTATGATTTGCGATCAACTGCGGAGTCATCCTCGGATACAATCGCACACAAAGGCGTTTTCCTCATCGCCGTTGGTATGCGATACAAAGGCTACTGTGCCAATCTCGGGCGGAGTATCATTGTTGACCCCTCGAAGGTCGGTACGAATGATCTTCCTTTCTTGCTGGTCTCATTCCGTCTTACAGGAACAAGAAGCTATCTACAACTTACTTTTGTCGATGCAGAACGAGATGCTCAGGGAAATCAAAGACGGCGTTACTGCACGTGAAGTGTATCAGCGGGCGTTGGACATCGTGAAAAAGGAAAAGCCAGAGCTTGAGAAGAACTTTGTCAAGAACGTTGGGTATGGAGTAAGTAACCTTTGTCAATCGGGTGCCAATAAGTCTCAAACCAACTCTTTCAGACCGGCGTGGAGTTCCGTGATTCTGCATACTTGCTTTCTCCAAAAAACTCTAAGCACCTGAAGACGGATATGGTTTTAAATGTGTCTCTTGGCTTCTCCGACTTGCTTGATGACAATGGCAAGAAGTACGTCTCAATACTTTGGTTTATGGCAGTTCTGTTTACGTATACGTTTCAGATACGCGCTCCACATAGTTGATACTATTCGCGTTGGCGCTGACAGATCAACTCTCTTGACTGAAGGTGCCAAATCCACCAAAGATACACTCTTCTTCCTGAACCCCGAAAATGACGTTGAGGTGGAAGAAGACAAGCCGTCCAAAGCACTCAAGAAGCCTCCTGTGAAGCCTTTGGTAAACGGTTCTCCCATCAAGAACAAGACAGTCGCTGGCAAGGTGTTACGAAACAAGACGCGTAGCGCCGCTCAGGAGGAAGTTTTGATGACGGCGGCCGCCAAAATCAAGGACCACCAGCAACATCTGCATGAATCCCTCCAGTCTGCTGGATTAGCGAAGTACTCCGAGGGGCCTAGCGGTGGCGGTGAAAAGGAGGGTAAAACCTGGAAGCGCTTCCAAAGTTATAAGGGAGAAAGTGCACTGCCGCGGGAAGTCGAAAGTCTCCGAGTGAGTAGATCAACTTACTAGTTGGAACTTTTTAGGCTAAGGAAACACTGTCCAGATCTCCGTAGACCGCAAGGCTCAAACAATTGTGTTGCCCGTGCATGGATTTGCTGTACCTTTCCACATCAACACCATCAAGAACGTGAGCAAGAATGATGAAGGGGATTTCACGTATCTCCGCATCAACTTCCAAACCCCTGGTCAGCTCGCCGGGAAGAAAGATGATACGGTGCGTGTGGATTCAGAAACCTCAGTGTTCTCGAGTTTGAAGACATTCCCGCCCAGCCTTTTGAAGACCCTGATTCCACCTTCATCCGTTCGGTCACCTATCGGTCAACTGATGGCCATCGCTTCGACACCATTTCCAAACAAATCACAGACCTAAAGAAAGAGGTCAACAAGCGTGAGCAACAGAAGAAGGAAATGGCGGACGTTATCGAGCAAGATATCCTGGTTGAGATCAAAGGTAGACGTGCGCACAAGCTTCCTGAGGTATTCGTCCGCCCTGCCCTTGACGGCAAACGGTTGCCTGGCGAGGTCGAGATCCACCAGAACGGTTTGCGCTACCAGTCTCCGATGGGTTCGCAGAAAATTGGTATGGTGTCTCATTTCTTTATGCGGGGTATCGTTAACTCGCGTGCTCCTCAGATGTCTTGTTCACGAACATCAAGCACCTCTTCTTTCAACCTTGTGACAAGGAACTTATGGTCATTGTACATATTCATTTGAGAGCACCCATCATGATTGGGAAGAAGAAAGCCCATGTATGACATCCCATTTTCAGAGAAAGTGTATCTTCTGACGCGGTTTGTATCCAGGACATCCAGTTCTTCCGCGAGGCTTCCGATGTTCAGTTCGACGAGACCGGGAACCGGAAGAGAAAGCACAGATACGGAGATGAGGATGAGATCGAGATGGAACAGCAAGAACGAAAGCGAAGGCAGATGCTCAACAAGGAGTTTAAGCTCTTTGCCGAGCGAGTAGCCGAGGCGGCATCGACGTCTATGAGTGAGACACTCGAAGTCGATATCCCCTTCCGTGAACTGTCGTTCGAGGGAGTACCATTCCGCACCAACGTCCGACTGCAGCCCACAACAGAGTGTCTCGTGCATCTCATTGACCCTCCGTTCCTCGTTGTCACACTCAACGAGATTGAAATTGCTTCGCTAGAACGTGTTCAATTCTCGCTGAAACAATTTGATCTGGTACTTATCTTCAAGGACTTCACCAAAGCGCCGTTGCACATCAACTCGATACCAAGTGGTCAACTTGATGACGTGAAGAATTGGCTAGAGTAGGCGTTTATATTGCGATTAGTGAGACATTGATACTGATAGAAGTGTCTGCAGCTCAGTCGATATTCCTTTGGGTGAAGGCCCAGTCAACTTGAACTGGGGCCCTATCATGAAGACCATCAATGAGAGTCCGTACGACTTCTTCCAGCAAGGCGGTTGGCGAAGTTTCCTCGGTGGGGGTGACGCCGATGTAAGTTCTTAGTTGTGATCGTCCGTGTTCGTGGGAGCTGAAACACCGTTCCCAGAGCGATGCAGATCAGGATTCGGACAGCGAATCCGAGTTCGAGGCAGATCCTGAGGAATTGCAGTCTGAGGAGAGCAGTGCTGATGCCAGCGAGTATGATGGCTCAGATGCGAGCGACGATTCAGGAAGTGGTTCCGCTTTTGATGATGAGAGCGATGATGGCGACGACTGGGAAGAGCTAGAAAGGAAGGCTGCTAAATGTATGTGCACTGGCCTTCGTCCTTCTTTTTTGATCCTTATCTGTAAAACCAGCCGATTCCAAGCGAGCCGCCGAGGCAAAGGGAACTCGCGGTGATTCCGATTCGGACGATGATCGACCCAAAAAGAAAAAGGCTCCTGCTAAACCCAAGGCGAATGCGAATGGCAAAAGCAAGAAGCGGTGATCCGTGACCAACTTTGTGGATTGTTCATGATTTCTTTGCGATGAATATTGTATCTGTTTAGCATTTTATTTTCTGCTTTTGCTTTTCGGCTGTACCATTATTGATTCAAATGAGGGTCGATACACGTACATATTGCGTACATAGTGATGACATCGATATTGAGACTCGGTACTCTAATCCAGTCATGGCCCCGGCGGTCAAACTCATTGCTCCTTATCCACCACAGGAGTTTGGCTATTTATTCTCGCTTCTCTAAATGACAGTACGCCAGCTATGGCTGCTCCAGGGCCAAACGCCACTGAGACGAGTGCATGCCAAAGGAAGAGTAAAGCGACTTCCTTCATGCCTTGAGCGAACCAAAATGTCACAAGAAGGGTCGACCCTACTCCGAACACTGCATCCCACTGGATGACAGCGGCAACTCCTTCGGCTAAGGACAAAGGATGCCGACTCAGTGCCAACTGTGGCACCAGGACCTTCTGGAATTGCTGGATGTCAAAGAAGAGTGGCCACGTGTAGTAGATGTGGAGGATAGCAGACGTGACGAAGATAAGACCATACATGGCCTGGATAGTAACGTAACCGGATTTCACGTAACGGGAAGAAGGGCGGATGATGAGGTGTAGAAACTGCGCGAACGCCATGATGATGGGGTAACCTTGCCATAGTGCAGTGGATATGGTATCTTGAAATACAACCATACACACCGTCGGGATGATGTAGCCAACTACCAGGGCAAAGAGTAAAGCTTCGGCACTGCCCTGGGTAATTTTTGTTGCGCGACCTTTGACGGGGCTACCGATTGCTGCTCCACTCAGAATAAGCGCGACATAATAAACTGGCATGATGACCGCAAAACTGAACAGCTGGAAGAGCACGCCAACAGCAGCAGGCATTCCAAGGAAGATAGAGCGTTTTTCACGTGCAGCTTCGACGAAGGGTATCATTGTCACTGCAGCGAGGGCAGTGAAGAGCTCTGCTACGAGAGGTCGATAGGCCGGGTTCAGCAGGGCCTTAAAGAGCGCGACAAGTGCGCACATGCGATAATCGAGGTCAGGATAGCCTGTGTATGCCAAGCGCAAAGGGTACCCTTCCGTTCCGATTGGGGCGCTGCAATGTTCGCGAAGTTGCAGTCCTGTACCGCTTTGGTACATGTGACGGCCAAACACGATTTGCATTGCTACATAACTCATTGGGAGGAAGATTGCAGTAGGTAGGACACCTCCTGATGATGTAAAAAAAAGTCCATAAGCCAGCACCACGAGTATCTCAGTTGAACTCACGAAGAAATATGTTGAATGCCATCGTATTCTGCGAGGAATACAGGCGATATTTAAATTATTCCTACAAGCGATTAAAAATGTAGACAGGAGTAGCAATGAAATTGAACTACCTTTCCGCAAGACACGTCTCTGAGGTCAACGAGGTGATCAGACTGCAGCTGTAACTGTGATAGTGGCTAGCAAATGAAGTTCGAATCGAAGTGCCTGATCAAGGTTAACTTAGGATGCTAAAAATAGCTAGTGACACAGGACGTCACAGGACGTCACAGGAATTGTCACAAAAATATGACTTCGTGTCAAGATTATAAGTAATACGTACGCGAAAGCGTGTCACTGAGGTTTTAACAACACTGCTTAAAAGCTTGGGTTGTCCCGACAGAATTTTGGTCATAGTCATCCATGACTACCCCCGTAACTGGCTGTCAGGTATCGAAGAAACATGTCTTGCTGTCAGAGATCCTGGCAGTGACCTCGGTCATGCGCAAGAATTCGCGGTGGGCATCAGGAGCTCATACACTCACAGCAAGAGACTCCGCGTTAGCAAGAGACCTTGGCCTGCGTAGGTCCACTCCTAGTACAGACATTCAAAAGAATGGGAGGCTCTCCCAAGAGGCAGACCTAATGGGCGGCTTCCAGGAGCTGAAACGTACTATCTGGGACGTCGACGGTGGGTGTTTGCTCGCTGCACAAGTATAACAAACTTCAATAACTTTAACAGACATCGAAACATTACCTTTGCCTGGGCTTATTGGTCCCTTCTTTGCCCTAATTCGATCACCTTTATCTAACGGACCTATAACGTCTGCTGCACTCTCTGCACTCCACAGCTTTTTTGTCTGCGACCTAATATCCGCAAACTCGATATCTTTGGAGCTTGCGCTCGTTGAGCTCAGTAGCACAGTTTCACACTGCAAATTCGAAGCCAGTGATTCTTCGGGAGATGAGGTTGTCCTCTTGAAGATAATGACTGTGATACATGATTGTATTGTCACAAGTAGTGTGGGTGCGTTCCTCGGGGACGTCGAGATTTGCGAGATGTTGGAGACGGTCTTAACGACAGCATGTCAAATGAGGCTGAGCGGTGTGTTGCAGCCTTTGTTTCATCCATTGTATTCGCTTACTCTACATGACCAGAGATTTTGCGGCGTTCCGCTGAGTCGACTATGATTTCAATCGTCAGGGCCATTTTTGGTCGTCTGCATGCTCTCGATCCTGCTGCTGAGGAAGCCAGACTTCTCGTGAATGAAGAGGACCCTCAGCACGGAGAAATTAGCATGTCTGTATCTACCAGCGCCACTGGTGCCGGCGATTCTCTGTCGCAGGCGTCAGAAGGAGTCCCCTCGTCCACACAGGAGAATGCAGCAACAGTCACATTGGAGAATACTGAGGATTCTGTAGCACTTGAGGTTGAGGACCCACCCCACATACTTTCAACACCACGACCGTGTAAGCCTCCAAATCTAGGTTCATGTTCCATACACTCAACGTAAATGTAGATGGTCTACCAGCTCTTCTGGAACTCCTTCGTGTGCTTGTCAACATTTTGGATCCCAACGATCAAGTTCACACCGACTCAACTCGCCTGACTGCGCTTGGAATTCTCAATGCTGCCGTCGAGACGTCCGGAACAGTTATGGGCGACTATCCTTCCTTGTCAGGCCTGATTCTTGATCCTGGATGCAAATACCTCTTCCAGCTTGCACGCTCCGACAACTCTTCTGTCCTACAGGCTGCTCTACGGACTACCACAACAGTGTTTCAGACCATGCGAAAACACCTTAAACTTCAACAAGAGCTTTACCTCGCCTTCAGCATTGACAGACTGGCAGCTCCCCCACAATTGAAACCACTAAGCTCCAAGAAGAACAACAATCCTACATCTCCACGTCCCGGAACCCCTGCAACTGGAACTCCCATCCTGGGACCAGTTGACACTGAACTTGAGCTTGATAAGGGTAGCCCAGTTCCATCGCGACCCCTGGTTCAGCCTGCCCGTGGAGATACCCGGGACCTGATGTTAGAAACACTCACTCAGCTCTGCCGGCATCCTAATTCTATGGTGGATCTCTACGTCAATTATGACTGTGACATAAACTGCGAGAATCTGTTTGAACGTCTGATTGAGTTTCTCACAAAGGTCAGTCGTTATGACAGAATCCGTGCACTTGTTGAAATTCTTGCGATGTAGGGCGTATACCCATGGCAATATTCGTCGCCGTCGGACGCACAACAATTACATTCCCAATATCTATGCTTGGATCTGTTGCTTGCGTTCGTGAATGACATGACAGCGCGAGCTGAGGGTGTTTGTACATTCGCTATTCGGCTTTGTTCATTGTTCTGATGTGCTTTCAACTTTCAGCGAAGTGAACCATGGCTTTCCGTGAGTGTTCATCGCCTCCATCCTCAACCATGCAGGTCATAACATAGCATAGGATTCCATTTTACCAGACTCGTTGATGCAAGACAAATCTAGGAAGAAGCTCGTTCTCGCCGGAGCAGCACGCTTTAACTCCAAACCAAAACTTGGCATTGCGTTTCTTGAGGAGAACAAGCTCATATACTCTGACCTGTCTCCAGAGGTATCAAGAACACGCAGTCTTGCTATCTTCTTGAAGAGCTGCACGCGCTTGGACAAGCGACTGCTAGGAGATTATATCTCAAAACCAGATAATTTGGAACTCCTGAAGGAGTTCCTTGGGTTGTTCGACTTCAAAGATGTGCGGTGGTTCCCACCTATAACATTCATCGCAATAATGATCACTCACAATGCGTAGAAACCAATTGCAGATGCCATGCGCGAGATGCTGGAGACCTTCCGGCTTCCCGGAGAATCTCAACAGATCGCTCGGATTACAGAAACTTTCGCTTCGATCTACTTCGCATCTGGGCCAGGTAGAGTCCCAAGCTCAAGAAATGTGCAACTAATTTATTCAACGGATGACAGCGGAAGTCAAGACAGAAGATGCGGTATACGTGTTGGCGTACTCCGTGATCATGCTCAATACTGATCTTCACAACCCGCAAATACGAGTCAGGCATTTACAGTTCTTAAGCATTTTCTTCATCTCACAAAGCAACAGAAACGTATGACCATAGAGGACTATCAACGCAACCTGAGAGGCGTGAATGATGGCGCAAACTTCTCGCCCGAGTACTTGGTGGGTGGCTTTCCGCTGTTCAATATTTGTATAGCTCACTCCCAGCAGCAAAACATTTACGACTCCATACGCAAACGTGAAATTGTTATGCCTGAAGAACATACCGGCCAGCTTGGCTTCGAGTACGCTTGGAAAGAGCTACTCGCCCGTTCGCGGCAAACGGGTAGGTTGGTTCATGCATGAATGGTGGTTGTCGTTGTAACTGGATCCCTCATAGGTCCGTTCTTGATGTGCAATTCGGCCTTGTTTGATCTGGACATGTTCAAGACCGTTTGGAAACCATTGATATCCGCCATCGCCTACGCGTTCATCAGCTTTGACGATGATTATGTTATTCAACGGGCAATTTCTGGTTTCCGTCAATGTGCCACGCTGGCAGGCCATTTCCATCTTCCGGATGTGTTCGATTTCGTGGTCGTTTCACTCTCGCAAGCGACTAGTCTATTATCTGAAAATCTGCCGACACAAGTTCCTAACTATCCAGTGGTTGAAGTAGAGGGACAATCAGTTACAGTCTCGTCACTATCAGTCAAGTTCGGTACGAACTTCAAAGGCCAGCTGGCAGCCGTTGTGCTTTTCAATATCGTGAACGGGAATGGAAACGCCCTGCGCGAGGGCTGGACGCAGGTGAGTTAACACGTCAGGCAAAACTTTCCTTTGCTAATCATGAGAGACAGATTTTCGAAATGTTCCAAAACCTGTTCATCCATTCATTGCTCCCCACGCGCATGCTCCAAATGGAGGACTTCTTAGGTGGCGTCACAATGATCCCCCTTCGCGGGGGCCAACCTTCGCGACCAGCACCGCGTAGTGATGGGGGGTTGCTATCAGCACTGTCCTCATACCTCATGACCCCCTACGGTGCTAGCTCCGAGAACCTCGTTCCTGAGGCTACAGACGCAGAAGTAGAGAGCACGATGTGCACTATCGATTGCATAACATCATGTCGGTTGGATGAGCTTTACGCGCAGACCATGTAGGTCTCACTTAACTGATGAGCATTGTTTCCTCACAACATTGTCACAGACAACTTGACTCGGAAGCGCTTGTAGCCGCAATCCGAGCACTGGAGGCTCTTGCTCATGAGCGGACAATCACGAAATGGAAACAGGAGTCGGATGAGCTGACCACCGCGTTCAACACACCGTCCGCAGGAGATGGCACATTTACTTTACCTTATGACCCTGCGTCCGTTTTTCTTCTCGAGACCATGGTCAGCATCACCTGTCAAACTTCGCGGTATATCGAGGACTTATGGCACGCACCTCCATTTTCATTGAAATTCCTGATGTTTCTAATTGCTTCTCAGGCCGATTCTATTTGAGCATCTGTCGGCATTGTTGTCAGCATCCACGCATTATAGCATTCTGCTCATAGAGCGTGCCGTTGTTGCATTGCTTCGGTTGTGTCTTATTCTTGCTCAAAAGGCAAGTCATCTGTTTCTCCACGCAATCTTCCGTAACTGAATAGCCGATAGAAAACCCTTCGAGATCAAGTCTACGTGTCGCTTGATTTGATTGCGGGGCTTCCCCCAATAGTAGCCAATTCTGTTGCCGAGCAGATTGTTGCAGGCGTAACTTTGATTCTTCAGAACGGCGACATCGTTAGGCACGATCATTCTTATGATGACTGCGTATATATCGCTCATCAATGTCAACAGTTCGCAAACCGAGTGGAACCTTGTCTTCGCGGCCCTTCGGTCAACGACTTCTCATCCGGAGGCTGCTCGCTCGACATTCAACTTGATTTTGGGTTTCGTCACTGACGGAGAGTCGCAATGGGTGACACCAGATAATTTCAATGGTCTGATCGCAATCTTGGATGAGTTCGCGACGTCTGCTGGTCATTCGATCACGGTTCCCCAGAAAGGACGACGTGTTCGTTCGCAGCCACCACCCGAGTAAGCGGTTGTTGTCCGTATTGGCCCCCTATTGATATTTTTCCAGCACACCACCTATCGAGCGCGGGAGGCGAGCGATTGATATCCTTTTTGATATGAAAAGGTTCATTTTACCCTTTACTCAGTCTGCTGGTTTGCGAACGGATCAAGGTACGTGACTCCCGACCACAAGTTACTCTTGACAGTTACCACGTAATACAGTCTGGCGCCAATACTGCCTGCCTTTGGTGTTGTCGTTAGGCAAGCAGTCGACGAACCCCTCACGACTGGTGCGGCACACTGCTATTGGCCAGCTTCAACGTTTGTTACTTGGTCCTCGATTTGTATATGACGAAAACGACCATGCTCAAATCGAGGAGATCTTCAACAGCGTCATCTTCCCCCTTGTTGATGAGCTCCTGAAACCCCAAATACAGCAATACGATCCACAGGGCATATCGGAGACTCGCTTAAGAGCCTCGGCCTTGCTTTGTAAGGCGTTCATGCACTTTGAGGTCCGGGAGAGTCATACGAAATCAGACATGAGAATCTTGTGGATCGAGATTCTGGATCTGCTAGACAGGCTGATCCACGCCGAGAAGACCGAGCAGCTGGTAAGCCTTCCATTGATGCTTCACATTACGCTCGGTTCTTGATGGAATCCTAGTACGAGGCGGTCTCGGAATCTCTCAAGAACGTGGTACTTGTAATGAATGCAGCGAACATTCTCATCCCACCTTCTCAGGATGACCAACGTGATGAGCACCAGCGTACCTTGTGGGCAGCTACGCAAGCCAGGCTAGAACGTTTTTTGCCAGGATTTCTGGCAGAAGTGATACCGACTCCACAGCTGCAGCTGCCACCTTCAACTCCCGTCCCAGCGTCAATCCCTGCAGTGCCTGCTACTTCCACGGTTTAGGGTACAGGTACATTTTTCGGCTACTAGAATAATTTACATCTATAACAAACAAAATTGGTCGAGTCATCAGAAGAATTTCATTTTGGATGTCCTGGGATGTTACCCGTCAAAAATACGCATGCCTTACACGGGAGATCTGCTGACCTGACACGTGCGTAGATAGCCACAAGTGCAGCTATCGGCGCAACGGTATATGCCACAAACCTCACTACCAGGTAGCTATGAGATGTCACCCACGTGGACCATGCACCGCCAAGGTGAGCTGTGATTAGGAGAAGAGGGAATAGGATGTAGCCAGACAGCCTGCGAAATGTGTTATCAATCTTTGTTGGCACCCTCCTGATTACCCACGTTACCTGTGGTATTTCCATATCATCTTGGCCTTCATACCGCCTCCAAATGCGGCACCTCCGAACCACACACTTCCACCGCCAAGGATTACCTGTCCCATGAGCCACACGACCGAAACAAGTCCGAAAACCTGTGACAGGATAGTAAGAGATGAGAAAGACGAGAAGATCAATAAATATACCCCATGCCACGTCGCGAAATGTTTGTGTCCTCGGTTGAATTTCTGAATTTCAATCGCTAGGGTGCCCAAGGCGATGCATGGCACGCCGACAGCAAGCATTGTCCTCTGGTGTCGTCGCAGACCAGATGCTTTAGTTTTTGGGTGTGCGGTTGGCTGGAGGGTCAGGATCCCTGAAGACGAGTACTGAAGTGAGCTTATTTATACTCATGCGTGACGGTCAAAGTATGTGCACCATATGTGAAGCAGCCAATTCCTAAGCTCTGAAGTACCGGGTGGACAGAAAACCATCCCAGTGATGTAGGGTCGTTAGTGAACACTATAAACCAAGTAATGCATACGAAGACCTTGAAACGTCCACTCAGGGGTCAAGCTCGGTACATGTCACAAGAGTAAGTTATACGCCTCACCAGTATGGAAGCCTGCCATGATGTTAAATGAGTTTTTATAACGGCACGAAGGACATGCACGTACAAGTGCCCCATATTTAAAGAGTTTGTCCCCCCGGCGTCCTTCGGATTTCTCGGCGCTGCCAGAGCCCATGGCTGGTGTTGGGAGGGGCAGATGGTCCACTGAGGTTCCGGGATGACCGCTGGTGTCTAGTAGTCGGTACTCTTCGTCAGATTCCGTCAGTTCATTGGAAGTACGCTCCGAGTCTGGCATGGTGGAGATAAGGTGAGATGGCGAAACGCGAAGTCTAGGTGGCGCGCTCTGAAATGGGCGCAGCTACCCGGGGCACTGCTCAAACCTCCGCGTCGAGTTCCAGTCTAACTCTGCATAGAAAGCCCAGCTAGTACTAGTCTGGTAGTGCCACGTAAATACTTGGTAGAGCCCGCAGTGCCGCACTAATGCGCCCGCCCAGAGACCAATTCATGTATATCCGTGTACTTACGAATTCGAATCAAGGAGAGTTAGAACTTAGAAGATGGGCAGCCAGGTCACCAGCCTAACCCTATTGGTACGAACTGCTGCTTGGAGATAAAAAAAAATGACGACCAACCAATTTGAGCTACTGCGGGTTCGGAAGCTTCCACTCATCCAATACAACACGATATTAATCCATTATTGACCAGAGTATTAGTGAGTATGTATAGCGAACAAGCAAGATGCAACGAATATGAACAGTGACATGATGGGTGATCACGGTGCGTGAAAACATGGATACGACTATAAAATGCAACAGAAAAGGCTAACAAAAGCAAAAAAGAAAAAAAATTCCAGGTAGAATCACAACAAAGCAACTCATCAAATAAATGCTACAGCACCGACGGTTGCCGATGAGATGGTCTAACGGCCCTTGAGTGCGGGCCAGGAGCCCTCCGCTTTCCACTTGTCCACAACTTCGCGGAGCGCGTCGTGGGTGAACTGAGGACGAGCGAGCTTGTATCCGATGACTGTCTTGATTTTGCTGTTGTTGTAGGCAAGTTTGCGTCGTGAAAGGGCCCATTGGTCCATGTAGGCATCGAGTGGGGTCTGTACGATCGGGGGGTTGGACGTCTGAAGCATTTCAGTCCAGGTGCCAACGTGATGCTCGTTAATCTCTTCGACGATGTCGTCCAGTTTAAGCTTCAAGACGTCAACAAAGCTTCGGTGATGTAGTGGAGACAAGCATACCTTGGCTAAAGCATTTTCAAAGAACGAGTAAAACTCAAACGTCGTTCCGAAGAATTCTGTGATCATCGATCCGCCCTTAGCCATAGTCATATCTGAGTCGTCAACCTGCGTAAAAGATAAGAAAATATAAACCCCAAAAATGAAACCTTGCGCACCAAGTTAAAAACAGGCGCCATGGGTTGTACGTCAGATGCGCACGCGCCATCGATCTCCTTAACCTTGGATTTGTCATTATGAAAATAAATTTTCTCTCCTGCAGTTATATTTGCTTGCTGACGGCCAAGGGAAGCCATCCACTCTGCACATGCCCATAGACCGCCTGATACATCGTCTATGTGAACTGTGTTGACACCGTCTTTTCCCGGGCCCCATCTGAAAACGGTGATGAGGGGGATTTGAGCGGAGAAATAGGTTTAGACCCTCACGGTGTTTTCATAGGTTTGTTCATGTAACCGTAGATTGACGCAACGGTAATCACTAGGGCATCTGCCAAGAACGTCAATCTGATGTTGTTGGAAAAGGGAGGATAAATTTACAGAGTCCGTATTCGACGTAAGGGCCATACACGAATCCGATTCGCAGGACGACAAGAGGAAGGCTGGATATCGAGTCAGAAATGGTGCCCTAGATACGAATTCATGAACCTACTCCTCAATAGAAGCTAGCATTCGGAGCGTTTCATGCCACCACACATCTAATGGTCGCACAGGCTTGACGTCTTCCTTCTCGTCATGAGGACCCTTGTCTGATGTTTCATACACGGGTTGCTGTAGTCGTACGTAAGATTTGACTTTTCTACGGGCTGCCTCTAGACCGATGATCCGAGCGACGGTGAAGGTCAATTTAATGGCGATCTACAAGGACGATGAGAAGGATGGCCTATGTTAAGAGTAGAAACACAACATACGACTTCACTGCGGTCATGGTTGACTTCACCAGTGAGATCAAAGACGTAAGAGTAGGGGGCCTTGCCAGGAGGGGGGTCGAAGGCAGATGCGACAACAGCTTGAAAGAGATCATGAATGATGTAAGGGAACGTATCGTGTGGACATACATGGAACAGTTAAATTAGCTTGGCGATATTCAACATCGGGCTGAGCCAGGACCTTTGGGAACTCAGCACCCAGATATCTAATAAATCGCCGATCAAAAGTCAATCGGGCGCAAAGGAAGGAAAAAGGTAGTGAAATTCACGCACGTGGTGGGCGGATAAACGGAAAATCTATCGACGATGCGAAGGTGCTATTATAGACCGATGGAAGCGGTGAGTGAGATGGCCTATCGATGAGAGCCAATCGGAGCGATCTAACGTACCGAAACGAGTCTCTCCCCCCCAGGTGGGACTAACAATGCTGCGAGTGCTCGTGAACAAGTATTTAATCCTCCTGTACAAGTAAATTTGAAAAAAGTACATAGGTGTGAGTCTGTCAGTGAGTGGGTGGAGGACGAATGGCGGTGCTAGTTACCGAAAATGATAACGGTTGGCTTTTGAGACATGTGGTGGGGGCTATGGATGACGGGGAGGAGGAGAGAAGGGGGAGGAGGGGGGGGGGGCTGAAGGAAGGCTGATTTATTTCACTAGCAGTGATTCGAGATTAGGGTGATTTATATGCCAAAGTTTTATAGTATGTTATTACTGTACCCGACCGCGTCGCGGAGGCAACCTCGAGAGAAAGAAGCTCATTACTCCGTTATGTAATCCATAAACTTTCATCCGAAGAACTTAATAATAAAAAAGGAACCGCAACCGCGCCCCGCGATCCTTTTAGTCATCCATCGTGCCCGCCGAGGCTCACCGTCGGCATCGTTCATATACTAGTAGCCCACCGCTTTTCTCTAGTCCTATATACACCCCGAAATTTTCGGGGAAATACAGCGTAACGACCAGCACTCGGAGCATCTCGATCAGACTAGAACACGTTCTTCAGGGAGAAAAAAAAACATATTACGCCACATATACGACTTTGAGGGAGGATAATTAATATTATCAGGCTGACATACACCTCCGAACCCCCCCTTACATTATTACCAACTTGAATCAACACCAGTTTCAGACATATCATATTCTGCGGGCGCCGCCTTCTCGATGACTCGGGTACACCTATTCAATCGGAAGACTATCGCGTCAAAACCTGTCAAAACCACCCTATCTTACTTATGTACGATCCAATAATGACGAGATTCCGTTGTCGATGACTTGCCGCCGGAAAGTAATGACATAACCAATTTGACGTTAAATTGACATTGTAGGCGACTTGTAGGCGTCAGGTCTTGAAGTTCAAGAAAAAGTTACTGTATGTCTGCATTCTGCGGAAAGTGTCAACGCTACCGCATGGTCCCTTCAATCCTTCCGTCTCATTTGCTCCAAGCGCTCGTACACAGAAGAGAAGTCCTTCTGTGCCAGATCTGGTCGATGTTGCAACGTCTCCGCATAGAAATTCTGCGCGGACTTTCCCAGTGGTAAGGGGCTGTCGGTAGAGGCCGCAATGTCGGTTGCAAGAAGCATGTCCTATACGACATTGAAGAAGTATAACTTCGCCGCCGGGTGTTAAACTTACCTTTAACATCAAAGCAGTCGCAAATCCGCCTTCGTAATTACGTTCGCATGGAGGAGATTTCTCGGGAAGCGAATACGGTACTGGATTGTTGACTGACGAAGCCCAGCAACCCCCGGTAGAACTGTTGATGACCCCTGCAAGTATCCTCGGATTCAAACCCAGCTTCTGCCCAAGCAACATTGCTTCCGCAACGACAATCTGTTGTACTCCAAGAACAAGATTATTACATATCTTGGCGCCAAGCCCAGCCCCCGACGGGCCACAATGGATAATGCGATTGCCCATATAGGTCAGGATCGGCTGCGACAGCTCAAAACCACCCTCGGTCCCGCCAACAAGGAAAGACAGCGTGCCAGCTTTGGCACCCGTTACGCCTGTTTTGACATTAATACGTGTAATAAGCAGGGGCGCGGGGGCAGTGCACGAGAATAGTACGAAGTACGTACCTCCTGATACCGGTGCGTCTACCATTTGCGCCCCTGTTCTCATCACATCCGCAGCAACGCTACGGGCGACTCCGACATCTAGCGTTGTAGAGTCGATGAAAAAAGTCTGCGCTGACTCCGCTCCGCTAAGAGACTGCAATCCGGGAATGACCCCGTTTGCTTCAGAATAGACGGTCTTGACCTGAGGCGAAGATGGAAGCATTGTCAACACTGTTTGAGAAGCATGCACCGCACTAGAAATTTCAAATCGCGATGCCGTAAAGGGGGGAGCCGTACAGTTCGAAAGCAGGAATGGGCTTACTCTTTGGGGGTTTGAACAATGTCAATGTGTGCTCCAGGGAACTGAGTCACGAAGTTCTGACGGAAGGCGATGGCACTAGTTGGGAACGCGTCGCAGACGACAAAGTGGGCATCAGGCGACTCTGCGAATGTCTTCGAGAAGAGGTTAAAGGCCATTTCTGAGCCCATTCGACCAAGACCAATGAATGCAGTGCTCTTGGCACGCACAACTTGTCGCTCGAACGACTGAAGGACTCTGGCAGTATGTTTCATGATGAAGTTTACCAGAACAACGTTCGGGAGAGGGTGTGTGCAAATCAAAGGACGTCGGACGGGTTCCCGGTTAATGGTCATGCGGGGATGCGTGCCGTATTAAGCACGTGATCATCACGTGCCGATATATTATTATGTCAGCGACACGTCGTAACTCTATCATTGCAGTCTGGGACGGATTCATTAATCCAAGATGCTTGCAGCCGCGACTTCGTTTTTCTCCCGAACAGCCATATCTCAGTCGTATAATATTGCACCATCATATGGCAGTAGGTCTTCCACCCCAGGTCCACTGGGATCGTCTTCAAACCCACTTCCATCTCCAACGTTACCGTCCGTTAAAATTGGTCTATGGAGAGTTCAGGGTGCATCCCACAAAGTCACGAACAAAAAAGTTTCCGTGTGGACTTGTGACAAACGCGCCGAAATGGAAGGACTGGGCCCTATGTCTAGGGAACGGGTCCTAGAGGTTTTGAAGGCAGAGGTATATCTACAACGTCAATGATCCCACCGTTTTTTTGCTCAGTTGTCGTCCTTTAGGCGGCAGCACTAAGCAAAATGCGACATCCTTCTATCTTGGGTATGGTACCCGAAACCCCTACTACGTACACATTCTGAACTTACTGTTCGTAAAGAAATGGTCGAACCCCTTGAAGAAACACGGAACGAACTGATATTTGCAACGGAACCTGTCCTTTCGTCACTTGATCTTTCGATACCACGTGGATCTCGCCATACGCCTCTTGTTGAGCTAGACGAAATCGAAGTCCGTCTGCTTCTTTTGATGCGGAACACCCGTTAATATGTTTAACTCCACCTCAGATCCAGAAAGGCATACTGCAGCTCTGCAAAGGCCTGTCCTTCCTGCACACTTCAGCCAGACTGGTTCACACCAACCTGAAACCTGAATGTGTGATCATCAATGACGTCGTAAGTGTTTCCCATTTCTGATGGCCCTGCGCATGGCTATACTTCGGTTGCCATTCTGTAGGGTGATTGGAAAATTTCCGGCCTCGGCCTTACCATCCCTCTCGTTGGTACGGATGGATCTCCGACGCGTTGGGAATTTCCTGGTTTTGATGGTCGCGTGCCGTCATACATTCAGCGCTCTTTTGATTATATTGGTGCGTGCTGGGCTGTCATCACAACACGTGTTTGACTCTTTTCCACGGATTGACAGCTCCGGAGTATGCACTGGATGAGGTCCTTATCACTGCATCTGATATGTACTCCCTCGGTTGCCTGATATATGCTGTACACTGCAAAGGCAGCCCACCATTCAAAAACCACGGAAGTGTAGGTGGCCTAAGGGACAATGCTAGCCGTCCTGTCCCAGACATCGGGCAGCTCGACACCGATTTGCAAGGTTCTTCCACTTAGCTCGAGATAATTATAGAATCATTGATGCACTACTCCATGTAGACCTCCTTCGATCGCTCATCACTCGTGGTTCGAGTAGCCGGCCAACCCCGTCGACACTTCCGTCCCATCCGTTCTTCTCGTCACTGCCAATCTCGACGCTTAACTTCCTAGATCGCTCGAATTTCACAGCGAAGACACGAGAGGAGAAAATCTCTTTCATGCGTGGTCTTACAGGTGTCCTGGACCGCTTCTCAGAAGGTCTGCGGACGCGGAAGATCTTGCCATCCTTGCTTGAGGAGGTATGTGTCCTGTTCGAATCTAACCCATTCAAGTCACGACACCATGCTGACGGAATGCCGCTTCTTTGACAGATGAAAGACACTCACTTACTTCCGTACATTCTCCCAAATGTGTTTGCCATCTCTAACGTTCTCTCTGCGCCCCAGTTCGCTTCGCTTGTTCTGCCCAGTCTTAAGCCCCTGTTCACAATCAAGGACCCGCCGCAGAACATGTTGACGCTCCTGGACAATCTCCACATGTTGCAGAGTAAAACTGAAAAGGGTGTTTTTCGCGAACGTGAGAACTAATTTGGTATTAGGCGTCACACATTCTTACGTTTTTTCAGAGGTTCTCCCACTTGTGTATCATGCACTGGAGTCTGAACACGCTATGGTGAATTTGTCGATGCCAAAACGTACATAGATTGATCTGATAGAATACAGGTACAAGAACGTGCCCTCAAGGTGGTCCCAGATCTTTGTGAGACGATCGATTACGCTGAGGTTTCCGGCGTACTATTCCCCCGAGTTGCCGTGAGTTGTAAATCAAATTTCTCGTTCATGAAAAGCGCTGAATCTTGCATCATGTAGTTGGTGTTCACCAAAACGAGAATATTAACCGTGAAGGTCGCTACGCTAGTAACGTTCCTCAGCTTGGTAAAGACCCTCGATCAGGTTTGCTTTGCGTCACCTCGATATTGTTCTCAGATGCTTACATCTCCGCTGTAGACTAATCTCACGCAAAAACTCGTGCCACTGCTGTCAAAAATCCGGACAAAGGAGCCTGCTGTCATGGTGAGGTTTATGCTGTCACAATTTTTATCATTTTCTCACATCCTCTAGATTGCAACGCTCTCGGTACAAGAGGCCATGGGTGTCAAGGTCGACAGAGAAGCGGTGGCTACCCTCATCTTACCACAACTGTGGACAATGTCCATGGGCCCTTGTACGTATCACCCCTTATTGTCAGTGCCTTGACCTGAGAGCAATATAGTACTAAACATCGAACAATACCAACGCTTCATGAGCGTTATACGTAAACTTGGTGATCGTGTGGAAAAGGAACATAATCAGTTCCTCCGCGACTCGCAGAGGATTGAGGATCGCTCGGTGACGAACACCAATGGTGCCACGTCGCCTGCCTTCAGAACGGGTGTTGATTTTGAAAGTTTAGTGGGGCGCGCAAATGGTGCGACTGTGAAGCCGGACACGATAATCGACGGAGATAGCTCGAAGGGATGGGATGATGACGTGTGGGGGAGCATCTTTAGCGGCACGCCCGAGGTAAATTGTTGGTATTCTGTTAACGACATTCGCGCTAAACGTTCCCGTTAGTCACTCCCATCGCAGACTCCACCTCCAGCCCCTGCTGTTTCTACCGTGCAACCATCAAGTTCTCTATCAAGCCAGGCACATTCACTACCTTCGTCACCACGGATAACAACGATGCCATTAGTGTCTCGGCCATCACGATTAGGTGCTAAGCCTGTCCCTTCTACCTCCTTCGAGAAATCCGCTTTCACATCACCTTCGCTACATCCCAGTCTACCAAATCGCATTTCATCCCCACCGGCACAACCTCAGCGACTTACGAACTACACGATGCCGCCTCCACTGTCATCTCCACAAAAGCCTAATTACAACATCTCGTTTTCTGACATCGCTGCTACATCTCCGAGCACTATTGCTTCTGTGCCCAACTATACCCCATCAAGTTATACCCCGTTACAGCCTACTTCTCCTGCATTCTCGATGTCGTCACCTCCTCTACACGCATCACCACTTTCGATGGGGAGCATACTAGCACCCTCGCAACCTTATCGACCGACAACTGCTACACGGCCGATCTCGAAAGATGACTGGGGAGATTTCGATCCCCTCAAGTGAATGAAGTTGACCTGGCACAAAAACGTCGGATGTGATTGTTAGCACCGCGAGTTACGGTGGTCAGGTCCTTCACGTGTTTCTCGCCGCCCCAACACTGGTTATATCTTAACTATCTCGTATCATCCCGCACGTGGTCACAATTTCAGTACACTCCGCACGATCACTGAATTTGCAATCTTATCATTTCTCTACTAGGATTGGGTCTGATAAATTGATCCTCTGTTATTCGAGTCCGGTGCTCGATTGGAAGTTCCTGCGCTGTTCTCGGTAAGCTCTCGGCCTGCCATCTCATCGCGGCGGTTTACATAGGTTAGGTGTTTAGACCTTTTGAGTTAGATGTCCTGCCCGTGCATGTTAGGTGGTGTAGTTGGTTTGAGACCCCGCTTTCAGGGGAGTCGGTTGAACCTCCACTGAGACGTGCCCAAATGATTCTGAACATCCAGGACCTTTATGCATAGGTAGAAAAGAGACCAAGATCCCGTCCTGCGGCCCTAACGCGCGTACGCTTCCCTAGACGCATTCTTCACATCTTCCTGTAGTCCTACACGAAGTCCCTAACGTGTTCCTCGAACCACGTACTCTCCTTGCGCGACAGAGCTGGTCCCCCATGCACATGAAGCACCTTGATCGGATGGAAACTTTCGGAGTCCATGCCGTTGTCGTCCTTCTCCAGGTTCTCCTGCCCCGCAACCTCTCTCCGGCTGCTGATTATCGCCTTCAACATTCCGACCGGGAACTTCATGACGAAGTCACCCTTGGCTGTGAGCTTAAGTGTGGTGACACGGGGCCACCGGCAAAATACATGGCCGTTTAATGGTGCGCCGATGAAGACCAAGATGACCTTTATGCACGAAGAGTCGCTGTTCATGATGGTCACTGTATCACCATTCCACTTGCACGTGGACGACATGATATGCGAATCGTTGCTGGCGCACTCATCGAACTCCATTGAATTCGAGGGAGGTAACGGTATGCCACAAAGGTCCTCGACAGAATCGCAACGATGAAGAACAATGGTCTGGCAGTTGTCGTCGATCACAGCCAAGCCTTCGATGCACCTGCGCAGGATCACTTTGTCTGCCCCAATTTTCATGCTGCTTTGCATGGTAATGATGGTACTTCGTGTCATATACAGGCCGTCGAGAGTGAGGCAAGGTATTCGTCGTGGTATTGCACGTAACATGCAAACCGACGCCCCATCTCCGCGGTCGAGTTTGCATGAAGTCGTCACGAACTGAACACGTCAAGTTGTCTTTCAGCCACTGGGGGTTGACACAGCAAGCTACGTTACGTTCGACATGAAAGATCTTAAGGGCGGGGCAGTCAAATTTGAAAAATGCTTGCGGGTAAACACTTGAGTCAGGGGCGCATATCCTGTTAGTATGTCGAGGTGTTGGTTGTATGCCCCGTAGAAGTCACGTATTCGGAAACTCCCAAGTCGCCCAATATGTGGTGCAACGCAGCATAGAATCGCAAAAACTTCTCGGAAATAATGCTGGTTGACGATGGTCAAATGGACTGGGTGGGTGCTCGTCTCCTCTAGCTGCGAACTCAACGTCCGCTGGGAGTTCTCCTGGGGCAGTACACAAAAGATGCGGGTCCACAGCTCAGGTGCAGAAGACATGATGTCTCGCCAATGTCTGCACACCAAAGCCATGGTGTGAGGGAATGGCAGGCCTCCCTCCATCATACAATGCTCGGCTTTAGGATCTGTCATCATATCATCTTTGATGATGTCTTCCAGCGCAGTCTTGAGGATGCTGGACAACGTCTCTGCGAGAAGTAACACAAAGTATGTTTGCCCTTTTCGCACCATTTGTCCCTGGTGGTCAATGAAGACATAAACAATGATGTTCGCTGGAACGACGGACCTCGTCTGTAAGAGAGTTTAGGGGCTGCACTTCGCTCCTTGATCACCGTTAGTGGCCCGAACTAAGTGCCGATTTGCCGCGGCTTATTTGGAAGTCCAATCAATGTTTGTTCCAAATACATGCCAATGGTAACACGTATAATTTATTCGCGGCGTCGATCGACTTGAGCGCGCCTGAGGTTGTATATGTTCTAGTACGACGATCTGGAAAGATGGCACTCGAAATTCGACACCAGCATCAAAAAATGTGTTCATAGCACTTCTCTACTAATCGCATTAGGTAAGAATGGAGATTTTGAATGTCATGAATATATGCAAAAAAAGTTAAAACAGATAATGGGTGACTATCTGTAGGCCAAATAATGTAGAATAGATTATGACGGACTTTGAAACATGTTTGCAAAAGATAATTCGTACAGAAAACAAAACCGTAACGCATATAGAATAAAATAATGTCGGTAAGAACTCCAACCAATGGATGATCTACTACTACAGTATACTTTGGTGAACAACACAGAAGAGATGGCTTTTCTTGATGACGAAGAAGATGCGAGAATGTTAGCAGCCACACTGGTTGTTGGAGTTGAGCTTCCTCGCCTTGATCGCATTGAGACTTGGAACCCTGAATGACTCTACCTTTGTCATGCCCAGCTACTTCCTGATCCACATTGCAATACCCCATGGCAAGTGTTGTACGAGAGTCAGAACAATCACGCATTTATCACAACCATGGGCATTGATGTTCGAACATTCAGATTCATCCTTCCGGCTTTGCCAGTCAGTGGTATGAGAAGCCCATTGCACGTCCTGATTAAAGCGAGTTTAGGCAAGCAGGGACGAACAAGGAGCTGGTAAGAATATATAATCTCAGTCTCGAGATACTTAACTCGGTAAAGTATAGTAGTACCTGGTAAGAATATATACTACGGGTATGTTAGCTCGTTATAAGAAAAGGGAAATAATAGTAATGACTTACATCTCAGTCTCGAGATACTCAACTGAGATGTTCTAACACGGTACTCGATACTTTATAGTAGTTAGCATAGTGATACGAATAAATGGTAGCATAGGAAGTATATTACTATGTCTCAGCTGACGTCACAACAGTCGCGCGTCACATAGACTGGTTGTGCTCGCAATGTCTCACTCTGACATCTCATTTCTTCCTCCTGGTCCGTGCCTCGAAATGTCAGTGCTCAACACTGATATCAACTTGCATGGCATTCCACACCTGAATTGGTGTTCACTTGATGCTGGTGGATTGGTGTTGGCACTGCTCGGCTCGTGCTCTGGCTGGTCACAGCTATATGTGACTGTGCAGTTGTCATATACTAGATCTGAGCACCTCCAAAACCACCTGAGAACATCCCTACCTACTACTCTGACCCCCTGTTTCTTGTCCGCTCCATCCCTCCTCTGACAATGCATGAAGTGTATCTCAGCAGGACTAGTCCTGCTACCTCTGCCTGACTCCACTTCCACTCCTCCAACACTATATCCCTACCATCTGACCCTATCTGGAGCTCTGCTCCTACACCCTATCAGTCTGACTGATCCTACTCCTACTCCCTCCACCATCTCCGCTTTTCTGACCCACTTCGGTTCCTCCAGTTTCTCTTGTATCAGTCCACCTGACTATTAGTCTGTCTGATCACCTCACCAGTCCACTTCTAGACTAGGATACTGTCATATCCCATATCTCTGGACCCGGAATTCTGGATTCTCCCCTATGAAAGTCCGGGTCTCTATCCTAGTCTCCATCCTATTCTCTGCCTGGCGCTTCCATTTTCATCTCCAGACTCACACCTATCTCCTTTTAGAATACTGCTCTCCAGGCTACCAGTTGTATACCTTTCTGCTTTGCTTACTGATCTGTCCATCTGTACTTCATTTCCAACTTCATTGCTTTGATCTGTTATACACTTACTAATAGACTTTCCATATGCTTTGGGCATAGCTTATACTTTGCTGACTGATTACTTACATGATACCTGCAGTATATAAACTCCTGTAAAACTCTGGTACCTCCTCAGTTCAAATATCATCTTAGTTCCTGCTCACTCCTGCCTCTCCGGACTTGAGTCTGATCTCTTGTCCACCTCCGAGTCTTAAGGTTAATTCTTAAGACTATATCTCCGGCTCTACCTTAGGGTAGTCTATCTCTGTTCCGTTTCTACTCCAGATTTGTCTGAAGTAGTCTTACTCTATTTACTCCTAGCCTTCTGGAGTTCTGCTGAACTCCCCCTGCATCTGACCTCCAGACTTACCCAGACTTCCGTCAGACTTCCCCTCTGCCTCTTGGAAATTAAGGGCATGTACTCAGGTAAGGGGCGCAGCACACGAGCTGAAGCCAAGCCCTTTGAGTTACTCTTCCTTTGAGCACGACCTTAACAGCAGTCTGCTGATACAAATTTTAAAACTTCAGCTGGAAAATTTACCAGGGAGCTCAGGGATTGGACTGCCTAGTTGTTCCTGTATATTGCATAGGGTATGGGTGAAAACTCTCCGAGCAGTTAATAACATGGTTAAATAGCATGTCACTTGCAGGGAATTGATAACAAGCAAGTTATTAACAATCACGCAACCCAAAATTCAAAATTTTCTCCAAGTTCTCTGCCAGTTGGCCCACTCGGCATCCACATCCTCCAGGTCACTAGTGCCATCACTGCCATGGCTGTCATTCTCTAGAGCCTGGTCAACTACACTCTCGTGTTCATCTGACAAGATCCTTGTCACAATTGGTGCATGGATATCCACTTCGGCCTCGACCTTGAAGGCTGAATCTTGAGCTGGCACAGATGTGACCATCTCATCCAGCCAAGTGTATTCTTCATTGAGCATCTCTTCCTCTCCGTCAGCAGTGTCCATGGAAAAATAGCTCCCTGTTGATCCATGCTTTTCTGTCCGGTCCACAGGGGACTTAGTAGGTGCAGAAATTAAAGACCCAATGTCACAGAATGCAACATCAAGCCACCGTCTTTCCATGATTTTCTGTGCATGGTTAGTTCCAGCTCGAATTAGGTCAACACACGACTAACCTCAGGATCATACATGTGCCACTGCCAAATTTGTGTTATGTCAATGAGGGTGCGAACTTGTTGATGATTTCTTGCAGGTGTGTTCATCTTCATGAACACAGACATGGTATGTTCTTCTGGTATGGAGGATGATTTGATTGAGTAGAGCTTTTGGGCTATGGACTGGAAGTAGAAGACAAATTAGTGATTGTCTATTGTATTATGAGGAACAATTCACTGCAAGCACAGACCCTTCCAAAATTTTTGTCAAATGAGTCCAGTATGAGAGTGTGTTCTGCCCCTCCTCCAAAGGTGTATCAAAAGGAAACTGTCCTTTCACGTAGCACTCAAATTGACAGACAAATGATTCCCAGACAAATGCTGCTGTTTTACCCTTGAGGACTGGGTTATGCTGAGACTTGAATTCATGCGAGTGGTATATTCTTCTTTCCTTGAGAGGTCTTGATGGAGCATGGAGGGGAATGGGCAATAGAGGGTGACGGTGATGCTGGCAGTGAAGAAAACTCTGAAAGTGATGGAGTTGATGGTGGTAAGTATGTTATGACTGGGGATGAACAAGTGAGCTGGAAGTGAACATCAGAACATGGTGCAAACTGGTAAAGAATCCCGTGCAGAGAGATAGGTGCCCTGGGCACAGTCACAATATGCCATCAACAACATAGAGACAAAATATGTCTGCTCAAAGGTATGCTTTGATACTGCATCCTCACCTGCATAGATAATATTGAGCATCATATTTAGATTAGTATCACTTAACCATTCCCTGCATGCAAAGTTCATGAAATCATGGATTGGGGCCCAATCACTGAAGCCTGATGTCACACCTGTTATGACCGACGTCCAACAATAATGATTGAAGGTGAGTGCACAACCACTAGGACTCGGTCAGAGATGACGATGAGCAACAGAATAGGATTGAGCTGTGAACGTCTAGGTCACTACAATAGTAGAAACGAAGAGGTTAAGTCTAAGGAGCACTTACGCTAACTACCCTACTTTTATACATAACATTGAGTAGGAGTCTGAAAGAAATCAACCAATGAGAAAAGAGTTCATACAATACTGCGGATGAGTAAGTATGACCTCATGATATATAAGCAAATGAGTAAGACAGTTACTAAATAGAAACCCAAGATCCGACCGGTTCTTCTTTCGGAAGCAAGATTGTTCTAGCCCGTGGAGTAGGGGAACCAATCGGAGAAGCAACAGGTGATCTATGACTGAGGAGTCATGTGACCGGCTCGGGTACTGGAAGTAGCCGAAGGAAAACCGAGAAATGAAAAATGGTTCGTATTTGGGATTCGTGACAACACCCGACCAGCATAATCTGTCCATAGAAGCTATTAAGACCATGCTCCGGGGTAAGACAGAGTCTGAGGGGCTTGGCTTCAGCTCGTACGCTGTGCCCCTTACCTGAATACATGCCCCTAATTTTGGATTGTAGTCCTGACTTGAGTTCTATGAGCTCCGACAGGATGTTGGAGTGGAGGTCCTCCAAAGGAGGACCGACAGACTACTAGATAAGTGCGGGAACATCAGGCAGAGATTGGTCCGCCCTACAGGGGAGAGTCGGAGGGCTACTGCAGTTGGAGCTAACAGTAGGAATGGAGTGGAGGAGACTGCTCAGACGAAGTCCGACACAGGATGGAAATACGGAGGAGAGAGGTACAAGAGTTTTAGCCACATGTTCGATGCACAGGAAAGGCAGCGGAGGCATGGGAAGTCGGACGAGCGGAGAAGGTGGCTGACCTAGGGAGTCAATCCCCTAGGCCGGCAAACAGGAGTTGACTGTCATATACCTGATCCGACTGCTCCAATATCAATATCTGCTCTGCTTTCCGACCACCTCCACTCCATCCATCCTCCACTCCATCCAACCACCGCCTGCAGCTCCTACGCTTCTGCTCGACCACCCGACCGGTCACCTTCTAGAACGTCTCCATTCAACTGGAACCTCTTTCCCCTTTTAGATATATACTTTTCCCTTCAGTACATAGACCCTTACTTCTGGATCACCAGTAACTCCTCTTACTGCTCGATTGCTGATCCAATGCATACATATTGATATCCGCTCCAACTTATGTCTTCGCCTGTGTAAGTACTTACAAACTATATCCTTGGTACATAGCTTTACGACATAAATCTCCTAATCACTGCCTCACACTTAGAAGTATATAACATATCCTGTACTTAGATATTTTCCCCAGTCTTAATATTACTTGTCTTCTTGCAGTTTCTACTTGTGAGAATTCTCAGTAGGACCTTGCCTCCTCTGGACACAAGTTTCATCTTGTTGTCACCTCCGACTTAGAGCCGTGCTCTAAGTCTTCCCCCTTACTTCTCCGCCTCTAACAATAATCCCCCTTGCTCCTATCCACCTTCCGCACTATCCTCCACCTTCTCTGCTCCGCTCCTAGTCGGCCCGCCGCTGGTAGCATTTACTTCCCGACCCTCAAAGCAGGTCCAAAGCAGGTCCACTTGTCCTACCGTCAGACAATGTTGGACCCGCTCCAAATTCGGGGCACGTACTTGGCTAAGGGCACAGCGCAAGAGCTGAAGCCAAGCCCTGACCCCTCCACTTCTTGAGCCCGGCACGGTACCTAACTGTTAAGGTCATGCTCAAGGGGGAGGTTACTTAAAGGGCTTCGGCTTCAGCTCATGCGCTGCGCCCCTTACCCGAGTACGTGCCCTTAATTTCCGGGGGGGCAGAAGGGAAGTCCGACAGAAGTCCAGGAAGTCCGGAGGTCAGACGTTGGGGGAGTTTGGCAGAACTCCAGAAGACTATGAGGGAAACAGGAGTAAGGCTACTGCAGACAAGTCCGGAGTAGAAACAGAACAGAGGTTAGACTACCCTAAGGTAGAGCTGGAGATTTAGTCCTAAGGTTTAACCCCTAAGACTCGGAGATGGACAAGAGCTGAGACTCAAGTCCAGAGAAGCAGGAATGAGCAGAACTAAGATGGAGAGTCGGAGGTATAATCAAAGGAATCAATCCTAAGACTCGGAGATTGACAAGAGACAAGCTCATGTCTGGAGGTACTGGAATGAGCACAAACTAAGGTGATATTTGAACTGAGGAGTTCTGGAGTATTACAGGAGTTTATATACTGTAGGTATCATGTAAGTAAATCAGTCAGCAAAGTAAGGGCTATGTACGAAGCATGTGGAAAGTCTATTAGTAAGTGCATAACGGATCAAAGCAGTGAGGTCGGAAATGAAGTAAGAACAGATGGATCAGTAAGCATAGCGGAAAGGACATAACCAGTAGCTGGAGCAATAACTATTCTAAAAGGAGATAGGGGTGAGTCCAGAGATGAAAGTGGAGTGCCAGGTGGACAACAGGACAGAGAACCGGACTTTCATAGGGGAGAATCTGGAATTCCGGATCCGGAGGTATGGGATATAGTGTCAGAGAAAATAGGGGTAGTGTTGGAGGAGCAGAATAGAGTCGGGCGGAGGTAGCAGGGCTAGTCCTGCTGAAACGCACTTTGTGCATTGTCAGAGAAGGAGGGATGGAGCGGACGGGGAAACAGGGGGTCAGACTAGTGGTAGGGATATTCACAGGTGGTATTGGAGGTGCTCGGATCTGGTATATGACACTAACATTGACTTGGGTTAAGCCTAAGTCAAAGGACAGAAGAGCAGGGCTTAGGAATGGTAATATTCAGACTAAAGATCTACAGACAGATGTACATATGCTTATATGTATACTCTAAGTAAGTAGCATAGCATAAGCAGAAGGCTATGTGCTGAGTGTACAGAATTACTAGAAGGATGACTGAGACATACAAGAAAAGGCTCAGAGAACAGTATGTATGTGACGGATCAGTAATCACTCTGGTATAGGAATTACCAGTGATCCAAAAGGAGGAACTATGATACTAAACAGAGATAGGACCAGTTGAGTGGTACCTAGTCTAGGAGTGGACCAGGTGAGGCGGTCGGGCGGACTAATAGTCGATTGTGGTGATATGAGAGAAACTGTCATATACCGGATCCGAGCACCTCCAATACCACCTGTAAACATCCCTACTGCTAATCTGACCCCCTGTTTCTCCATCAGCTCAATCCCTCCTTCTCCGACAATGCATGAAGTGCATCTCAGCAGGACTAGCCCTGCTACCTCCACCCGACTCTATTCTGCTCCTTCAACACTACCCCTATTTTCTCCGACACTATATCACATACCTCCGGATTCGGAATTCTGGATTCTCCCCTACAAAAGTCCAGTTCTCTGTCCTGTTGTCCACCCAGTGCTCCACTTTCATCTCCAGACTCACACCGATCTCCTTTTAGAATACTGCTCTCCGGTTACCGGTTGTACACCTTTCCACTTTGCTTACCAATCCACCCATTTGCACTTCATTTCCAACCTCATTTCCTTGATCCGTTGTACACTTACTAATAGACCCTCCATATGCTTCAGACATAGCTTTTACTGTGCTGACTGATTACTTACATGATACCTACAGTATATGAACTCCTGTAAAACTCCAGAACTCCTTAGTTCGAATATCACCTTAATTCCTGCTCATTCCTGCATCTCCGGACTTGAGCTTGGTCTCTTGTCAATCTCCGAGTCTTAGGATTGATTCCTTTGACTGTACCTCCGACTCTCATCTTAGTTCTGCTCATTCCTGCTTCTCCAGACTTAAGTCTAGTCTCTTGTCCACCTCCGAGTCTTAGGGGTAAACCTTAGGACTAATTCTCCAGCTCTACCTTAAGGTAGTCTAACTCTGTTCTGCTTCTACTCCGGACTTGTCCACAGTAGCCTTACTCTGTTCTCTCCTAAGCCTTCTGGAGTTCCACCGAACTCCCCCCACGTCTGACCTCCGGACTTCCCTGGACTTCTGTCAGACTTCCCCTCTGCCTCTTGGAAATTAAAGGGCACGTACTCGGGTAAGGGGCACAGCACACGAGCTGAAGCCGAAGCCCTTTGAGTAACCTTCCCCTTGAGCACAACCTTAACAGAAACTGGAGGAACCGAGTGGGTCGGAAAAGCAGAGATGGTGGAGGGAGTAGGATTGGTCGGACCAATGGAGCAGAGGAGCAGAGCTCCAGATAGGGTTGGAGGGTAGGGATATGGTGTCGGAGGAAATAGGGGTAGTGTCAGAGGAGCAGAGTGGAGTCGGGTGGAGGTAGCAGGGCTAGTCCTGCTGAGATGCACTACATGCATTGTTGGAGAAGGAGGGATGGAGCGGACAGGGAAACAGGGGGTCGGACCAATAGTAGGGACGTCTATGAATGGTGTTGGGAGTGGCTGAATTGGGTATATGACAGAAGCGCAGAAGGTGCATGCCACTTGTATTGGATATTAAGCAAGGCAGGCACTTCAAGCCAAAATGTCAGAATCCAGAATGGAAAGTGTTGTTCTGTGTCAGTATGACCATAGAGAACAGATCTGCTACCAGCAGATTTTGCATGTGGTGCCTGGTCTAGGAGGTACTGTAAAACATCAGGAGTAGGCATAGTGTGCATGCGAAGGTAATAGGGATACAAATTTTTGTGGTGTGGGTCATTGTTACTGAAATACTGATGTAAAGATGGGGGGTCTGTCACAGTGGTGGATGATGGAAGTCGGAACAGTAAGAGAGACAACACAGACATATTTTTGTCTGGAAAAATAAGGGACCACATGTGGTCTGGAATGGCAAAAAGTGTGTCACTGTCTTCAACCATAACTGCTAGTGCTCGTCTGACAGGCGAGTGAAAGAGAAAGTTGGAAAAATGCCATTGCGATACTTTTCATTTGCTCTCGCTGTCTTCTTTGCATGATCTGCATGATTTGCACAGTGCCAGGAGTTCAATCAACCATGATCAACGGGAAGGCACGAAGGCTGGACCATCACAGGGGTCACTTGACTTATTAGCACTTTATTAACCCCTCCCAAGCGGCACCATGTTATTAACTGTTATTAACAAGTTATTAACATGTTGTTATTAACACGGCTAATAAAAACCAGGTTTTCACCTGTACCCTAATATTGCAAGAGGTTGGGACGAGGCAGCGACTATCGTTATGCTGAAGATGAGTAAGGTGGGGATCTTCAGTGGTAGATTAGTCAGCGGATAGCTCAGGTGTAGTGGCCAAAAACGGATATAATCCGTCAATTCTAATCTGATTAATCTGTAAGGGGGGGCCCCCCTTACAGATTTAGAATTTGTAAGAGGGTCAAGAAAATAATGTTTTGCAAATTCGACCCAAATGAACAGCGGCATCGCGGCACGACTTCCTTAAATGGTATTTTTTATTCTATTCTATTCTATTCTATTCCGCAATATTTGGGCCTACGGATAGTCACCCAATTCTTTAGACCTTTAGATCGGTGTGCTGCATTATGTAATTACATAGTTTATCAATCCCGATCACGCGTTTTCTTGTCATAGTTGGTACGACAATAAATCACAAACTTCTTTCAATAAACCGCTTTTGATCTATGGTTGGAGTATCATACTTGCACATTAGATAGACTCAATCACGCTGGTTCCACCTGGACACCGTCCAATGGCCGAACATACGTCGCTTCGACAATGGTGTCGGGTCCTTGGCCGGGTTGCTGTGCGACACTGTTGGTATCGATGTCAAGGTTCAGCAATGCCTTCAGAACCAAGAGCGCCCCGGCCTTTGAGGCAACGACATTCCCTTCCGAGCAAGTGGCACTGTGAATGCCTAGTCAAGATGATTAGCAATGAAAATGAATCCCTGGACATAAACTTGCATTTGTAGCAACCATCGTCACATGGACAGGCTTCCACTGAGTCATGCGCCTGTCGCAAAACTTCACCGCCTGCAATACTGCTATGAAAATAGACGATTCATGAGGACAACATGCTCACTGTGATCAAACGCCTGGGCAGACACACTACCTTTCCGGGATGCGTCATACAATATTAGCCTATAATCTAACGTGAGTGAACTGATGATAGTCATGAGGAAGCATATAGACCTAGCGGGACGTTTCCGCCGTGACTTCTCTTCAGTATGTTTTTCATCCTTGCGTTCAGCAAGTTCTTTCTCTGCTGCCTTGCATTCTGTCCGTAAGTCGGGAGAAAGCGCAAAGCGATTCATCCATGCATGCGATGCAGAATGGATGGCTTCTGCAGGCTTCAACCCCTTTTCCCTCAGCAATCCAAGTAGATCTTTGGGTACATCGAACCAAAATCCAGTGACTTGTCTTTCGTACGGCAGCGTATCAACGTCAACGAATTCCAGCATTTCACTGCCTCTGAAGAGTAACTTCGAAATTGACGGACTATCAGCTAACGTCTGGACGCACCTTAATTTCAAGAATCCTGAGAAATATTAAGCAACGAATTATTCACGTCATGGGATGAACCATACCAAATACAACGGTCGTTACATCAACTCCTGTGTGCGGGCAATGTAGTATCGTCACGATCTCTGATATGTTTCACTCACTTCCAAAATATGCTCTATGTGGCGACCCCGCAATCTCTTTGATTCGATGGGTTTGCTTGGCATCCACGTCCCTGTTGGTCTAGTCTAGGTAGCGGATCATATAGATGGGGAAGTACTTACGTGTAATCTCTGTAGTGTGCATTCGTGGATTGTCATGACAGGAAAGCAGGATACGGACACACCTCGGCCTAGTGGACCAGTTGACATCCGCCCTCACAAGTCTTGCCACTTTGGTATCATGACTGACTTCTTTAACCTATGCGACAGTCAGGGACTGTGATACTTAATCAATCGTGCTTACGATAAATGTCAGCCCTTGATGCATGAACTAAAGGCAAGCATCAATATGGGATCTCTAAAAGGCAAGACGGAATTAGTGACGAACCACTCCACCCTCATACAGCTCAAAAATAGCCCTTGCAAGCTCAATCTCTTCCATAATTCTTGGTACACCATGTGGAAGGCCGAGTTTCGTCACATCGATAACAGTGTACTTGTCGTCGTCCGCGCCACGGATTGAGACGTGCCTGGATGGATAGGGAAGAAACTTGGGGTGTGTGTGATACCTATGCAAGGTTAGCAGTAAATTCAGTTATGAAGCAGAACACTACCATCCGTCTTGGTCTTTCCGTAACTTCGAATCGCACAACTCGGCTAGCGAGGCACCGAAGTAGACAGCATCGTCCTTGGACAGAGGCATTTCATGAGCAGCGCATTGCAAGTGAGCCTCAATGATGACTTTGCTGTCAACGTCGACAATCAAGTCATCCATGGGCTGGTCATAAAGTTCGTCTGGGTAGTCGACGTAGTGTTGGTCTATAGGGAGGTCATCAGCTATCAATACAGCCAGTGAGTCACGGGATCTTCGCCCAGCTCGACCAGCCTGCTGCCGCTAAAATCCAATGAATCAGCATGGTCATGGAATCTCTGAAAGGTACCAACAAAGTTGGCAATGCCAAATGGAAAACCAAGCATGATAACGGCGTCCAAAACACCGATGTCTACACCGAGCTCAAGAGCATTAGTTGCAACGATACCGAGTAAGCGTCCCGAAAAAGCTTCATGTTCAATGCGGCGCCGATCCTGCAAGTCCCTAAGAACTACATCGCCCGAAGTACACAACACTGACCTCCTGAGAGTACCCTAAATATGAAGTGTGATGGGTTGGTGATCAATTAGATGCCACAAACAAAAACCGACCTCCTCTGTAAGGCATGACCTTCGCGAGAACATCTAAACGTCCATCGGCGCTAAGTTCCTGGCGCAGACCTTTCATCACCTTTGATCGACATTAATCCCAGGTCAACTCAAAGTGAAATGTCATGCTACTCACAAACTCGCATGCTTTTCGAACCTAAATTTACCTGAGCCTCTAGAATCCAATTAAGCTCGGATTATGGTACGGACCTTGCAGAACACAATCACCCGGACGCCACGCATCATCAAAAATATCATGAGTTGAGTAGCCTCGTGTAGTGAGCTCGTTCGTCCGCTTTTTTCAGCCTGGGGGTCCTTATAAGGGAGATCCCAGACTATGTAGTCCTTCTTTCCGGATGGAGCTCCATCTTCAACGATTTCTTCCACGTCCTGCGAATTTTAGATGGCTACCAGAAGGACTGAAAGAGAGCATACATCTACCCCGAAAAGACTTTTCATATGCTGACTTGGCTTCGCGATCGTGGCACTACATGATACAAAGATAACACGTTGGTCTGGCAAAGATTTGGTCAAAAGATGAAAAACCGCGCCACGCAAACGTACTCCCTACAGCTGCACAGATCCTGCGGAAACGGCGGATGACCTGAGCAACGTGACTTGGAAGAAGTTTTATGAGACTGGAATCAAACGGTGCACCTATGAACCTCACCTCCCAAATAAATTGGAATAGTAGTGCAGTTCATCGACCGCTACGAGTTTGAGATTCTTCATGAAGCTTAGGAACAATACATCGATGTCAACGTAAAATGCAGACACACAACAGCTCACGTCCGCCAAAGCTCCTCGTGAGGCAGAATAGAGGCGTGCAACATGTCCTTAATGACATTGTCAGAAATCTCGGCAATGATTTCAAGATTACGTATACGTACAAAGTTGGTAAAAATGACGGAGGCCGTCTCCCGAATGGCTGGATAAAATTTACTAATTGACAGGCGCAGAATGCAGTAGGCTTACTTCTCCGTTGGTCCTGCGGGGTGTCTCCATCATATGTTACTACTTTGATATGCTGCAGTCCAGGACAAGCCCACAGCAGCTGCTCCAGCGCAGTACGCTGATCCTGAGCTAAAGCCTGGAGAATGTATCACGAAGTGCGGGCGGCATTGTTCAGTCGAGGACTAACCTTGGTGGGATATATGAATATTGCTGTGGAATTAGAATTCTCTTCTAGAAACTTCAATAAAGGAACCTGAAGACAACATTATCAGCTGATGTCTCCCAGGAGCTGCACATGAAAGGACCTGATAGATCACACTCTTGCCTGACGCAGTGCTGGTCGAAACAATGACATGCTTCTTCTTCGCAATAGCGTTAATGGCAGCTGTTTGATGGTAATACAGCGACGTTATATTTCGCGACTCTCGCAGCGCTTGTTGTATGGTATGTGAAAGAGGCTCATCCAGCAATCCTGATTACAGATGTGAGAAACAAGAAGTATTTGTGAACGACGTTCTACCTTCGACGGCTGCCTTTTCCTTGAACGTCCGCCGGTCGACAATTTGTTTTTCATACCATGATTGTTTTTGAATTTCAACTATTATATCGTCAATAGAAGGTCGGTCTTTGGGTTCGGGTATTATCAGATTCTGGGAGCCACCGGCATTGGTGGCGGCCAAGACTTTCTTTGCGAAAGGGTTTACGGGGATGTGGTCTCTTGCTGCTGCTTGAAGCAAATCCATGGATACCTCTCCCTCTGGTGTAGCTTTGATAAGCCTATATTTCAGAGTCAACAATAACACAAATAATGCGCTTTGTATGCATACTCGTCGACAGCATCTTTGAAGCGCTGGTTTCGCTTATCAACCAATTTATTGAGTTGTTTAGGCGTCATAGATGGTGGGACCGATAAACCAGGACTATGCTTCGTGTCAGTATGAATTCAATTACATCCAGACAACAATGATCACCCTGATTTTAGACGTCCGCGAGAGTACTCTATAAATTCTAGGACAAGGACGTGCTCTTCCTCTTCCTGACCTGGGAGAACAGAGGTCGATGGTGCGGCAAGAGACTGCGAGTGTAGCGTGAAGTCGGGGCTGAGCTCACGCTTAGTATTTAGAGAAACCGTTTCTGCATGTATGCGAAGGTCATTTTCAGGAATGTAAGCAAACTTGACGATTTCCGGGACAAGGGCTCTGTGGAATATGATTATAATTTTTTAGTTGAATGTTATAACTGCGTCCACTTACTTGATCTCTGCTACTTTAGACAGTTCGAGTGGTCTGCAGTCTAGTTTGTATGATAATCGCAGCTTTTCAGAAGTAAACGCACCTTTTGAGAAGACCTTCGACGGAGGCACGAACTACAGGAAACGTGGTTGCAAGATGCTTGTGAGAAGACACAAATGCCAGAACTGTATTCAGTGCCTAATATTCTCGCATGAGTGTATTTCATACATGCACATGGGGTTACTTGCCTTGAAGACCTGCAATACTTAACGTGAAGACTTAGAAAGAAATGGGTCGGTGCGACTGGCATACCTTGAACAACTTGCGTACAATCACTTAGCGGAAAATAGTATATAAAAACGCTCGACTCACATCACGGAAATAGCTGGGCCACCCCGATGTCTCCTCGTCATCGTCTTGGTTCCTGCTAGCACTTGTCGCACTTGAAACCTTCTGCTTTTTTGCCAATTTTTTGGAGGACTCGCCCGCAGTCGTTGAACGCTTCATACTCGCATAAAACTGGGGTTCCGACTTTCAACTACAGTTTGTCTCTCAGCGAACGAGAGCGGAGAGTAAGACAAGCTTCTGTCACGCAGCGCGCCCCTAAACGCGTGACATCACATTGTCTGTTACATTTTGTCACGCTCAGGTCCTCACGCTCGCTTTTCTGCGGCCACAAAGTGAGTCGGAATGCCTACAATAATTAGAACTGACAATTTACTTGTCCCAGATTGCCATCATGTCCGCTATACCACGTACTCTTCGAGTCGTTCCAAAGGCTTCTCTAAAGCCGGGAAGCAAAGTTCTCCCTCCACCGCTCACAAGCCAGAATGAGCGCGCATTCAAAGAGCCACTGCTCCGGATTATGGCTCGCAGGCAGCAAGAAGCGGGTGATTTATGGCCACCAAATTTGCGCATAGAGCCACATGTCACGAAATCAGCTATTGGACGAGCCCCGGAGGAGATGCGGGCTCAACTGAAGAGATTGTTGAAGGAACGGTAAACGCTTGACGTACTTGTAAGTGTTATGAGTTTTAATCCTCTTGCCCCTCATTATGGATTGTTTTTAGAGCATACCTTGTGTCATATTGCGTCGTACCCACCTTCCCAGTGCCTGTATTTATGAACAGCATTTTAATAGTGCCCTATGGTTTTACCGTGCGGCTGCATTCTGCACTACAAATTTATTGCAAAGATAGGAAACGTTTTAAAAGAGATTCAGTGTCATACTAACACACGTCCTGGAGATCACCAGCACGGAAGGCATCAGTATCGAGACAAGGTTGTATCCCGCAGAGTCCAGTCACGCATTGTTCAATGATACAGACTGCAGCTAGACCAGAGACCAGCACAGACGCCAAGAATACTTCCAGTTGTATGTAGACCGACCGGATGATACGCAACCAATTGTACAGGTTTATGAGGGAACATATAGACATACTACAGCCGGTGGGTAAAGGCAACAGTTCAAACGTTCAAGTCGTGTCTATACTTGCAGCCGCAACTGACAGCCTCGCTCCTTCAAACGTCTTCTCCAAGAGCTCATTAAATCTCGCCTTCCATTGTGCCGAAATTCCATGGCCAGTCTCCTCCCACCAAACAAGCTCGGCTTCTGGCATGTGGCGTTGTAGATGAAGACTGTTCGAGCAATGTACTAGATGATCCTGGTCGCCTGTCAGTATGATAATTTTGGGTATCGATGAGGATATCTTGCGCAGCCGTGCAGGTGAAACGTAGTGGGTAAGCCCTGCGCACATCTGCGATAAAGCACCTATGGGTGGTTGGGGTTGGGTGATCTTCAGACGCTGGCGGTATATCTTCGAGGAATATGGAGTCAGTTGCTAATACGTCATATACACCACAGTACTGACAGCGGATTGGACTTCTAGGTTGGTCCTTCCCTCTGGGTCATCTTTAGCCTTCTCCGCTAGCCACGGTTGGGGGTATAGCATATTCATTATGATTGGAACCTTTACGTCAGGATCTCCTGTCATCAATAACCTACACATGAAAGAAATTAGTAGGGTAGGCTTGGAGAGTATATCATATTTAACCTTGTCAGCGACGTAGAACCTTTCCACTAGAGGAACTTAGCATAGATTTCGTTAATCACAAATACGGGACCTACAGGTGGCATGTTTTGCCAGACTCTACCACCAGCTGTCGTGACAATTAGGCTCAGGGAAATTATTCTATCGGGTATGCGATCCGCGAGCTCTTGGGATGCAATGTAAGAACCAAAAAATCAGCATGAAAGACCATAACAATACCTTGAGCGATCATCCCACCCAAAGAGATGCCCACTACGTGGACGCTACGTTCCTCGGTCCATTTCAAATAGTCAAGCAATGTTATGACATCCTCCGCCATGCCGCTCGATCTATGATCCCAGAAAGGATCAATACGCAAACCAGCGGGGACCAAACTGGAGACATACGTGTATGGACCCCTCGGAGTACCACTCATACCCACACCGCGATTATCGAAAACTAGTACCGAGTACTGGGGAAGTTTCCCAAAGTGCTCGACCTGAGATAACCATCCGAAGGATGTGCTATTAAGGCTGCATGTGTTCTGATAAACCTACAGTAAAACCTTCAACTACATTGGACCTACCCCATGATAAAGATGAGCTTCTCGGGTCCAGTGCCGTGCTGCTCATAGTACAAAGAATGGCTCTCAAGCGGACCGCTCTGGCTGCGGATCTGTGTTACAGGACAAAGACCCCTGCGAACGCAGGTGTCTGGGTCGAAAAGAGTCTGATATTCGGGGCCCAAAACCTGGTCGTGCGCAGTTGACATGGTTGTTCGGGATGTGAGTTGGTATCATAGCGGTACCTGTAAGTAACGGTAACATATACAAAGAAAGCATGTTAGGGTCTGCAGCTGAGAAATTGCCGGCGCCACATCATACCCGCATCCCAACCGCAACACAGCACTACGTAGCAGTATTCCTCCACGGTTCCCAACATGTGTGAGTCTTAAGTTTACTACTAGTTCCCTCGGTCCCTAAGCAGTAGTTCAGGTCAAGCCAGGATGCTTGTCGTGTTCCTATTTCTCACATTCGCAGCGGCTTACATACTTTTCGTTGGGTGTCTCTACGAGAACGGCCTGGTGCCAAAGTTAAACGCGGTATGCGATGCGCCAGTCGATGGGGAATTTATCCCAACGCGCATTGCATACACCAATATCCCCGCTCTCGACTCCAACCTCTGTGCCATCGTTGCATTTTATCATGGCATGATGAACCCGACTTACCGACCGCTTCTAATATACATGTGCACCACACTGTCTGTAATCGCCATCATCCCTTTCGCAGAAGCCACTCGCGAATCTCACTCTAACCGGCTCAAGATACCAGCAACTATCGGCATGCTTGTTCAACTGTGCAGTTGTGCAGTGATCATGCCCATGTATTGGTTTGCCTTCGTGTTGACTGGTGGCACGACCCGTCGCACTGCAACATCCGCTAGCAATAAAATCAATCAAGGAAATGCAGAAGCACTTTTGTTCGCCCTTATCGTTGGCTATGCCATCCCCACCGTTTGCATGGTGGTTTTGGAAGACCCCATGGTGACCGCAATTTGGCAGGCCTTCCCACTTTTGATGAAAATCGCCCAGTGGGCGCACTGCAAAATTCGACCGCCCTCGCGTCACGCAGCATCGGGACACGGCACTGTTCAAGCCATGTACATGCTTGTGTTCATCGCCTCTGCTTATTTGCATGTCCTGTACATATGGCCTCTCTTCAACAGTCCAGCGCTATTCCAAAAGATTATAGCTCCCCCTATGGCACCTTTGGACCCAACAACCACCTCCATTGCTGAAGGCGTGGCAGCGTTCCTAAAGTGGGACATGGCATTTGGGGCGGGCTCGACTATTCTGGTGACACTGTGGTTCGCCGGAGGTCTAACAGACTTGGTGTTGTTGATTTTGTGGCATGTTTGGGCTACTTTTGCAGTGGGACCTGGAGCTGCAATCGCCGGAGCAATGATGTGGAGAGAAGCGATAATAAATCTACAGGCTATCGCCAATGCTGCAGACAAAGCTCGATGATGGTCATTCGTTACCCACCCTCTGTATATATATGCCTTGATAGGTTCGACTAACGTTTTGAGAGACCGAGAAATTGTGTAATGGGTAGCAGAACGGGCTCACGCCAAAGGTATAAAGATGTAATTGCGCGAGATCATACAATACAAAATTACTGTCCAGAGGGCTGATCTGCCCGAGTTGCCATTGCTGCTTGACCAGCTGCAGTTGCCGCCAGCCTTGACCGTTTCCTCTCGGCCTCTGAGTACAGTAATTAGTCACTAGTATCAATAGGTAGCATTCGAAAGACGCACCTGCTTCCTTCTCCCGCTCAATCTCGGCGACAATTGCTTCAATCTCAGGTAGCTCCAAGTGCTACCAAGTTTGTCAGAACCAATAAACGATCATGAAATAAGATGAAGTCGAACCGTAACTTTGCCGTAGCTCTCCATGACACTGATCTCAATGTTTTTCGCTCCTGTCTGCACGACTTCAAGAAGACTCTTAACCGTCAGCTTTATGCTTTCTTCGCGAGTCATGCCATCTTTGTGATTTTTCTCGAGGAACTCGCGGACCGTTTTCGACGATCGACCAATTGCATTGGCCTAAAAAGAAGATGATCTATTTAACTGTGTAATATACGGTGGAGGGTTTGACTAACCTTCCATGCGCTATAGATGCCACTCGGCTCAGTCTGGTAAAGTCTTGGTCGCGAGTCATGTGGATCGAATCCGATGATCAATGTTGAAATACCAAATGGTCGTACACCACCTGATTGCGTGTATTTCTGGGGGGAAGCTAGGGATGAGGGAAAATGCTATGTCAACAGCAGTCGTCTACTGACCTGCTGTATACCAGCAATGTGTCTCGTTATATACTCTACTGTGACGGGATCCTCTACGGTCAGACGATGACTTTGACATTCTATCCGCGCTTTGTCGATGAGGACTCTGCCGTCCGCAGTCAAGCCTGCATGATGCGAGATCAGATGATGTGACGAAGCGGGACATGGGAGAAGCGCACCAGCAAATGCTAAGCAGATGTGATCATCAAGCATGACGACCTTTCTAACAGTACGAGGGTCTTGGAGTTGCAGGACGGATTTCTTTTCGACGCCAAGGACGACTACATCCTTGCCCCGAACGCCAACCTGCCAGACGAACGATCAGGGCTCCATTAGGCTAAATAACGTCCAAGTCTCACAGCACATGTTCCCTTGCGAACAGCTTCGAGGGCATACTCAACCTATCGAACAGGTAAGGTGAGATCACGGTCAGTTAGACGCGACTTGACTGACCTGGAACAAATGGCCATCCGGAGAGAAGACAGTAAGTGCTGTGCAGAGATCAGTAACTGAATTTGCCAGCTTCGGTAAAGGACAGATACGTACCGCGATCGTATGACCTGGACATGACTTCAAGCAAGTAATGGATGTGATCTACAGAGGAGGTGATACCAAGTCTTACTTATGTCCTTGAACGCGCGTCGAGGCTGGCGTACGTTCGCTTATGTAAGCGAAGCTATTTATGGGGAAACACGTCTTGCTCATTAATGCAAACGCTTTAACTTAGCTGCTTACTCATGCGACAGGGATGGACGATGAGGTAGAAATTATCGGTGAGAGTAGTTCACGGCCATCGTGAGTGAAGCAAGCCTCCAATTATTATTTGCACACTTACTCTAGAGGCATCACCAGCTGTGCAGGCCCAACACTCTGCCAGTTGTGTGACACCAACTTCGAGAACTTCAGCGAACTTCAACGCCAACAGCACTATGACGTAGTACACTTCGACTCCGCATCTAGTAGTACGCATCGACCGACATGTCTAATTCTCCGTGTTCTCACTTCTTCGATAGAACCACAATCTAGTAATAGTTCTAGGAAACCAGCGATACCCAAAGACTTGTTCAAACCTCGAAGGTTCTCAGTGTCTCAAAGAAAGAAACCTGCAGATCAATTTTGGTATCCTAGTCTATCGAGGCCGCCACCTGACAACTGCAGTCCAGGTATGTCCATCAGAATTCACATGAGCCGCTTCCCCTGAGTACACCTACGTCAGGCTTAATCACGCTCTTAAAGCACGCTCTGAAGAAATCTCATACTAAAGGGTCCACCCGCCGAGCTGTGCTCTGCTGCGAATCAGCTACGCATATGAGTGTCGAGGCATTTGACCGCCGATGGGGATGCGGGTAGGTGTAACCTCCACCACTGTCTCGCCACCAGACTGATGCCCGCCCTGCATAGATATCGCAATTTCCTCATGGCATGTGCTGCACTCATGAACCAGCAAATTCAGAACATATATTATGCACTACTAGACGATCCCTTTCCCCCCGGTGTTCGAAATCTGCAGCGTTGGATAGAAGCTGCGTGGAAGGAAGGTGCAGCTATTGAGATCTGAGTATTCTATTTAGAATACTGAGTTACCATTTGACAGGTTATGACCCCGAAGGTGCCAGAGACTTAAAGGACGATTTGGTAGGAACAAATAAATGGATTGGTACAGCGGGTACGACCAGAACACTGCTCCTTAGGATCTCGATTGATTCAAAAACGTGCTTTCAGAACTCCATACCGCATTCACATCTCGCGGAATCCCGTACGCTATTATCTCTTTGTATGACAACGTGCTAAGTCTCGGAACAGTTCACAGCTTATAGATTTTGATCTTTCGAAAAACGAGAAAGGTGAAATCCACTTCTGCATCGGCCAACATCAGACTCATTCTGCTGTCAGGGGTTCAAGTTATGATAGACTGGATTGTGCGCTACTTTTCGCCACCCAATCCAATCAAACAGGGCACGGTGACCGACGTCCTCCGCGGTGCGTCACCTGTGATTGCGACGGACAAAATGCCTCTGGTTCTACAGTTCAGCGGTCATTCTCAAACTGTCGTCGGATATGAGATCTCAAAGAATGGGGATACGAATCTTCTCATATTCGACCCTTCAAGGTAAATTTGCCGCTGTGAGGAGGTGGAGACACTGATGTGAAGTCTTGAAGGCCACCTAAACTGAGTATGCGTCGAGCTGCGATTGCTGGACCTTCCTCAGTTGTATGGGAACAGTCACGAACCAACCAAGTGCTACAATCTGTCATGCATCCAACGTCTAACGGACTTTCCTCGAAACTGAAACGCCCTTCGTCGTCCTCCGATCTAAAGCAGCACAAGCGAGCCAAATCATCTGAGTCAGATGATGAGATCATCGTCGTGGAAGACTCAGATGACCCACGCAAAAATGACGAGAGACCGAGTATTTCTTCAGGTCAGCTACAATCATTCAAGCTTGACCCTACCGAGGTCGTGAATCACTTTCGGCTCAGCATATCGAAATTGCGGTGCGTATTGCTCTGCTGGACAAATTGTGTGAGCTCAGTGACTGTTCTCAGGCGCAAGCAAGACTACCAGATACTGTACTTCCCCATGACTGATCCATGGTCCATCGAGGAACGTAACAAGCGGAAGGTTGTGACGAGCATCCCAGGGTGTTGATTTTTTCTGGTTTGACTTCACACGCATGTTTCCTATGTTTTCCTTGATACCACGCATCGTAATTTGACATGAATTGTTTTCGATCACGCATTTGTACAGGATACGTGGATGGTGGAGCATGACTAGGTAAAATAGGCCGAATAATCGTTCTCTAACATTCCTTGCACATGTTGGTTTGGCGCACCCGGGCGCTGCGTAAGGCGCGGAGACGGGGGTATGTTTCGCTGGATCTAGGTGCCTTTGGCAATCGATCATAGATGGCCAAATGAACATCATCACTGACAAGGGTGAATCAGGGGCTCCTTTCCTCTTTTCACAGAACATCGACCTGTCTCGATAATGGACCGAAACGCTCCCATTTGTCGTCAACAAATCCTCTCTCATTTTGGACCTATCCTCTCTAGTATTGCAGAGAAGTTGCGCTGCCATATCCTTGGTTTTCTCTCATACAATAAAATTATACAGTGTGCATTGGTGAGTCATCCCCCTCCTTTTGTCAGCTAACACACTGATCTGCCAAGACTTGCCGAACGATGTACATGGTGGTCAAAAACTCTGTGGAGTTGCAATACGCCATCGAACTTGGTGCCCAAGGATTGGTGGTGGTTCATCCACGGCCACCTACTGTCTCCATAGCGGAGTGCTTGCACACACACTCAGAGACCAGGCAAACGCGTGAAATTCCTTCGGGCTCGATGTGACGAAAAAACTTTGTTTGGATTCTTCCTTTAGTTCCTGGTCCATCACCCACCGACAACTTGGCCTTGCTGAGTATTCCACTAAGGACGAGTGGGCCGAATATGAGGGCGACCCGGAGGATTATCAGGATGTTTGGTCCACAGTTATCGATACCGAGACCTGCGCATCTGAGACAGTAGATTATGTTCCTTTCGGATGATCCATGGATGATGCAGTTCCTGAATCATCTGCTGGCGATCACTGCATAGATGAGCATCGTGACCTTTTGGTGACTGTCGACATAATGAAGAATCGTCCCCTACACAACTTCAAATATCAAATGAATTACCGCACGCTATCCATGGGCAAGGAACATGCTTTGGTCCATGGATCCCATCTAGTTACTGTGACTAGGGCGGGCCCTCGCAACCCATTCTCACCACTTCTCACCACATGTGTTGGTCGATGTCCTCGGAGATCGCCTTGCTCTCTATGATGAGGTGGTTGCCAACTCGGGCCCGGAGGACGTAGATATTGGAGGTTACCAATACTGGTTGCTGCATGTGTGGAATTGGCATCCAGGACGTCAAGTTGATGTACGCGTCTTCTTCCGTCTCATTGAAAAAAAGTCTTATCGGAGTGTTGAAAAGGATATACGTGTGATCGACGAAGGCTGCGGCTTGGTCGACATCGGTTTCTTTACCAAGGCGAAACTTTTAGCTCTCTCATCACGCGGTCATATAGAGCTACACGACGTTGAGGACCTATCGAAGGCACCACAGCTTCAGGCAAGATTTATGCTACTCATGCGTATATCCGACTTCCGCTTTCGATATCCTTCGGTTTTTTATAGCGCCTCAAGTTGTGCGCATCTTGTGGCACCAGATGAACGTTGGACTTAGACAACAAACCCCGCAGATCGAGTCATATGCGTGAGGGAGTTATACTCTAGATCTGGTTCGATTTTTGTCATAACTGCTCGCCTCTTTTTCATGAATATTCCTCGCATCATGGTTTGATGCGACCTCAGAAGATGGTCTGACTGTTCCGTGGCCATTATGAGGCCCACAGAATGGTCGCTGCTGCCGAGACACGAAAATATTTGGAGTGGGAGGATCTCGTATTATACGGGTGGTCGGCAAGGATCGTGACGCCCGCCAGTTCCTGGCACATATGATCAATTTCAATCCCTCCGCAGTGGTGCGTGGCATCGGCAAGGTAGTTCGGGAACGCACGAATTTCCGCCGACACAAAGGAGACCCCGGGCTGTATATGTCAACAGTGATCACCTACCTCCCTTACCTAGAGGTAGTCAACGACTGCATCCTTGGTATCTGCAGTTCCGATATCATACTGGATGAGGAGCAGGTGTTGATATTTGAGCCTCAAGCTGTGGGTGAATTTGCGCCTGTCGAGCTAATGAAGTTAATGGTCTTTCTGAGTAGGAGGCTGAAGGGGTCGAGATAATCAGCCTATAATCCACGTCTTTCCAGAGTCATAGCCAACGTATCACTATCAGCAATTCCCATAGGCAGAAGTATGTACGCCGAGCCCGTTCAGACCCAGTTCAAACTCAATCGATATCATCTCGAGGACTTTGAGCACATCTACCAGTGCGGAGATACCTGTTTGGACAAAGCCACGTCACGAGTTCTGCGACGACACACTATGATCAGATATAAAAGAAAGCCGTCTTCGTAGCGTTGCCCCCGCAGGCTCAGAGTTACCATTCGAGACCGTCTCTGGCAAACCTCGTTTCACAAGTGATGCGTTTCTCCTTCCCTACCGTTGTTACTGCTTTGACAGCATCTACGTCTGTTAGTGCATGTGCGCCCCGATTCGGGTCTTGCAGGCTCTCAACAGATTGCTGCCCTGACCTTCTTTGTATGAAGAGTGTGAGTAGGAGTATTTTTACTTCGCATCCAGGGTTCAACTCTATGACTCACACCTTGTAATACTCAAAGTCTGCGACTGGCATCTGCGATTATCTCATTTCCCGTTGAGCTGGCAGTCTAAATGACACGTCGCAACAGTGAGTCATGGTTCTACTTTCGCATCGGTGCTGTGGTTGACGGCATGTCAGGGAGTTCGTCACTGAATTGATAACATGGTTGCTTCTGGAATCTGGAACATGAAACTCCAGCCACGAAGTGAATGTTTTTAACCCGCACTCGCTACTGCGAAAGGGGGGACCTTAGCTCTGGCGTAAGCGTCAGAGTTGCGGGCTGTATGCTCTGTCATAGAGTCGAATTACTGGCGTTGCAGTTCGTGGTTAAGACATTCATGGATGCCAGTGTGCAGGAGCTGCCTGCGATCTGAGGAAAATAGCGTCTTCTCCAAGCCTTCGTTCAGCAGGCTGACCCAGACAAAAACACATTTTTTTACTCGACTGAAGTGTAAGACATTACTAGTTCTATCAATGATCGAAGCACAATCTCTCCCCCATCCCCCCCCCCGAACTGGGTATACCTGCGTGTAATTCTCCGGTCTTAGGTTCTGCCTCCACTTGAAGTTCCGCCGGGTTCATTCGGGTCAGGTGAAAATGACGCAGTCTGGCGCGGCACTAGCTTATGCCTTTGAACTAAGTACCTTTAAATATCATGTTATGTCGCTCGATCGAGACGCTTTTAATTTTCTTTATTGATGTTCATCTTCGTGTAGACCCTAGAGTGCTGAAATGCACATGCATCTCACCTCATTAAGTTACAGCACTTGCCAGGCCCAAACTCCACGCTGGGCCCGTTCGCGGTGCGCACAGCACGGGAAAATATCGATTGCAAGTTGTAGTACGCCTCCTGTATTGTCTCTAACGGTGGTCTAATGTTAGCCTTCAGATGAAGTGTTATTCGGGCTGTGTCACCTTGTCAAGCTTAGTATACTGGCATGCATGGGCCTCAGTACCGTTATGTCAACTTGAAGCCCCACCCATGCCACGTCAAGCCATACCATATACCACGTCAAGCCTCACACACGCTGCGTCAGTGCCACGTAAATATTTCTGTGGGTAGTGGGATTAAGACTAGCGGGACTGCAAGCCAGTGTACTAAGATTTGGGAGACTGGAGTGGCATTGACGTGTCAAGGCGTGTCACAGTCGCGTCAAATAGCCACCGTCGACGCCCCATCCAAACCGATTAATCTAATCGATTAGCCAAACTGATTAGCAGAACTGCCGAGTTCCACCTACAATACTATTGTCAGGACATAAAAGAAAGCGTTTGCCTCAAGTCGGAGTCAGCATTCGAGACCTCCCTCGGTAGCGTATAAATTATGCGTTTCTCCTTACGTGCCGTTGTTGTCGCTTTGGCAGCATCTATTTCTGTCAGTGCATGTAAATTCCCACACGAGTCTTGCAGCACCTCGACAGATTGCTGTCCTGGGCTCTTTTGTGCGAAGGATGTAAGTATACGGTACTTTGCTTCGTGTTCAGGGTTCACTCACCCCTTGTAATACTACTAGGGTACCCGTCATTTCTGCGATTATCAAATCATCCCTCAGTTTACAGTCTGAATGACACGCGACAGTAAGTCACGTCGTCTACTTCCCATTGGTGCTGTGGTTGATGGCACAAATGTGTAGTTCATCAGGAAAAACCTCCTAAGCTAATTAGATGTTTTTAGAACTAATGCTGCATTATTATGTCTAAATTATCTAAATTCAAGTTTTAGCAGATTTAGCGTTGACATTCCCCAGACTGAAGCTCGCATACTCGCCCATCGTCATGAAAATGCAGCGCTCATAGAACTCAACTTTTAGCGCGAAGAACAATACGCACAAGCTCTGAAGGAACAAGAAGAACTGGAACGACAGGAGAAAGAACAACGTGCCCTCGAGCTCCGAAGAGAAGTGGAGATAGAACGTGAGGAACGAGAAACGTTCTAACGTGAGATCATCGATCGCCTCGAGACCAGCACCAAGGATGCTGCCAAGGTCATCGCCAAATCTCGTGCAGAAGCCATGAAGAGATCGTCTGCTCGCAGTACTACTACCACAATTCTGAGGAGTAATGCCCAACTACTGCGCGCACGAGCTGCTCAGAGTACTGTCGTTCCTGATGCTTACGAGGATCTCTATACGCTCAGGGATCACTACGACGATATGTACAGCGACGCAGTGAGGAAGGACCGCGAAGGAATTATGAGAGCGGGAGGATATCGGGTCGAGGAAGCTTGGGACAGAGCCCTCAGATGTGCTGTCGCTGGGTTGGATTTATTACCACTGTCAGAGCTGAGCCCATCGCCTGGACGGACTGATATTGTGATGGCATCTGCCTGAAACTCGTTTGCAGCCTTCGTTCCACATTGATGTATAAGGACATCAGCTATGGCAATTCTATCATTGCGTCATAGACAGACACGAGTCGTCACACTTCGTCCCTGCACCGCTCTTTTCACATAGCTGCTCGTCTCCGCACCATCCATCAAGCCCGCAGTCCCGTAGCGAAAACAGCTATAGAGATAGCCCAATCCACCGTGTCAATGCTGTATAAGATGATTCAGAGCGCAGCGTCCGTGGAGCAAATTTCCTTCGGGGAAATTATGGAATCAGGCAAGAACATATCTTATGGATAGCAATAATCTCCCCTAGTCAGACTTAATGGTATTTCCTTCTTTTTCAGGGGACGGCAGTGACTCGGCCAAGAATGAGCAAGTAGTATTCAAATCATCTTGACCGTTGGGTGACGCATAGTATGTGCCACCTCAACCCAAATGGTTTTCGGGCTGCAGCATTGCCAGTGTTCATAGTCGAAGAAAGGTAGTCAACGGATGGCTTACGCTGCACGAGCTCTGACTCTGATCGTGCAGTTCTGGGAGCTTACCAACGTCCGTAGGCCGAAAAATATCCTCCCATGTTCCCGTCATACTCACCTGCAATGCAGAAAGCGAATTCGCTCAACATTCTGTTCGTTCTCGTTGGTTATATCCTCATGCACACATCATCCATTCATTTGTTCTTCTCAGCTCGTGCACTTGGTTCCAACTTGAAGCTCAGCGTTGCAATCTTGTCATCATCCATCCTCGCTTTCACACTCGCTCTCCCCATCTCACACTACCTTGAGATTTCTTTGGATCCAATAAGTCTCACTGAAGCTCTGCTCTTCTTTGTGCACGTGGTTGGCTTCGATAAGCCCCTCTGTCTTGTGGCCGCAGTGTTCAATCACCCTCATTTGTTATCTCCCGTTAAAGAGGGCAGATGGCGTGGTTAGATGAGACCCGCCGGCGAGGTACTCATGGAGGCCACCGAAAACAGCTGCAATGCCATCTTGCGCGATTACGCACTCGAGATACAGTCAAAGAAGGATTTAGATGACCTCGCTTCTTCTACCGCTGCCAATGGCCATGCTTGCAGCGGTCAGGCAACACCAAACGGCGCGGTAAGTCCCCTCTCAAATGCCCAGCGCCCCATATCCGCCGCACTCTCGCCAGCGCAGTTCTCTTCCACACACCCAGCGGACGCCGTGCCAAAGACGCTAACAGATCCGTGGTTCTCGGGTGAAGGACCAAATGTGCCTCGCCCCAATCGTCCCAAAGTCCTCGCTCGCCGTTTGCGTGGATCGTCCTCATTGACGTCCTCTTTGACTTCCGCGTCTTCCACAGAGCTTGATGAAGACCAGGTAGTCTGTGTTGTCGGACGAGGTGGTGGAGTCGGATGGGCAGAAGTTGTCTGATGCGAGGAAATCTGCTCAGCGCTCAGTACGAGGATGATTTATTAACTCATGCTGCATCCGAAAACGCGAGAGATGTTTGAATCCACGACAGTATATTCGCTGATCGTATGTAAAGAACGGACGCAGCCATTGAATAGCTGCATGTACGTGAAGCGCACCAGAACGATCGCGTACGAAGCATCGCGGGAACGAACGAGACTAGTAAGTAAGTAAGAACTGTCACGGTCATGGTCACTATACGTAGCTCACGGTCATTCTATTTAGATCACGGTCACTTTACTCTACTAAACATTGCGCCGATGTACTCCGTCATGCACGGACCAGCTCGTTCGCGATTACGGATTCTTTATCTTATTGACACTCATACTGCTCACGGTTTCACCTTACATTATCACCATAGCAGGTACTTATGTGTGCTCGGGGCTTTGTATTGTTCCTCGTCGAATCAACGCCAGTATCTGGCCTCTCTATTGCCTCATTGCCGCGATCCTCTCTTACTCCGTTTAGTGCCCGTTACAGTTTGATTCGACCACCAACTCGTCAACCCGACTCTCGGGACTAGTAACTTTTCTTAATCTATCCTACCGTTGCCTTAGGGCTTTATTCTACTAACATGTCTGACCCCAATAGTTCAAACCCGGACATGGAGCACCCGCTCCCATCTCAGTCCACTTTTGTACCGACCCTGGAGAACTTCCATGAAGTTCTGCAAGCCATCACTGCACTCGGACAAAGCTCGTTCCGCTTAGACGAGAATCAGCGCACCATTGGACGCGCTCTCGAGGATATTACTGACAAGATAGCTGCTCTTAGATTTCCCACCATGCCACATAGTGCTGCTGGGTCCCACAATTCTTCGGAATCGGTCGTTCCGCGGAGCGTTGCTAAATTTCGGGAGCCACGCCTGTTCAAGGGCAATGCGACCGAGGTTGATGCCTTCGTAGACGAGATACTCAGCGCTGTAGAGCTCTCACGCTCTTCCCTACCTACTGACATGGACAAAGCTTTGTACTTGTCCATGTACCTCGATAACGGCTCACCACGCTCTTGGTTCACGGCGATTCGCTGCACTGATGACGAGCTACTTCACGATTTTGACTTACTGATCGAAGATTTCAGACAGCACTTCGGGGATCCTGACACCGAGGGCACGGCCCTCCGAAAAATCGAGAACCTCCGGCAGACTGGAAGCTGCGCGAACTATGCGTCCAAATTCCGCGAGTTACTGGTTTACGTCAATTTCAACACCTCGACCACCATCCAGAAATACTACGAAGGGTTGAAAGACGAAGTTAAGGATTTGTTGCTTACTGTTCACAGCCCGCCTGAGGAATTTGACGAGTATGTCAACCTCACGATTGCCATCAACAATCGACTCCACCGTCGCGATGTGGAATGCAAGTCTGCGAAGAAACCTGCGCCCCGTCAGCAGACTAGCAATGACACCACCACTCAGCGCTATGCTCAACCTAAGCCATCGACTTTGACCTCGCTCCCTCCTGGGATCCCGATGGAGATCGACGCGACCAAAACGGTACCACATCAGCCTCTCACCAAAGAGGAACGTGACCGGCGTTTCGCTCAGGGTCTCTGCCTGTACTGTGGAGGTGCTGAGCACACCATAAAAAACTGCCCGAACATGTCCGAACGTGCAAAGAAGAAATTCAATGCACGGAATGACTCGGGAAAAGCCTGACCGGCTGTCATCCCATCCCAGGGCATCCGGTTGTAGACGACGGGACACGTCAGAGTCACCTTGTGGCGCCGGATCCCACCCATATCCGTCTCTCAGATGGAAGTTATACCCCGATCGTAAAGTCTGCTCCTGCCTATGTCTTTGCTTCCAACTCCTACTTGAATTCCCCCTTGCATTTCTTTATCTCAGTTCGCCTTTCTTTCCCAAATAAGCAACCCATCAACACCTTTGCCCTTGTTGATTGTGGTGCTACTACCTCTTGTATTTCGGACCGTTTTGCCTCTCATCATTCTCTCCTGTGTTGTGTCAAAGAGACGCCGATACCTATTATGGCAGTTGACGACCGTCCTATTGCATCTGGGCTAATCACCCATGATGTCATCACTCATATTTCTGTTGCTGAACACAAAGAGATACGACCCCTTGCGGTCGTGTCTGTTGCTTACCCTGTCATCTTAGGTTTGGATTGGCTTCGCGAGCACAACCCCGACATTGATTGGGAAGAGTCTACTCTCTCTCTCGACTGTTGTGGGCTCACTTGCAAGAATCCCGTTATTGTTACAGTGAAGGGCTTTGGTCCTAAGCTATCTATACCACCCTCGAAACCCAATTCTGTGACTGCTGTCGGAATAGGCTTTGGTCTTTCTGACACTACCTCGTACTTAGCCCATGCATTCTCGACACCCTCACTACCATCTTTTGCCCCACCTAAGACTGATCCGGACCCCAGTCTTAGTGGTGTGACAACCTCGTTCCTCTCATCTCTTGTTGCACGGAATGGCTATGGTCACTCCGTCTCCCCAAGTTTGTTCCCTCAAACACCCAGTATCCGTCTCATCTCAGTGAAAAAGTTTGCATGGTTGGCCCACACCAATCCAGACGCTTGCCTCCTCCACTACCACTCCCCAACGTCCCCTGTCTACATCCACGCCACTACGTCGTCTCCAGTTGATTCCGTTGACGATGAAGTTCCAACTGCTTCTCACATCAATGACGAACTTCTCAACGCCATCCCTACCAAGTATATGGACTATGCTTCCACAGTCTTCTCTCCCTCCAAGTTCGAAAAGCTACCCCCTCATCGAGCCTATGACATTGACATCGAGATTGAGGATGGGAAGACACCTCCTTTTGGACCCCTCTACTGTCTCACTCCCCCAGAATGCGAGGCGCTCGCCGAGTACGTTCATAAGAACCTCGACCGGGGTCACATTCGCAGTTCTACTTCTTCTGCGGGTGCCCCTGTCCTTTTCATCCGCAAAAAGACTGGCGAGCTTTGCTTATGCGTTGATTATCGCGGTCTCAATGCAATCACCAAGAAGAATCGATACCCTGTTCCCCTTGTCCATGATCTACTTGATCGCGTTCAAGGCTGCAAGGTTTTCTCTGTTATTGACCTAAAGTCGGCTTATAGCCACCTTCGAATCAAAGAGGGTGACGAGTGGAAAACAGCGTTTCGGACACCACTCAGATTATTTGAACACCTTGTAGTCCCTTATGGTCTCACTAATGCTCCCGCCACCTTTCAAGCCTTCATTCAAGATACCCTCCACAATTTACTTGATATAATCTGTGTCGTCTATCTAGACGACATTCTAATCTTCTCTCACAATCAGGATGACCACAACAAGCATGTTCGGCTTGTACTTGACCGACTTCATGATGCCCATCTTTGCGCTAATCCCGCAAAGTGTGAATGGGACAAGTTGGAGGTTGAGTATCTCGGTTATGTCATCGGTACCGATGGCATCAAAATGAACCCGAAGAAACTCAATACTGTTGTCTCATGGCCCGAACCAACATCTGTAAAAGATGTCCAGTCATTTCTGGGGTTCGCTAATTTTTATCGTCATTTCATTAATGGTTATTCTTGTACGATGGAAATCGTTGCCTGAGTCAGAAGATTCTTGGCTTCCCCTTTCTGACATTCCTACCTTGTTCAACGAGCTCATCAAACATTTCCATCATTGTCATCCACACTCCCTGCATCCCCATTTATTTGATATCAATAAAAACTACCATACTCCTCTGTCTGTAACTAACAATTCTTCTCCTTCTTCTCTTCAGGTCCCTCTGCCCGCCGCGTCCTCCGAGCCCTTGTCCGAGCCCTCCTCACCTGCCCTTGCTGCTGTCCCTCCCACTGCTGCCCGTCCTCCGTCACCCGCTGCCGTACATCAGAGATTGAGATCTGAGTACGTGCCTCCCACGCAAACGACGACCCGTGGGGGTCGCATTTCGCACCCCGCTGAAAGGCTCGACCTGTAGCATCATCCTCACTCGCTCTAGAAGGGGGATGATGTCACGGTCATGGTCACTATACGTAGCTCACGGTCATTCTATTTAGATCACAGTCACTTTACTCTACTAAACATTGCGCCGATGTACTCCGTCATGCACGGACCAGCTCGTTCGGATGATTACGGATTCCTTATCTTATTGACACTCATACTGCTCACGGTTTCACCTTACATTATCACCATAGCAGGTACTTATATGTGCTCGGGGCTTTGTATTGTTCCTCGTCGAATCAACGCCAGTATCTGGCCTCTCTATTGCCTCATTGCCACGATCCTCTCTTACTCTGTTTAGTGCCCGTTACAAGAACGTGCAGCCAGCAGCACACAATTAGAGCCATCTGGGTAAATAGGAAATCGAGAGTCTAAAACGGTATCAGAGTGGGTGTGTTAGTGAAAGAAATTTAAAAAATAAAAGCAGTCCATCCATCCATCATCCCTCGCTCACTCACTCATAACCTCTTGGTGAAGGCAACTTCATTGCTATGGAATCGTACCTGCCATGGGAGGGTGCATACGTCGTGCCCGTCATGTTCGCAACACCAGAGTTGTATGTCATAGAATCAAGATGCCGGGACCGCGCTACAATGTTGGAGGCAATTTCGGTGCCATATTGTTCTGCTAGTTGACTGCGGTGAAAACATCAGCACATACAGGCGGGGATAAATAGGAGATAACATACCTGGTGTAATTTATCCATGATAACAGCCATACTCACCATGCTGTGTTAGCGCACGTTACGTGCATGTGACGAGTGCAACACTTTAGAATACCAAACAGACATTATATATAGTGGTTCATGTTTGTTTTCCTTTTCCCTCAGTCTGTTACGCACACAACTGAGGGTGCATTTCTTTATCTCTCTTCTCGATTACCTTCAGACTCTAATAATTTACCTACGATAGATCTAACTCTGTCTAGGTACATAGTAATCTCAGTCTGTTACGCACACAACTGAGGATCTAACTCTGTCTAGATTTATGAGCCCTGTGCCCTTGTAAACGAGAGTG